ATATATGCTACAATTGACCGTTGAAAGGAGGGTATCCAATTTATATGTCGAATTCCTTTTCATAAATATATAAATAATTGGCCTATATAATTAGGGTTGGTTCTGACTATAGGCGAAATAGACATTGTTTATGACTCCCGATTTTTGGAATATATTAGGGGTGTCCACATAATTATTTATACTATGTATATATCACATATAGTATTAATTGATATTTTTAAAGTTATTGATAGTTCAATAATTCGAATGCTCATAACTATACCGTTTTAGTTAGTTTAAATATTTGTTGGATAATTTTTATACTTCTATTACTACTAGTAACCATGCCCGTGCGTTGCACGGGAACCACTACAAAAGAAAAGAAAATAATTATTTTACTTAAAAGAGTATGTAATATAAGATTCATATGTTCAAAAGAAAAAAAACACCCTAGCACAAATTTTATTTCATATGCAAAATCCGGCAAATGTAAAAAAAAAAAAAAACAATGTTTAAGAAGAAAATAAACTCACCCTAGCACAAATTTTATTTCATCATTGTATGATAAAGAAAAAAAACACCACAAATTTCGATCGAAAAATTTATACTGCAAACAACTTAAAAGATTTATAACAAATTGTAAAAATTGTAAAAAATGTAAAATAATGACAATATATAATATTTGTAATTCTAATTTCAAATCATAGTAGAATGAATTAAATTTGATAAGTAATTTTTTGTAGACAAAACAATAATACAACACAGAATCTAAAACTAATTCTAAGAAACTCTGCATTAACTTGAAGTTAATCTGATAATCTAAGAGATGGTACATTTTTTTATTTATTTCTGGATACAATAGGATTGTACTTGAATTCAACCCAACAATAGCTTCAATATATACTTGGCCTTCATTTTATTATGGTCACTCTCACTGTATGCACAATATGTAAAATCACTTGCTAATTACAAACATAAAGTTTAAATGAAAGCTATCAATAAGATCACAACATAAAGAGATCGAGAGAGAGAGAGAACGCTATTGTCATTGGTTATAATTTATATTAAAACAGTGTTAAAAAATTAATAACTTATTCTAATAACGTTGACCTCTCAATAAAATGTCAATGATTGCCTTTGAAAAGTTCTCGTAACTGATCTAGTATTTGCAATTGAGCACACTGAATGTTAACAACAGTCTCGTGATTGGTTAAGGTACTGGAAAATTTGAAAAAACTCTTTATACTGATGGTCCAGTAAAAAACATGTGTGAAAAGAAATTAAAAGGTAGGCGACATAATTTCAAAGATAGTTGAAAATTTAATAAAAACTTCGTAAAAACATGCAACACAAATCGTGGAAAGTAATGCTACTACATGTCACGGTTGTTTTAAAAAAAATTAGAAACAAAGTTCTCCCCATTTTTGTTTTGCCTCGTATGAAGGAAAACGTAAAATTCTTGTTCGCTACCAATATTGTCTCGAGTGAAGTGAAAAAGACAGATTTATGAACTAAAGCTGCAATTTTGTTAACACAGACAACGAACAAAATTTTTGCATAATTCCAAAAATCAGCTACAGGTTTTCCGGAAAAGAGCAAAATAACGCAAACAACTGAAAAAAAAAATTTGAGGTGCAGAGATATTTTTATTGTAAAAGAATACGATAAAACCATGTCTATGCCAAAGATTTTTCGGAAAAGAGAAAAGTAGTTGTTCGCCAAAACTTCTATATTATTACTTAAGTAATGAAGTAAAAAACAACGAACTTGACAGACATGTGAACACTCAGTTAAAACACGAACAACATTGCTTACGCTAACTAACCGAAAATCAGTATAAGCATTATGGTGAAAAAAAAAATCTTGTAAAAACAAACGTCTCTGAAAAATCCAAAATTTAAAAAAATTAAAGCTGCAATTTGTTTAACGCGAAATAACAGAATACATTTCACAGAGCTTCAAGATTTTCTCTGATTATTTTTCCGTACTATAACATTCACCAAGGAGTTTTTTGGAAAAACATTTTGCATTTTAAAAAACACAGAAACCTAAGCAAAACAACAAAGAAAAGAAGTTCGTATTATTACATACTCGCAAAAAAATATTTTTCGGAAAAGAAAGAAAAGTTTTTTTTTTCATACCAACAAATATCTATCATGTTATAGCGTTAGGAAAACTGGTTCCCATAATGACAGTGTAGTTCAATTATAAAGAAATACTGAACATATCCACTAATTTGCAAATTATACAGCCAGTCGATGCAGAAACTGAAAGATTTAACGCAACCCATTAGTAAAAACAAACAAATAAACATGAGAAAAAAGAAAAAAAATGATCTTACTTGGGTTGGTGGGAAGAAGACAGTGTGATCATAAACTGCATAACCCTGAAATTATCTTTGAAAACTAAATCAGTCTTATCAATTCAAATTCAGAATTCGGCTGCGATCTCTACGGGTTCGTTCAGAAGAGCAATCATCATCGCAATTAAAATCACCTTCTGATAATGACAGGAAATGAAGACATATATGGTTGACACGTGGGGAATCATTGTGAACGAAAATTATGCATGTGTTCAAAAAAATCAACACTGTTAGCAACTCTTATGAGCTATGAAATTTAAATGTAAAATAAATCTAAATAAATAATTATATTGTTTACCTGTAGAAAACAATTGCTTAAGTTTTGCTTAGGTTCTTGGTGAGGAAGAAGATGACGAACAAAAAAAATAGCAAGAAGAAAACGAACAAAAAAAAATTGTTTTTCGCTGGAGTTCTCCATCAGTTTAAATAGAGTACAATTCGTAGTGGGTTGGGATCATGGGGTTCTAACTTCTAGTTAGTGAGGAGTTAGAGTTAAAAAGAAAAATCGAAAAAAAATGCATAACTGCAAGAAAAAAAAAATGAAAAAATGATAGAAGATTTAAAAATTGCATGAATATAGGAATTAGTTGGAGGTGAAATAATACCACTACCCAAAAAAATAGGAAAATATTAATTTGTACCGAACAATTAGAGCATTAGAAAAATATAAAAGGGTAATAGAGCATTAGAAGAATTCCAAATTTTAAATTAAAGATTTATTAATTGACAAAATTGTCCCTAGGTTTAGGTCTAGGTTTTAGTTCAAAATATCTTCTTTTTATATATAAGATCCCTATTTGTAGCAAAATTTGAATTTTGAAAGAAAAAAATTGTAATGAAAAATGTCTTAGATCAATTGTTAGTTTAGATACTAAGTACTATTATCAACTCTGTATTTATATCCTCTAACTTCAAGGAATTTCAGTAATTTAAAAACTCGATATTTTATTTATTATATTTAAACAAATGTCACATATAATTTTAGTGATCCCATAAACTTTTGATTCACATGCCTAGCTCATTAATATCCTATTCACATATATCTAAAATTCTCGACTCCTAATAAAAAAATTATACTTCTATCGTGATTCGTGCCGGTAAGATCGAATTAATTCGAACACTTGTATTACATAAACCAATTTTTAAAAGTCGCTTGAAGCTCGTAATTTCTCAGAAACGGGCCTATATCCAATTATGTAATTAAATAACTTTTTTAGTTACTAGTTATAATGAAAAGCATTTTTCACATCCGTAAAGATAGGAGGGAATGAAGGATTTGAGTTGGCCCTATGGCCATCTTCACATGACCATGCACCCTTTATTTCACACATCCATACATAAAAACTGATGGGCCCCACCGAGTGGGCCCCACTAATAAAAACTCAAATGCCCATGCCCAACTCATCAACCGACATTGCCTGGCCCTCCTCACATGCACTGCTCTCGATGTTTCCTTTAATTGGTTTAACTACTTTACTTTTAATTAGGACTTTTTATTTATTTATTCAATATATTATGATTTTCTTCTTTTAAATGATTTTCCTAAATCTAATACATTTCTATGTTTATAATCCTTTGACCATTCTTACATATTACATGTGGTTCAAGTAAATTGCAATTGCTCCTGTTAAATTACTTTTGGAGTAATTTAATAGTATTTTCCATATTGTTGTTACAAGTAATTTGTAGACTAGAGTTCGATCGTTTATTTATATTGGATTAACTTGGAGAATGTAAGATTGAATCATTTTTGTACTGACTAACTAATTATTTAATAAGTAAAATGTTCAATTTCTTAGATTATATCTTATATTAAATTTGTTAAATTAAATTATTATACGTGAATTAAACGACTTAGTTTATATTATTCATAAATGAAGTCCAGGTTAAAATTGTTTTCATTTCCCTTTTTTTAAATCATTTCCTATAAAATTAATCGCATAAGAGAAGTGTGCGACTAATTTAGTAAAATAGTAACACTTATTTGCAGGTTTAGACTTCTCAACCGTGTTTGATTGTATCAATCTTGTAAATCAAACGTGTTACTAACTCTACTGCACAACAATTCTTTTAGAGCATTAGTTTTATATATCTATTTTAAATGAATAAAAGTAATATTTTTCTTTAACTATTAAGTAGATGCCATTATTGACCCGTAATATCACCATTTTTTTGAGAGGATACCCGTAACATCACTCTTGTCAAAGTCAAATTACGTATCACAACGACAATCAAACGGTCCAGAATCAAGCATTACCACCAGCCGTCGATTCCTAGCTAGGTCCACATCTTTTCAATTAACAGCGGTTGGGGGTTGTCCCACCTCTGTTTCCCCTTCACATCAAATTAGACTAAAACTTGCCCCTCTTTCCCCCAACATCTGTATCTCTCCTCATAAATCCTTGTCCCCACCCGCTGACCCTCTCCAGCCACACTCCACCGCACCCGCGTCCCCACCACGCGCACAGGCCCCCCTCCCCGAAGGCAGCTCACCAGCGCGTGTGTAGACAAAACGCGTGGGCCCATCTGTTCCGCCTGTGGTGAAATTCATGCACACGGGGAATAAGCTACCTAGACTACCTTCTCTCTCTCTCTCTATATAACTTTCGTCTCCATTTTCATTTCCAACAAACCAAACTCATTCACAGCTAATTATTATCAAATATTGATATTCATAAAAGAGATTAATTAAACAATGGAAAAAGGATCAGCAGTTTTCGAGAACCGTGATCTGAATCTGAAGGCAACTGAACTGAGATTGGGTTTACCGGGAACCGATGAAGATTCCGGTAACCAGTCTTCTTCGTCTTCTCAAGTCAAGAGTAACAAGAGATCTTCCTCTGAAATGGATGGATCCGAACTACAACAATCCGGAGCCCCGGTTTCCAAGTAAGTTTAAATTATTACTTAATTAGGGAGTAATTATTTATTATACACATAGTTGACATTTTGCTGATATGAATTTTGTTATTGTAAATTCAGGGCACAAGTGGTTGGGTGGCCGCCGGTTAGATCTTACCGGAAAAATATACTGGAGAAGAAAAAGTCCGAATCCGACGGATCCGGGTTTGTGAAAGTGAGCATGGATGGAGCTCCGTATTTGAGGAAGATTGATCTGAAATTGTACAAGAACTACCTCGATCTACTTAAAGCCTTGGAGAACATGTTCAAGTGCACCATAGGTACGTATTCAGAGAGAGAAGGTTACAATGGATCTGAGTGTGCACCGACTTATGAAGACAAAGATGGTGACTGGATGCTTGTCGGAGATGTTCCTTGGGAAATGTTTATTACTTCTTGCAAACGGCTGAGGATTATGAAAGGGTCTGAAGCTAAAGGCTTGGCCTGCTGCCTATAGATACATACATATATATATATATGTATATGTGTATGCGTGAGCTTCGTGCATGGAATTAATTAGATTTCAGAGAGATCGAAAGAGATGATTATGCATCATCTGGAAGAAGGCCATTACAATTCATAGTTGACTTTTGGGGCCTCTAATTAGGTTTTAGAGCTTTGGTCGTGCAACAAATTAAAGAGAGAAGCGTTTTAATTTAATTAACATCGTGTGTATAAATGTAATTAGGGAATTTGATGTTCTTCTTTTCTGGAGTTTTTTTTTTTTCTTTTTAAATTGGGATTTCTCATTATTTGGAGAATTTTTGCGATGTATAATTTACAAATTACAGGACTACACGTAGTACAATTTTAAAGGTTGTTTGGCTGAAAGCCTCAAAGATAATTAAGTTGTTCAAGTTATTTTCCTAATCTTATAAAACATTAAATCTTTACTTAGACCATGTATTAATTTCATTTTTATTATTTATCGTGTATATGTTTGGCCGTTTAATTAGATCCATACGAATTAATTTGTTACTACAAGATCAGGTCTTGATCGAACATGAGTACCGATAGTTATCGGATATAAAATATTGTTTGCAGATCTATGATTCTATTCATGATAATTAGGGTTTAATTAAGTTTTTGAATTAAATTGCATAAATTATCAAAATTAAAATCTATCTATAGATTAATTTTGTTGAAATTAAAAATTTAGAAGCTTGTATTTAGTGTAATGTTTTATCGATTTTGGTCCTATTAAAAGGTAACACAAATTTTTGTTAAAAATATTGATCATAGCCCCTTCACAAATTCATAAAAACGCGCTCCTGTTTGAGATAGAATTTAACTGTCTCGGAACCTAACTGAGGCATAATTTGACTATCGTTAAACTTGGATGTCTTTGCCGATAGAACGAAGCACAATTTATTTATCTTTACGCCCAAGTGAGGGTATTTATTTCAATTTTAACAAGATAAAATAATATTATTGAGAAATTACAGTGGTGAAATCTGAGAGAATAGGACGGGGTAGGTGTATAAATTATAATGTTTATCAAAGTGTCCTACATTTTTATAAAATTTAAACTCCCTTTTATAATTCATAAATATGTATTTTTATTTCGAAATAATAAATCATTAATAAATGTTAATTTTATTAAATATATAAAAGCCCAAATACCGAATTGGGCTGGACCGAACCAAAATGTGGTCTTGTGTGAAACACGCGTCCATTAACGAAAACAATGGCGTCCTACTCACGCCGTTAACGTTAGAGGCCATCTCTGGGAACTCAAACCTTCATTTCTCTCTCTACTCTCAGAAATCTCCATCTTCGTTCCTTTTTCGGAAGATAGAGCGCAGAAGCGGTGAAAATGCTGGGTCGTCTCGCCTCCCAACGCATTCGTGAGATCCGTCAAGTTTATCGGCAGTTTCCTCAGGTTCTAGGGTTTCTTCAATTTCGCTTTTCTCTCCTCTTTTCCTTTTTCGCCATTTTTCATTTCGAATGGTGTTTTTTGACAGGCATCGCGATCTTTCTCGACCGCGCTGAACTATGTGAGTTGACGATTTGTTTTTTTTCTGGATCAGATTTCCGTCGGTCTATTGTATCAGAATCCGATCTCAATTTTTTAAGGTTTTTTCTTCCTTATTCTGTAAATAAATTGAATTGCGAGTTTCTGAAATTGCAGCATCTTGACAGTCCGGATAATAAACCAGACATTCCTTGGGAATTCAGTGCTGCGAACAAAGAAAAGGTTAGTGTTACATATATTAGGGTTTCAATTGGAATTCGAATGCGCATATTAGGGTTTTAATCCATCAGAGAGCATGTTCCTTAATTAGATTTTCTGTTTACCGAGTTAGTGCAAGGGATTAATGGTGTCTGCGTTGGTGACTTGTAATTGAGCTTGGTTTATTCTGTCACTGCCCGAAAAACCTAGTTAAACCTAGTTAACGAGGAAACAAATTAGAAGTAGGAGGAACAACATGTAACCCTTGTTTTGATATTCTTATTCAATTAGATGATAGGTGATGGTATCTTCTGGATTGAAATAGTATTTGCTATGTTGAATAATTATTTTGCACCCATTCTGATATATCACGGAATTACCCTCAATTGCGTCATTGGATTAGTGAAAATGCTATGGAGTAGCTTATGTTCTGATCCTTATAAGTTCATACGAGTTATGCTCTGGTTTCAAGTTTTTTATATGCTCTTTGTACGTATTGAGTTGGTGATAATGCTTACATGTATGTAGCTTATGTTATTAATTGTCACTCTGGGTATTCAAGGAAGCTCATGTTAATTGGGGACTATTTTGAAATATCAGCTCCCCACTATTTTGAGCTAGCCCATAGATCTCCTATTTTCTCTTTGAAAAGTTTGATCGAGAGAAGACCTTAATGTGGCACTAATCCCTTAGGGTAATCTATAATTGGTGATCGTTGCAATATGCCTAAATTAGGTGACCTTCCCACAAGAACAATGAAACTGCTTAATGCTACTTTCAGAAAGTATAATGTTTTGGTTTTGAAGCAAATTTTGTTGCCAGCTAGAATGTTAGACTAGGTATTGAATCTACCTGCTCATGTGATGGCTAACCCCTAAAAAAGGGCCATCATTAACTTTGATATGCCCTTGTGTTTTCTTGTCCATGAAACTTTTCTTTTTTCATTTTTATTGGGTATTTATGTTTTTGGAAAGATAGGCACCGATAAGTTTATCATCGTATGGAATTCTACGGTTCTTTGAAAAGCTGAATTGCAAGCTGAATCAAACTTTAAATCCTTCCTTTAATCAATCTCTTGCAATTTTGTATAATAACAATCCTAAATACTTGGTTTTGCACAGGCCAAGGAGATAATATCCCACTATCCGTCCAACTATAAGCAATCTGCTGTAATTCCTTTGCTTGATCTTGCACAACAACAACATGGAGGTTGGCTTCCTGTTTCAGCAATGAATCATGTACGTTAACATCAGTGATTACTACTGTCGTTTGTTGACTACACTAAGTGATGCATTTAAATCTGATCAGGATACTATGGATAGTGATTTATTATTTATTTTTCTCGTGCGGAAGTATGAATAAGATTGATGGCATACCCAACACTTATTTAGTTTTTGTTCATGTATTTAACTTGTGTGTAGTAGCAGGAATCTGCTATGTGGAATCTGCTATGTGCAGGACACCCAAGCAATAATTTATTTAGTGAAAAGAGTTGCTTCTGTATGCCGTCGAAGTTAAAAAGTTTTATCTGATTAAAACTGTTTTGAATTAATTTGAGTAGTGATGTCAGAAAACTGCATCAACGTAAAAATGTCCTAATACGAGTTATAAAAAAATTAGTGGAGACAGGGAAAGCCTTTCAAGGCAAATTGTAAATCCTTGGCACAGAAGAAATTAAATATATTAAAAAACAGAAGCCTACAAGGTTATGATTTTTTGCTTATTTTTGGTATCATGTATGTGAAGGAGTGTTATTCTTTTAGAGACATAGTTTAGCCATTGGCTGTGCACTTTACCCCAATTCCTAGAAGTTATATATTCACATAATGAAATTCACTTGTTTCCTTCCATAGTGTTGGAAAATACACACTTTCAATGTATCTCATCTGCGTGATTTTAACTGTTTGATCTAATGACTTGTTAGGTAGTTGTGACTTGATGCTTCCATTTGATGTATAGATATCTAATAATTATGACACCAAATTGTTTGCTGTTCATATGAATGTGAACTCATATAAATTTCCTGTTATCACTAAAGGTTGCTAAGGTAATTGAAGTTGCTCCAATTCGTGTATATGAAGTGGCAACCTTCTATTCGATGTTCAACCGAACAAAGGTAAGTAGTTCTGGTTCAAATTAATAAATTCATGTACAATGTGCTAGTTACTTTCTTGTTTCTCATTAGTGAGTTACACATTGACAATTAAGGTTGGCAAATACCACCTTCTGGTATGCGGCACTACACCATGCATGATACGTGGTTCGAGAGACATTGAAGAAGCATTACTGAAGCACCTAGGAGTGAAGCGCAATGGTAAAGCCTGTATAACATTTCTATATTTTTCTTTTTTCGATATTAAGTCGATTTGGACAGTAGAATCGCTTGTTCAGCGATTGTAATTTTGAATCATTATGTCGAATTTTGCAGAAGTCACCAAGGATGGATTATTTTCTGTTGGAGAAATGGAATGTATGGTGAGTTATTCCTGTGATTATCTTTCCAAAAAATAACATCGATTTGTTTGTTCTGCTTTTATTCTCTGCTCATTTAGCTGCTAATGGGTAATACAGAATTTTTTTTTTGGTAGAATTAGAGAGCATTATAATAATGTTAGCAAACGGTTATCCCATTATTTTATCCATATATTCTGAGCAAGTGTTTGTCTAAAAAAAGAGAGTATCTGCTGTTAATTTTTGTTTTGTTTTTAGGGGATAGCAGCTGTTATGTTAAGAGCGGCAGTTATTGTTAACATTAGGTTTTTGTGAATTGCAGTTAGATTAATATCTAGGGTTAACCTAATCCATTATTAGAGAGCCCATAAAAAGTTAACCCATTAAAAGAGTTAATATAGAGCTGAAAAAAGAATCAAAATGAAAGGGAAAACTTAGCTCAATCTGAAGACATGACAGACAGCAAAGAACTGAATTGAAAAATGGAGAAGAATTTCAGGCTATGCTCAACTCTTTTTCAACACAGTATATAAATATGTATTTTATAAATTTGACACAGTATATAAATATATATTTTATTATAAATAAATTTGCTTCTCCTATGGTTTAAGTCATCATCAAGCTTATAGAACTAAGAAATGGTGGAGCAATAGTTTGAGAGAATTTGGTATAATATGATGATTGTATCCCCATACCATAGAACTTTGCGGTTTCCATTTTCTCTTTAGATGAGGATATCGGTACCAGATTCCTCTCGATATACTCCTCTGTATTGCATTATAATAATTAGAACTGTACTTCATCACAAGTGTCATCTGCAATATAAATTTTACCGTTACTGATGCTCCTATTTCTTTTTTAAATTATTATTAATTGTTACAATGGTTGTTTTGGTTTCCATAGGGATGTTGTGTAAACGCTCCAATGATTACAGTTGCTGACTACTCCAGCGGATCCGAAGGATACACCTATAATTATTATGTGAGTATTATCTGTTCTCAATCTCAATCTCATTACAGGCAATGTTTGGCCCCCTGTTCAAAATTCTTTCCTATTTCCCCTAAATAAACGTTTATGTTTTCCTTCCGAACTTATAACACACGAACTTTTTCCGAGAAAAATTGATAACACATTTCACTTTCCTCTCTCCGTTATACATGATTCATCTATTTAACTGCTACAGCTTGTCTAAAATACAAATAATCATCATTTATTTTTCAAAATACATTTGCTCTTAACACCTTTAAACATGATTCGAAGCTGGCTACTGCACAGTGTAAATGGTTTCTTCTCAAAATGTAAATAAACATTAGTTTCTTTCTCAATTTTTTGTCCCAAAACATCCTCTTCCAAACATTGTCTAAGCTTGTATATAATGTTGTTCCACTGATGATTAATTAATCATGTGAGGTACTATTTGACGAATTTCAGGAAGACGTTACTCCAAAGCGAGTTGTCGAGATTGTTGAGGCTTTCAGAAGAGGGGAGAAGCCACCAGTAAGACAACTACATTTTCTTTTTGCTGTATTTAAGGTGTTTCAATCAAGTCATTGTTCTAATTTAATCTCTGCCTTTTCTTTTTTGTCAGCGTGGAACACAAAATCCAGAACGCAAAAACTCGGGACCACAAGGTGGGAACACAACATTGTTAGGTGAGCCGAAGGCTCCTCCGTGTAGGGATCTTGATGCCTGCTGAACAAAATAGTTGATGTACACCTCATTCTTCCTAATAATGATGATAATTTATCCAAAGGTGGGACCCATCTGTAGTATGTAAGCTGTTGTTAATCTATTCTCAAATAATTTCGAGATTTCTTTGTTGTCTGTTTTATCTTCCTTCCAGTTTTATGATACAGGTGGAATGTTTTGACCCGAGTTATTCTTTTTTTTTTTTTTTTTTCGCATCCGCAGATGATGGTAAGGTCATTCAGCAAGGCCTTAAAAAATCAACATTGTAATTTCATTTCTTTGTATTAATAAACTGGACTGTGCTGAACTTTTGTGGTTATTTCCATTTATATGCTGTGTTGATAGACACTTGCAGTTATTGGAATTATTGTTTCCTTCACAATTAAACATGCTGAGATATTATTAATTCTAGCCCACTTCGGCCCATTTGGAATCATTAAATTTAAAAGATGGGCTTAATTCCGGCCGACAAATATTAATGCTTTGTTAATTTTTTTGACCTATTTTGCTATTAAAGTTCTGCTATGCGATGGGCTTCGGCCCATAACATACTACAGGCTCAACTCAATCTGGGCCTGTTTAATTTTAATGACCCACAATCAGAATATATTGGGCCTACTTTTATTAATTCCAGCCCATTAAGGCCCATTTTAAACTTTATTAAATTTCTATAATGGGCCAAATCTTGGCCCACAAATATTAATTCTTTAAGAGACTAGCTCAATCTGGGCCTATTTTATTGTAATGGCACAGACAGTATATATTGGGCCCCGACTTTATTTATTTCGGCCCGTTTGAATTTATTACATTTCTGTAATGGGCCTATCTCAGGCCCACAAATATCATCACAATAAGGGCCCAGCTCGGTGTGGGGCTATTTAATTTAAATGGGCCACGATCAGAATAGATTGAGCCCAGGCTTGATTAATTTCAGCCCAATTGATCATATTAAATCTTAATAATGGGCCTAATCTCGGCCCACAAATATTAAGATACTGAGGGTCCATTTGAATCTGGGCCTATTTAATTGTAAAGGGCCACGGTCAGGATCTGTTAGGCCCATATATTATTAATTTTGGCCCATTTGAACTTATTAAATTTTATTAATGGGCCTAATCCTGGCCAACAAATATTAATAGGTTTCATTAGTTCTTTTGGTCCATTTAACAAGTCAAAGTTCAATTATGTGATGGGCCCAAGGTCCCACCAGCTCAATGTGCCCAGATTTTATTAACTTCTAGCCAATTCGGCCCAAACGGGCCATGTAACTACTTTATGTTTAATTATGAGCAGCCCACCCGATTAAAAAGCCCATATATTTTTTTTATTTCCGGTTTCCATTGGCAATATAATTTTTTTTAAACTAACCACAACTTTAAAATTGCAACATATCTGATGAGTGTTGGCCTGGACAAAAGATTGTGCACGATGATGTGCACACCTCACGACATACTATTTGCATAAGCAGGCTTTGCTTTCTTCTGGACCCATCTTTAAATACAATTGCTACATCAATCTCTCTCTCTCTCTCTCTCTCTCTCTCTCTCTCTATAGAATAATTTGGCAACGCAATAATGATACAGAAGAAAAAAGAGAGTAAATAAGTCAGAGCTTACCTTGAGAAATCAACGCCACTAAGTCTAGAAAAGACCAAATGGGTACATATGATTTCTATTGGACCAGAGATCCTACTTTACGGCAAAAAATAAACATTATCTGAGTGCAACCATTCGTTTCTCTTCCACTTCCACTGATAAACAACACTACAATTACAATATGTACTACGCGCAGTCACCCCTTTTAAGGGCCCCAAAATCCCACTACCAGATTACTTTTATCATTAACCACAACTTCCATCCATATGCCCCCCCACCATTGATAGAAAAAAAGAAAAAGCACAATAGTATATGATGAGAAGCAAAGAACAAAACGCTTACGCTTTCATTACCTTTAATACACGGGAGTGCCAAGTCAGCCTTCGATTAATGTTGACCTGAAGCTGCAATTTTTTTTTGGGTAGAACTGGGATTGAATATCGACTAATACGGAGTGAAATTAGGACGTTTGGATTAAGTGGGAATTACGGATGTGTCGAATTTGAAAGATTAAGAGGGGGGATTAGACTCGGGTTTCATAAGTGTGGGGGTGTCAGGGGGTTGTGTGTGGTAGATAGCAGAGGCAAGGGAAATGGGCATAATGCAGAGTGCTTTTGATTGAAGAAATTGCATTGCTGCACCTACGTTTTCTTCCATAAGCTTAGCAACCTGTCTTTCTGTACCATCGTTTGACCATTTCTCCCAGGCTGGCTGAGCCCTTCCACCTTCGTTGCCTTCTTCCTTTTGAAGTTAATCCGTAGAGGTGATATAAAAGAAAAAAATATTTATTATAGAGCAATTGTGTGGCTAAAAAAACCAGCTGCTTTTGTTGTAAGATTTTACCTCGATGGTCGATATTGGAACGTCTGTGACAAGTGGAGCCACTGCACCAGCTCCTCCCAATCTGCTCATGCTTAACACCTGCAAGGTTTATGGTTTTACGTATGGAAATATGTATTATTAGAATATGCAAGAAATTCTGAAGATCTTACTTTATGACTCTCATTCTGAGAAATAAAGGCAGTCAATTTACGTAGACACCATAGAAATTATTTGCAACTGCTCTGTTATTATAGGGTTGTTACTTGCATCAAAATTCGTATCAGCGTGATTAACCGATACCAAAATTAACAATGATAAAGATTAATCAGATTGTGACACAAAATCCAGCTATCTAACCCAATACTGTACCTAATATCAAGATATTAAATTTGTTCTTTGGTTTTTTTCATTACATCAAAGATAAACACTAATGCTTGTTTTTCAGTTATACAAGGGTTTCACGAGTATGATTAAGGCTGACTGACAACAATTCAACTGTTGTGGAGACAAACGGGAGTCTGCAAATTTACACATTATATGGGACGAAGCTAAAGCTTCTTTTCATGTTAAGAATTAGTTTATACAATATATGTATAATAAGAAATAGTTCAAAAAGCAATTGTTAAAAACCCAATTCAATCCTAGTAACAGCAACTATGGAAAATCCCTTAGATATACTCACAACATACTTCTATCACGATTGAGTAACACCTAAAATGATTTATATTGGCATACCTTCACTTGGAGTCTCAAGAACTTCACGTAATCCACAATTTCATCAACCATAGTTGCTCTATCAGTCTGCAGAAAATATTCCATTTAAGTATGAGGAGGATAATCTTGAAAATTCTTAAAACAACAACGTAACATTGAATATAAAACTGCGAAAACAAAAAAGACACGATGAATAAGTTGCCAAATATCTGGCTTGTAAGATCTCGCTGAAAAATAAAGTTTACAGCACAAAATGTTGTACAAGATAGTAGAGAAAAATGACCTTGTTGACACTGGGAACTAACTCCTGCAATGCTCTTACTCTTTCAGCTATTCTTTCTCGTCGCAACTGAAATAAGAGTGGTAAATATCAAATAATAACATTTACATCGAATTCTACAGTTGCATTATGGCAATAATCAAATCACTTAATTATTCAAAATAAGCCCACTGAGAAATTTTTTATTCAATTTTCAATAATAATGATTGACAAAAATCTCCTTTCAAGAGTTTTATTTTTTGACTACTCATGGACAAAAATCTTTTATACTAAATATGTGAGAGTGAAAAAATATTAAAGTTCTTTTCGGAAATTTCAACGATTTTTAGCAAGAAGAGTGTATTATATGACATGCGATTTATTTATTTATTTTGCTTGACTATTAGGAAATTAGTGAAACAATTTTAGATGAGCTATTTTTTGACTTGATGAATAAAAATCTTCAATACTATTTATTGGAGTGTTAAAAAATCTAAAAATATATTTGAAAATTTCAACAATTTTTAGCAAAAAGTGTGTGCTATAATAGTATAGGATTTTTTTGTGATTTTGCTTGATTATCAAAAAATTAGTAAAACAATTTTTAGATGAATTAGTGAAACAATTTTTGACTACTAAGAAATAAACATCTCCTATACTATATATTTAAGTCCTATATTTTATATTTTATACTTTATATTTTAGTGTTAAAAAATATTATTTAGTTTTTTTGAAAATTTCAGCTATTTTTAGCAGAAGGCTGCATGTGCTAGAAACCCAATGAAAGACAGCAGATCTATTTTTACAATTAATCCTCTTGTAAGCACATCAAACTAAAGGTGTCTTGAGAATGTAACCGAGTGAAAATTCTCTCATCTTTATTTCGGGCTTCGTTTCCCCCTATCCCCCCAAATCAATACCCAACCAACACTAACAGAGAAACATAATATTTAATATAAGAGTATACATTCTAAAAGCAATTTTCTAGAATCAATTGTGCATACCCTTTCAGCTATGCTGTGTGGATCTGTTGCTTGGCCTCGCCTAGCCCGAACCCGTGGGCGAATTGCAGGAGGATGCGGTCCTGAAGGAACTGTGTTTGTCATTGGCTGCCCATGAAACCCCTGCGAAAGTAAAAAGAGGGTTTCTATTAGGTCACAAACAATATTTTGCACCCAAAACATGTCTAAATGCACCAAATAAACCGAATTAGGCAAAGCTTGAACCAACATATAGCTATATCAATTGCCTGTAGGCCAGAAGCAATAGGTTGTCTTATATTCTCAGTATTCCCTAGAAACAATTGATACACAATAATATTCACTCACTGAACTACTGTAATTTTTAGCCCTAATGGTTTGACATGAGATAATCTCACATCAAATTTCAAATCAGCCCTAATTGATTAAAGATTTAAACATCATCAAAATTATAGATACAAGTGTCACAAAATATTACCGATTTGAGAGATGAACCGCGGGAATCAACGAGGTCGTCGCGAAGGAACCTCTTCCCACTCCCCGAGGCATCATTAAACCCTCCCTTCCCTTGCTCTAAACTCAACCCTAACGGGAAACCGCTACCTCCGCTCCCAACTCCGTACCCGCCGCCGCCGATGCCGAGCCCAACCCCCATGGCGCCCAAGTGAGACGAGCCGTCACCCGAGCCGAGTTGCAACATCATCGCAGCCGACCCGCCATCGTTACCGTCGGCTCCGGAGGCGTAGCCCGGAAACCCTAAAATCTGCTCCAGGAAGTCGTCGGACGTGGTTTCTCCTGGATTGTTCGCCATGGAGAGGGCTTAAACGAGTGGAATCGGTCTGAAATCGGACGGCGAAGCGAATTTAAACTCGGAATCCACAATAGCATTCACACACACCGTCTTACGTTCGCAGTGCAGTTACGCGTTAGGGTATATATAATATATGTATATATATACACACACACTAGATAGCCAACTCTACCGTTTTTAGAGAGAGAAATAGCAATACTACTTTTTTTTCTACGGAGTAATGAGAGCGAAGAAGAAAGGAAGAGCGGATAAAAGGGGGCGTCTCTTTTCTCCAGTTTTGAAAATAGCGTTGCTTTTCGTGAATTTACTTCTATACCCTTCTCCTCTTTAAGACGAATTTAGGGTGCATTTGGATTAAACTTTTAAATTTGAGGAGATATTTTGATAGATAAAAAAAAAGAGATTTTAAATGTACGAAATAACTAAATTTCCAATGAATTTATTATTATTTCAAAATTATTCAATCATATACTTAAATTCTAGTTTATTCTTTTTTGTAATTATTATACTTAATTTAACGTTGAAAGATTTGTATTGTGTATTTCAATTGGAAGGGGTGGATGGAAAATATTGGCAATAGTAAAACTAATGGGCCTTTATCAATGTCAAAATCAAGTTCACACTGCAGCCATCTTTTTATCATCACATGGTAAAGAATTTCATGTTCATCAAGCAATCGATAACTTATTTGACTTCAAACATTCAAATACCAAACTTTCCATAGCATTAAGATAGTATAATGACTATTAACAAAAGGCAATTTCTAAGAAGATAAACTTTCTAAAATCACATTCAACCGAACGCCTCCTACTTGATATCGAATCATCTTGTTATTAAAAACAAAAATTCCAACGACTCGTTCACTCAAATTGCACAGATAAAAAAAAAAACTAGGGCGAATGTACGGCCAGGCGCCAAAAGAAGTGGAATGTGATTCCAACGAGAATCGGAATCGAGAAATCTGATGCCATGGATTCATAGAGTAACATCACATGTTGAGAGAATTCTTTATGGAGAAAGGTAACATGCATCAGTGATTTGGTACCTATAAAGGAAAGCCCCTTTAATAAACTCATATTTAAATCATTACAGATTTATGTTCTCTCTGCTTTAGCCTTTATGCAGTGGTACCAACTAAACTGAGCCGTCCGAATTGGTTCCCATAATTACATTAATAATAATAATAACAATAATAAAATATCATTGGTATATAGTATTTTCGACACGTAGGGAGAATGGACACTAAGAATATGATAGTATTTCATCACATATACCAAGATCTTAGAAGCTGCAGTGCTACCACTCACAACTCACAAGTGGTTTGTAATCGAATAATAGTTATAAGTGCCGAAGAAAAACAACGGTAAGCTAGGTTATTGCAAATCAAGTTTTCAAATGTTAGATAAACCTAGTAATGGACCGACAACTAGTTGATATAATTTGAAGCAAATGGGCCGACAAGAGTAGCATTGATTTGTTTATACAAGCTTCAGAGGCAAAACGAAAAAAAAAACACAAGGCTAATCTCAAGAAAATTGAAGAAAATAAGGAAAGCGAAAATGTGTTACCTATATATTAATTTTTCGTTTGGTTCTGAGCCTGAATGAAAAAATCCTTCGCATTGCGTGCCACATCTTCCTCGAGTACTGCCTCCAACAATATGTCGGATCCTGTCAAGTTATCTGAAACCAAACAAACTAAGTTTTTTTCATGAAGCACATCAGACAAATATTTGGATAATATCACCATTCGATAGAAGCATAACGATGAAAATAACAGAACAGAATATTTGAAATGTCACCTTTCTGACTGGGCAGCAGTTTTGCACTTTCAGCTGATATAGGAAGAACAATGAACTGACCAGAATCATCCTTCAGCTCACTCAGAACTTCCTTCATGGAATTTGCATTTAAGGGTGTGGATTCTGTCAATCTTGCATACGTAGTTGCTTGGCTATGTATATCAGACATCAGCGAGGTTTTCGAACTGTGATCCTTGACTAGGTGATATGAAATTCATCAGAAACGGACTAAAAAAAAGCAACGTGAGATAATAGCATTTTTCATATTTACAATGTTACCTTGTCTATGGTAGTGGTCTTTGTGTTCTCAGGTTCCACAGTGCTCTCTTGAGGAGGTTTTGAAGATTCCTTGTCCACTATAATCCAATAGTGAAACTAAATAACTTGTGAAAAAGAGATGGACTATCAATATACGGCATAAAAGAGTTTTCAAAGAACACGTACCATCGGTAACAGGTGGTTGACTAACAATATTATCGACTAGCCTTGTTGTCAAAGGACCAGGATTCATGAAAGAAATCGACCGAATTTCATGGCGTATGGCTTCTAATTGTGCCATTGTATCTTGCAGTTCTTTATGTACCTGTCAGATAGTTTTCCAAATCTTCATATTCAAAAATCAAGTAGTAAGAAAAACAATAGTACGTCTCAGGCAAAGAGGATAACTTATGAAACATGTGCCATTCGAAACAGGGAGTTTAAGAGTATCTTCAGTATTCAAGTTAACTGAATTTGAAATACCTAAATACATAAATAGAACATTTCAGTAGACTATGAAACAAAAATATCATCAACATCATTTCAATGGCCTAATAAATTCAGTAGCCCTGGCACATTTCTCCGAAAGGTCGTATTAACAGTACCATCAATCATTTTTCGAACTTCTTGAACTATACCCTTTTTAAAAAATGAAAGTGACAAATAATAAAACCATTTGCAACATCTGATATCAATTTCTGCTCAAACCATTAAACCCCAACAAATAAAATCAGATTAGAAAATAAACCAAAAAAAGCAACAAAAATGAGAAGGAAAGGAACAAGAAGAAGAAGAAGAAGAAGAAGAAGAAACACCTGGCGAGCTTGGGACTGCTGCATAACGCTTTCAAATTGACCACGTGCCACTTGAACATATCCAATTGCACGCCCAGCTAACCTTCCCGCTGTTCTAGATATAACTGGAAGATCCTTCGGCCCTAATTTTCAAACCAACATTTCAATCAACAAATGACAAACCCTGATTTTTGCATAGTTCCGTAATGCAATTTTTTATAACCTAAGTGTAAAATCAACTTCAAGTACCCAAATCTCGGAATCTAATCATGGAAACCCAATAACTACATGAAAACGCGAAGTAAAACCCAATAATACAAATTACGGCTGATCACACGTATAAATAATTACATTTGTAGAGAGACGAACGTTTCTAGAGAGAGAGAGAGAGAGATATTTGAAGTACCAATAAGAGCAGCCGTAGCTCCTAAAAGAAGGAAAAGTTCGCCGTAGGAGATTCCGAGCATTCTTCTCCGATTGATTTTCCGATGAGAAGAAAATAATGAGAGAGAGAGAGAGAGAGAGGGCGGGACTATTTTCTTATGGCCCTAATTGTTGGGCTTTTAAAATTGGGTCTGACTCGATAAAGGCCCATATGTGAGACCCGTTAATATTCGTGTCAATTCATTTTAATTGTCCCTTTTTTATTTATTTATTTATTTTGAACTTCCATGATTGTTTGTATATGACATATAGTTTTAGCTCGTAAATCACTTTCGACTAGTTTCATATACGAAATAAAATAGTCTATAGTACTGTATTTTGAACATTGTACTTCTACGACAACCGATTTTGTTAAGAACACATTTTAATCGGCATTTTTTTTTAAGTGGAAATGAAAATTAGTTGTAATTCTGATATAAAGTGAGGAACAATCCAGACATTTTAAGGTAAAAGATAATTCCAATTTTGTTCCAAGAAGTAGCTGAATTTGAAAATTCTACATTTTATTCACTTATAAGTTATAACATAAATACATATTATTGATATTATAATTATAGTGTTTGGAGAAAAAGAAAATCAGAAAAAAAAAAAATTTGAATTCCCAAATTGAAAATAATATTATTCCAAATTCAAATTTTATTTAATCTTGAATCGAAATCGATGGAAATAACAAAATTCTCGTTCAATTTTAAATCCTATTTTTAATGCAAAATAAAAAGACAAATGAGAAAGTAGTATTTTATTGCTGCAGCCGGAAAACCCTTTTCATCACCTCCATCACAATACACACACATATACACATTACAGTGAAATAAGAGCTTTTTAATGGCCGCTGCGCTCAAGGCAACTTGCTTCCTCCAACTGAAAACCAGCTACAGTTTACCCGAACGCCGTTCTTCTACAACAAACACATCTTTCAAATTCAAGCCAATCATGGCCTCCCTCGCCACCGCCGCCCCGACTGTTGGCCTTGCCGAAACTTTCTCCAGATTGAAACAACAAGGAAAAGTAAGGTTTTTCAGATTTTTTTTTTCCCTTATCCATTTCTATTTTATTAATTAATTTTATCTTCAATTGATTTTATTGAACCTGTTAATGGATGCGCTGTCGTTTTGTTGTTGATTGCCTCCGTGAATTTTCAAATGGGGCTCAATGAAACTCTTTGTTGATAGGGTTTCTTAGTGGCTTTCCGAATTCAGTGGCCTGTTTCTCAATTATGCTTTTTTAGATGTTCTTGTTTTTATGGAAATGCAATGCCTTTTTATTCTGTGTCATGCTATCAATTTAGTCACTGAATGACTGTAACACATATTATGTAAATCGATCTCGGACCGATATTGGCTTTGCTATTTTGCCGTTTTAACCAGGAAATGCAATTCATCTCGATGCGATTTTTAGCTGCAATGTTTCACAGTGACATATTTTGATGCATATATGCTGTCTTACAACTAATCATGATGGAATTCCGATGAAAAATAGTTGATCGATAGTTTTTCAAGAATGAATTAATGTATCTTTTTCTCAAATATTCAGATTTATAATCATTTTGTTTTGTTTGTGTGTGTGTGTGTGTGTGTGTGTGTGTGTGTGTGTGTGTGTGTGTGTGTGTGTAAAAGGTGGCATTCATTCCATATATCACAGCTGGCGACCCCAACCTTTCAACAACTGCAGAAGCATTGAAGGTCCTCGATTTATGCGGCTCAGACATTATTGAATTAGGGATGCCTTATTCAGACCCTTTGGCTGATGGTCCTGTTATCCAGGTTTGAAAATGTGTACAAAGTGTATTTAATTCTAGTATATTATTTCTTTAACTAATTCATTTAATTATTGTTTTATTTTCACAGGCTGCTGCCACACGGTCGTTAGCCAGAGGAACCAACTTCGATAAGATCATTGCAATGTTGAAGGAAGTAAGTTGCTGTTACTTCTTTTATCTAATCTTTTGGTTATGTAATTTCCACCTGGTGCTTCTTAGTATGACGTTCTTTTTTTGTTTCTTCGAAGGTGGTGCCTGAATTATCTTGTCCGGTTGCACTATTTTCGTATTATAACCCGATACTCAAACGTGGCGTGGAGAATTTCATGACTATTTTGAATGATACTGGAGTCCATGGTAATTGTCCTTCAACACTTCATACTTTTACAGTTTGTTTGATGAATAAAAAGAAGAAGAATCCGATAGATGCTAAGCCTACCACGACTGTAGTGCTACTCTGCTTATCAACTTGATTGATTAATGCCACAATATTAGTGTTTTTCCCTTTTTATTATTTCAATAGTTGTGCTATCTAATTTTGATAAAAGTTGATTCTTTTCAGGACTTGTTGTGCCAGACGTGCCTCTAGAGGAGACTGAGATTTTGAGAAAAGAAGCTATTAAGAAAAATATCGAACTGGTTGGCTTTCCAATAACGATTTAATTCCTAGCTTGATTTATTGAAATCCATTTTTCACTATTTGCCGGAATATGTTTCGCTAGTCTCTTGATCCATTATATAACGTGCAATTACAGGTGCTGCTCACCACACCCACTACCCCGACAGCACGAATGAAAGCCATTGTTGAAGTTTCAGAAGGATTTGTCTACCTTGTAAGATTCCTATTTTTTTTCCTCCCTGAAACAGGGCTTATATGTGAATGCGTAAATATTTTTCTTCAATAAGAGAATTAGCTATTACTTGCCAATTCCTGAATTTATTCGACAATTTTATGTAAAGCATGTGACCACGTTATTGTCAACGCATTATTGTTGAAAATCATTTCTGCTAATGTTTTAGCTTGACGAGCTTCTGCTCTGTAAAATTTGAGAACAGGTTGCGCCAAATCAAATCAGTTCCTAAAATAAAAAAAATAGCTCTCAATATCAGACAATATCAGATAATAATATTTTTAACATTTATGTAAGCTGATTTATTTCTCCTTTTTTTTTAATCTATCAATAGGTGAGCTCGATTGGAGTCACCGGAGCAAGAGCATCTGTCAGTGAAAAGGTTCAATCTCTCCTACAGGAGATTAAGGAGGTAAATATGTTTATAATCTCACCACTTTCACTCCCAACTGTAATATATCTTTAGTACCTTCTACTGCTGTCAGTATATATTGTGAACATTAAATTATTTAGTAATACCTCTTCTTCTTCATTTTTGAATGACAGGCATCAGATAAGCCAGTAGCAGTTGGTTTCGGCATATCAACACCCGAGCATGTTAAACAGGTCCGTGTTTAACATAATATTCGCATATTTTACGTTTGTAGGCATTTAATATGTGTCGTGTGTGTGTGTTTTGTAACATATTTATGTGGCACTCGTTTCAGGTGGCTGGTTGGGGAGCAGATGGTGTGATTGTCGGTAGTGCAATGGTCAAAATATTGGGTGACGCAAAATCACCTGAAGAAGGATTGAAAGAACTTGAAGCCTTCACCAGAAGCTTAAAATCTGCTTTGTTATGATAAAATGGTTTTCCTCGGTTTCTTTGCACTTTGGATAAAAATCTGCATTATTTGATGTTTTTTGGAATAAATATTGAATTTTTTTTGTTCAATAATGATGTTTTGTTGTTCCTTTTTTAACTTAAATTGCATTTTTGGAGTTAATTTAGCACCACTCTTCTCATTCTATATTAGTGATTTTGTTTTTTCCTATTATACAGTGCCTTTTACCATATAGCTTCTTCACAATTATAATCCGACACCGTAAACGAAGATTATTTGTATTTGCAAGTTCTTTTTGTAAGAGATTTTTTTTGCAAGATAAAAGTTGAAAATTTATCCCGAAAATGTAACTGAATTTGGCTGCAAAGAGAATAGCGTAAAGAGAACATGAATACGACGACTACAGATATCAGCCGATATGCATCTAAGCAGTTGAAAATAATGTCAATAAGATATTATCCATTGCCCTTATTGAAGATACACATACCATCACTCATCTTCCAATTACAGACCGGCTCAAAATATCTTGTTTTTGCGAAACGCCAAAAGGCAAAGCTTCATTTAAAACGCTTTCAATAAATATATAAAAAAGAAATAAAAGTAATAGCCATCTTAAAAATACACAAACGGGATCATATCAAGGAACGAGGCAACAAATAGTCAGTCACACATAAAAATAATTACGGAAAGATTTCAACGCCTATCACCGGCAACTGATTCGGCAGAGAAGAGGTACTTCACTCTTGAAAGAACAGAGTCGTGTGCAGGATCATAAGGATGGTCCTTGGAAGGGATCTCCAATATTGCTGGGATTGGTTTGTTGTAGCTGTCCACTAGAAACCTTATCATATTTGCAACCTGAAGTGAAATAGCAACAACGTTAATCTTACTAACGATATAAGGGGCAAATTATATAGTGCTCGAGATAGGATAAGAAAGTGGGTAAACTAAAGTAAGTTTAAAAAAACTTACATATTGGCTGATTAGCACTATTGCAATGTCTTCTCTTGAGGTGAATTCTTTGAATGCCTCTTCAATCTGTTTCACCGTTGTTTCTAAACCAAATAGAAGAGATCTTCGATGAGCCACTAGCAAGCACGTTGACATAATAGAAATATCGGTTTATAGACAATTTTATCATCGGTATGGGATTTTTTGGCAATGCAACTAACTATCATTTATTTACATATCCTAACTATCATATTTTCATGTCTTCCACCGCTATCGCTAATTATATGACTCTTAGAGTGTTTGGTACATTCAAATTGTGAAGAAGCTAAATGGTAAAAGGCACTATATAATAGGAAAAAACAAAATGACTAATATAGCCCTGAACCTCAAAAGCTACACTAAAATCAATTTGTTAAAGATGAAGGTGTCAATACATTCATGTAAAAGGACAACTATATACAATGCCAAAACAACTAGACTTGGAACAAGCAGAAACAACCAGAAATTATGTACTTATCAACACCAGAACACTTGAAATATAGAACGAAAGAACACCACAACTTGGCATAGAATTGTAGTGAACAGGTTTGAATTATTACAATATTCAGAAATTTTGATTTTGTTGGCACAGCATATCTTTTATTCGTAATCATAACGCTCGACGAAATTTTCAATTTATGTTCCATTAATCTAGTAACATACATTTTGAAATTTTATGTTCCATCCCCACAAACAAACAAGTAAAAAATATAAGAGAAGTCAGAAATTGCATCAGCAAGTGGAAACAAAAGATATTCTGATAAAAGTGACTAAGCGAGTATGCATCAAACGTACTTGAGTCGACAATGAGGTAGTTAGTTTTCCTCCTCAAATCAACATTACCAACTCCAGCAAGCAAAAACCCGGTGATTGTGTCCTACATGAACATGTACGTAATAGCGAAACTTAACATGATGTAAACCAGAAAGGCCTAAAATTGCAGACAAATAATAACACAAATTCTACATAACATTCTTTGCACGAAAGATCATTTCTGACAAAGACAAAAATAAGTTCACATAAATATCATCGGAAAAAAGGCAGCCAGTTTACATAATGCTCTATTTTCTTATTGTAAAAGTAATAAAAAAGAACCAACTCTATGTTTCTTTGGCATTCATCGAGCTTGTATTTACCATAAATCCTTATGTCCCTGTATGTGTGTGTGTGTGTGTGTGTGTGTGTGTTGGCAATGTGATGTTTTACTCCCATATAAGGCTACCAAAGTACATGGAAAATTACCCACTTTCTTGGATAAATCTCTAATCAACCACTAACTAAAACCTCAGAATAAGTATAATTAACAAGGGAATTATAATAAAAACGATAAATCAGTGATATAATTAATCAACCATGTAAACTGAAAACACCTGAAAAAGAATGGGGAAGAAAAATCAGAATAAAAAGATTAAAATTGGTACCTCGTCAGCGATCATGGCCATGATCGCAGAGCTGTTAGTGCGGATCTGAGGTTTGTTCGCCATTGATACAGTAAACTCCAACAAATGCTAAACTGCTAAAGAAGCCAATAAAACGATATCAATTAGTCAAATCAAAAACGAATCGCAGCAAACTTTTCTTGTGATCACTGTGCAATAATAAAATCTGAATCTAAGATCGATCGAATTTATGGAAAACATGTTCTAGGTTAACAATCAAACCTTTTAGAAAATTGAGTTCGGATCGTGAGAGGGGTAGAGAGATTTGAGAACGTAGTTGAACAGCAATAATGAACAGATAAAAGGGAAAAATAAATAATAAAAAAAGGGTAAATTACACCTACACCCTTGAGGTATGCTAAATTAGCGTTAAAGTCCCTGTGGTATTGATAATTACAGTCACACCTTTAAAACAATTACCGGAGTCAATATTTCATGTCCTGACGACCGATATGCACTATATTTGTCTCCCGCAGGGCCGTTAATGCTACCATAGACGAAAATTTATAATTTTTATATAAAATAATAAGGATTTAAGAAATGTTAGGCCGTAGCTTTATATTGTTTCAGGAGAGATTGTAACTACCGATACTACACGGACCTTAAAGTTGTTTTAACATACTTTAGGGATGTAAGTGTAATTTATCATAAAAAATAAAAGAAAAGGAAGTAAGATGTAATATAGATTACAATATTACGTTTCTCCCTCGGAAGAAGTGAATATTACACTCTTGCCCCTCTATTTGTTTGTAAAATCATTTTCATGATTTCTAACGTTTTGTTGTCTATGATCGATTTATTTTATATCAATAATTTGCATTACCGAACTGGGAATTGCAACTTAAATTTAAAATTAATGTGTTGATTTATTGTGATATTTTATTTCACACGTCATTAGTAATTTAATGTTATTTTACTATTTCAGTATTTTGATCACATAATACTGAGAGAGAGAGAGAGAGAGAGAGAGAGAGAGAGAGAGAGAGAGAGATTAATTTTCAGAGAAATTGGGTTCTCAGCAATTGAAAGAAAAAAATATATATATATATACGAAATTCTTTATATCAGCACAGATGCACAAGTAAAGGTTAATTGCTTGGGATTTTTAGTAACTAGTACACATTTCGAGTTGATCATCAAGTGATCATAGTTTATTACAGAACAGAAACAATCGCAAATCTACAAGAGACTAAAAAAATAAAATAAAAATCGGAGACTTTTTAAGCTAGTTTCGACGTCCGAAAATAGAGAGCAGGTTGAGAAAGACATTTAGCACATCTAAATAGAGAGTAATCGAGGCCCAGATGTAGTCGTCGTACGAATCTCGCTCAATCAACATAGCAGTATGGAATATTATGTACGCACAAAATAAAATTACACTAAGACCACTGCATAGTACATCAAACATACGTCCCATAGGAAAGAATATCTGCAAAAAGAAAAAAATCAGAAAAGAAAAAAAAAAAAAATCAAGAATTAAATGTTATAACTACTCACTCAAATGTGTCTCTCACTCACACAAACTAATACGCAATATATACACACGCGCGCGCACAAACCTGAAATACGGTGAAGATGATAAGTATAACTACAATGCTCAACACGAAGGGTACGAGGAAAAAGAAATCCTGGCCTCTCTTTGCAGCCCAGAATGTGTATACTGTGAGACACACAACCACCACTGTAGTTGCTATCGATGTCTCTATAATAATTCTTCCTGCGTATCACGTAAGAATTAATATTTGAGCTAATCTAGAATAGGTGAATGAATCGACAAGAATAAAAACCTTTACTAACCACTAGTAAATGCGGCCAGTACGCCAAAGGCGAAACCGAAAGTCAATGTGAATATACCGAGCAGAATGAAATTCAACGGGTGCTTGTCACGGTACACGGAGAGCATACATAAAACTGCAACACAAAAAAAATAAAATTAATCCGTCACTGTAAAAATAAAAAATAAAATCGTTTTTGCTTCCCCTTACCGGTTGTCGAAACTAATATGATAGAAACAAAATAAATGATCATTCCAAACCAAGTGGCGCCAAAGAAATCCGCAACGGGGCGAACATTTGCAACCATGGCTGCAAAACCAATAGTTGCAAGAAGTTGAAGAGTGAGTATTGAATAAACTTTTCTGATGAAAGCCCATCTCAAATTCGGGCTTTCTTGCATTAACGGGTAAAGCAGATCGCTTCCAGCTTCCACGTCATCCTTCTGACTGGTCGACATTCTTCGGAGGAAAAATACGATGTTCTGTATTTCTACTGTATCAAATACAGTAACGATCGACCTTTTTTTTTCCTTTTCAGATAGATTATCAGGTAACAAAGAAGGGTTATATATACAGATTCAAGTCAATAGGGAAGGCAGAGTCCATGAAAGGCTGCTAACTAGCAGCTGGAAATTCAAATAGAAAAGAAAAAAATAATGCAAATTGGCAATTATTAAAATGAAAAGCAAGAAAACAAAATTATCAAAATACAAAAGATAAAAAAAAATGATATTAGCAAGAAAGCCGCCATGTTGACGAACAACGGAGTCCTACTTCAAAAAAAATATAAAAAGTAAAATTAAAATTTTCACATTAGCAGAAAACAGACCATTCTAACGAAAAAAAGGACCTTTCGGCTATTGATTCATCGAAAAGAACAAAAAGTATTATTAACAAGTCTTCCTAAATTCATACAGGTATATTCAAGAGTCGATAGAATCATTTACACAGAAAGTATTCTAGTATTGTAGTATCAGATGAGAAGAACGTCGAGCAAACTCGGTTTAATCTAACTATCGGCAGCTCTGAAAACGGTCATCAAAGAAAGGAAGAGATTGATGACATCCAAATACAGTGCAACGGCAGCCCAAATGTACTGATCGTACGTATATCGTTTGATCAGATTATCAGTGTCGTAAACGATGTACCCACAGAATATTATGGATGCCAAACAGCCGTAGATCATTACGCTTATACGACCCAATGGGAAGAAAATCTGAAACAAGAAATCGTATAAATGGATAATCAGCTTTAATGTATATTTCAATCGGGTATTTATTCTTGAAAGTCGATTACGACGATTTGATATTAAATAATGAAAACGCACCTGGATGATGGCGAAGAGCATGAGAACCATAAGAGCGCCAAAGAGAAAGGGTCCGAGGAAATTGAAGTCGTGTCCTCTCTTTGCAGCCCAGAATGTGTACAAGGTCAGACTTATCACCACTGCAGCAGTTAAGATTACGGATTCCAGTATCACTTTTCCTGCAATTAAATTCGAATCATCCCGCGCGATCAATCAATCAATCATCAATAAATCGAAACAAACATATTAATAATAATAATAAAAAAAAAATAACAAGTGGATGCTATTGACACAAAACACAACTTGCATGTCATAAGCAGACAACAGAAGTCCATCTCAAGTTTCTTTAAGGGAATTATTAACTAATAGAACAGGACAAATCACAATCCACAAATATTCATTCAAAATTCAAAAACATGATCCGAAAAACAGACAGTTACAAAAAAAAAAAAAACCTTAAAAAAATCAAGAACAGAGAGAACCACTTACCACTTGTGAAGGCACATGTCAACCCCACAGAAAAAGCAAGAGAAAGAGTGAAAATACCGAGGAGTAAATAATTCCATGGGTGCCTCTGGTAATAGTAATACAAAGGGCACAAAACTGCAAAAAAAAAAAAAAAAAAAAAAATCCAAAAAACCCATTTCACCAAATAACAATAATTTTCAAAATTAAATACAAATAAAAAATAAAATAGTACCGATAAATGGGGTGATGATGAGAATGATGTAAAGCGCCAAACCAGCTCCAGTGGTGGTAAAGAAAAGAGATATGGGATGAATAGTGACGACAACAGCACCGACTGCAATTGTGCAGAGCAATTGAATAGCGACGATTGTGTATATTTTCCTAATGAACGACCACCGGAGCTCCGGGCTCTCCAGCATCATCGGATACAGGGGCCGGCCGCCGGATTCCACGTCATATTTGCCGCCGTAAGGCTGATTCCACATCGTTAACTTTCTCTTCTGCTGAAAAAAGATTGCGTTTTTTTTTGGGGTGATTGCTTAACGGCGAGGCAAGTTATATATTGAGTGACAGGCGGAAACTTCTTGATGTGTGTGGGAAATATAAAGTACGTGTCTTTACCGTAACACAAATTCCAGACTTCTCTAGATCAAACTCTCTTTATTCTTTTTATAAAAGAAAATAAATATTGTTTATAATACTAATAATATAATATTATAAAGAAGAAAAAAACCTGATTCGTTCAATTTCTTTCTTTAGTTCCCTTTTAGTGCTCTGTTTTATTTTTTAAAATCAACATCTAACGAATATGGTTTCAGTTTTCTCAGCTTTCCCAGACTTGAGTCCCCGACTTGCTGGAACCAGATTCGAATTCGTGGAATTTACCAATAATCGAGAGTGGAACCAATAATCGAGAGTGGAAATGCGTTCGGCGGCTGCCTTTACCACCTCAATCAATTTTTTTTTTGTGGCGATTTTGTGGAAGCAATCTACCAACCAATGCGGAGCTGCATCGTCATCGGATTATCGCCTCACCTGCATGCATGCCTAGTAATGAATCGGCGTTACATGTTATCGCAACACGCAAAGGAATGAACGAGGTTTAGGGAAAACCACCTTTTGGCATCAACCGAACCGAACTGCTGCAAGGAAGAATATAATTTCAGTTTTCTTTAAATTCAAAGAGATGTTATAATTTATTTTCGATCGAAATGTAAATTGATAAGCACTATCGATCAATCTCCAACAAGAGAATGCAATTCTTGCTACCTCATTGAACCAGTCTAAGCATAATTTAATTTTGGAATCTTTTGGTTTCGCCCTGCCAGGGCTCATCAGGGGTTCGGCACCAGAACCCGACCTAATAATTCCTTTTTTTTTGTTTTTTTTGTTTTTTTTTTTTTTCTAATCAGGAAAACGCTAAAACGAAAAATGCTAGTACATTATGTTTCAAATAATCAAGGTTCTACAAGATCAAGTGGGGAATTTTTTTTATTTTTTTTTAACTAGTTTGTAAATAAACTCAAAATTGATAAATTCATAAGTGTAATGGATGGTGATTAATATACCGTTGATTTGGCCAGTCAATAGCTTAGCTTTCACTCCGACTCACGACAGCTCTTTCGCACGGAGCTTCTGACGGTAGCTTTCACTCTATCTTTGACGGTAGCTTTTTTTCATAAGTAGCATTCACTCATCGGAGTAGGTAGCTTTTTCCATTTGCACTAAATTTTTAATTAGCGTGGTAGCTCTCACTCTATCTCTCGAGGCAGCTTTTTCTCATGACTAGCTCTTCACTCATCAAAGTAGGTAGCTTTTTCCGTACGCACTTCGTGGTAGCTTTCATTCATCTGAGTCAGGTTGCGGCTTTTCTTACTGTCAAAGGCCTCCAAATTATATTTTCATGATTAAATCTAATAACGTGGATTTAGCCAGTCAGTCGCTTTTACTCTGACTCACGACAGCTCTTCCCAACGGAACTTCTGACGTTAGCTTTCACTAAAATCTTCGACGGTAGCTTTTTTTTCACAAGTAGCATTAATTTGCTCATCGGAGTAGGTAGCTTTTTCCATTTGCACTAAATTCTTAATTAGTGTGGTAGCTCTCACTCTATCTCTCGAGGCAGCTTTTTTCTCATGATTAGCTCTTCACTCATCGAAGTAGGTAGCTTTTTCCGTACGCGCTTCGTGTGTAGCTTTTAGTCATCTGAGTCAGGTTGCTTTTCTTTCTGTCAAAGGCCTCTAAATTATATTTTCATGGTTAAATCTAATAACGTGGATTTAGCTTTTTTTCACTATGACTCACGGCAGCTCTTTCGCACGGAGCTTCTGACGGTAGCTTTCACTCTATCTTTGACGGTAGCTTTTTTTCACAAGTAGCATTCACTCATCAGAGTAGGTAGCTTTTTCCATTTTCACTAAATTCTTAATTAGTGTGGTAGCTCTCACTCTATCTCTCGAGGCAGCTTTTTCTCATGACTAGCTTTTCACTCATCAAAGTAGGTAGCTTTTTCCGTACACACTTCGTGGGTAGCTTTCACTCATTTGAGCCAGGCAGCTTTTTCTGTCAAAGGCCTCCAAATTATACCTTCATGGTTGAATCTATTTTCAAAACGAGATATACAACATGCACAATTTAAGTTCACCCAAACCTAATAACTTCATAATCGACCAATCAGCCAAAGTGCAATGGATGGTGATTAATCATAACGTGGATTTAGCCGGTCAGTAGCTTTCACTCACGAAAGCTCTTTCCAACGGAGCTTCTGATGTTAGCTTTCACTCTATCTTTGACGGTAGCTTTTTTTCATAAGTAGCATTAATTCACTCATCGGAGTAGGTAGCTTTTTCCATTTGCACTAAATTCTTAATTAGTGTGGTAGCTCTCACTCTATCTCTCGAGGCAGCTTTTTCTCATGATTAGCACTTCACTCGTCAAAGTAGGTAGCTTTTTCCATACGCGCTTCGTAGGTAGCTTTAAGTCATCTGAGTCAGGTTGCTTTTCTTTCTGTCAAAGGCCTCTAAATTATATTTTCATGGTTAAGTCTAATAACGTGGATTGAGCCAGTCAGTAGCTTTCACTCTGACTCACGGTAGCTCTTTCGCACGAAGCTTCTGACGGTAGCTTTCACTCTATCTTTGACGGTAGCTTTTTTTCGTAAGTAGCATTCACTCATCGGAGTAGGTAGCTTTTTCCATTTTCACTAAATTCTTAATTAGTGTGGTAGCTCTCACTCTATCTCTCGAGGCAGCTTTTTCTCATGAATAGCTTTTCACTCATCATAGTAGGTAGCTTTTTCCGTACGCACTTCGTGGGTAGCTTTCACTCGTTTGAGCCAGGCAGCTTTTTCTGTCAAAGGCCTGCAAATTATATTTTCATGGTTGAATCTATTTTCAAAACGAGATATACACCATGCACAATTTAAGTTCACCCAAACCTAATAACTTCATAATCGACCAATCGGCCAAAGTGCAATGGATGGTGATTAATCATAACGTGGATTTAGCCAGTCAGTAGCTTTCACTCTTGACTCACGAAAGCTCTTTCCAACGGAGCTTCTGACGTTAGCTTTCACTCTCTTTGACGGTAGCTTTTTTTCATAAGTAGCATTCACTCATCGGAGTAGGTAGCTTTTCCATTTGCACTAAATTCTTAATTAGCGTGGTAGCTCTCACTCTATCTCTCAAGGCAGCTTTTTCTCATGACTAGCTCTTCACTCGTCAAAGTAGGTAGCTTTTTCCGTACACGCTTCGTAGGTAGCTTTAAGTCATCTGAATCAGATTGTTTTGCTTTCTGTCAAAGGCCTCTAAATTATATTTTCATGGTTAAATCTAATAACGTGGATTGAGCCAGTCAGTTAGCTTTCACTCTGACTCACGGCAGCTCTTTCGCACGAAGCTTCTGACGGTAGCTTTCACTCTATCCTTGACGGTAGCTTTTTTTCATAAGTAGCATTAATTCACTCATCGGAGTAGGTAGCTTTTTCCATTTGCACTAAATTCTTAATTAGCGTGGTAGCTCTCACTCTATCTCTCGAGGCAGCTTTTCTCATGATTAGCTCTTCACTCGTCAAAGTAGGTAGCTTTTTCCGTACGCGCTTCGTAGGTAGCTTTCACTCATTTGAGCCAGGCAGCTTTTTCTGTCAAAGGCCTGCAAATTATATTTTCGTGGTTGAATCTATCTTGGCATATTATGCCGCTAGATATTGAATTCAAATAGAGCTTAATCAATTTTATTTTCACAGATTGCAAGAACATAGAATATTCAAAACCAGATATACAATGTGAATAATTTAAATTTACACAAACCATAATCAAATATTATTTTATGAAGAATATACTGTATCAAGTAAAATTAACAAATAAAAATATTAAAATAATAAAAGAATAAAAAAAATTGAACGGACAAAAGACATGAAGACAGACGAACTTAGGAAACTTAAGACTGACCCCAGATACTAAATCGAAAAAGAACATGCATCATCAATCAAGAGTAATATCAAAATTAAGGAAGATTAAGTATTCTGCTCTGATACCATGTAAAACAAGAGAAAGATTATTTCATGTAGAATATACTCTATCAAGTAGACTTAACTAATAAAAAAACTAAAATAATAAAAGAATTAAAAAAAATTGAACAGACAAAAGACATGAAGACAGACGAACTTAGGAAACTTAAGACTGACCCCAGCCACTAAATCACAAAAGAACATGCATCATCAATCACGAGTTATATCAAAATTAAGGAAGATTAAAGTATTCGGCTCTGATACCATGTAAAACAAGAGAAAGATTAAAGTATTCGGCTCTGATACCATGTAAAACGAGAGAAAGATTAAAGTATTGGGCTCTGATACCATGTAAAACAAGAGAAAGATTAAAGTATTCGGCTTGCCAAATAAGCTAAACTACTAAAGAGTCGGACAAGATTTACATATGCTTTCGCAGAATCGAAAAAATCCTCAAACAGATCACAAATCAATGGACTGGGCGGGGAGGAAGGCATAGATTTAGCAACGGGGATTGAGATTAATTTCAGGGGAGGGCAAAGTAGGCAGTTCAATGAATCAGTTCCTTTAAGCCAGGGGAGAGTATGAACATACAGATCGCAATTTAAATTAACTACAATTGGTTTTGGGATATTCGTGCGGAATTTTGAAAATATTTTCGCGGTCTTTTTGTTTCAATGAATAAAATACGGCGCGGGGGTTTGTTTGGAGGGAATTTCGAAGCTAGGGTTTCGAATTTGAAGATTGTGATTTAATTAAACATGGGGTCTGGGATTTTCGAAATTGCGTGCGAGAGAGGAAAAAATTCGATCGATCGATCGAACAATTGAAAAAGAAATCAAGCAGAAGAAGAAGAAGAAGTAAATGAACGGAAGAAGTAAAGAAACGTACGTACGTACCAAAAACATGATGAAGCCGAACGACGTCGTAACTCTCATATCTGCAGACTTCTTCTCTCTCTCTCTCTCTCTCTCTCTCTCTCTCTCTCTCTCTCTCTCTCTCTCTCTCTCTGGGATTTGTTGTGGAAATATTTTTGGAATGTGAATCTGGGAAATCGAACATGCAATTTATAGACGAGTCTCCTAATCCTAGTAGAACTAGGGGTCTGTTTCCTACTCTGACTTAAAGACTCCCAATTACTATTATTTATTTATTTATTTATTTATTTTATCACACGTGTTAAGTTATATTCTTTTATACATTTATTTTATCAACACGTGTTAAGTTCTATATTCAAATAATTTTGCAAGATAATAGTCTCCTAATCAGGGCAATTTTTTTTTTGGGGTCGTTTTGTTTTCGAGTTTTCAAAATGGGGTTATTTGGGGGGTAGTAATTAAATTGGTGTTGGCCGCCACCGGGAACGGCGGCACCAGCCGGAGACGCCACTGCCAACGGCGGCACCGGCTGGAGACGCCGCCACCGGTGGCGTCTTCTACTTTTTAAATTATTATTTTAATAATTTAATATTTTAATATTTTTTAATATTTTAATATTTTTTAATATTTTATTATTTTAATATTTTATTATTTTTTAATATTTTAATATTTTCTGATTTTAATTTTTTTTTTTACAAATAAAACAATTCTAACTACATTTTATTAAATTTATTACATTTTATCAATTAGATTTATTACATTTTATCAATTAGATTTATTACATTTTATCAATTAGTGTTAAATTAATCAGTGCATATATCTATCTAATCAACACAATAAAATATGTAGACAAAAACAAAAGAAGTTCTAGAAAATAAAAGAGTTATATAAATAGGTCAAATAAAAGAGTTATACAAAATAAATAGGTCCAAAATGAGTAAAAAGACAAAATGAGTACAAGAAAATAACATTGGCACTATGAAGTCAGTGCCTATGTGAACCAGTGCCACATGCCGGTGCCCGTCTAGTCCTACGCGGCCTACCATCTCGACGAATGTCAGGATCTGCCGGTACATCATCAACAAACTGGGTGTCATCCGGTGGATATGGAACAGGGGAAACATTATACTGTGGTCGGATCCGCTCTTGGGGACTTGAGTATCCCAAATTGAGCTCCAAATGTGGACCCCATGAAGAGAACCGGGTATCAATAGCAGGAGGATGTGGGGTAGCTAGAGAATCGGACCATGGCATATCTGGAACGTAATCATTCGTAGATGGACCAACTAAATCTGTAAATATGGGTACCTGAGATGTAGACGCACCGAACATATCCATAAATCCCTGTGTAGTAGATAAATCGTCCATACCTCCGTGCACAAGAACATCTGCATAAAATGGTGTATGGGAAGCAAATGGACCGGCAACATCTCCAGATGGAGGTACCCGAGATGTAGATGCATAATAGTTCCCCTCTCTCGTCTGTCTCACGTCATCCTCCAATTCAGTAGCTCTTTCGCTGGCACTGGACCTTCTTCTGGTACGTCTATCTCGCTGCGGAGAAGGTATAAGAGGTATGGCAGGTATCGGAGGTAAGCTGGACGAAGCACCATCTCTACGTAGAAGTTGAGTCCCAGCTGTATACATCCGTGTAGCGTTGTCCTGAAACAGATCATATATCTGATCGTCATCTCGAGAAACTGCCCTAGCAGCAAGACTCATGGATATAAGCTGATTACCCTGAAATAAAAGGCATTACAAGTTTAAGAACTTAAGAAACTGAAAAAACAAATTGAAAAACATCGAAAGTAATGGTTGTTTTGAGAAAAATACTAACCACAAGATCCAATAAAATCGGGTCTCCGACCTGAAAACCGATATCATCAAGATTGTCAATCGGTGATATCAAACGACGTGTGTGCCTCTCATACCACTCGTAGTATCCTGGATCTGTCTGAGGTCCCATAAACTCAATAAATGGATAGTCAACGGGAGAATCAAGTCGGCCATGCCATCTATCAACATAGATACCGTGAAAACGAGCCCAATCTCTACCCCCTGCACCTCGACGATCATAAGAATGCAACTTAATCTCAATATCGTGATCAGTAGGATGTGGTGGTATATGCTGTACCCTCCCAAACTGACGTAGCACCCTATACGGACGATGCATCTCAACTCTCTCGTAAAATATAAGGGGACAACTCGACAACCAAAGCTGTGGATGCACTATCTCAGGATACTCAAGTAAAGCGCCAAACTCAGGATCTAGTTCACTATAAGGCATCCATGTAAACTAGAAAAAAAAAAATACTTTTTAATATATTGTTAAATAGACCACAAACATTAACGTAATTGTTGTTAACTTATAAATAACCTGATCCCAGAGCATCCGATCGAGCGTCGTACGATAAACACGTATATTGTTTCGCGAGGACCGAGTGTGACTAGTAGGTCTGATCCAACTGTAATATCATATGAAAATTTGCTAAGTCTATATATTAACCTTCATATAAATAAATTATTAGTACTAAGATGTTTACCGTGCACCATAAGGAGGGTGGGGATATGCAAGCCGACCGGGATCATCTTCTACTACTGGTACTATTGCTAGAGCGAGTAAAGGGATCCTCGACCATGCCCAACACTAATTATTGAACATAAAAAAATATAAAAAACCGCAAGTATAATAAACTACTAATTTAAATTTTAAAAGTATCAAAAATCCTATTACCTGTAACAGAGTAAGCGCACCACCTAGATTAGTTTTCCTCTTATCCAACTCAACAGTGCCGTCTTGTTCCACAACTTTCCTAAGTAAAGCCCCAGTGCATAGCTCACGATACAAATATCCAAGAACTGCACTACCCCAACTGAAAGTACGCACCGCCTCAAGATCTTCGAAATGACGAAGATACAACAACGAGATTGCACTTGAAGATGTGTCAGGACACATAACCCCCCCAAGTAGCAATAACAGTAAACACCTGGTATGCTGCTGAACACGCTGCTCCGTGCTGTCATCAGTAATCTTGCATCCTCGTAAATATATGGCCAGATCAGTTGCATAGAGCCGTCTCCCTTTGAAAGCTCGATCTGAAGGAGTATACCCCAACCATGTCTGACAATAATCCTGCCACTGCTCCTTCGACCATGAAATATCCTGTCCAGTAACAGGTAGTCCATCAACAGGCAAACCCCATAGTAGTGCGACATCCTCAAGTGTCACTGTCGCCTCCCCTGCTCGAAAATGAAACGTGTGTGTCTCCGGACGCCATCTCTCCACTAAAGCTGCAATAAGATGCAAATCGACTACGAGACGACCACATCGATATACTCCATAGAACCTAGTATCAACTAAGTACTGCATCACTCTAGGGTGTGGATCATCATCACCATCATCTCCATATAAACCCCAAATCCAACCATCACAACGTCTCCCGCGCACAACATCATCCACGTTTGCCGATGTAATCGATCTGGATACGTGCTCTGACTGGCGGTATAGCAATGAAGTGTCCCGCGGACCATAAACATAACTGACATCCATCCTGTATAAAAAATATACATAGAACACTCAGATAATAAGCAGAAGTGTAATAACAAATACACAATAATACATAGATAGACTCAGATAATAAGTACAAGTGCAATAACAAATACAAAGTCAAACACGATAATTAGAGACTACTTAGTCCGACTTGAAAACACGATAATACATAGATAAATTCAGATAATAAGTACAAAGTGCAATAACAAATACAAAGTCAAACACGATAATTAGACCCTACATAGTCCGAGGTGAAAACTAGAAAATAGCAATATAAATAATACAAACTGCAATGAACTACATAAATTATACTATCGGAGTCGTCTTGCTTGTTCCTCTCTTCTAGATTGTTGTCTTGCCCTTGTTTGTGGCACATCCATCTCATTAGGAATACGACTGCGTCTTCGATCCCCTACTAGTGTTGGATCATGAATTAGTTCAAATGCAACATCCTCCCAATAGTGTTCACTCAACAGTGGTTGGAATATCCCAGAATAAGTGTTCACTAATCGATCAACAGTGTACCAATCGTTCACATATACGGAGGCAGACAACATCCATTCACGGCACACGTGGAGGACATGACTGCAGGGGATTCCTGTTAGCTTCCATTTTCCACAAGTACAAGTTTGGTCCCTTAAACTCACGGTGTGTTTGTTATTTCCACCTCCACTTGGACGAGCTTTAGTGATCACCTCGGCAGAGAGCAGTTGCTGATTAAAACGAGTCGTGAAACATCTAACAGACTTGGCTTCATGTTTCCGGTAAACGCCATAAGCATATGTGGACCACAACTGTCCTCTCTGAACCATTAAATTGGCTTGTTCGAGACGATTAAAAAAATACCCTAAGAATGCGGTTGAATGTGAGGTCAACAATTGTTGAGATGGGAAGTTTTCGAGTTCCCTTGAGAACACCATTATGAGCCTCTGACATGTTTGTAGTAAGCTGACCACAACGCTTGCCTCCATCATGTGCAAATGCCCATTTTTCTTGATCAATATCCTTCAAATAGTTATAAGCTTCAACACTCCGACTTTTGATCACATTAAGAATGTGGTTAAACTTCCAAATTTGAGACTCCGCTCCCGCCTTGTAGCATAGATCCTTCAAATCTACACTCTTAAAACGTTTGTTGAAATTGGAGCACACGTGTCTCAAGCAAAACCTGTGAAAAACATTAGGGGGAGCAAATTCGGGCAACTCCGCTAAAGCTCGTAAAATTCCCGGAGCTCGATCTGAAATTACACAAACACTTTCTCCATCTGGAATTTGAGAAATTAGATGTATGTGTAGCATTTGAAAAAACCACCTCCAAGCCGCCGTGGTTTCATTGTCAACAAGAGCAAATGCTAGTGGTAGCACTTGGTTATTGGCGTCCAAACAAACGGCAATTAGTAACTTGTGCTTGTACTTAGTGTACAGATGAGTTCCATCCACACTAATAACTTTTCGACAGAACATGAATCCATCCAAGCATGGCTTGAAGGCCCAAAAGAAGTACTTGATCATCTTCCGTGTTGGAATGTCTGTTGGTTTGAAAACCCACTCAATTGCCGTACCCGGGTTCGTTCTATGAAGTGCCTTCATAAACTTGGGCAGTTTGTTCACTGAGGACTCCCAACTCCCGAACAAGTTATCTCTGCAACGCTTCAAACCATACCAAGCTTGCATCTTTGAAAGTTGAAATCCTAATTGAGACCTCACAATATTCTGTGCTTGTGATATTTTGCAAGCTGGATCATCTCGAACAGACTGAACCAATAAGACAGCAATGTAGTTCCTGTCCAAATTCTTATGTTCATTCGACATTTCATCCATTATGCAATTGTGGGGCCCACCATATCTCGTAATAAGGAAGAATCCTTTGCCCGATTTTTCAATTCCCCGTAACGACCATCTACAAGGCCTTTCAGGTGTGCTATGCTTGCACTTGACACTCCATATCTTCGGCTTACTTTCGACAACCGTGAATTCTCGTTTAGCAAATCGAATCGAATGGTCTCTCACCGCGGCGCAAAGGCGTTTTTTGTCCTCAAACACCATCCCAACCTCAAGAATACCTCGATCGCTATCGTAAAACTTATCATATCGGCCCCTTCCAACATCAACTGAATCTGCCGCCACTTCTGGAAACGTCATCGAGAAAAATGGGATTGACTCATACAACGTCGGTTGTTCCTCTGCTTCCGCCTCGTTGTGCTGCAACCACGTCTCCCGAACACCATCTTGTACGTCTTCATCTTCATTGTCGTCGTCTCCGTCATCGGATGGTTCGGAATTCACAGGGCTGTTCGGCCCTAAGGAGTCACCTATAGGGTCTTCATCTTCGAAAATGCTCCGTCTCGGGAACTCGACTCACCAACAAATCCCCATAAATTACCATAGTTAATTGTATGGGAATCTCTGTGCACCTCTCTCGCTCCACTAGTCTCACAATAATTAGGGATACTTTGTGTCGCCGCCAGAAAATCCGGAGTCGCCTCTGGTTGTGAGAAATATGGTTCATTCAAATCAAATGCCTCTACGCTCACTTGTGGTGGGGCACTATCAATGTACTTCGGTTCAATCTCAACAAATACTTCGATTGCCTCATTCCCTTCGTCCGGATCAATATACATTTGTAAATCTTCATCTGTTGTCATCTCGGTAATCATCTCCCTCATTCTTTCTCCATTATAAATGTAAGATTTGCAACACACTCTTAGCCCAAACTGATTAACATCGACATCTAGACATTGATACAACTTTGACAGAAATTGTGCAAATGACAAGTCACGTTTAATTCGAAATGCTGTTTTGTGGGCAATACTATATTGCACTACCCAATCATCGGGAATTATGTGACCTCCAAAGTACACGTACACTTTGACATTAGTTTTAGCCGCCATCAATCTTCAAAAGATTAAGGAGATAATTAACTCATCAATCCAGATTAATTAATAATGAGGCATATTAGTTAAAAAATAATAATTTAACTAAGCACACACACCAAAAAAATAATTAGTTAATTTAAATTAATTGCCCGATGTTTTACAAAACAACACCATTTTAGCTATGGTTTTACAAAACAACACTAGTTCAAAAAAATTTGCCCATGCTTATAAAATATATATAGTACTAATACATAATATAAAATAAATAAACTACTAACTAACTAACTAACTAACTACCCACAAACATCCTAAAAAACACTAATCACATGTATTTACAATAATTAATTAAAAAAATTAGACATAATATAAAATTATAATAATAATTTTTTTTTAATTATTTACAATAATAATAGAAAATTACCTTGTTGGGTGAATAACACCGGCGGCAAGGACCACGGAGCACCGGCGGCGGCGAGAGGAGCACCGGCGGCGGGGCAGGCGACGGTGGCGGAGGCAGCGGCGGGCAGGCGGCGTCGGCGTCGGCACCAACGGAGAAGGTCACCGGAGGTAATTATATATGTTATTTTGAATTTTAAAAATAATTTTTTTTTTTTAAATTTAACCGAAGTAAAAAAAAAAAAAGTAGAAAGAAGAAGAAGAGCTGGGGGAAGGGGAAGAAGAGCTGGGGGAAGAAGAATTGGGGGAGGAGAGAGATTAAAGACGCCGCTGACACGGGCGTCTTTAGGAGACGCCGTTGTCAGCGGCGTCTTCTGGTCAAAGGCGCAACTCCCGAGGTGGACTGATCCGGCTGTCTTCATTTGGACCGTCGGATCAACTTGAATCTGCACCGTTGCAAAATAATATATTAAAAAATAAGAAAATATTAAAATATTAAAATATTAAAATATTAAAATATTAAAATATTAAAATATTAAAATAATAATTTAAAACCAAGTTGAAGACGCCACCGGTGGCGGCGTCTCCTCCCGGTGCCGCCACCGGCGGTGGCGTCTCCGGCCGATGCCGCCGTTCACGGTGGCGGCCAACACCAATTTAATTACTACTTAAAAAATAACCCCATTTTAAAAACTCCTAAACAAAACAACCCAAAAAAAAAAATTGCCCCCTCCTAATCCTACTCTAACTTAGGAATCCTAATCCTAATAAAACAGCGGTCTTTTCGGCTTATTTCTCACACGTGGATTTCTTTTATTATTATTTTTTTTTTTAAAAGTCTTTTGTTAAGGAACACGATTTAAAAACAAACGCAACTACGATTTTAATTGAAGAACTCTGTAACGGTATTAACAGAATGGGGGGCGAAACGGCGTCGTTTGGGGAGAAAACGTGAGTCACTTAAAGAAACGCGTTAAGGGAAAACGCGGAGAAGGAAGTTGGAGGCCAGCTCAATTCAGCTAATCAGAGGACGACACATGGCAAGGCAGTTAGAACTAAATTTAGCTGAATATTGTTAGTAGTCTATAAGTAGCAGTTTAGTTAGTGTTAATGGTTGTCGATTAAGTAGAGAAATATCTTCTCTGTAATTCACTATCACTTTATGAATAATATCAGAATTGTTGGGGAAGAAGGACTTAGTTCTTAACAATTGGCCATCAGAGCTGATTCTGGCACCACGAGCGACTACAAACCCTAAGGAATGGCGAAGAACAATACACGAGTGGAAGCGGTAGAACAACAGCTGGGGACGATGGAAGACCAGATGAAATCAATGGAGCAGCACGTGGCGAGTCTATTCGGAGGACAACAATCGCTACGAACGGAGTTAACGGCAGAAATTGAGGAGAAAATTGCAGAAGCTACTCGGAAATCGGAGTCACAGTTTGATGAGATGGCCAAACGGTTCGATGAATTAGGGCGTATTATGGCAGGGATGCGTGGTAAGGACTCGACCGGCAATGGCGGTTCACCAGCTAACACCACTGCGACGGCGGCGCGTGGCCGTCCAGAAGCCAGCATGCCTTACACTATACCGATGCACCGACAAGGGGGCGAATCACACAATTACGGAAGAAATTTCAATGCGGTTCAGAAGGTTCTTAAACTGGATTTCCCTCGTTTCAACGGGGATAATCCTCGGGGATGGATCCGCAAATGCCAGAAATATTTTTCGATTAATCGGATGGCGGACCACGAACGTATTGTTTGGGCATCAATGCACATGGAAGGTAAGGCAGACCATTGGTTTGCCGATTACTTGGAGGGTAGAGATCCGGTTGATTGGCACACGTTTGTGGAAATGGTTTTGGAAAGGTTTTGTGAGGAAGAAGAGGAGAGTTTGGTAGAGACTTTCAACAAACTGAAACATGAACACTCAGTGGATGCATATAAGGATAAATTTGAAGAACTCAAGGCGTTCATGTTGCACACGAATCGAACTCTATCGGAGGCATATTTCATTAACAGTTTCATCAGTGGTTTGAAGGATGAAATCAAGAGTATGGTAAGGCTGCTCAAACCTCAGACGTTGAAGGAGGCAATGAGCAAGGCAAAGTTGCAAGAGAAGGCCATAGAGCAATTGAATAAGAGTTTAAGGCAAATGCAGAAGAACAATGGGCTGGTAAACTCTACTCGTACTAATAAAAGTATATATAATGATTTTTCAGCAAAACAAAATCCTCTAGTAGAAGAGAAATCAACACAGGTGAAGAGACTCTCTACGGCAGAATGGGAAGAGAGGAAGAAGAAGGGTCTTTGCTTCAACTGTGATGAGAAGTTCACTTATGGTCATAAGTGCAAAAGACTCTTTATGATTCTGGGCGAAGAATTACAAGAGGAATCCAGTGGAAGTGAAACCATGGGGGAGGATAGAGAAGAGGAATTGGAACTGTATAAGATTTCAGTGTATGCTTTGGCTGGCCAAGTATCTCCTACTACCATCAAATTAGTGGGAATGGTGAATAAACAACCTATTTCTATTCTTGTAGATACTGGCAGCACCCATACTTTTTTAGATCCCAATACTGCCAAGAGGTTGAAATGCATACTTGAGCCAACCTCTCAGTGGAAAGTTTCTGTAGCAGATGGAAGGAAGATCTTTAGCAAGTACAAATGTTCACAGTTCAAATGGACTGTAGGTCAACACCATTTTCAGGCTGGAGTTAGACTATTGGAGCTTGGGGGTTGTGATTTAGTGATTGGGGTGGATCTTTTGAGGCATTTAGAACCTATTACTTTCCATTTCTCCAAGCAAAGAATCACTGCACACTTGAATGGACAGCCCATTATCTTGCAAGGTCCTCAGCCAGCAGTGTCTATGCAAGCCATTTCTGGGGAAAAGATGGAAACCTTGATTAAGAAAGGCAAGGTTATGATTGATTGTATCTGTATGATAGGTGGGATGGATGGTGAGGATCCAAGAGAATCTATTACTAAAGCACTCACTGGGGTTTTGCAAGAGTTCTCAGACATCTTTCAAGAACCTACTGCCCTACCACCTAATAGAGGTTGTGAACATTCAATCACCATTAAACCAGAGATGCAGCCATTTAAGATGCAGCCTTATAGATACCCTTATATTCAGATGAGAGAGATTGAGACAACGGTAGAGGAAATGTTGAAAACTGGCATTATTCAGCACAGCAACAGCCCTTTCTCTTCACCTGTACTACTGGTCAAGAAAAAAAATGGCACCTGGAGATTCTGCATTGATTACAGGAAGTTGAATTCCATAACTGTCAAAGATGGATATCCAATCCCTATCATAGATGACTTACTGGATGAACTGCAAGGAGCTAAGATCTTTTCTAAGATTGATCTTAGAGCTGGCTATCACCAAATCAGGGTGAGGCAAGAGGATATCCATAAAACTGCCTTTGTAACAGCTTCTGGCCATTATGAGTTTAAAGTCATGCCATTTGGATTGACTAATGCACCTGCCACTTTTCAGTCTCTAATGAATGAGATTTTTAGAGCTCATCTGAGGGAATTCATACTGGTTTTTTTTGATGATATATTAGTATATAGCAAGGATCTCAACACTCACATTCAGCATCTTCACACCACAATGACTATACTGAGGCAGCATCAACTCTATGCTAAATCCTCCAAATGCAGCTTTGGGCAGCAGCAAATTGAGTATTTGGGGCACATTATTACTGATGGGGTAGGTGTTGATCCTAGCAAGATTAATGGAGTTAAGGATTGGCCTCAACCTGCCAATGTCAAAGCTCTTAGGGGGTTTTTAGGCTTGACTGGTTACTATAGAAAATTTGTCAAGCACTATGGTATCATTGCTAAACCCCTCACTGATCTCTTGAGGAAGGGTCAGTTTGAGTGGAGTGAAGCAGCTACTTTGGCATTTGATCAGCTGAAACAAGCTATGTCTACTACTCCTGCATTGCAGCTCCCTAATTTCTCTAAAGTCTTCATTGTTGAGACAGATGCTTGTGATTCAGGTATTGGAGCTGTTCTGATGCAAGAGGGCCATCCTTTGGCTTTTCTCAGTAAAGCCTTAGGTCCTAAAAGTTTGGGGCTTTCTGTATATGAGAAGGAGTTCTTGGCAATTCTGTTAGCTGTTCAAAAGTGGAGAGATTACCTGGTTCATGCCACTTTTGTTATCAGAATTGACCAAAGGAGCCTCAAGTATTTACTTGAGCAGAAGATCACCACCCCTATTCAGCAGAAATATTTGGCTAAGCTTCTGGGCTTTAGTTACAAAATTGAGTACAAAAGGGGTTGTGAGAATCAAGCAGCTGATGGTTTATCCAGAAGAGATGTGGAGTGTTATTCTCAGGGTGGGCTGGACTCTTCTCTCACCATGCTCACTGCAGTGCAGCCTCTTTGGCTGGAAGAGGTCCAAGCCAGTTATGAAGGAGATGTCTTAGCTCAAGAAGTAATAGCCAGCCAGGCTTTGAGACCCATGGATGTCTCTGAATTCCATTATATGGATGGATTATTGAAGTGGAAAGGGCAGAATATATGTGGGGTCCAGTGGCTCTTTGAGGGGACAGATTCTGGAATTTATGCATGGGTCTAGTTTGGGAGGTCATTCTGGGGTCCAGAATACTTTGAAGAGGGTGCAACGGGTGTTCTTGTGGCCTTTCATGAGAAATGAAGTGAAGCAAATGGTGAGTATGTGTGGCATTTGCCAGCTGAACAAGCATGAAACTAGTAGAAGTCCAGGGCTGCTGCAACCACTTCCTGTACCTTCTCAGGCTTGGTCCTACATCACAATGGATTTTATTGAAAAACTACCAGTATCTAAGGGCAAAGACACTATTTGGGTGGTGGTGGATCGATTTACAAAGTACAGCCATTTCATAAGCCTAAGTCATCCTTTCACTGCCTCTTCTTTGGCTCAAGTTTTTATGGAAACAGTCTATAAACTGCATGGACTGCCTACTTATATGGTGTCAGATAGAGACAAGATATTCACCAGCACATTTTGGAAGGAGTTATTCAAAGCTTTAGGAGTGCAGCAGCAGTTGAGTACTGCATACCACCCCCAAACTGATGGGCAAAGTGAAAGGGTAAACCAGTGCTTGGAGAACTATCTAAGGTGTATGTGTGGGAAGTTTCCCAAGCAGTGGAGCTCTTGGTTGGCATTAGCGGAGTGGTGGTACAACACTAGTCACCATTCAGCCATACAGATGTCACCTTTTCAAGCACTCTATGGATACCAACCTCCACAAGTAGGGTTTGGCCCATGGATAGAAGTAAAGACTTCGGGCGTGGATCAATGGTTGAAGGACCATTCTAAACTCACTCACCATCTCAAGGAATTATTGCAAGCGGCAAGAGAAAGAAGGAAGGTCCATGCTGACAAGCATAGGGGAGAAAGGAAGTTTGAGGTAGGAGATTGGGTCTATCTCAAGCTTAAGCTCTACAAACAGTTGAGTCTCAAAAGAAGTCCTATATGGAAGATGATGCCGAAGTATTGCGGGCCGTTTGAAGTGATTAGCCGAATAGGGGAGGTGGCTTATGAGTTAAAATTGCCCTCAGCGGCTAAAGTGCACCCGGTATTTCATGTTTCCTTACTAAAGAAACATGTGGGACCGAAGGAAAGGGTGGCAGCTTACATGCCTCCTCTCACTGAGACTGGGGAACTCATGGTGGTGCCGTTGAAGATCCTCGGTCGGCGTATGGTGAAACGAAATAACGCCGCCGTGGGCCAGATGTTGGTTCAATGGGCCCACTTACCGGAGGAGGAAGCAATGTGGGAGGACGCAGCAGAAATGCTGCAGAAATTCCCTACGTTTTCAACATGAGGTCATGTTGTTTCTAAAGGGGAATGGATTGTAACGGTATTAACAGAATGGGGGGCGAAACGGCGTCGTTTGGGGAGAAAACGTGAGTCACTTAAAGAAACGCGTTAAGGGAAAACGCGGAGAAGGAAGTTGGAGGCCAGCTGAATTCAGCTAATCAGAGGACGACACGTGGCAAGGCAGTTAGAACTAAATTTAGCTGAATATTGTTAGTAGTCTATAAATAGCAGTTTAGTTAGTGTTAATGGTTGTCGATTAAGTAGAGAAATATCTTCTCTGTAATTCACTATCACTTTATGAATAATATCAGAATTGTTGGGGAAGAAGGACTTAGTTCTTAACAAACTCTACCTACCAAAATGTTTTATTTTATTGAAGCCTGTCTTGAAAGAAAAGTTTATTTTGATGGTTGACAAAAATAATGAACAAGCAGTGATGGATAAAATCTGCACTCAACGAACCTAATTGGACGCTCGGAATCTCGAGAAAACTTATTTGGCGAAGTGGACAACGATGGCAATAGTGTGTTGCACATTGCGGCAAGCCTTCATGGAGATCGTCAACCTTGGCGAATCCAAGAAGCTGCATTGCATATGCATATGGAAGTCAAATGGTACAAGGTAAATACATACATATATTCATGAAATTTCTTATATAGTGATCAAGAGAAATTACCCCATAAATTTTCTGGTTAATTTGGTGCAGTTTGTGAAGAATTCGATGGCACTTTGTCCGCTACAATAAAGAAGGCCAGACCACGGGGCAGATATTCAAAGCCACCCACCAAAAGCTCATCGATGAGGGCCATTGGTGGCTGACCGATAACTCGCAGTTGTGCTCTGTGGTGGCAGCCTCATAGTCACCGTTGCCTTCACCACTTCAGCCATTGTCCCTGGCGGCGTCAAGTAGGATAGTGGCACAAATGAATTTTATTCTAGAGAAGACACTAAATGCTAGTGATTGTTATTATCATGCATACTCAATTCAAAAAAACAAAATAATAATAATAATAACAGAAAGAATTTACCTAATTCAAATTTTGGGGTTTTTTCGGATGTGAGCAGAGCGGCTGTAGTGGCGTACGGCTGGCCAAACTGTCAGTCTGCCACTAACTTGCTTCCTCAGCCACAAACTTCAATCACCAAAAGAGATAATAAAATTCCAGGATAAACAGAGTCAATTTTATTTGAGCCGGTTTTACTTTTGTAAAACACAATTTGTATGGATAAACAGAGTACTATTCCTTTACATATGAGTTCATTTAAAATGGAATCACCGAATATGGATAAACACATCGGATAAAACTACGAAACAGTTATAGTGGAAGCTGGCCCTCTGAAAAATGGAACTCTGGGCCAGGATCAAATGAAATCACTACCGATTTTGAGCACTAATTTTGCTCTCGTGATTTATCTGCTCTCTGTGTCAATTATGAAGATCAGAAATCACAATAACTGATAGGTTGTCTGTGCTGCCTGTTCTAAATGCGGAGCGAACTATCCGGTCCGACAATGAGGACGAAGATGCCTTGTCGTCTAGAAGATCGCACACATTCTGAGAATTCAATGTCTCGAAGATACCATCCGAAGCTACCACCAGGTACATGTCTTCAGGGCTAAAAGGTCTCCAACCAGTGACTTCGGGTTCAGCTGTAACACCATATCTACACGTACAAAGAAAAAAAAAAAGTAAAAAAACATCTTGGTTTAAAGATTAAACCACACCTAATAAAAGAACAATTGCTAAAAGAAAATGCATCTATTACCTTTTCAAAAAAACATCGCCGATAGCTCTGGACACGGCCAATACACCGTTGACACGTGGAATGCTAGATTTGGTAACGAATCCTCCAGCTGCTTCGATTCGGGTTTTTTCATCCTCTCTATCCGGGTGGTGATCTTTTGTCAGTTCCTCAGCATAAACTTCTCCCAGTGAAGATCCTACAAAATATGCATTACAGTTAAGAGAGAGATATTGACAAGAATCAACGAGCCAAGGGTTCATAGATATTTGATACAGGGGAAGGAAAGATATTGCACCTTTTTTAGAGCAGAGAATTGCCTTTGAATCACCAACATTGGCAATCAGAAATTCGCCGTTAACCAATAGAACAATGGTGGCAGTAGACCCCGAAACACATCGTCTTTCAAAAGCTTCCTGGGGACAGTAACATAAAATTGAAACAAGCAATTAATATTACAAGCTATAAAACATAATGGAGGAAAATAATTCGCGAAAGAACTAATCAACATTACCTTTGAAAACTCTGTATCGATGTCTTGAATTGTTCTCAATAATGCTTCCTCTAAAATTGATGGAAGCGAACGATGACCAATCAATGGCACGTGATTCTCTTTGTCGCCCGAAAGTGCTCGCTTGTATGCGATAAACACAGAGTGAATCAAAAAATAACCTGAAAGTTTTCTCGAAGCCATCTCACTGGCTTCCTCGCCTCCATGGCCATCAAATATAGCTGCAATACCAATAGTAATCTCCTCGGGCCCACCTTCACCTGCATTTCGTCAAGCAAAACTTGAAATCACAAATAGAACAACTGAGAATGAAGAAGGTACTCGAACTATTGCATATCCAGAAGTACAAATGAAACTTCAAAGCTCCTTCACAAATTACATAAAAACAAACTTTTCTAATCAAGAATCAAATTATGTATACTACTCATTCCATTCCTATATCGACTTAGTAACAACAGAATACCCAACAACTACATCACAAAATTTTCAATAAATCAAATACAAGCTCACAGAGGGGATACCGTCACCTGAAAATGGTAGTTTCATATCAAGATTGCATGTAACACGATCTTCTTGATACTTTCTATGTCCCTGAAGGGTGGCGAATTGGCAATTCTTCGACATGTTTTTAGAAGGCTCGGCACATAAAACCCATTGAGGACACTCGGGTGAACTAAATACAGCACGGACCCCACCTTCTTCGTATGCCACCATGCAGGACACTGAAACTCCACGAACTGCGTCTGCTATGCTACATAACAAAACTCCTACAAATACTACAATCACAACCACAACCCTTTTCATCGTGAAGTTCACCAGCATTCTGATCGCCTAAAAAATAAACAAGACGAATATTAGCCAAAATACTGGTTCAGACAATTAGACAAACAGATAGCATGCAAAAGCAAAATTCAGTCAGAATATCATACTTCACTAGTTCACTTCTACACAGAAACTCGGAAACCATAGACATTAATTCTACAGAAACTAGAGTATCTATGTGTAATTGGAGGAGAGATTAATATTCACAGTTTCTTAATACATGGGTTCATCATACAATGCGTATAGAGACAAGATGCTTGATCCGCCGATCTTTACATTAACAACCGCAGTGTGGCGGTGTAAACCGTGCCGGTGGGTCCACTTTTGATCGCTGAAATTCTCGGTTCTTCACCTTAAACAGTACCGATCGCCATCTCAACCGCTACAATTTTTGATTGGTCGTACGGCTCAGCTTGGAAGAAATTCTTACAGTTGCCAACTCACACTGTTGTTGCTTCCGTCTTCTTTTTTTTTCCTTTTATTTGTTTATTTTTTTTTAGTTTTTTTACGATTTTTTTTTTATAATTTATAATTTCGTATATTCTATCTCAAAAAATAATTTAACTGAAATAATCTGAAAGAAACTTATAAACAGCAAATAATATTTCTATATATATATATATATATATATATATATATATATATATAGTTTGAGCCATTTTCCACTATATATTTTACCATTTTCAGTCAATTTTACGTTGGAAATTTTGGTATTTATATTTTTTTCTCCAAAACATCTAATTGCTTACATTTTTTTTTATTTTCTAAATAAAACCTTTTATTTTTGTCATTTTGAGTTTCTTCGTTTTTTTTCTTAAATGTCTTCCGGTAGTTCAAACATCCTAAGATTACAAACATCTTTACAATCCTATTATTGTTGAGAATTTGAACTACCGGAAGACATTTAAAAAAAATGAAAAAATTCAAAATGCCAAAAATAAAAGGTTTTATTCAGAAAATTAAAAAAAATCTAAGTAATTAAATGTTTTGAAGGAAAAAATAAAAAAATAAAAATTTCCCAAGTAAAATTGACCGAAAATGTTAAAAAATATAGTGAAAACAGGCTCAAACAAACCCTTATATTTATAGGTTTAGCAGGGGTATTTTCGTCAGATTTTGGAAAAAATATAATAACAGGGGGGTTTTTGTATTTATGTGTAGTACAGGTGGGTAAATGATACAAAGTCCATTGTACAGGGGTGTTTTTGTATTTAACCCATATATATATAGTTAAAAAAAGTGTCTCATATTTAATTGACCCAATTAAAATTAACGGTGAATTAAACTGCTAATAAAAATTATATTACAAAAAATATGATAGTATACAAAAATTCAGATGAAAAAAAGAGAACAAAAGTTGGGGTAGGAGAGAGAGACAATACAAAGGTTGTTTTGTTTGCACATTAAATCAGACACACTATCTCAGGTATACGGTTTATTCTATGCTACACCCGGTGAACTTCACCGGGTATTTAAGATTTTGACATGTGGCATTTAATAATATAAATAGTTAATTATATAAAATTTAATTGTTAGCGAAAAAATTAAATCAATAAAATCGCTTTAATATAGTTAATAAGATTTTCTCTCTCCAATTATTTCTTTGTTATCAATTACCTCTCCATTTTTCGATTCAGGAAAAAAAAATTTACTCCTCCATTAACTGTGTTCTACCATTACTGCACTTCTTCACTATTTTAATTTTTATTAAGTTCTTTCACGATAAATTGCACTGGAAAATAAGATATTGGCTCTTATTTGTGAAATCTGACTTTGATAAATTTCTACTTCCGAGTCAAATATTGGTATGCTTGTAGATCACTCAAAAATAAAAAATGAAAAATAAAAACAGACATTAATTTATCCAAAAATGGTTTTCCACTTATGCTTATGTTAATTTAATTGTAAAGTTTGCATTATCAGTATCATTTTAATTTCTTCATTTGGGTGGGAAGCCACTGTTACATAATCTAAACAAATAATGGAGAAATGCATTATAATGGTGGAAGATGGTTAACGAATGTGTAATTGAAGAATAAGGAAAGAATTGTAGAGAGAAAATCATAATTGCCTATAATAAAGTGATTCTATTAATTTATTTATCTTCCTATAATTAAAGTTACATAATTAACTACTTAATTATTAAATACCACATGTCAAAATCTCAAGACATTCGGTGAAGTTCACCGGGTGTAGCATAGAATAGACCCAGGTATACATACAACATACATACACTGAAAGGCTACAAAGCTAACTTCATCTTCTTCTCTTTTTTCTTTTCCTGGTTTTTTTTTTTCATAATAATGTACTAGTAGTAGTTTTTCTTGTCAAGGTTCTTGGGAGTTGACACGGCTATGGAGTTCTAACATCTCTTGGTGATTCGGATCAACCGACAATGCGGCCCTACAATCACGTAATGCTCCGATAACATCTCCTATGTGCTCGTGAAATGCAGCTCGTAAATGAAGAAGGTGAAGATCCGCTTTGAATGCGATTGCCTTCGACAGTTCTTCCACCGCTTCTTTCTCTTTGTGGTTATCCATCAAAACTACACCGAGAGAGAAACACATACAATTATTATTATTATTTAACGGTAATATGAATTGGATCGGAATCCCGAATGTAATATGTAATCCGATTTCGTTCCGAAAAAAAAAATAAAAAATTCAGAAAAATAAAAAATCGGACTTTCAGAATTCAGAATGAAAATCTACTATTTTTCAAGAACCGACTAGTTTATATTTAATTTATATTTTATACGATTATGAAGAAACCTAACCTGCGGCTCGATATCTGTAAGGATAAACCCGAAGTGGGTCCAATCGAGTCACCATTTCAAGATCCGTCTTTGTGAGTTCGCGGTCGCCATACTCTGACCTCTTTTCATAAGCCGAGGCGTTATTTCTAGCTTTCTCAATAAGCTTAGTCATCTCAGCATGAGCTGCACTTTTATCATGTCTTAGAAAGTGGACCCGAGCAAGACCTTGGTGGGCCCGCGTGTGCCTGATTTTGAGGGCGTTGATATAGCAATCAGCTGCAGCATCCAAGTTACCGCAATCAACGTACACACTTCCCAGATTATTCAGTGCCTAGTCAGAGAAAATAATAACACTTCATTAGACAAGCTGGTAATAATATTAATATTAGGTTTATTGCATTCAGCACCTTCTATTATAAATATTAGCAAAACCCCCCACAATGATGCAATTTTTCTTTGGATGTATTTTGCTAAAATAATTGCATCATAGGGTTTCTTTAGCAATTAGACTAAACTCGAGGGTGTTGAAGGCAATCAATATATTACAAGACAGATTAGAACTATGGTCTACACTAAAATAAAATATTGATTTGCTAAAAACGGAGAATAATATATACCATTATTATCGTACCTGGCCTTTGCGGAGTCTATCGGAAGGGCATTTTAGAGCTTCTTCGAGAAGAGATACGACAGTGGATGAACAAGATGGATCTTGACTAGAGTCGGCTAAGGCATAGGCTTTCAAGAAAAAAGCTTCAAAGGATCTTTGGAGATTAATAGATTCCTCGGCTTTTCTTAGGCCTTCTTCGCAGTGACCAGTATCATATAAGATCCATCCCTCGTAAACTAATCTTTCGGGTTCACTCGATGCGTGCTGGCGAGCCAGCTGTAAACTCTTCATTGCTGCTTCAGGACAATTGAGTCTGATCACAAGTCAAAACAAAATTAGAATTTTAGAAACCTAAAATTAAAAAATGAATATTTATAAGTATTATACATCACGACTTTTCCAATGTTCGAACATGTAAGAAACTTGTCCGCCCCACTAAAATCCATCCCCGACACCAATATACATGATCAAAGGTTATAAAAGGGCTTAGTACTAAAGCCTAAAGGAAAAACAAAATCGCAAGATTTTTGATCTGACTAGTATTTACTATTTAATCAACAAATATGACATTTATTTGCTTATAAGATAAAACAATTCAAATTCTCGAAAGAAAAACCAAATACCTGAGAAGGAGTAAAGACTGTCTGAAATAAAGAACCCCTTTAGCAGCATCAGACTCGAGCATCTGATATATCACAGATAGTGACCCAATATCATCAACTAAAGACCACCTGTCATAAAGTTGCAGCCAACAATCAGCCGTTGTCCAATTCTCGACATGCTCTCGTACAAGCACACGAAGCTGCGAAGCCGCAACTCTCCCATCGAAAATCCTATAATCGGGAGAAAGCGTAAGTATCGCCTGAACATCGCATATAGCCGATTGGTAATCCTCGATAGCAAGATAGAAACAAAAACGGAGCTCCAAACACTCCAACGCCAATTTAAATCCAAGAACCCTATTGATCTCCAAAAGTGCCGATTCGAAATCTCGTTTTCTCATCAAAGATGCAGCTCTGTACATGTAGGGGTAGGTCAATGTGGGGTCCAGTTCAGTCGCTCTTTCGAGCTCGCCCCATTTTTGGTCTCCATCACAGTACAACGACCTCTCTTGAAACATCCATCCAAGTGGAGTAGTGTGAGAGGATATTATGGATGTGATTTTCTCGTAAGAAGAATCTTTATTATTCCCATTTATTTGGCTTAATCTAGCTAAACCGACGACTGAATAAACATGGCCTTCGCTCAGAGCAGCCTCGAAGAGTTTCTCCGCTTCGTCGTATTCTTTTCTGAAAAGACGAATGCATCCCAACTGATGTAGGGACACCATTTTCTGCCTGGCGGTTACAGCACAGTCGATCAACTGCTTTGAGAAAAGAACAGATTTTTCCGAGGTGGGGTCGGAGTTCATTGAAACTTCGGCCAGTAGAGAATAAAGAGAGAACGAGGCGGGCCCCACCATAGTTGACCGTTGTTGAGCATCGAGACTGGTCAACAGTTCTACTACTTGTTCGTCGTTCAGCGAATCGGGAAGTTCGTACAGAAACACCTTCAGACAAGAGGCGGCCAATACAGGGGAATTTTGCTCGAGGGCGAATTCTGTTAGTTCGACTGCGTCTTGTCTGGAGGAAACTAAAGAAGCGAGCTTTTTGTCACAAGCATCCTTAAGGGTCCCACAGCAAAATATGTTGGCAAATACCAATATTTCTAATAAAAGACTCGAGGGCAGTTCACCCAATCGTCCCGTTTTACTGAATTCGCTGATTGCTCTCATTCCCAAAGGAGAAATGTTGTTTCCAGACAGGTTGACGTCGTCACTGGAGGATTCTGTGAAACACCCGTTAAGCATGGCGTGAAAAGGAGCTGAAAGTCCGGCAATCTTGCGCCTGTCGCACGTTATTTTCTCGTCTCCGATTCGAAAGGAAACATTACTACGAAGGAAAAAAGTGTCGTTCGTTACGAAGCTTGGAGTTTCGTGTACAGGAAACTCAGAGGCAATGTCTATATATCCGAAGTCCTTAGTGCATTTACCACAAGACAATAGCAAATCGGAAATGATCTCCTCGCCTTGCTTCTCGTACTTCAACCAAGCCCCAAATACGAGTTTCTCATAAACGGTGCTCGCCTTAAGCCAAGCCGAACGAAGGCTCCTTCGCATCAGCTTTGCTTCTCCTAGGCCTTTAAAGACCTGATACTGCAACAAGTAAAGATTCGACCACTCTGTCTGGGGGCATGACTCGAGCTCTTCGTGAATTTCAGCCAAGACTTGAACATAGTCAACGGGTTTGTAGAACGGAAGGATTGGCGGGTCGGGAACCTTGATGAGAGATTCTCTACAGACAACGGAACAAGAATTTGTTCAGTAATTAAACACATCACATAAATGGAGCTCAAATTAATCACAGAGGCATTAAAACAAACAGATGGAAGACATACATTGAAGAAGGAGATTCCGGTGGAAGTTTTGTGAGCTTGCCTCTTTCTACTTGGAGCCATGACTGAGGATTAATAGAGTTGAGCAGCGGTTCTTTACAAGAATCGGAAGGAAAAAAAGTCTTCATGGGGCAAAAAAGATTAAATAGGTCCCAGATCTCCACAGTAGCAAGATTGAATTATTTCCCTTTGCTTAACAACCACTGTCTTCTGAGCTGAAACGCCGGCTCAAACAAACACTTACAAACTTCAAATCTTCAGAAATTTAACAAAGAAAAAAGAAAACTGGAACCCTTGCACTTAAACCGGGGGGGAGAACCTGGGCAGCATAAATAGAAGACCAGAAAGCAACTGAAAATGCCGAAAACCTAGTAAAATTACACAAGATCTCTACCAAAAATGTAACCTAAACCACATTCGGCCACCAAATCTCCTAACGAAAAAAAAAATTACAAAATAAAAAAAAAAAATTAACGAAACCCACAAAATAGGGAGCAGCTAAACCGAAATCAAGAAGAGAGCCACTATAATTGTGGTCTCCATTTAACAAACCAACGACGGGAAGTGGGCAGCGGCGTGTGGATCAAAGAGATTGATTGGGAATCCGAAAGAGAAAACTTCAAACAGTATTTCGCTTTTCTTTGCTATATCGTTTTGGTAAAACAAAAGTTTTCACCTTTCCCCTCTCTCTCTTCTCTCTCTCTCCTCTCTCTTCTTTCATTTCAATTTTTTGGGTTTTAAAAATTTTCCATTTATTTTATATCCGTTGGACATAAAAAAGGTTGCTGCAAGCTCACTGCTGCATTTTTTTGGGAGTAGGAAAAATGAAGGAAAAAAATAAAAATATAATTGAAAATAAAATAAAACTTGGAATAATGGAATTACTGAAAAAGTAAAAATGTTATCTTGAAGTGACGGGTTAAAGACGTCTTTTTTAACATCATACGACGCCGCTTTGAGGAAAATAATCATAGGATTTATAATATAGAAACATAACGACCAATTGAATGAAGAATTAAAAGGAGCGTTAGTTCAAGTCATACAATTGAATTGATATCAATTTTTAGTGCACCAACTTTTTTGTCATATCTTCAAATTTGTTGGATTTAAATAATTAATAATTACCCTTATCAATGACGATTTTTTACCATAAAAAGAAAAGTGGTATGAATATTTGATTTTAATTATTACAAGGCATGATGATGGTTTAGGGTTTAAACTATTATATTTTCAATTGTACAAAAAGCAAACTAAAATCTAAGGTGGTATAAACAACTTTTGAAAGGGAGTGGATTGAAAGCAACTCGAGCGTACGTATGTCGTTTTTACCCTTTTTCCTTTAATTTCAAATGTGAGGCTTGTTTTCACCTTTTTCATTTCACTTTGGGAGTGAAAATTTTGAGAGTGAAATAAATGCTAATCAATAGTATATCATAAGAGATTTTGTCTCATGCCAGCTAAACAAACAAAAATGAAGAAGTGGAATTGGTGGGGATAGATGTCACAGAATATTGATATGATTAAGTGGGTAATAAGTCAACCTTTATCAAATCTTTTTATTTATGCATCACTCATTAATCATTAAGCAAGCGACTATACACAATTTATATTATTTACATTTTTTAAATGGGATTTATTTCTATAAAGACTAACAAGTCCCTTTCTCCCATGTGCAAATGTGTAGTTATTGCAAGAGAATGAGGTGGTGACCTACTGCAGTTCAAGTGATTGCAACTTCCTTCCCTTGTCATAAAAAAAGACTGTATTCTATTTGCTAAAAATAAAAAGAAATCTATAATAAATGTTTTTTGTTACAAACAGTTCTCAATTAAAAAAAAAAAAAAAAAAAAAAAAAAAAAAAAAAAAAAAAGAGGAGAAAGAAGATACAAGTTACGTTACCTTTGAATTGCTGTACTTTTATGGTGCACCTGCTCCATGAATGGTCATTGCTCTCTTAGAGCAAACGAATATGTACTGTGCCGAGATTAAGATTATTTCACGATTGTATGCTGATAAAATCAAACTTAGGAACTAGTATATAAAATGAAGACAAAAAACACACCTAGACTTGTGCATGCGCCGATTTGTTAGGAGGTGGTGAAAAATAAGGATGCCTCAGTGCATCATCAACGCCAATTCGTTCCTCCTGATCAAATTACGTTGGTAAAACGAGCTCAAAAGTAAAGAGTCATTTTGAGTTCAAAAGAAATCGCCTGATGATTGCTGTTTTCTCAGAGGAAAAAAAAAAACCCGATAAAAGATACAACTGTGAAGAGCAAAACTTACCGGATCCCAGCGTAACAAGTCACGTACTAAACGCAGCGCCCATATATTTGGGAACCTGAGGAAATGATACAAAATTACTAGTGTGAAAGAGCAGTGCTTCAGAGAGAGAGGGACAGAGAGAGGGGTAAAGCTGACCCTAGTTTAAGAGGGTCTCTGCTCTGTATTTGATGAGAGAAATATTCTTCGGAGCACTTCCACGGAACGGGTGAGCTGGAACTCTGTACACAAGCACAGAGTTTTGACCAAGAACATGCAAGCAATCGAAGATAATTCGGAAAAAAAATATATATATCTCACCTTTGTACTCCAATTTTGATGAAGTTTTGAGGAAACTCCAGGAATCAAGATGCACATTTCCATCAAGGCTCTAAGTCTGGCAATAATGACATAACAAGGATTGTCACCACGGGCCCATTGACCAAGTTACAACAAAGGACAGTAATCAATTCAATATCACTAATTTATTTAAAGCATAACAAATTGTTACTAGAGAAACAGAGAATTCTTCTTAACAAATCATTCTTCAAAAGTCCCCTCAACTTCTAATGAAACTAGATATTATGCTTTGCCAAATCGGAACACAAAAGGTCAATCTCGTAATAAGCCAAAATAGAACAACAAGAAACCTAAAGAATGTAGAAATACTAAACGAGAAGATGTATTTGAACTTACTTATAAGCAAGCTCCTTCAAGCTATCATTCCAACCCTTGAGGTGCTGATCTAGAAGAGCTTGAGTTATAGAATTAATCTGAAACACATTTGGTGATCCTAAGATCAACTCCAACATTACCACACCAACACTCCACATATCATACCTATCCAAGAAAATGCATCGCTTTAAAAGTATCCGATTAATCATGTGTCGCCATTTTGCTGAAAATAGACATGAAAAATGCTATTTGAAAGAAAGAAATTCAACATACTTTGTGGTGACACTTGATGGCCCCCGATACCAACTCACATTTAAAAAAGCTTCCGGTGGAGAGTACGCAGAAGTTTGTTCAGCACTATCAAATAGAAATGTAAATAGAAGTTAAATATTGCAACAACAACTAAGAGAACACATCTGAAGATGGTTGGTCATCAGCTTAAAATATTATCAGATAAAGGAAAATAATTAGTCAATCAGAGCAACCATAGCTTGCGGTTATGTCCATTTATAAAGCTTGCAGACTTTGCTCAAGGAAAACGTAATACCTAGAAGGTCCAACAGACCCATATAAGTGCTTCACTGTGAAATCATTCACAGCACTACCAAAGTCAATAATGCGCCTGCAAGTGATAGGTAAAAGGCATCAAAACTTAGTCAAATCATTAGAAAATTAAAGTTTCTCATTTCCAAATTAAACGGATGTGATATACTATAAGCTGTCCGAAACACTAGGGAGAAGAAAAAACCATAAAGATAACATAAATCATTTGTACATTTTAGTAGTGTAATTATGGGCACCATTCGGACTTCCTCTCAAGCAGCTACCTGAGTGCTGATCTTCAAAGCATATTACCATGTTTTCTGGCAAGAAGAAACGTATAAAATCCTCAATTAGATTTTGATCGTGTAAAATATAGAAAGGAAGTGCATAAAACCTCAGATATCTTTTTACCAGGTTTGATATCTCTGTGAGTGATATTCCGGTCATGGCATGACTTAAGTGCCATCAGCTAAGCAAAATGGAAGTACATATGTCAGCAAGTTTTTTTTGGTGAGAAGTACTTAATCCATTTTATACTTATTCACCAATTACTTTTATACTTGATCGTCAATTCCAAGTCCCCCCACCCACCCTCGCCCCCACTAACTGGCAGTTATTATAACCCGTTTGTTTGGAGACAGTGTGATAGGCAAAAAATAGAGTATCAAAGAATACTCCTGTTAATTTTTGTGCATTTAATCAAATAATATTTAGCATACCAACTGCCATATGATATTACGGAATTCCTCTTGCCCTGCTTCTGTAGTCTTCAACCAGTTCCACCATTTTGATGGATGCAATATCTGAACACGCTTCCCATGGTCATTTCCTTCTCTTTCAGCATCAGTCACCACTTCTTCTGCAGTATACAGAAGTTTTGACAAGGATATCCCTTCATGATAAAATACGAGCCAAATCTCATTAGCTCGTGACTCAAAAGACTCAACATATCTTGCAATATGATTCAATCCTTCTTCATAGGCAGCTCCATGCAGTCCTTTTTCCCTAAAAATCACATCCTCGGGATCCAAGGGTTCCTCAATTTCTTGTTTAACCGATTCACTTACATTTGTGAAGCCATGTGCATTGCACTGAGATATTTTCCAAACAAAATCGGTGTCGCCGGAAGTTGATAAACCTTGTAAGGAATTTGAGGCATTCAAAAACATTTCTCCAAAATATTTCTCCCTTAGACCACTCAAGTAAGCACCGATTCCCCGTTCTACCTGTTCAAAGAAACCATAGAATTTACTTAATCAAGATTTGATGATTATCATAACTGTGAGAATACTGCCGTAGAACCAAATTTCAAATAAGTGGGATAGTTGATTATATTACACCAAACAAGAAGTAATCAACTATAGAACTTAGGGAGATCAACAATTAGTACACCTTCTGATGTATCAAAATCTGCACAGGTGATCATAGTATTGGGATGAGACACTTCAGTAATAGAAGTTAGCCTATGATCAATAGAAACGATACAGTCTAACATGTACAAATACAATCAAAAGAAAGCATGTGAATTGGATTATTTACCATTATCCGCTTCAGAATAAACATATTGTCATTAGAGTTGCCAATGTGGCAATCTTCAGCGTTTACATTTGTAGCTATATTGTCATCATATGCCCTCCAACGCTCATTTCTGTATAGAACATTTTCATGTGTCATTTTGAGATCTTTCCCAACTTGAGAACAATTCCAGTTGAAAGCAAGCCAAACTTCTCCATATGCTCCACGGTCAAACTTCTTCTTTAATATGTACCTAATATGAAGGAATGTATGTTATTTAAAATTTTGAACAACCACTAGCAGTGTGAAACACGAGATAATCAGGAAAAAGAGGATTATATCAAAGCACCACTTCACGGAGAAAGCTTTGGCTTTCTAAAAAAACTGACATACGTAAATTGTATCAATAGGCATTATCACTATGTCCAGACTCTACAAATAATTATATAGGATTCACATAGAAATAAATATATCACTCATCTATAATGAGTAAATGAGGAAACAGGAGCAAGCAACAACAAATTTGAAGCAGATCGCACCCCAAGAGACTTCATTGTAAGAAGATACTAGGTTAAAGGCATATGTTGCCGTTTCATAGTTTTACTCACGTTGAAGAAGGCTTTTGAAGGGAATAATTAATGTCTTTCATATTTAAACTACAAATATCTCTGTCTTTTAACTCTTGAATAAAGAGAAGTCGTGGGTGCTTATTAAATAGGTGATTCTATCAATAAATGCAAACCCAGATATCAAAGGAGATTACTCATTAAACATCAGCATCAGAAACAAATTACTTCCAGACAATGAATGTTCCACCATTGAGATAAACGATAAGGCAACAGATTAAGAAATTCACTAGGTAATCTACCTAGTATCTGATGTCACATGTTCATGATGAACAGTATTATGAAAAGGAACTGACTGAAGCAAACCAAGGAATCTAGCAAAGCCATCAGAATTCATGCAGTGATCTTTATCCTCGTCAATATATATTCCAAAGTGCACACAGAAATTTTGATCATTGTACACATCTAATGGTCCACCTGCATAAAAATAAAAAAATAAAATAGTTGAGCTACCAAAGGGGATAAGCTCATAATTTGCCCCTTCACAACTTCGTGCAATTTAATGTACCATTTGTTCAATATTGCAATTATTGGACAAAATAATTTGTAGACCAAATGTGGGAGATAGTATTTAACTGGTCAAAGAAAGATCACAATTGGAAGAAGATGGCAAACTTTCCCCAAGTTCATCACATGCCAAAAGGTAAATGCTAATGTAGAAAATTATAGCCAAAGGTTCTGCATCATTTTATCAAGAAATGGTGCCTGAAAAAATCCTCGCATATCATTGTTGAGATCATTGGAATTAGTGGAGTTTCATGAAGATAAAAATTCAACTCACCCCAGGGAAATTGATAAGCACCAGTTAAAGCAGGTGACAGGTCAGACACGGATTCGCGGTCATCCTTATGGACCCAAAATGTATAATCATCATTCACATCAAGGTTCTCGGACAAATAAAAGCATCCATAGTTGTTGTGCTTTCCTTCAACCTGCAGCAGTAAGACAGAACACCGTGCCCTCTCCATATTACATTATGGGTTTCATTATAATACAAAGAAACTTATTTCATACTTTTTAAAACTGCACCGTACATATTCCAAAAAGTATGTTCTCTAATATCCTTGTAATAAAAGTTCATTAACTAAATTAAAGACTGCTACCAACTCGAACATGCCATATGAAAGAAGCACCCTATTGTAGGTGGTAGCGGAGGTGGAGTAAAAACACAAAGAAAGCCTCGATGCATCCATTGCATACAAAGATAGGAAGAGTTTGCCGATTATTTTCTACGGCCATTATTGGTCCAGATTACACAAGATTTTTTGCAAAGACATGAAGCTCTTTTTATGGAAACTGTAAGATCAAATTTATTATAAAATTGATAATGGCTTCTAATGCATGTACTCAAATAGAAGCCGGTAACCAGCCAGAATCAGAAAGCAGAAAATATGATGGGTAAAGAAAACTAAACTGCTCGTTCTCAATCTTACCAGTAATCTATCAAACATGGCAACATCTGGATGAGGCTGTAGTTCCATGAGTAATGAAGTGTTGGCAGCTACAAAATGAGTACGCCATAGATCAGATTTTAAGTAACTTGGACTCGAGATAAACAATAAATTGAAACATAAAAAGTACATATGCAAACCAGAGTAACATGATTAGCCTTAAAATATCAGCATCACCACTAGTTCAAGTATAATTATTAGGACAGTCTAATGGAGAAAGCAAAAGCAGATATGATAATTTGGCTAATTTTTACAGCAGAATAAGGAAAAGTATTGCATTGCCAAAGACCAATCTTCATGATTAGGCTTTAAAAATTACTTGCCTCCACAAGATTTCTAATCCTTACGTTAAGAGTACTGAATTTACCACAAAACTAAAGAAAGTTCATATACTCTCTAATATCTATTTTCCCTTTTGTCAATGTAACTGAATGTTCCTAGTTAATGGCATAGTCTTACAGACAATATCACAAGCTGCTTCAGTAACTCAAGAAAAGAGAACCACCTGAGCTCTCGTAGATTTGTGTTTGATCTCCAACTGCCAAGTAATCAAATTCCGTTGAAACGTGACTCCTGTCTTTTGGAAAATTTTCAAAAGAACCTGGTGTTTTAACTGGAATCACTATAGCTGCCAAGTTATCCATACTTCCTCGCTCAAATGCAGTATTAACTATGCATTCAGATAATGAGTATGAACAAGAAGAATTGAGTTCCGGTGTCATGGTGAAGTGAGAAAGGGGTTCCCACAGTATATCACAAACGCCTTGGGGGCTAAGCTTTTCAAAGACACCATCAGATGCAGCAATCACATAGCTGTCGTTCGCAATCAAAGGTTGCCAATCTGTAACCTCAGGTACCGATATTACTCCAAAACTGTCAGTATTTAAATTTAAACAGAATAAGATGTCCAATTTCCAGATCTTTTTTATAATAAGAATAAGAAGTGCAGTCTTCAAAAACCATTCTGTAAAAGTAATTCAGCCAAATTAGTAATCACGTATATTTCTCACTGCAAGTTCTCAGCTGGGCATGATATGTATAAGAACTTAATATCTTCTTGACATAAACAGTCTCACCTTTTATAATGTACATCTCCAATTGCCCTGGACACAGCCAACTGGCCATTAATTCGAGCTACACCAGCCCACTTCGAAATATTGCCTCCAGCGGATTCAACCCGGGATTTTTCATCATCTCTGTCAGGATGGTGATCATTTGTCAGTTCCTTGGCAGTTAGAAACAGCCACCCATTAGATGCCATTGATTTTAAGTGATGGTATTCTTTCAAGGATGAAGAAACACCATTTGTTCTTCCCTGTCTGACAACCCTAAATACAGATGCTGCATTTTACAAGACCAATAATCAATTAGACTATACACTTCAAGTGACACCCATTGAAAAGTCTCGTGTTTAGTTCTATGCATGATAGCTTAACCAAATATGAAAAACCTATTGTCTGACAAAGAAAGTCTTACTTTATAGCAGGGCTAATTTGCTAAAAACATCAAGAAAAAATCAAGATTCTATAGCTAATTTGTATCAAGCATAAACTAGTAGAGTGATTCTCTTAAATTGAGGATAAGCCAAGAATGTAACCTTTAGCCTCTGATGGGGGCTGATATACTTCAGAGCACAAAAACGCCTTGGAATCACCTACATTAGCAACTAGAATTTGAGAATCTGCTAGAAGCACTACTGTTGCTGTAGTGCCAGAACTGAGGTTGTGTCTTGTTGCATCCTTCATAAATGAAATAGCCACATAAGCAACGTTGATAAATTAGCATATTAGATTATCAAGTACACAATAAAGACACCTTTGAAAAAGCTGTATCAATATCATGGATTGCCCTTAGTAATGCTTCCCTCAATAATTCAAAGGCGAGTGATCCATCTAAGATAGATGACAATGAAACCTTGAACCTACATAAGAATTTAGCTTTATTTCAGAAATTGCAAGCAAAAGGACAAAAACAGGATTACTTTAAACCAAAACTTGAAATGCACCCATCAAACCGGACATATTTCAAGCGTAGAAGGAAAATGTCCAACTAAATCAAAACTAATGTGCCAATGGCCACATATCAGAGAAAAGTCAAGATATCTTGTCCAACGAAGAACAATGAAATCCTCAATACATTCAAGAATTTAAACCACTAACGCAGTCCAGGAAAACGAAGACATAGAAAAGGATCACATACTACCATTTTATAGAAAACCGCAATTTCCTGGACATAATATCACTGATGACCTTCATACAATTTTGTTTTTCTTGATTTGCAAGTAAGACAGAGCCAGTTGGTTGTTTATGATTTACTAAACCCTCCAAATTTAGTGAGGTGAATCCTCCCGATGTAGCTTGATTACTTAAGTGAAAAAAATGTCCACCTAAGTTGTACAGTGATGAATATTTAATGAAACAATTCTTATTTAAAGGCGCCGTAAAGGGAAAGTACCTTCCGAGATCCAAAATATGATTATCAAGGTCCTCATTCCACTCAATCTTCTGACCGGAACCATCTTCTCCTTCAAACGGTAGCTGTCTTATCAATTTTCTCGCTAAAATCGAGTAAGTCGAATCGAGAAGAAAATAAGTGTGCAAAATAAAATACTCCAGCAGCAACTCCGAAGCCATTTCACTAGCTTCCGAACCATTATGCCCATCAAACACCGCCATTAGACCAACCTTCACTTCTTTAGCTCCCTTGGGACCTTAAAATAAACCGAACAAAAAGTTTACGATCACCATCTCTTTCCAAAATGTAACCCTCAACTCATTAAAATTATGTAATTAACATTATAATTATACCGGGGAAGGGTATGCGAAGGTCGAAAACACAGAGAGTGCGATCTTCCTGCGAATTCCGGCGGCCTTGGAGAGTCGCCGACTGACACGCCGGGGACGGCGATCCGAAACGGCGGTTGGTTTGGGCTTTGAAATTTGAGAGGGTCCAGCGAGGGCATTTCGGGGATTGAAACACCGCCGGCGCGCCACCTTCTCTGTACACCGTCAAACACGTCAGCGATTCTCCGGCTACGGGAGTATTCACGCAGAGCACAAACCCTAATAGTATTACTGATAGATCGTATTTATCGAACTTCATCTTCTGAACTCAGAAATTATATACCCATCGGGAAAATTGAAAACGAAAGTTGCCAAATACGACTGGCGCGGAGGATGTGAAAAGATTCGGGTATATATACAGCTTGCTTGAATTTCAGGCAACCCGTGGGATTTAATTCGGGCCGGCCTGCAAATTTAAAGACGCGTGGCCCAATTATTGATTTGGTTAACTTTTCATAAATCTTGGCCCATTTAGATTATTAAATGGGCCGAATAGAAAAACTAGGCCACTTTCAAGTTTTATAAAGGCCTTTTTCCCTCTTCATAAAACGGAGTTTTGTAATTACTGATGACTGATTGCATCGTTCCCACAGACGGCGCCAAAATGATGATGCTAAAATATAGCTCACCTAGGGTGGTGTAGAAGACGAACTGGGAGAGCAAAGCGGATCAGTAGCTTGACAACTTGATGATCCTGAGGTACCTGCGAGAGGAACACACGTGAACTACGCCGGGGGTTGATCCGGCGGAAACCCCTCCGACGCTCAAGTCAGACGTGCTGATCATAGAATTAGTCCAGAGAATACGTATTGTAGTATTGCTCAGTTAATAGGACGTACCTTAATAAAATGAGTAAAACCTCTATTTATATGTCGTTTATTGGGTTGGGTTTGCTTTGTTGGGCCCAAGCCTTACTTGAAGGTGTTTGGGCCTCGGTGATATTGGTCTTCAATATTGGGCTCGTGGCCCAGTAGGTAAATAACTTGTAGGCCCATTGGGTTGGCCCAATTAGGCATATCAGTTGTGTAATTACGATGTTGAGTGGCAATTGTGTAATTATTCAGTGAGTGGTAATTATGTAATAATGGAGCAAGCATGATAGTTCAATTATATAATTACTTGAAGTGTATTCGGTAAATTTCATTCCTAAAACCAGCGCTCTTAAGACCAAAGAGTCGGGCAAAAAGGGAAGGGAAATTAAGCTCGCAAACCGTACAAGATTCGTACACTAGAATAATTATGTGCGATGAGTTCAGAATAATATAAATTGGCAAAAATGGTTCGAATTTGAGTCAAAATTATATACGGTTTTCTCATTCTAATCACTACGCCACCCTACGAGCAATATAATATTAAATCTAGGTCATTGTGTTTATAATATAATATTGGTTTTCACGTTATACGCCGATATATATAAGATTGTTAATTATTAAAACTTTAAAGAATAAATTTCCGAAAAGAAAAGGTCATAGAGATGAGCCAGCATCACATGATTTGTACTTATTTAATTATAATATAATAATAAAGTACTGCAAGTTGCATGCATACGTGGCCCCAATGCATTATGACTGGTATATGGTTTCTTGACAACCGTGACATAATATATTTCAGGTCCAATAATTATTCATATTATTAAAAATTTGCTTAAAAATTTAATACATTTTTTTGGTAATTAATGTAGATTTAATTTATGAAATTAATGCATAATCTAGTGCTATTTATGACTGATGTCACCCAATAATAAACTGGACCCCTCTTCTGAAAAAAAAACAATAAGAAAATACAACTGGACCAAATTAATCAACCAATCATATCCCTTAACTCTATCTTTTTTTATTTTAATTTTTTTTATTTATTTATTTTTTAGCAAGAAATCTAAAAGAAAAGACACTAATACAACAATTGAGGTGGTGTGGTCAGAAATCAGAATCATTGGCCAATATTTCGTTTATGCCCTTTTGCTCTAGAACTTTCCATGCCAACCACCCATTCCAATTTCAATAGTTCCATAACCAAATCAAGATAAGACAAACAAAACCAAACAATACATAATATTAATAATAAAAATAAAATAAATAAAAACACTAATAGAAGGTGCCACCCAAATGATTCATAGAGAGTCTAGAACATTCCATGGTTCTTCTAAGTTCTAACCCTAGGAAAAAAATATTTAGTATTATTACTAATTTACCTTCTTCTTTGCAGACGCCTCTCTTAACGGCATAAACTACTTTCCCAAACAAGAAACCTTTGCAAACAAATTTTCTATTAATAAATATTAATTAAATTTGTCTAATTTATGAACTTTTTCAGCAATGTTTCCAGTTAAAGAAGAGTACCCAGCTGGTGGGTGTTCATCTTCAAGTTCATGGCAGCTGCTGTCATCAAGAGATCCGCCGCCGCCGCCGCAGCCAATGGAAGGGCTTCACGAAATGGGTCCGCCGCCGTTCCTGACGAAGACTTTTGACATGGTGGACGATTTGAGTACGGACAGTGTTGTTTCTTGGGGCGGCGGCGGCGGAAGTTTCGTTGTGTGGGATCCAAACGCCTTCTCCGCCACCCTTCTTCCCAGATATTTTAAGCACAACAATTTCTCCAGCTTTGTCAGACAGCTCAACACTTATGTAAGTCTATATCTATATTTATTTTCTGGGATTTTATTGTTTTTTTAATTACTTTGTTTACTTTCCTCTGCTTTCAATTTAATTAGTCAATGGAGTTCATAACTGAAGTTCCCAACCTTGTAATAAAATTTCTGCCATTAATTACATGTCATTAATTAATTAATAAATTGGATTTGAAGTGTTGGAATCCTTTACACAAACTTTTGTTCCTCTCTCTCTCTCTCTTTCTTTCTTTCATAAAGGTTCTCTGTTGAAAAAGATTCCTCAAGTGACACAAATTCAACAAAAAGATGATGATTGATGATTGATGATTGATGAAAAAGATTCCTCAAGATGTGTAGATTCGATTCCTATGAAGATACTACTGTGTGAAGGTATACTAATTAATCGTATATTGAAACGCCGATTAAAACTCATCCGAAAATCGGAATCCTTTTCGATTCCCCTCTGTTGCAGGGTTTTAGAAAGGTCGATCCGGACAAATGGGAGTTTGCGAACGAGTCTTTCCTCAAAGGACACAAGCATCTTCTAAGAATCATCACCCGACGAAAATCGACCACCTCGGCTTCGAGTAGTTCTCCTCCGATTCCTCAATCGTTCGATCCGTGCGTCGAGTTGGGAAGATTCGGATTGGAAACGGAAACGGACAGTTTGAGGCGCGACAAACAAGTGTTGGTGATCGAGCTAGTCAAACTCCGTCACCAGCAGCAAACGACTAGAGCTTATCTTAAAGCGATGGAGCTGCGTTTGCAAGTGACGGAAAAGAAACAGCAACAAATGATGAGTTTCCTTGCTAAAGCAATGCAGAATCCCGATTTTATCCGTCAGTTGGTACTGCAGAAGGAGAAGAGGAGGGTGGTGGAGGAAGAGGGCGGGGGTGGTTGTAGTAAGAAGAGGGGGAGGAGGGCGATCGAGGGGATTAAATCGGAACCGTTGGATTACGAGCTGTCGGAATTGGAGGAGCTCGCACTGGAGATACAGGGGAGGGGTAAGGCGAAATGGGAGAGCGGGCCCCACCACGAGGGAATCGAGACGAGTTACGAAAGGCATGATCTTGATGAAGGGTTTTGGGAGGAGTTGTTGAATGAAGGGTTTGATGGAGATGAAGAAGATGTGAGTGTGTTGGCTGATAGATTGGGGTTTTTGGGTTCCAAATTGAAGAATATTTCTAAGTAGGATTAATTGTTTTTGGGTTTTATTTAATTAATGCAAATGTGACTTAGTTTGGGAGTATTAATTATTTTTTTCCAAATTAATTCTCCACGTACGCTTGATTATGTTTTTTCTTATGTTTCTTGAATTATTGAGTGTTGATTATGTTGTTTATTATGTTCTCCTCAATATAAAAGGGTGAATTACAACCAACCCTTGAGGTCTGACTCAATTACGAAAAAATTCCTCTAGTTTGGGTAATTACAATCACCCCTCAATTATAAATCATCTTACACGTACACTCTTACGGTGTCAAATTTAATATATATTCTAGATTATATGAAATATTTTCAATTATGTACCCGTTTTATCCCATTCGAGATCCACATTTTAAAGCAAGATGATCATAAAATGTGTTTTTTTAGCTTGTATACTTAAGATTATGGTGCATCAGAAACTGCATTTTTGCACAAAATGAGTACAAGCTAGAGAACATTCCACCGAATTTAGAAGATTATGTTGATTGTGACATCATAAGGATGGACGTGTAACAAGATTCATAGTTGAGGGGTTGGTTGTAATTATTCAAACATGAGGGTTCTTTTTTTAATTTGACCATACCTCAATGCGGGCCCAAGGAAGCATAAAGAAAAAAAGGTCTTGATTTAATGCGGGCCGAAGGAAGCCTGAAGATCGTTAAATCGGCCCGACATCACATGACCATAATTATGGGCTTGGACTGGGCGAAAATAAAAGGGTTGGCCCAAATATATTTTATCTTGAAACACATTTCTTGTTTATCCTTGGAAGTAGAAATTGGAACAAAAACTTTCGATTTTTCTCTATTCCAATCTGAATATTTTTCTAATTTAAAAAATATTATAAATTCTGAATTTCATAAATTTTCCGACTTTTTTGTATAGTAATTAGAATATACAGGAAATAACGGTTTCCTAATCCGATTTTAATTTTCAAAAATAATTACTTTTTTTATAGTAAAATGCCGTTACGTGTTCTATATTAGTAATACACATATACTGTATTTGTATCACCAAAGTAAAATGCCAATTTTATTTTTTTAAAACAAGTTAAAATAATTGAATCATCTTCACTAATTTATTTTTGATAATTATCTTCAGTTCTTCACTAATTGACATATACACATGAACACTGCATGAGAGAATCTGGCAATAGAAGACCCGTGAACTAAACCCTGCCCCACCTAATTCTTTTGCACTCATCAAATATTCTCTTCTCTCTACTCATTTGCTTTTTTCAATTTCTTTCTTTTATTTTAGTAAAAAAAGAAAATTAAATTAAAAGAATATCGATCCTTTCTGAGATTTGTAAATACTTGTCATTTACCGAGAAATTAATGGTAGGTGGGGGCTCTAATTAAAGACGGGCTTTCGAGCTTTTCGTATATATATATATTAAACTCGGATAGCTAAACATCATATCGCACTGTTCTTACTTCATCAACTAGATCACTAAATTCTTAATTCTTCCAGTGTTTTAGATTTTACGTGTAATTAGCGAGGTGCATTTGTTTAGTGTCGTATAAAAAAAAGATCGATTGAAGATAGTGAACCGATGAATTAGTATTCTATATATAAACCAAACCTTATCTCATTAAAAGGAACAAAATTAAAGATGAACATGAAAAATCTTGAATTAAAGATAACATGTACGAATGATTCACATGATCCTAGAAACATAGGATTCTTTGGTGTTTAATCAAATCAAATTAAAGATTCCAGTATGAATATACAGATCATAGATAATATAATTTATGCATGCATGTCTGATATCAATCAACAAACTGATTAAAGCAGTATATATTATCAATGGATTAATAATTTATTAATACTGATGCATATATGGCTTTGGATATAGGTTTGGAATATTTATTAAAAGATGCAAATGGATCTGAACCCTCTGTGGTGGGGTTTTTTCAAAAAGAAAAAATAAAGACAGAATAATTACAACTTTGGGAGTTATATGTATATATATAGATGCAAATCTTAGTTAATTAGTTATGTAAGTCTTTTGTCTCACATTGACTATTATTATTCAATAATTATAGCCGTGGGGCTAAATAAAACTGGGCATATATATCTATCTCGATTAATTCACCCACAGTATAATACAATTTGTAAATCATACGAGAGTTGTAAAATTGTAAAATATATATATAGCATGGGGTATTTCATCATCACACTTTGGCTTTAAGCTAGCCCTTTAAGCTTTTGGCTTTTACCACCGTATGTGTGTGTGTGTGTATATATAAATATTACATATAAGCTGTATGAGTATTGGGTTGTGAAATTGTTGTGTTAACAGTTACATTGCTCCTTTTAATACGTCGTCGTTATATATATATATATATATACTGAATTGAATTGAATTGAAGAGACTTTAGAAGGATTTGGGTGTTTTATAACAGGACCAAAAGAAAAGACAGAAAGTGCATGCAGCAGCCTCTCTTTGCATGTCAGAGCAATACCTACATTAATAAATTCATTCAATATTGTGAATAATTATCAAATAATAATAATAATTAAAAAAACATTATTAATTAACTAATTAGTATAAATGATGATGATGAATCATTAGAAACTGAGAGCTATAGGATTTTTCCTGATCTTTACGTAAGTTGCCTTCATCATCATCATCATCATCATCTCTCTCTCTCTCTCTCTCTCTCTCTCTCTCTCTCTCTCTCTCTCTCTCTCTCTCTCTCTCTCTCTCTCTCTCTCTCTCTCTCTCTCTACCATGCACCCCCACTCACCCACCCACCAAAACGCGCACACACACAATTCTTACTTTGCAGAATTCTTTGCTTTTTCTGGTTTTTCGTGCCATTAATTAATTATCAAATATATTTTAATTTTAATTTTGCCGTATATATATATATATATATATATTCATAATTAGGTTGGGGTGAGCAGCTAGGTCTTGTTCATAAGTCTGCCACTATATATATATAATTAATAATCATCACGTTTTTGTACCTATTGATATACAAGCAGCAGCTGGTTTTCTCTTTTATTAAAAAAACAAAAACATCCTTCTCTTTTCTCATATCTTCCTTCTCTCAACTGCATGCACAGCTGGTTTTCAGACAGATATATGTCTGAATTATATATTGTGATGCAGATATATATTCTCATGAGATAAGCAATCAATATAATCCATGGTTAGATAGATTCAGACAGTGTTCACTTTCACCATCAGTACCATTACCATTTCATTAATATCGATCAATACATATATCTTTCTACTTCCCCTTTCTTCACTATCATAATTCAAGAATCACCGTCACCTGCAGCTCAGTTGTATCTATACATCTATTATCTATATCTATCTACAAGTACGATTTAGCTAGCTTGGTTTCTAGAGCTGTTATTTTTCTTACAAAACGTTTTTGTGGTACGGTTCTAGAATTCAAACAAAGAGTTTAATTTAAGGAGTGTTGTTTGTTCTTTTCTCATATTTGATTCTTTTTTTCTGCTATATATAATATATATACGGAAGCATCATACGTATATCATCATGTTTCCGACAATGATGAATAATATCTCGGATTCATTAACCTCCGACGAAAGCAGCAGCATCATATCTTCGTCTTGCCCAGCTTCTAGGGTTCAACTTCAACACAACTTCGGAACCCTATCTTCAATTATTATGCTACCACATCATAATTCACTCACCTCTGAACACAAAATCATCACCAAGAAGAAAAGAAACCTCCCAGGAAACCCAGGTTCAATTATCAAAAATCTTGATTATTCATATTAACTAATTAATTAATGAATTTCCATTGAAATATATAATTTGACCTAGCTAGGATATATTTTTTGTTTTAGATCCTGATGCGGAAGTGATAGCGCTATCTCCGGCAACCCTAATGGCGACGAACAGATTCGTGTGCGAGGTGTGCAACAAGGGTTTCCAGAGGGATCAAAATCTGCAGCTACACAGGAGAGGGCACAACCTGCCATGGAAGCTCAAGCAGAGAAGCGGTAAGGAAATCAAGAAGAGGGCTTACGTATGCCCGGAGGCCACGTGTCTACACCACCACCCTTCTAGGGCTTTGGGAGATCTAACAGGGATCAAGAAACACTACTGCAGGAAACATGGCGAGAAGAAATGGAAGTGCGATAAATGCTCCAAAGTTTACGCCGTTCAATCCGATTGGAAAGCCCACTCTAAAACCTGTGGAACTAGGGAGTACAGATGTGATTGTGGTGCCCTTTTCTCCAGGTTATTTTTATTTTATTTTTATTTAATTTATTAGCATTGGATTAATTAATCAGCCATGAATCTTGATTTAGGTCAAACTTATTATCTATAGTTTAATTAGGTTTCAGCATCACAAGTATCAAGAAAATACACTTAATGACTAAAATGTCATTTTTTTTTTAAAATTATTATTTATGTGTCAAAAAAAAATTGAGAAAAAGTTGGAATGTAATAACTGCATCGTTGGAATTGATCTAAATTGATGATAATATGAACCAAAAATAAAATTAAAAATAAAAATGTGTAAGGGAAGGAGTAATAATTGTCAAGTGTACTGAAGAGTTGCAAGTACAAAGAATATAATGATGAAAAAAATTGAAATAAGTTGTGCAAGAAAGTTATGGAAGGTTTGAATACTTTTTGGCCCTGCTGCAAGAAAATTTATCATGGTGTGGTCGCTGTTTTACTGACAAGAGTAAAAATTCTCAACTTATATATATATATATATATATATATATATATATATATATATATATATATATATATAATATCATCATCATCGTCAAAACTGGTAATATTAATATCTGCACAAGTCATTGCCAATATCGCTGCACTGTTTTTTCTTTGCCTTGTTTGTATGTTGCTTCATAGACTAGAGTATACATTATGTGTAGTTTTGCACATGCACCCACATACACACACACACACCTGTGTGTGTGTGTGTGTTTGAGGGGTTACTTTTTACCAAGTTCTGATCAGTGGTATATGTACTGTACTGTGGTCATATATATTTTGCATGCAAAATGTATACGTAAATATTATTTATATATGGTAAATATTTTTTTTTACAGTCATTTTCTTCATGAGTACTAATCAAAATCTATTGCGTGTGAATTCATTTTTTATAATACAGGAAGGATAGCTTTATCACACACAGGGCATTTTGTGATGCATTAGCTGAAGAAACTGCTAGAATCTCTGCTGCCACTAACTCTATCATCTTGCCACCAAACCCTAATATTAATATTAATAATAATACCACCACCCAACAATACTTCCATTTCGAACCCCAAAACCTCCACCCTCCGCCACCTCTCCACCAGTTTTCCCACCGCCACATCAGCAACCAATGGGGCCCACCGTCACCCCAAAACCGATTACTAGTCCACATCAAACATGAAGACGAAGACACCAACATTATTAATAGTAATACTAATACTAATACTAATAATAATAATAATATGCCCCTTATTTCTTCACCACTCTACCAAAATAGGAGCCCCATGATGACGTCAGTACCCTTCGGGGACTTCCACGTAACATCCGGCCTGCCGCCACTTTCGGCCACCGCACTCCTCCAAAAAGCGGCCACAATGGGCGGCGGCGCCATGGGTCAGGTGAGCTCCACCATGGCCCACCTTGACATGCACGTGGCGGCGGCTTCTTCTCAGTGGCGGAAGAGTAGTACGGGTAATACTGATGGGTTCACCAGGGATTTTCTTGGCCTGACGGCTGGAGATCAATGCACCAGCACCACCACCGCCAGCGGCGGTGCAGGGAATATGAGGGAGCTGCTGTTACATACTGCAGCGTACGATCATAATTCTGCGTTGAAGCATCAGTCTGATTTATTTATGTTTTAAAAGAACATGTACTTTTTTTGTTAATTAATTAATTGTGCTCTAATGTTTGATGTTCTTCGGCACAAATTTGGAGAGTGTTTTATTTATAATTTGTTGCTGAAACAATAGACTCCTAATAGTAATTTAATGAGTCTGGTGAATTCTACTATTATTATTTTTAATTTTTTTTTTTGAGAAATAAATTTAGTGTTTGGAGTAGCTTGTTTTTATTACAGTGATCACTGATTATTTAGAAATCATGTAAATGTATATAGATATATAACTTAGATCCAAAATAAAAGAGCCAAGTAACATTAAATTAATTGTATTAATCACTTTCAGCATTTACATGATTTGTAAATAAAGTAGTACTAGTAAAGGTTGTAAGAAAATTCAACATTAAATTAATTGTATTAAATCACAATCAAGGCTGTAAGAAAATTCAATAGATTTTTTCCAAAAAAAAAAAAAAAAAAAAAAAAAAAAGAGCGGTGAAACTGAAAGCTACTGTATAGCCTTTTATAAAGCGTGTTTAGAGGCTGCTGCTGTAAGCGTGAGTTGAAAAAGGAAACTAAGTTGATGCCCTATGTGTTTCCGTGCAATGCTTAGTGGTGGTCCGACAATTTTGTGGTACCCATAAAACCATAATTATTATTATTAATTAAATAAATAATCAAAAAAAAATGTCAACGGCTAACAAAAAGATGCTGCTTAGTTGAACAAAGATAAAAGTTTGGGATTACCATTCATTCACAGGGCCATCTTCTTTTTCTTTTGAGCCCTCTTTTTCTCAATTTCTGTGCATATTTGCATTTGTCCTACAGTTACTGTTACCTTACCCCCACATGTAGGTATATAAATTAGACGAGCCGAGCCGAGCCGCTCGAGCTGGAGCTTCAGCTTGAGAAAATCAGCCAAACTCGGCTCGTTTACACTCCTGTACACACAGGCACGGCAAAATAAATGCAGCATTTAACGTTAAGGCAACACATACATGCAACAAGCTCATGTTATTGCAAAAAGAACAAAAAACGAAAAACAGAAGGAACCATGTTCTACCAACATTGCAAGGAAAATGCGAAAGGAATCATATTCGGTGCAAGAATAAAGACACTGTATGCATATATGTATGTATATATCTTTAAGAGGTATATTCGACCGTCCCACGATTAAGAAAAAAAAGAGATGTATGCACAAGACCACTAGCTTTAAGAGGGTATATTCATCTTCCCATGATTAAGAAAAAGGATGTAATAAAAATGCAGTAAACTTACTTTGGTATATCCAATGCTTTTTAGAAAGTATTATTGTATGCAGTAAGTCACAGGTTAAGGTACCAATACATACCATTTTGCCTTGCAGATAAAAAGAGTAAAAGCCACATTCTTTCCATGATTCTCTCTCTCTCTTCTTTCTCTCTCTCTCTCTCTAAAAGAGTTGCATATGTCATGTTTCATCAGGGAATCTCATCTCCACAGACCAAACACCTTTTGTTCCTTTTTTCTTCTTTCTTCTAAAGCAAAATTATTACCAAGCTTCTTTCCTGTGCTTTTTTTTTTAAAATATCTTTTTTCCCTCTTCTACTGCAAATCCCCAGGCAATACAGTAAATACTCTTGCGTGTCACCACGGCAATGAATAAATTATCACATGACAAGTTCAAAACGCAATGTCGTAATCAATTTTTGGCTCCAACCATAACAAGAAGAAGGCCTCTGCCTAATTTCAAGATTCGATAAGTGCTTAAACAGTGCAGCAAATAAATTATTTAACTGATAAAAAATTAACATGATATTAATCTTATATAAGTTCAGAGTAACACTAGGTGCGTCAATAGTAAAAACGAAATGTCGATAACATCTTAAATAATAGGGGCATAGTTAGAAGTGGTGTGAGTGACCAGTAGAGTATATGAATGTCAAAAACTTTATTGTTTTGAAATGTAAAGGGACAAACATCACAAATTCCAAATTAAAGTGCGGCTGTCCAAAATCACTCGGTTAAGACATTATTGACCTAATTATTGATAAGCTTTGGACTATCTTTATCCTTTTACATCCACATCACATGTTAAGCTTGTCTTTGATTTCATCATTATAGCTTTTATAAGGTCCACTTAACTTTTATGTCTACATCCAAAATCTTATTAATTTGGCAATAATTGTTATAAGGTCACCTGACAAGCACGAGAAAGTTCATGGTGAAACCTAAATCAAAATATATTAGCTTTCACTACATATGTCCAAAATATATTGAATTTCAAGTAACAGAAAATTAGTGAGACTTAAAAATTAATATACAAAAGTCATAACAGAGGTGGGCACAAATGACTCACATGTATAACTGAAACCAAGAACGAAAATCCTCCATTTCAATTTGATGTGATTCACGACCCAGGACTAGAAATTAGCAACGTTGACAGTATTTTATTAGTCGCTCAATCCTTTTGCACCAACGGTTTTGGCCCATTAACATTAATTCCCAAATACTGAACCAGCACGTTGTTGAATGCCTGCCACCAGAAAGAACCGTATAAGAAATTTCTCTGTTGCCATTTGACACAATACTTTAGCCATGTAAATGAAATTTTATACTATGGACAAAATAATGATGCATCTGATACATGAATCAGCATAAGCACAGAGGAAAAAGCCGACGAGGGGAAAGGAAAGCATACAAGATCAAGGGTATGAATGAGACATTTCAATTGATCAGGAAATAAATATGCATGTCTGATGTTACAACGGTAGATAGACAAGGAAATCTGCTAAATTGAACATGATTAAAAGACAAACTTAATCCAAAATGGAATGGAGGAATTTTCAGCTTCTATCGTCATAAAACAGGAGATGGACCACTACGGAATCATCTTTATTGATTTTAGCATAAAAAGTTTGACGGCTAGCAATCCACTAGTTCTACCTTAAGTGAACGGAGGAGAATATCTTTTACAGCAATTTGAGACATATATTATGATCATATGCCAGAGGTGCATTGCTAATTCACTCCATATAAGAAGATAGAGATATTCACGGGATGTTGCATTCATGACAATACGAGAGAACAATAACATACCTGGCTTGCAAATGACTCCTTCCCATTCAAAAGAGCATCCATGGCAGCGAACTGGTCATCAAACACGCTGTAAAATTTCTGGTAAAATTGACTCCTGAAAATATCAGAAAAAATTAATTAATAAGACCCAATTAGTACAGTCTTTATAGAGAACAAAACCACCGTGAAAGAAAATCAATATTCACCCATCAGCTGCCCCAATCGTTTGATCCATCTGCTCAAATTTCCTGGTAAGGACTTCTGCACCCACTGGGGAGAGAGCGTGCAATACAAAAGCCTCTAACGTCCGAGGAAAATTGTGCTGAAAATGCAGAGTTTAATTGAGAAGTTTAAATCAGGAGACATCGAAGAAAAAGAGAATCATAGAGTATTAAGAAACAGCAAACAGGACTTATCAAAATTGAGCAAGATATGCAATTGTTTTTGCAGAAAAAAAAGTAGGAAAAGGGCACACTTCAAACTACAGAAAACCATCTCATAAATACAGCTAGAGCTGAACAAGCAAACAAAATTGTTCTGGGCCAAAAAGTAAGGATAATAAATACAGAACAGAAGAAACAAAAGAAACAAAAGAAACAAAAGAGAAAACTCCTATAAATTTGTCCGACGTTCCGCCCAACCTTCCAGAAGCGGAAGAATTTAGTGACTGAGATAAAATTAGATTGCAATGATGACTACCCAACTAACAGGAAAATGATATTAATCTCGGGTTCTAAAGTTGTTAATTCGCAAATCATCATCAGTCCACAGGGGTCAACATCACCAGTGCTCAAGAATCAACCGCTTTCAAATTTAGAATAACACCAAAAAAATGTGTAGTAGTCTCCACCAGATAGAAGATATTGAGTTTAATTTCAATCATAACTCCATATCTCTTTTTCGTAAATACATTATCTTTTAACACAACTCCCCCAAGTTCCAAAAGTTTTATCTATTCAAATTTCTTCTTGCAAGTATATTTTGTTCAGGCCTAAGTGATAAATGCATCTCCCCTTGGTATAGAACCAAGTTTTTAACCTTGCTATGTCCATAGAGGAATGTTAGAAAGGAAAGGAAGCCGGGCATATATAGTAAAGTAAAGCACATCCAGCCAAGTTTATGTTCTTTTTGTTTCATATTGTTTAGTATATTTGTAACAGAAGAGGCAATGAGAATTTCATAAAGGAGCAGGAACTCACTGCCATGGTCAGAAAGACACTTTGAAAAGCACGTGGTTCAAGGCTCCAAACAACATTAGCTATCGGATCTTCTTCTAAGTTGAAGAATTTTGTTTTAACAATTTTCTCGATTTTGCCCTCCTCTCCACTTACAGAACATTCTGTTTGGATGTCGCCTACTGGTTGAATCTGGTCAATTTGGTGATGGACTAATGAAACAAGTTCATTAAGACATCTAAGTGCTTCAGGTTGCAGGTCATTCAATGAAAAACCTTGCTCCAGCTTTTCTTTCATACTGAGTGTGTGATGGTTCAGATCCAGATCTTTGTCAAAATAACCTGGTACCCTCACATTGTGTTCGCAAAACAAATAACCATATGAGTGAATACAACAAACACTTTTCATCAAGTGTAACAAAATATGCAAAGAAGATATCAAAATGAAAGGACTAAGAAGATTCAGTAATAACCTGCATTTCCATTACTAGACTGGCCACTTGCATTAGCCACTTCTTTATCAACAGCGGTCGAAGGCGTACAAAGCATTCGATTCTGTCCTGATCACATGACAAGCTAAGGGGCCTAATGGTAAACTAAACCTTCTTATTGCACCAGTACGGTCGTAAGGATTAACATTTTAATCAAAATAAAGTTAAGCTCTAGTGAACAGGTTAAAAGAAATACAACATAAATATTATGGTCCCAACTAGTTGGTAATATTCAAGGGCGTAATGTGCTTACCATTTCCCTGTCAGTCAACCTAGGAATTTTGATGGAATGAAAAATGAAAAAGAAAAAGGGAGAACAAGTTAGATTGTTCCAGTATTAACTAAAGAACAAAAAATAACATACGAACTTAACGTACCTTTTCATTATTCTACGTAGATAGTATGCATCCATGTGTTCTAACATGCTAGACATCATGTCCGACTGCCACCAGAAATTGACAGCTATAGTTATGTCTCCACTGTCCACTTGGTGGAACCTGGAATAGCAGGTAAAGGATATCTTTGAACATACAGTACAAACAATTAGTCATTCAAGGCAATGATTGTCAGATAACTAATTAAGTCAACAAGTACATGTGTTTCTTGTATGTTACACGATCTAGAGTAACTCCGCTTCAAGCACTTAACTGGAACTAGTTTAGTAGTTTATGTTACTGCTAACGAATTATTATTTTCCCTGTAAATTCAGCTTCCAAAATGATCAGTTTCCTTTACCATTGGAGTCTTTCAGAAATGACTACTTCCAGAAGAAGATAGAAAAATAAAACAGAATAAACATAAACAGAATGGTAAATCGGACAGGAAATAATGTGATTGGTACATGACGAAGGCCACTACTAAATTTCTCATTTTCCACCCAACATAAAACCAACCCTACATAGAAGCATATTCTTTCTCACTTAAATTTTCTCAATAATCTTGTTAATTTCAATACACTTATTAACCTCTTTCTAGAATTTAATCCAATTATGAACATAGAACCGAGCATCCATCTCCATGTGAACCCCACAATATCATTGTTACTATGACCTTGATGTGCCCCTATGCTAATGAGCTCAAGTTTTAAGAAGAAGAACGTTCTTCAGGGAAGAGATAAAAGATGAAATAATAAATAACAAAAAAATTAGTAACATCCAGAAAACAGTACTAATGTTACCATCCTTCAGGAATGAAAAGAGCATCCCCTGCGTAAAGAGTAACCTTCTGGGAGTACTCCTCCATCGATTTTGCCCTCGGATAGAGACTAAAATTAATGTTTCCTAAAGGAATGGCACTGCCAAAAAGAAAAATGTTTACGACATTAAAAAGCAACTAAAATTGATGAATATACAACAGAAGTAAGGTGTGAAGCATGCCAGTCCGCTCCAAACAGAGATGCAGGTTACTTAAATAAAACTGAATACCTGTGGTTCGAGGCTTCCCCATACAATGGCAATGGATATAAGGAGGAGCATGCAGAAGGAGGCCATAAAACAACTGATAACCAAATGGTTTTCGTCCCAACAGGTTCCATGCAGATACATAAGTATAAGAGGGTCAGAAGAAAAATCTTTAGGTAAATGTTATACTAAAGAAAGCTGAAGGGAAGCATATAACAACCTTCGTATAAGATAAGGAAGACATGATATAATTGTTTAGTCCTTTTACCCCAAGCAAAGTGACGTATATAAATATTTTTTTATGATATGCAAATCATAATTATATAAACATTAGATTTACAATCCATGCGCCCCAGCATACAACCTTCACTGAGTGAGCATTCAACCTAGTTTTCATACCAACTCCATTCAAAACTAAAATAATATTATCCAAAGAAACTCAAAAATGCCAAAATGCTGAATATTTTCCACCACCACTACCACTTTCTCCAAAGCACATATTGATACTGGAATTTATCATAAAATAGTAATAAATATCTAACAACGTAAATGCTAGGTTCCATACCTTGTTTGTGTCCTGAAATTATGCATAAAAGATTGTGGTGCGGATCGTAGTGAGTACTGGATCTAGTCCTAGAACTATTCATCCATAAATTGATGGAAGCCAGTACTTTCCCCTCCAGAAATCCAGGCTGTTTGGTTTAAACAAATGTATTAAAGATCCAATTTAAAAGGTTAAACGTGTTATGCATGCAGGTCAGCACTGGTTGAAGAATAAATGAGCAGGAAAATTCAGAATTATGACATGTATACCGTTTCAATATCTTCTCTTAGGCATTCCAACTGAGCCATTTCGTCATTCTCAGCATTCACAATGGGTACCTGAATTAAGTAATAGTTAGAACAGCTAAAAACCAACATAGTTATCAAGGCTATAGATGATCCAAGAAAGAATATCAGTTTAAAGGTTCAGGGATAGGTCTGTCAAATTGATAATCAAGAAAATAAATGCATAAATTACGGTAACATAAGAAAAGAGTTAATAAGATAATAACCCAAGCTTAAGAAAATAACTTAACAGAAGCAAGCTTATCATTGAAACTGAACATTGCTTTATGAACCTACACAGATTGTTATCAATATTAGCAATGCTTAGGGTGGACTCCAGCCCACTCCCAAAAGAAAATAAAATAGGTTGTATTATTTTATGTGTTAGCCCACCCAATCCATCTCATCAAACCCACTTAACAATATACACATTTAAAATCCAACAAAAAATATCATTTTCAAGAAACTGTAATTCATTTGGTACATACTACATTTTCATTTATGTTGTATGCATAAAAAATACACACATAACAATGAAACGAGCAACCTAGACTGACGCTTCCCATTTGTCTTCTTCAATTGACCAACCACAGAAAGTCAAACTCTCATTTTGTTCACTTAATTAATTCTAGATTCTCAAATGGCATGGCTCTCTAATTGCTGGGAGTTTGTGTGTGCATATATGTTGCGGTTTCCAGGATTGGGGTTTTTATAGAGTGGGAGGATGGCCCCTCTGCATCAGTCCACTGTCTCTGCATTAAGGTTAGGCAATCAAGTTTCAAACCAGAGGATTAAAAACCCAACTGGTCAATGACTTACAACCTGCGCTAGATATATTTGCTTCCGAGACTCTTCGCCTACTAAGTGATCACCATGTTCAGTGATAAGTCCCTCCGGCTTATGCTTCCTCAGTTGAGAAATCGAGTCTTTGCCATCATCTCCATATTGTAAAATATCCTTGCAGTATCCAAGAAAGGTGGAGAATGGCAGTGGAACCTATCAAAGCAGAACAACTTTCATCAACAACAATTACTGATTTCTAGGTTCGTATATTTCCCAAAAGTAGAGAAGAAGAAAACTCACCCTTTCATGACTTCTAATATCACCGTAAAACACAGGTGCCGATTTGGATAGCATAGCCCCCACCACCGAAGAGCCCACCATATCCTATTTGTCATGGAAAAAAGAATGTAACGGACACCTCAGAAGAATTAATCATGTCCAGGATATTTAAAAGTCAATATTAACTTAATACAACTAAACATTTCCCAATCTTACATGTAAATGTTCACTTGTTTAATTGGAATTTGAAATAGCAGACATGTTCAAACTGTGTAGTCGTGCCACATACTTGAAAGTTTAACAGTATTTGAGGCAAACCCTATCCCATTCGTGAAAGAGCTAAATTTCTAAGACACATTACCATGGTGTGTTAATTCATCACATATTTGAGTCACAGATTCTTCAAAAACAGTATAGCAGAAGAAGCAACTTACCATCAAGTAATCGAGGCCGCCGTTCAGAACATTCCATTTGGAAAACGCTTTCCATTCCTTTACGCATCCAGTGAACACCTTTCGAATTTGGGGGAAAAATCAGAGACATGGTTAGTAAAAAAGCACAAAGAAAAACTAAAAAAAACACAGGCACGTGTGTATGTTCGTTGTCGTGCAGATGTGCGAACATCGGACTGAATATGAATGTGATCAAGTAATTATTACAGCGGGGGCGTTTTTCGATTCAATCTGAGTAGCGAATTCTTCCGGCGACGGAATTTTACTGAACCGGTGAATTTGAAGAGACGACGACGACATTACTACTGAAAATTGGTTTGTAATGTAAAACGCACTCAAGTGGGAACGCTTTTCTATTTTACATTATGAAATCATGATCAAACGCAATTTAAATTAGGGCAAATTAATGGGGGTTATTTTCGTAATTTGGTCAATTTATAGATAATCAAATATTAACTATAGTTTAACACAATGGGCCGCTCGGACTTTCGGCCCGTTAGTCTTAAATAGAAAAAAGAAATGCACTATCAAATATTATAATCTGTAGATGATTTGGGCCGTTTCTATGATATGAGATAATAATCGGGTAGGAAATCGGAATGGAATTTCCGAATTTCGCGTTGATTTGTAGATATTCGAATTTGGAACCGTATTTTTTTTTCGATTTTCGAAGTTCAGATTTTCAAAAATTCCCAATTTGTTTATAACAAATCGGAATTGTGATATAAAATTAATGGAAATTCTGATATTCGATCCGCTTTTAGTTCCGAATATTTCGGTTGTTTTTTGAAATATATAATATAATTTATGGTATATTTTGTAATTTCATAATATAACTTATATTGTATTTTTTATGAAAAAATATAAAATAACGAAATGGTCAAGTAAATTATAACCTTAGAAAATATTAATGAGTACCATAAACTATTTGTTGCATGCATTTTTGCATTTCAATTTTATTTAATTGTTTTACGAAAAATTGGAATCCATTTTTATTTATGAAAAAAACCGGAAAAATTTCGAAAAAAAACCATATATGGGATAAAGTATACTGAGTTATGAATGAATATTTAAGTAAATAAGTTAAATATAAAAAATAAATAAAAAAGAATATATAATGAAATAATTAGGTGAAGAAAATGTCTCGATGGGGGCCCAACAAATTAGTCCATAATACACTGCGTAGTTCGCGCCATCCCGTGTTTGAAGTTTTAATTAATCCAAAGCGCGTGGGCCCAGTCTCTGCTTTCCAATTGTAGCAGTTTTACAATAATAATAAAGCCCAATTTTCTATAATATTTAGTGAGAGGACAAAAAAAATAACAAAAAATAAATAAAATTATATTACGTCATAATTTTTTTGTAATTAAATGAGTACCAATTTTTTAAACAAAAATTGAATTAAACTTGGTAACCATAGAACAAGACTTGATCATGTATATACATTAGTGGAAAATATAATTGGACCATGTCACACGTTAGTTGTTTGAGTCAACAATTATGGCATGTATGTATTTTCAATATACATAAAAGGCATAACACACCAATATAAAAATTTGCAAGTGTTATTGCTTAGTTATGTTTCAGAACTTGTAGATAAAAATAAAAAATAAAAATTTTAAAAATATTCACATGTTCATAACTCGATCAAATAGGCCCACATAAGACTAATAGTTAATTAATCAAAATACGGTTAGTAGGCTAAGGCCCACAAGATAAATTTGATCAATAATTAATTTTCGGCCCATGTCAGAAGACGTATAACTTATCAGCTCTTAAAATAGTTTATTAAACATAAATGCTTATCAGCTGTTTTATGTATTAATATTTAATAAGCTAATAAAGTACCATAATATGAGCAAATTTTCATATAGCTTTTCGGAAGCTTGTGATTGTGCAACAAAAAAATTGAAAAGGACTTGAAAATATCATTTGTTTTGCTTGGCCAAAATGGCCTCATTTCATTGACAATCTTGTATTATTTTTTGGTTAAATTAAGACTAAGTCTCACCTAATCTTTTTTTATATCAATTGTCAACGAATTAATTAAAATAAATAATATAAATAAAATTTGTGGGTGTTTAAAATTGACCCGATCCACCACTTAAACACCATGTTTAATTTAGTTATTATTTCTTGCCAACATCATTAAGAGGGAAGCTTCTTGCAAGGTTAGCAATATTGATCATGTTTCTACATATGGACTTTGGTTGACTTTTCAAGCTACTTAACTTTTACTTCTTCTACCTTTTCATTTTTCTTTTTTAATTTTATTTTTAATACAAATATTATCGTTCAATTAAAATATTTATTGTCATTTATTGCTTTTGAATATGGAAACTTACTGAAATAAATTGAGATTGGTGAATGAGAAAAGTGTGCCCAAAATAAATGTTTTTTATTTAATTTAATTAGATAAAATTAACAAATTTCGATTAATAGATAAAAATATATAGTGTTTAGTAATTATACACTTTTGACAAGGTCAAATTCAAACTTCGTTATCTATGGAGGAATAAAAACAAAGCTTAATCCGAATGGATCAAACCAAGAAACCTCCTTAATTAAAGTACTAACAAACAAAACCAGACAAATAATCTCAATTTATTAACAACTAATTAACCACTAATCAATATTAAAATAAAAATTGAAAAAATCAAAACGAGAAAAAGAAAAAAAAAGAAAAAGAGAAAGAAGGGAAAAGCAAAAGCGACAGGCATTCACGTTGTGCCTATCGATCACCGAGCGCCACGTGGACGATCAACGGACGTGGATCCCACGCCGACGTGGCATATCGCGAGTTTAACTGTTAATTGGAACAAGGGTTTAAGGAAATTAAAAAAAAAAAGACGGAGAAACGGGAAAAAGACCGTATCGTAAGTATACACACTGTTGTGTGTGTATCTGTGTTATATACTTCTAGAGAGAGAAAGAGAGAGAGATGTTATAGATATAGAGCGAGAAACAAGGCGCGGAGAAGCCGTCCGAAAACAAGAGATAGAAAAAAAGCTTTGTATTTTCTTCTTCTCCTCTCTGCTCAAAGCCTTTTCTTCCTAGTCCCAATTTCTAGGGCACAATCCAAAGATCGAAAGACCTCATCGATAATCTAGAAAGGGAATTATTGTATTTGTTTGACTGGCATTTTTGATTCCCTCCCCTTAACAGAAATTGATTCGTAATATACATATATTTATATTTATTATCTAAAGATCAGATTAATTTCTGGGATTATCAGAATTGGGTTGAATATATAGATACACGCGTACGCATATCTATATACACAGATCTTGCCGCTCCTTGTCCCTAATTTCACTCCGTCTGATCACATTTAATTTTCTCTTCGCCCTTTTTTGTTTTCATGTATGCCTGTAAATTAAAAATTGGGAAATGAGCTGGGAGATCCTTCTAGACAAAATCTAGAAGGGTTTAGATTTTGGATCTGATCGTTGGTGTTTGGAGAAGGCGAAGTCTCGTTCCTCGGATGAGAGAGTTGTTTTGTTTATATTATTATATATATATATTTTACCATTAATAATTATCTTCAGTTGAGATTTCTGCTCGGTTTTTGATTTGGGAATCAAGTGGGAAGAAAACGATGAAATGGGTAACATTGCTTAAAGACTTGAAGGAAAAAGTTGGACTTTCACAGGCTCCGGCACCACCCTCGTCAACTCCACCCTCTCCGCCCTTCAGAGAAAGCAGCAGCAGCAGCAGCAATGTCTACGATTCGTCACCGTCCAACCAAGACCTTTGGACATTACCTTCAAGGTTCGATTAATTTTTTTTTTGACCGAGTTGAATTGGTTTTGCATTGTCTTTGCAGTTTATGATTACACTGTTTACTGTATGGGGAAGAAATTGATCAATCAACTGCTTGCCGATAGTGAATTTTAATTTTTGTCGGCTAAAACAGCTGCCTGTCAGTTTTAGGGTTCTTCGATAGATGAGTAGGAACTTTTCTCTCTTCGAGAATAGGTGCACTGGAGTATGTATGCTACCGATGAGATTAACTCGACAACCTGGATGGGTACAAGTGCATTAAGAATGATTTTATTTGTTGATATACTATGCTATCTTTAAAAGTGACAAATTGAAGAAAGAGATTTGATCTCTATGAATTTAGTGGCTGTCCAGTTATAAACACGTCTCTTAGTTATCTGAGGTTTCTTGGTTAGAATATCGCGCTTTACCGCAGTAGCAATGTGTTCAATCAACATTTAGCATGTGTATACGTATGCTTCAGGGGCAGAATTAAATTGGTCAAGCCTTTGATGTTAAGTTCTTTTATGAGGAATCTGATGTTAAGTTCTTATTATGATTTTGACGCGTACCCCCCCGAACTGAACTTTGTATGTTGCAGTCAACCTTAATAATGTTGAAATAAGATGGTAATTGTACGAACGGTAAGGACTTCAGTATATGACAATATTGATGCCTATATGGGAGGTTTCTCATTCGAGGTTCTCTTTTATGGGATTTACACCTTTAATAATGTTCTTTATAGTTCTACAATAACTTTTGAAAGCCGTTGCACTGATGTGGCAGTTTTGATCATCTCTTGCCTTTGGGATGTATTGCAAATTATGGTTCTTTTATATTGAGGTCTACATAATCCTATAGATGCATCATTGTTTTTGTTAAAAAAATTCAAGGCGTTGTATGGATAGCTTGTCTTTTTATTTTTCTTGGCCTTGCTGCTTCATTGTTTGTTGCTATTTAAATATACGAGCATGATCTAATTTTTTGTCCTTTTGAAATTCTTCTTTGCAGAGACAAACAAGATTTGGAATTGGATTTCAAGAGATATTGGGAAGAATTCCGTTCATCTAGTTCTGAAAAGGTATGACAAGATGTTTTACAAAGTTGTAGAATTTTACCTATTGTGTTTGTACTCAAGAAATATTTAGAATAATTCCTTTCATGTAGATCAGAACAGGTAAGGTAAGATGCCTGAAAAATTAGTAGAGTTTTACCTATTGTTGTCTTTATTATTGCTTGTGCTTTCTTGTAGACTGCTTCCTCCTACAGCTATGACACATGTTATCACTTCCACGTCTAATACTTAACTGCCGTTGATATTAATTATCATGTTTTCTGTGTATACAGGAGAAGGAGAAGGCCTTGAATTGGACTGTAGAAATTTTTTGTAGATTAGAGAAGCAACACACAAATGTTGCACAATTAATTTCCATGTAAGAGATATTTTTTTCTTCACCTCTTTATAAATGTTCGAAAAATGCATTTCAGTGGCCACATATTCTATCGTTTATGATGTGCTACATATTGCTTCATTGCCAATTATTAGGTTTCTAAAGAGCCAAAACTGGAAAAGGTTCAGTTTATAGAATTTTAAATCAAACTATTTTCACCTTTTTGAAAGGCCGTGATAGTTTAACGCAACCATTTTCCCATTGAAACTTGTCAATGTTTTTTGGCTTCATTTATCAGTGATTTTCTTTTTTCAGTTTTATTACTAGGTCATATTGTACATTCTCCATCTGTTTACAGTTGACCTCTAGATATTCATTTTGAGACTAAAACTAATATGAACTTTGTAATCTGTACGAAATATGACAACTTACTACCATCTTATCTTGCTATGAGTTTTAACTTTCGTGCTGAAAATAATATCATAATCTGGTGCTGTTACTGCAATTTGCAGGTTAGTAGAGACACACATTTTTTCTTTTGTTGTCGGAAGGGCATTTGTAACAGATATAGAAAAGCTGAAGTTTAGCAGTAAAACAAGAGCTTTGGAAGCTGAGAAAGTTTTGATATTTTTCTCAGAAACTACAAAGGTGTTCTCAGATGTTTATATCTGAAAAAAATTCCTCCTTTACTTTAAACCCGCAAAATTGCATTGTTTCGTGACCACTTACGCTCGTAGTTATGTGCAGGATGGCTTTAGACCAGGTGCAAATCTACTACACGCAGTGGAAGTGCTCGTATCTGGGGTTTGTCCATCACCTATCTATATACTTCAGTATAATCTAAAATGTTTTACATTATTTATGTCCAGCTTGAATGAGTATGTGGATGGCATCCTATTTCACATGACATGGAAGCTCATCCTATATTAATTTTCCCTAATTTTTTATGGCATGTGAGACCTTTCAATCTCATTGATAACATTCGCTAGGATAAAAAATCTGAAAATAGTCTTGATACAATTTTCAGCCTCCTGCATCTTTCCATTCTTGTTCTGTAAAGGCAAAGGTAATGTTTATGACTCGTCAATTTGTTTAGTGGAGTGTATTGTTGCCAGATGATGCAAAATGAACTAAGTATTACGTCCCCAAATGTGGATGCTTTAAATTTGAATGAAATTGTTTTGAAGCACATATTGCAATTTATTATAAGGAATGATTTGCGGTGATAATCGTCGATTGGTGCTTTCTTATGGAAATGAATAGGTTTTGTGTTTGGTGTCTCTGTGTTTTGCGGTTTTTTAACTCTGTTACTAATTCAAAACTGTTGTGTGTACAGCCGATTGATAAACAATCATTCCTTGATTCTGGGATCTTATGCTGTCTCATTCATGTTCTAAGTGCACTTCTTTCTCCTGTTGGGACCAGTCATTCAAAAAAGCCAAATAATAATGAGGATTTGCTGCGAGTAGATATAAATAATGATGCTGAAACAAGACCTGTTCGTCAGCTTGAGGTGCTTTTTATTTAATGTCAACATTGTTTCCTATCTGAGTGCTAACTGCTAAGTACTGTACTGTTTTCCTACAGGCTTACTCTTGGTGTTAATTTGCTCATTGTGATGTAATGAATTCCAAAATTTATTGTCTTCATTTATTGATTTATCTCCTTCACATGCTCTTTCTTTATTAGCAAATTTCAGAACATCTAGTAGATTGTATCGAAACTGTCAAAGTATTTCTTGCATGTTCAAATAGCATATAGTTTATGCAGCTTTGTAGCTGGTGCTCAGCTGTGGCGGCAATCTATATTGCCTTGCAAAACCTCTGGCCATTTTTTTAAAATCAATCCATTAAACAGAAATTAGATGATTAAAGTTTGAGTAAACTGAAATTGACCTGCAGAAGAATTACAGAAGTGTAAAAGGCGTTCTATAATAAAACATGCAATTCTATACAACTTTTACCTAGAATCAGTCTCTGCTAATAGTCGAAGTATTTCACTGGCCAAAAATTATTGGTTGCGTATTTTGCTAACATACTTGGTCTATGATTCAGAAATTCTTACTGTTGTCAAATTTAATCAGGTTGAGGGCAGTGTTGTGCATATTATGAAAGCATTGTCGAGCCATCCATCAGCTGCTCAAAGTCTTATAGAGGATAATTCACTCCAGTTACTATTTCAAATGGTTGCGTATGGTTCTTTAGTAGTGTTTTCTCAATACAAGGAGGGTCTTGTTCCCCTGCATTCAATTCAGCTTCATAGACATGCCATGCAGGTAACACAATTTTTATGTGATATCAGAATAGCAAATGTGTTGTTTGTACAGATAAAATTTTGAAGCATGGTGTAAAACCATTTTCTCTGAATTGGTGAACTGATGATCCTTTTTCATTGTTCCAGATTCTTGGCCTTCTCTTGGGTAATGACAATGGTTGCACTGCCAAGTATATACGCAAGCACCACCTGGTAAACAATTACGTACATGCATATATTTTTTCCACATGCCTACGTATATTTTTGCTGTTAATCATATGATGTACTCGGAATTGGTTAGCGTTAAGATGGCTTGTCTAGAATGTAAAACGTCTTTTTCCAAGTTGCTTTAAGTCTTAATTAAGCAATATCATATGAACTGTTCAGTGCTCTTTTTCTGTCTTCAATATTTCAATCACCACAGACCGGATTTTCTTTGTTAACTAAAATTTTCCAATAATCAACACTTTAATCTATCGTGTTTTAATATTACCTGTGACACTCGAGTCGAAGCTTAAAGGTGTTCCTTATATCAGCACATGACAAACCTCGACATTTAAAATAAATTTGCCACATAAATGGCTTGGTTCTCAAAGGGAATCGAACCTTGACGCTAAAGCTAGCCACCATACCTCAATATCGCTCATGCAAAGCCTTCACAGTGTCATAACCTAGACCCTTCTAATCTATTTGGTGTAAAATGAACCATTCTAGTGGTATAGTTTCTAAGACATTTTATTTTGAAAATTATTTGGGTGCAAATTTTTTATTCAGTTCTTGTACAGTTTTGATTCCGGTTATATTAGAAATGGAAGTCATTTGTGAAAATACTTCCGACCTTATTCAACTGTACTATACCTGATTGGTCAATGGAACATGTAACGGACAATGCTGTTACCAGTGATTGATTCGAGATTTTCACTCTATTCCGTTTCAATTTTCCCATCGAAGTTCCTCTATGAATGCGGTAAAGTAGGTATTCCTGTGAATAGGAAGAAAACAATGACGTGATTAGTCATTTAACCTTCCTCTTTTATCTTGATTTGATTAGTCTTTTCTCATTTCCTTATGACTTGAGAATGTAACTTTGATGTTACTTATTTTTCACTGTTGTAGATAAGAGCGCTTCTGATGGCTATTAAGGATTTCAATCCTGACTGCGGGGATCCTGCCTACACTATGGGAATTGTGGACTTGCTTCTTGAATGTGTTGAAGTTTCTTATAGACCTGGTAAGATAGCATAATATCTCGTATATAACTGAAAATGAACTTATTCTAAGATTCTTGTTTGTATTTCTTAACAGAAAGACTACATTCCTCTAATTACACAAAACTTGTATTTATGCTACTTGCTTAAGTGTAAAAAATGAATATTAATCCCTTGAGATAAATTAAGTTTGGCCTGTGACTACACTTGGCACAATATATTCCCACAAATTTATAGACTTGGATGTTGATTTTCTGCAATTTTTGTGTGTAGAGGCTGGTGGTATCAGTCTCAGGGAGGACATTCATAATGCTCATGGCTATCACTATCTGGTCCAGTTTGCTTTGACTCTGTCCAAGAACAGAGGTGTTCAAACTTTCTATTCCATACCCGCTGATGATTCTGCCTCAGACAGTTCACATGCAGCAGGGGGGTTGGAGAGAAAAAACTCAAGAGAAAAAGGAGAAAATAACTCACCACGGAGTCTCTCTCCAACACTTAGTAGACTTCTTGATGTCATTATTACTTTTGCGCAAACAGGTCCATCAGATGCTCAGATATCAGTTGGACTAAAAGCTTCAAAAAGCTCTTATGCAAAGCATAACGGGCATGGAAGAAGCCGTACATCATCCTCTGACCGAATTGCTGATGATATGTGGGAGAAGGATAAGGACAAAGTCAGAGATCTAGAAGCTGTACAAATGTTGCAGGACATCTTAATCAAAGCAGAAAGTACAGAATTGCAGGCTGAAGTGCTGAATAGAATGTTTAAGATGTTCTCCAGTCATCTTGAGAACTACACGATGTGTCAGCAATTGAGAACTGTTCCTCTCTTAATCCTTAATATGGCTGGTTTCCCTTTGTCTCTGCAAGAGATAATCTTGAAAATTCTTGAATATGCAGTGACTGTCGTGAATATTATCCCCGAACAAGAGTTGCTTTCACTTTGCTGCTTACTACAGCAACCAATAACTTCAGAATTGAAACATACAATTCTGTCTTTTTTTGTAAAACTCTTATCATTTGACCAACAGTACAAGAAAATTCTAAGAGAAGTTGGTGTGCTGGAGGTTTTGTTAGATGATTTGAAGCAGAACAAATTTCTTCTGGGGCCTGAGCAGCTTACTGGGGACGAAGGTCAATTGGACAGAAAAACTAGTCCTACCAGCTTCAAGAAACACTTGGACAACAAGGATGCAATTCTTTCTTCTCCAAAACTCTTAGAATCTGGTTCTGGAAAATTTCCTCTTTTTGAGGTAGAGGGTACTATCTCAGTTGCTTGGGATTGTTTGGTCTCATTATTAAAGAAAGCAGAAGCCAGTCAGGCATCATTTCGTGCTGTTAATGGTGTGGCTATTGCACTTCCGTTTTTGGCCTCTGATATACACCGCTCAGGGGTCCTTAGGGTGTTGTCATGTTTAATCATTGAAGATGTCAAACAGGTACTTTAACCTTTCCTTTTCTCATTCTTTTCCTTTTAACTTTCATACCTTGTTGCTTTTAGATTTTACTTCTGTACTTTATACGTTATCTCTTACGGTGAATGTTACCGAGTTTCTTGTTTGATCCTTATGTTTTGAAGTTATGATATGTAACTTGTGGTTTGATATTATCTTGAAATGTCGTCATGGTTAATCATTGAAAACTCGGAGTGGTTACTGAAATATTTCTTATTGTTGTTGGCCTTGTGGATCATGGTTGGATGAGACTCCCTAGTCCCAGTTTTTGTACTGGTTCATTAGCTTTGATTTGTTCGTTTAGTGTGTGTACTATATCTGTATGCAAATGCTATAAATCTTTTCTTTTTTCTCAAGAAAAAATATACCATAATCCATGTCATAGATGTATATTATGAATTTATGTATCTCGTATACAGATAGCTAACTTTATTATTTCAAGATTACTCTTTTTTCACCCTGAAATTTGGCGAAGGGGTTGGATTTCGGTCATCTATATTGTTTTTTGGAAATTTGAAGCTATCTGTTGCGCTCCTAAAAGTTTGCTGGAGATAAAAGATTAGAAGTCCTTCATTTTTTATCATGTCTTGTTCATGCTGAAAGATGGCACTCCATTCGTTTTTGCACTCCTGAAAGTTTGTTGGAGATGAAATATTAAAAGTCCTTCATATTTATGTCTTGTTCATGTTGGAAGATGCCACTCCTAATCGTGCTTGCAGTTAGTCATTATCAATATGGTTTCAACTGAATCATATCTTGTTTATAGTTTGTGTTGTTTCAGTGAACTGATACTCTGTTCCATGAATTAATTGAATCTACTAGTGTTTAAGTTGCCATAATTTCTATCTTTTATTAGGCTCATCCGGAAGAATTAGGCGCATTGGTTGAAACTTTGAAAAGTGGGATGGTTACTAGTGCTTTGGGATCCCAATACGCACTTCAAGATGACGCCAAATGTGATGCCTTAGGAGCCTTGTGGCGCATATTGGGAGTTAATAGCTCAGCCCAGAGGGTTTTTGGTGAAGCAACTGGCTTTTCTCTTTTATTAACCACCCTTCATTCTTTTCAGAATGATGGAGAACAGGAAAACCAACTATCTATATCTGTATGCGCTAAGGTTTTTACATATGTGATGCGCGTGATGACAGCAGGGGTTTCCGATAATGCTGTCAACCGGACAAAACTGCACACAATACTATCTTCACATACCTTTTCTGATCTTCTCTCTGATTGTGGGTTAATTTGTGTTGAATGTGAACGGCAAGTCATACAATTGTTTTTGGAACTTGCTTTAGAGGTAGTTGTTCCTCCATATCTAACATCAGAAGCTACAACAGTTTCTAATGACAGTGGAAATGAGTCAGCTAGTTTTCTTTTGATCACACAATCCGGTTCTTTTGTCCCTGACAAGGAACGAGTGTATAATGCTGCTGCTGTGAGAGTGCTTATACGTGCTCTACTGCTGTTTACTCCAAAGGTGCAACTTGAATTGCTAAACCTTATTGAAAAGCTCGCTTGTACTAGCTCCTTTAATAAAGAAAACCTCACTTCTGTAGGTGCGAATTGCCGAATCAAGTTTTTTTGTTATTTTACCTATTCGAATAATCATATATAGTAAATTTTGTTCCAATGCTGCTAGGTTGCGTGCAACTTCTTCTGGAGACTATATACCCCTTCTTATCGAGCTCTTCGCCATTGGTTTCTCATGCTTTGAAAATTGTGGAAGTTCTTGGTGCCTACAGGTAATGACTGTTATAAGTGTGGCATCTATGTTATCTTTAGATTTCTTTCTCGCTGATATTTATTTTGACAAACTGTAATGATTTGAGGATGCAAAATTCTTGATTGACAGGCTATCAGTATCAGAACTCAGAATTCTTATCAGATATATTTTCCAAATGAGACTTGCAAGTTCTGGCCGTTGTCTTGTTGAGATGGTTGAGAGATTGATTCTTTCAGAGGATATGGGCTCAGAAGATGTGTCTCTTGCACCATTTGTGGAGTTCGACATGAGAAAGATAGGGCATGCTTCTATTCAAGTGCCATTAGGGGAAAGATCATGGCCTCCTGCTGCTGGTTATTCTTTTGTTTGTTGGTTTCAGTTCCGGGATCTCTTAAAATCATCGGCAAGGGAGACGGAAGCTTCTAAAGCTGGATCTTCTAGAAGTCCTAGCATGACAAATGGACAACAACTGGGAGCCCAGGTTCTTCGAATATTTTCTGTTGGGGCTGTTGATAGTGGTGGTTCGTTTTATGCAGAACTTCGTCTGCAGGATGATGGGCTTCTAACACTTGCCACAAGCAATTCTTCCTCATTGACTTTTTCTGGGCTAGAAATGGAGGAAGGTAGATGGCATCACCTTGCAGTTGTCCATAGCAAACCAAATGCTTTGGCTGGACTATTTCAAGCTAGTGTTGCTTATGTATATCTTAATGGAAAGCTAAGGCACACAGGGAAGCTTGGATACTCCCCCTCTCCTGCCGGGAAGTCTCTTCAGGTGACTATTGGGACACCAGTCGCTTGTGCAAGGATGAGTGATTTGTCATGGAAACTCAGGTCTTGTTACCTGTTTGAAGAGGTACTCTCACCAGGTTCCATATGTTTTATGTACATTCTTGGGAGAGGATACAGGGGGCTCTTCCAGGATACCAATCTGTTGCAATTTGTTCCAAATCAGGCTTGTGGTGGGGGCAGTATGGCTATATTAGATTCTTTAGATGCAGACCTGACTTTAACCTCTAACATGCAAAAACCTGAGAGTGCTGGCAAGCAAGGTGTCTCTAAGGTGGATCAAAGTGGAATTGTTTGGGATTCTGATAAGTTAGGAAATCTATCACTGCAGTTGTTGGGTAAGAAACTGATATTTGCATTTGATGGTACTAGTACAGAAATATTCCGAGCATCTGGCACCTTATCCATGCTCAACCTAGTTGATCCTCTGTCAGCTGCTGCTTCTCCTATTGGGGGTGAGTAAATCCATGGTTCGTTCTGTAGTAATATTTATTGTTTCAACCTTATGTGGAGCGTAGCATTAGATTCTTAGCTAATTGTTTTTAATATTTTTTGCGAACTTTCTCCAGGGATCCCACGTTTTGGTCGACTTCTTGGAGATATTTATGTCTGTAAGCAATGTATCATTGGTGATACAATCCGAACCATTGGTGGCATGGCAGTTGTCCTTGCACTTGTTGAAGCTGCTGAAACTAGAGACATGCTTCACATGTCATTGACGTTACTGGCATTTGCACTTCATCAGAATCCGCAGAATGTGAGAGACATGCAGAAGTACCGAGGATACCACTTGCTAGCTCTTTTTCTTCACCGCAGAATGTCATTGTTTGACATGCAATCACTTGAGATATTTTTCCAAATTGCCGCATGTGAAGCTTCATTTTCCGAACCAAGAAAAATCGGAACGGTGCAAAGCAACTTATCACCTGCTTCCACCATTAATGAAACCAGTTTTGAAGAACTCAATTTATCGAAGTTCCGGGATGAATTTTCGTCAGTTGGATCTCAGGTGGATATGGATGATTTTTCGGTACCAAAAGATTCATTTAGTCATATTTCAGAGTTGGAAAATGCAGATGTGCCCACAGAGACATCTAATTGTGTTGTTCTGTCTAATGCTGATATGGTTGAGCATGTCTTGCTGGATTGGACCCTTTGGGTGACAGCTCCTGTCCCGATTCAAATTTCTTTACTTGGATTTCTTGAGCATCTAGTCTCCATGCATTGGTATAGAAATCACAACCTTACAATTCTTCGAAAAATTAATCTTGTTCAACATTTACTTGTGACCCTGCAGAGGGGTGATGTTGAAGTGCCTGTGTTGGAAAAATTAGTTGTGCTACTGGGTGTAATTTTGGAGGATGGATTTCTTCCTTCTGAATTGGAACTTGTTGTAAGGTTTGTGATTATGACATTCGATCCACCTGAACTCACATCACGTAATCATATCACACGGGAATCAATGGGAAAGCATGTTATTGTACGAAATATGTTACTTGAGATGCTAATTGATCTCCAGGTGACCATTCAATCAGAAGAGTTACTTGAGCAGTGGCATAAAATTGTTTCATCGAAATTAATAACTTATTTTCTTGATGAGGCTGTTCATCCTACTAGTATGAGATGGATCATGACTCTTCTAGGTGTGTGCCTCGCGTCTTCTCCTACATTTGCGCTTAAATTTCGATCAAGTGGAGGTTATCAAGGTTTGGCAAAGGTGCTTCCAAGTTTCTACGATTCTCCCGATATATACTATATATTATTTTGTCTGATGTTTGGAAAGCCCGTGTATCCAAGATTACCGGAAGTGCGCATGGTTGACTTTCATGCCCTCATGCCAAGTGATAGTAACTGTGGGGAGTTGAAATTTGTGGAACTTATGGAATCTGTTATTGCTATGGCAAAATCAACATTTGATAGGTTATTTATGCAGTCAATGCTTGCACATGAAACTGGCAATCTCTCTCAGTTTGGTGCTAGCACTGTGGCAGAGCTAATTGATGGGCATGTTGACATGGCCGGAGAGCTCCAAGGTGAAGCTCTGATGCACAAAACCTATGCTGCTCGCTTGATGGGTGGAGAGGCATCAGCACCTGCTGCTGCCACTTCAGTTCTGAGATTTATGGTTGATCTTGCGAAAATGTGTCCTCCCTTTTCAGCTGTGTGCAAACGTGCTGAGTTTCTCGAGAGCTGCATTGACCTCTATTTTTCCTGTGCCAGGTATATTAGTGTTTCTCTGCTGTTTATTTTGTTAGTCGAGTTATCTCTGCTGTGGCCTATGGCTGGTTTGCTTTGGTTGCATGTAATTTAGAAAGTCTGTGCTGACTGGTTTGGTTAATCTGTTTATTCGTTAATCCAGGGCTGCACATGCTGTGAGGATGGCAAAAGAACTCACTGTAAAAAACGAAGACAAGAATTTGCATGATGGTGATGATAGCAGTAGCTCCCAGAATACTTTCTCTAGCTTGCCTCAAGAAAATGAGCCGTCAGCAAAGACTTCTATCAGTATAGGGAGCTTTGCCCAGACAAATGTTAGTGCTAGTTCTGAAGATATGCCTATTTTCCCAAATAACCCGACAAGTGAAAAACCAGAGACTGGTATTGTAGCGACACAGCTGGAATTGCACAAATCAGTGAAGGGAGAGGCTCATACTGTTGGGAGTGTTGATCGTGAAGCAGTTGACCAGGTGTCCCATCCGACGTTTGGCAATAATGAACTCAACTTCCGTGATGCAAAAAACATGCCAGATCATATTCATCAAAATGATTCACAAAGTTCGTTGTCTTCCACCATGCCTGAATCTCCTAGTTTGTCTGAGAGATCTAATTCCAGGATCCCAATTACTCCGTCTTCATCCCCGGTTCTAGCATTGACATCTTGGCTGGGGGGTGCCAGTCGCAATGACTCAAAACCCCTATCAGCTTCAACTCCTTCCATGGAGTCTTCCATGTCCATGAATGATATTGATTCATCTTCCAATTTGAAGTCTGCTTCTCAGACATCTGCTTCAAACACATTATTTGCAATAAGTCCAAAAATTCTTCTTGAAGTGGATGATTGTGGCTATGGAGGCGGTCCATGTTCTGCTGGAGCTGTTGCAGTTCTAGATTTCGTGGCAGAAGTTCTATCCGATTTTGTCACTGAGCAGATGAAAGCTGCATCAATTGTTGAGACTGTTTTGGAAAGTGTACCTATATATGTCGATGCTGAATCTGTTTTAGTTTTTCAGGGACTGTGTCTTACAAGATTGATGAACTTTCTCGAGAGACGTCTCTTACGCGATGATGAAGAAGACGAGAAGAAGTTGGATAAGAACCGGTGGTCCATAAACTTAGATGCACTGTCCTGGATTATCGTTGATCGTGTGTATATGGGAGGTTTTCCTCAGCCGGCTGGTGTACTGAAGACTCTGGAGTTCTTGTTATCCATGTTGCAGTTGGCAAATAAAGATGGTCGGATTGAAGAAACACTTCCGGCTGGCAAAGGACTCCTTTCTATGGGGAGAGGAAGCAGACAACTTGATGCCTATATTCATGCTCTCTTTAAGAATATGAATCGTATGATACTATACTGTTTCCTTCCGTCGTTCTTGTATACCATAGGGGAAGAAGACCACCTTTCACGTTTGAGCTTGCTGAATGAACCAAAGAAAAGATTGTTTCTTTACTCATCAACAGAGGAAGGTGTTGACATTTTCACAGTTTTACAGCTACTGGTTGCTCACAGGCGGTTAATATTTTGCCCCAGTAATCTTGAAACAGATCTAAATTGCTGTCTTTGCATAAATTTAATATCTCTTCTCCATGACCAGAGGCAGAATGTGCAGAATGCAGCTGTTGACATTCTCAAGTATCTTCTGGTGCATCGTAGGCCTACACTAGAAGAGTTTTTTGTCTCTAAACCAAACCAAGGGCCTTCATTGAATATTCTACATGGTGGTTTCGATAAGCTTTTGACTGGAAACTTGTCAGGATTTTTTGAATGGCTGCATACTTCTGAGTCAATCGTCAATAAAGTGTTGGAACAGTGTGCCGCCATTATGTGGGTGCAGTATATTGCAGGATCAGCAAAGTTTCCCAGTGTGAGGATAAAGGGCATGGATAGCCGTCGTAAGAGAGAAATTGCGAGAAAATCTAGGGACATCTCAAAACTGGAGCAACGACATTGGGAGCAGGTAAATGAACGGAGAATTGCACTTGATTTAGTTCGTGATGCAATGGCTACCGAATTACGTGTCATCCGTCAGGATAAGTATGGATGGGTGCTTCATGCTGAAAGTGAGTGGCAAACTCATCTCCCACAACTCGTACATGAGCGAGGAATATTTCCAATTAGCAAATCATCTGTCGACGAGGAGGAGCTTGATTGGCGTCTTTGCCCCATTGAAGGTCCGTACAGGATGCGGAAAAAGCTTGAACGCTCTAAACTAAAGATTGACACCATCCAAAATGTTCTGAACGGACAATTTCTTTTAGGGGAAGGAGAACCGTCCAAGGAGAAAACTGAAAATGCCTCCAATATTGAATCAGATCCCTTTTTCAATCTTTTAACTGGCAAGGCAAAGGACGAGTCTTTTAATGTTGAGTTGTATGATGAATCAACTTTCAGAGAATCAGATGATGCTCGGGATATAGCTTTTTCTGGGGTTGGATGGAATGACGATGAAGATAGTATAAATGAACCAAGTCTGCATTCAGCGATGGACTTTGGTGTTAACTCCAGCGTGGCATCCACTCAAAGAGCAGAAAGTATTCGGGAGAAGTCTGAATTCGGATCGCCAAGGCAATCTTCTTCCATAAGAATCGATGAAGTGAGAGTATCAGAGGACAGATCAGATAAAGAACTAAATGATAATGGTGAATATTTGATTAGACCTTATCTGGAACCTCTGGAAAGGATCAAGTATAAGTACAACTGTGAACGAGTTGTAGGCCTTGACAAACATGATGGTATATTTCTGATTGGAGAACTGTCGCTCTATGTCATTGAGAATTTTTACATTGATGATTCCGGGTGTATATATGAAAAAGAGAATGAAGATGAACTCTCCATCATTGATCAGGCTTTGGGTGTAAAAAAAGATTTTTCTTGTAGCATGGATTCCCAAACCAAGTCAACTTCATCTTGGGGCGCTGCAGCCAAGGCATATACTGGGGGTAGGGCATGGGCATATAATGGTGGTGCCTGGGGTAAGGAAAAAGTGGGAAATAATGGTAAGGTGCCTCATCTTTGGCGTATGTGGAAGCTCGACAGTGTCCATGAGCTTTTAAAGCGTGAATATCAGCTTCGCCCGGTTGCTGTTGAGATTTTTAGCATGGATGGTTGCAATGATTTGCTGGTTTTCCACAAAAAAGAGAGAGAAGAAGTTTTCAAAAATTTGGTGGCGATGAATCTGCCTAGAAACAGCATGTAAGTTATTAAGTTCATCCTGGCTTTTACATGTTTTGTATGGCTATTCATTACCGATTCTGTGTATAGTCTGTAACTATACAAAATTTGAGCTCTTCTGCAACTATTATTTTCTTCTTTTGGTTTTTTAAATTCAAAATTTGAGCTCACATTTATACAATACATGGTTTTACAGTTTAGATGCAACGATATCCGGGTCAACGAAACAGGAAAGCAATGAAGGCAGCCGTCTTTTTAAGGTTATGGCAAAATCCTTTTCCAAGAGGTGGCAAAATGGAGAAATTAGCAATTTTCAATATATTATGCATCTCAACACTCTAGCGGGCCGTGGATACAGCGATCTCACACAGTATCCAGTGTTCCCTTGGATCCTGGCAGATTACGAGAGCGAGAATCTTGATTTTTCAAATTCAAAAACATTCCGTAAGCTTGAGAAACCAATGGGTTGTCAAACACTGGAAGGAGAAGAGGAGTTCAGGAAGAGGTTTGTTCTGATCTTCTCTCTCTATTACTATCTGTTTCCTCGAGTTAGATCTTCTCTCTCTTCTTAATTTATTAGCATTCCGTATATTTGTCCAGATATGAGAGCTGGGATGATCCAGAAGTTCCCAAGTTCCATTACGGTTCTCATTACTCTAGTGCTGGGATTGTTCTCTTCTATCTTTTGCGCCTTCCTCCCTTTAGCACCGAGAATCAAAAGCTTCAGGGTGGACAATTCGACCATGCCGATCGTCTTTTCAACAGCATCCGCGAAACCTGGTTTAGTGCTGCTGGGAGAGGCAACACATCTGATGTCAAGGAACTAATTCCAGAGTTTTTCTACATGCCTGAATTTCTGGAGAACAGGTTCGATCTTGACTTGGGCGAAAAACAATCAGGGGAAAAGGTTTGTGGAAGTCTGAATATTTAGTTGACTTCTTTTCTCTATCGTTACATTTTTGTTGTGTATTAGTGTTTGCTTATAAGCTCGTGATCTTCTTCTGCCAGGTTGGTGATGTTGTCTTGCCACCATGGGCCAAGGGCAGCGTAAGGGAGTTTATTAGGAAGCATCGAGAAGCTTTAGAGTCTGATTATGTTTCAGAACATCTGCATCATTGGATAGACCTCATTTTTGGCTATAAACAGAGAGGAAAGGTAGGTGTCGAAGTATTGTTGCCTTTTATTCATTTAAATGAGTTTTTATTGCTTTAACTATTTTTGCTCCATATTTCTCCCATACTGGGCTTAAACAAATTTGATGGATTTTTCAGGCGGCTGAGGAAGCTGTCAATGTCTTCTACCACTACACATATGAAGGCAGTGTTGACATCGACTCGGTCACCGATCCCGCCATGAAAGCTTCAATACTAGCACAAATCAACCACTTTGGACAAACACCGAAACAGCTCTTCTTAAAGCCCCACGTCAAAAGACGAACAGATAGAAAGCTTCTCCCCCACCCTCTCAAGTACTCGACGCTGCTGGTTCCTCACGAGATGCGCAAGACCTCAACTTCCATATCCCAAATTGTGACATTCGGCGACAAGATTCTCATCGCCGGTGCAAACAACCTAATAAAACCAAGAACCTTCACCAAATACGTCGCGTGGGGTTTCCCCGACCGCAGCTTGCGATTCATGAGTTACGATCAAGACAGGCTTCTCTCCACTCACGAGAATCTCCACGGTGGCAGCCAAATCCAGTGCGTGAGTGCGAGCCACGACGGACAGAGCCTGGTCACAGGTGCAGACGAGGGCCTTGTCTGCGTTTGGAGAATCGGAAAAGAGGGGCCCCGCACTCTCCAGCTCCTGCAGCTGGAGAAGGCTCTTTGTGGCCACACGGCTAAAATCACGTGCCTCCACGTCAGCCAGCCCTATATGATGATTGTGAGTGGGTCCGACGATTGTACAGTCATACTATGGGATCTCAGCTCTTTGTCATTCGTCAGGCAGCTCCCTGAGTTTCCCTCACCGGTTTCTGCTATCTACGTGAACGACTTGACCGGCGAAATCGTGACTGCTGCTGGAGTTATGCTTGCAGTTTGGAGCATCAATGGTGACTGCCTTGCAGTGGTCAACACCTCGCAGCTTCCATCTGACTTCATCCTCTCACTTACAGGCTGTACCTTCTCCGATTGGCTGGAAACGAACTGGTATGTATCGGGCCACCAGAGTGGGGCGGTCAAAGTCTGGAAAATGGTCCACTCCTCCACTGAGGAGGCAGCACAAACAAAACAATCGGGAAGCCCAACAGCTGGGCTGGAGCTAGGGAGTAAAGTTCCAGAGTACAGGTTGATCATGCACAAGGTGTTGAAGTCACACAAATATCCAGTCACAGCCCTCCACCTGTCGAGTGACTTGAAACAGCTGTTGAGTGGTGACTCACACGGCCACTTAATCTCGTGGACGTTACCAGATGAGAGCTTGAGATATTCGATTAACCAGGGGTGATAAACTCAGGTGAGATGATAGTGATGGTTGGCTTGGTATTTTAGTGTACCCTCCTTTGGTTTGGGGTGTCGTTTCTTGGGGTACTTTGGCAGTACTTTTGAGGCAAAGAAACCATTTTACAGATGCAAAACGGAGGCTGTAATATATTGCTAATTTTGCAGAAAGAACAAAGGAGTTTTAAACCTGGGAGTAAACAAAGAAGGAAAATCTTCTTACCCCCTTTCATAGCAGCTCACGGGTTCACGAATAGGGGTCGGGTGGGAAAAGTTGGGGTGCATATGTATGTTGTATGTTTGAAGATTGAAGTAGGGGGAGGGAGGCTTGTGCTATATGTAGTATATATAAAAATATATATATATATATAGGTTACACATGATGACAGTGTAAAATGAGGTTGTATAGAAGATAAGTGTTGGCTGAACACTTATTTATCCCTGCTAACTTTCGTGCAGCTCCAATTTTTATGTTTATTTTTGTTTGTGAAATGTACAACTACTTTGGGGGTTGTGGTAAATATTGCAAAACTTTTGTGGGGCTAATAGATTTTCCCCTTCTTCACACCTTCAAATCTTGAATTTAGTTTGTTTTACATATGCTTGCAGTGTAAGTTTTGCCTGGTTTCATTTTATTATTATGTTGTGTGTTAAGTGCACTTTGCCCCCTGTACTTAGACCGTTTTTTCACTTTGCCCCCCAAACAAAAAAAAAATAGCAAGATAAAACCAATTAAATTGAGAGTATTCTCTAAATAAAACCAATCATTTTATTATTATGTTGTGTGTTAAGTGCACTTTGCCCCCTGTACTTAGACCGTTTTTTCACTTTGCCCCCCAAACAAAAAAAAAATAGCAAGATAAAACCAATTAAATTGAGAGTATTCTCTAAATAAAACCAAAAATAAGAGTTGGAAAACTAAAATTCCGTTGCCGGGAATCGAACCCGGGTCCCCTGGGTGAAAGCCAGATATCCTAACCGCTGGACGACAACGGATTGTTGTTAGTAATTTCTGGCGTTTATTATAAATTAATGTTCCGTTATTCGCTTATATTCACGTAATCCACTCATGCAGAAACCAGCAATGGCGTCGTTAATCCGACAACTTAACTTCACATCTGCTTCAATATCCATACCACCTCCCAGCATCAAGAAATCCCGAAAGACCATTACCAAAATCTCACAAAACCCCACTACCTTACAAGAATCCCTTTTATCATTCACTAAAAGATTGGATTTCAGCATCCCAACAACCAAACCTTTGGATGACGCTTATGCGTTAGTCCTTGATCATGGCGCTACCCAAAAATCCCTATCAATTGGCAAGCAAATCCATGCTCATATATCAAAGCGCAACAATGTCTACGATTTGGTATTCTTGGGCACTAAGCTCGTGTTCATGTATGCAAAATGCGGGTCCTTGTTGGATGCTGAAGACCTGTTCGACGAAATGCTTGAGAGAAGTGTTTTCACCTATAATGCCATGTTTGGTGCTTATGTTACTAATGGGGATCCTAGTAAAGCTATTGAATTGTACGCGTATATGCGGCTCTCGGGTGTTCCAGCTGACGCCCATACTTGTAGTTGCGTGTTAAAGGCGTGTTCTGGAGTTGGAGATATATATTGTGGGAGAGAGATTCATGGATACGCCGTAAAGTGTGGGCTTGTTTGTAACGACATTGTTGTGAATTCACTCGTGAGTGTCTATGCCAGGTGCAATGATTTAAATGCGGCCGAGTTGTTGTTCAATAGGAGCGGAAGCGGAGATGTTGTATTGTGGAATTTGATGATTTCTGCTTATGCTGCCAATGGGATGGGTAAAGAGGCATTGAGAGTTTTCAGAGAGATGCAGAATGCTGCTGTTACCCCCACCACGTATACTTTCGTTGCTGCTCTTCAGGCCTGCAATGAGCTATTGTCTGGTGTCCAAATTCATGCCTTTGTGTTAAAATCTGGTCTTTCGTTTGATAGATATGTTGCAAATGCTTTAGTTGTTATGTACTCAAAGTGCAGTAGAATAAATGAAGCTGCAAGAATTTTTATCGATATTGGAGACAGAGATAATGTTTCTTGGAATTCAATGTTGGCTGCGTATGTGCAAAATGGTCTTTATGATAAATCACTCGATTTATTTCGTGAGATAATCAGAGCTGGTCAGCAACCTGACCAAGTCTCGATTATTAGTGTTCTTTCGGCCTGTGGAAGATCAGGAAACCTGTTGAACGGAATGGAAATTCATGCCTTTGCTTTGAAAAATGAGATGGAATTGGATCTTCAAGTGGGAAACACAATCGTAGACATGTATGCGAAGTGTTCTAAGACATGTTTCATGGACTCTGCTTTCCGAAGGATTCCCCTCAAAGATTACATTTCCTGGACTACAGTCATTGCTGGCTATGTTCAGAACTATTGTCACACGAAGGCTTTGCAATCATTTAGGGATGCGCTGGTGGAAGGGATTGATATTGACAAAATGATGATTGAAAGTCTTCTCCTGGCTTGCCGTACGTTGATATGCATTTCAATAGTGAAAGAGATCCATGGTTACATTACGAGAAGAGAATTATCTGATATTATCCTGCAGAACACTGTTGTGGATGTATATGGAGAGTGTGGAGAAGTGGATTACGCAAGAAATTTCTTCAAACTAATTGAAGTAAAAAATGTTGTATCCTGGACAACCATGGTCGCTTGTTATGTCCACAATGGACTTGCAGATGAGGCTCTTGAGCTTTCTTATCACATGGTGAATGCAGGTATTGAGTTGGATTCTATTGCAATCTTGAGTATTCTCTCAGCTGCGGCTAATTTATCAGCACTGAGAAAAGGCAAAGAGATTCATGCCTTCGTGGTTAGGAGGTCCCTCCATCTAGGGGATTCTATAGCAAGCTCACTTGTCGATATGTACGCGAGCTGTGGTACAGTAGAAAAGTCATATAAGGTATTCAACTCTATGAAGGATAAAGACTTAGTTTTATGGACGAGCATGATTAATGCATATGGAATGCATGGCCAGGGTGTGAAAGCTATTGAATTATTTAGAAAGATGGAGTCCGAGAATCTTCTCCCTGATCACATTACCTTTCTGGCACTTCTCTTTGCATGCAGTCATTCTTCGTTGGTGGATGATGGCAAAACGATTTTTAACGCAATGCAATTTCAATATGACATGGAACCATGGCCCGAACACTATGCTTGTTTGGTCGATCTTCTTGGCCGTGCAAATTGTTTAGAAGAAGCATTTGAACTTGTCAAAAGCATGAAAACGGAGCCCACAAGTGCCGTTTGGTGCGCTCTCCTCGGTGCTTGCAGAACTCATCGTAACATGGAAATAGGAGAAATAGCAGCAAGGAATCTTCTCGAAATTGATCCAGAGAATCCAGGAAATTACGTGCTTATATCTAATATGTATGCTGCAGCAGAGAGATGGGAAGATGTGGAACAATTGAGAATGAGAATGAAAATCAAGAAGCTGAAAAAGGACCCTGGTTGTAGCTGGATCGAGGTCAAAAACAAGGTTCACACTTTTATCACGAGGGACAGGTCTCATCCCGAGTCTGACGAAATTTATGAGAAACTTTCACAGATAACTGAGAAATTAGAGAGTGGCGGAGGTTATAAACCGGAAACTAGTTATGTGTTGCATAATGTGGAGGAGAGAGAGAAAGTGAAGATGCTTCATGGCCACAGTGAGAGGCTTGCTTTAGCCTATGGTCTGCTTACTACTCCACACAGAACTCCAATCCGAGTCACGAAGAACCTACGAGTGTGCGGCGATTGCCACACTTTTACGAAACTCCTGTCGAAGTTTTACGAACGAGAAATAGTTGTGAGAGATGCCAACAGATTTCATCATTTTAGAGATGGCGTTTGTTCCTGTGGGGATTTCTGGTGATTTTGGTGAACTCTATAAGTCATTGATGCACAGAATATTCTTGCATTCTTTGCTCGTGATATCGCATGATGAGTGAGGGGGGAACTGAAGTGCATTCATATACCATAATACGGTTTATTATGTGCTACGTGGTATATCATCACCACACATTCGCACACACACACAAACACACAAGACTATAATTGCATGTGTCAATGAACAGTATATTTTAGGAAATTACACGTGTAATTGGTCATTGATATAAAAGTTGAAAGTTCGAAAATCAGAGGTAATGAAATTAGCATTATAGTAGAGGTGGCGTACAGAGGTCCTTATCCGGCCGACCGTCTTGTCCTACAATTTAAAGGAAAGTTTGCGTTTATAGTGTACGACACCACTTTGAAGTCTATATTTGCCGCTCGAGTGAGTTCTTCTCAACTATACAGCAATTTTTCAATTACAAGCCTGATTAGATACAGCTTACTTCTGACATTTTCGTAAATTACTCGTTATCTCTGCGTGTTATTGATTAATTTAAGTTCATAATGGTTTAGGGATGGTGATGCAAGTGTAGCTTTCTTCTGCGGAGCCGATTCCAACAATTTATCCTGTTCTCTCCGATGATGAAGACATTGTAGAGAAGGCAGGTGGGGAAATCTTATGCAGAATTTCCTAAAGGTACATTGTAAAGAATCATGGTTTAAATTGTTTGTGCCATTGCAGAAAATGTGAATTTCTTTAATTTCTTAGTAACAATATCAGTTTGCCTTTAATTTATAGAATATCGCATGTTTTTTACTCCATATATGCATCTTTCTACTCTATATATTTCCTGCATTGTACCTTCGAGAATTGTCCAGGAGCTGGGGTTCTGAAAACCGGCCATATAAATATTCATTAAAATTGGATTCTCTAATGTAGTAAATGTTCTATTCTTCCGATTAATTTTACTTCCCCGTTTTCAACCTCATTCCGAGGGTTTATGTTCCTAATAATGTGTTTAATATCACTTGTTTACTGTAAATGTTGTTCATAAACACAAAAACAATACCGAGCTGTAATACTCAGGCAGTATGTTGAAAAAACATAAAGATCTTATGATTAAAAAAAATAAAAAAAATTGCTAACATCTTGTTATTATATTGGTACATTTTTTTTATGAGTGGTTATATTGGTGCATATTATGTAACAAAAGTTGCTTATTATATTCCCAGTTAGTAACTATGTCTGAATGTCTTGACAATAAATTGTGTCCCAATATATCAATATATATACTAAATAGGGTTAATTGATTATCACTCCTGGTATTGAGGTCTTGTCTCCTCCATCAGCTGTAACAATCTGCCATTTTCTGGAAATTGCTCTTAACAATTAACTCTCTCTCTCACACACACACACACACACACACACTGTGTGTGTGTGTGTGTGTGTGATAGCTGGCAATGGTAATGCATGTGAAAGGCTAGACAATAAATTAGGGCATGCATCAGAAGCAGCAGCATTCATGTCATTGATGAGGCAATTGCTACTGTAGAGTTAATGTTGTTGCCTGATTCTTATTTCTCTGTTCTTACTCCCTTTTTTTTTAGCAATTAAAATTTTAATCAATTGAAATTAATCCTGATACTGTTTAGTATTTTCTATTAAATTTACTGTCTCTCTGTAATTTCATTTCATGTCCAAAAAGCAGAGAGAGAGAGAGAGGACCACTCTACCTACTGCTGCTAATTTTTTTCTAGGATTTGTTGCAGACTCCCATTTTTGAATCATTTATTTAAAATTCATTTAACATTTATTTTATTTTTTTCATATATATAAATAAAATGCTTTTGTTAACAGATTTTAAAAGTGTCATTGACCAGCACCACCCCCCTCTGATAATTTTTGGCCCCCCCATCTGCACTTTTTAATTACAACCTGACAAGATTTTATTTTCTTTCTCCTTTTGTTTTATTTGCTTATTTTCTTCTGTCTTATAATGATGCTTCTCATCTCTCCTACTACAAGTCTTCTCTTTCTTTCTTTTTTTATTCAAACAATTCCTTTGTCTTTTTCATATTATTATCACACTCAAATTAATTCATTTATTTTTTTCTGCATTTAATTTCTTTTTAGTAAGGAATAAAATTTCCCAGCTACCCACCTGTAGACATTTGGGTTCGTACTATGTTTACACCGAGCGCGAGGGAACTCGATTAAAACCCGAGTTTTCTTCTCCAATTATGTTTATTAATATGCAAAATATACGAACTTTACGGAGTATATTAGTAAGGGCTGGGACTGGGTTGAGTCGGTCGATTACCAGCCTAAAAACCGACCCATCCGTCAAACCATTTTTGCTCAAATTTGAAAACCGTTGCCGACCCAACCCTTGTGGTTCGGTTGATAGTTGGCAACCGAATATTTGGTTCCGAAATGGGTCGGTTGGTGGTTTATACCCGCAACTTAGTTCACTTAAAAACAATCAAATTTTGGAGTAAAATATCCACATTCTGCGTAATGCAACAGTGCGATCATCATTTATCAGTTCAAAATAATTAAATAACAATTTAACGAAAAAATATAATTAGAAAATTCAAAGTAATTTCAAACATGCACAAGAGATTTAGTAGAGTTTTGTGAGCTTTTTGTTTAAGCTTGGGCATAAAGAAACTGGTGGAAGATTTAGGTCATTTTTTTTTCCTTTGTTGATTGTTTTTAAAATTTAAAATACTAATATTTTGATAATTTCAATAACCACTTGAGAAAACACAACCTTTATTTTATATTTTTAGTAAAATTTTAATAATATAGTTGGATGACCGATAATTATCGGTCAACCAACTTTTGATAATATTAGAAACCATCAACCGACCCATTATAGATGGTTTGGGTGAAATTTTCGACCCGATCCAATGGGTTGGTTAAAAATTGATTATCCGGCTAAAAATATGGTCGGTAATAGGTCGGTTGGTGGATAAAAACCAACCCAGTCCCAGCCCTATATATTAGCACGAAACAAACCATTCTAAATTTTATATATAGAATGTACAAATATATATTATATAAAATTGGGGAACATAATGATATTAAATTATGTTATGATTTGAAAAAAAAAAAGTAGAAAAATGAAAATGGGAGAAGGTCATTTGGCCAAAAGTTATTCAAACATAGCCTTAGTAAAAATGATGAGCCTTGCTTATTATTTAGTATAGGTCAGCTCTGAGTACAGTGTAAAATCCACAACTTTCCCCTCTAACGTTTGGTCAAATATATATATGCAAAATTTAGTATATTATTTAAATAAACCCTACAATATTCATTTGCGCTTCTTTATTACATATGTATATGTATCTGATGATTAGCAAACAGTATACAGTTGAGACGACTATTCACCCCACCCAACCCTACACACACACACACTGCAGCCCTATATATATATATATATATATATATATGCACATACATTTAAAAGTTTGAGCTGTAAATTTTTATTAATGAGGTTTCTCTTTCTTAGCTGTCCCTCCACATGACTTTAATTTGTCCACACACATATATATATATATATATATATATATATATATATATATATATATATATATATATATATATATATATATATATATATATATATATATATATATATATCCGGGCAGCTATAAATAAGATGCAATAATCCCATATTCTGGTGTATGTATGTATGTGTAGTCAAGTCATGTTTGTGTAACATTAATAATAATACTTATCTCTTCTTCATCTTCTTCCCTTTTCTTCCCTCTTCTGAAGAACAAGATAAATTAAACATCTCCCAAATCTATTCTTCTTCATTCAAACACACACACAGATGCTATATATATATATATATGTATATATGAGAGAGAGTATTTGACCGACCTACAAGGGGAACAAGTGAAGCTGCCAGCATGATCTATCTTCGGATATATAGTTCTTTTTTAATTTTACTGTATGTATATATGTATATGTGTATGTATATACATAAATATATATGTATATATAGAACTTATAACCCTGGCTAGGTCATGCTCTGACAGCATCACTCCTTCCTCTTTGGGGACCCCAACATATATGTATAGTATCTATACACACACACACACACACACACACACACACACACACACACAGGTTATTCTAACTATATATTACAGTATATTTGCTACTTCGCGATCTCTTCTGTACGTACCATCAAATATGCAAGTATATATTTATATATATATATATATTCTTTTCTTCTTCTTCTTCTCAGTTTGGATGGTGTTCATCAGTAGAAAATAGTTCGTTTGAAAGACGTGTGAGGAAACCATATATATATTTTATATATGTAATAATTAATGCATTTCTAATTTGAGTTCTCTATTTCTTTGAATTTATGTTTACATTTGCAGGGCTTTGAGTGCTGGAAATAAACTGGAGAGGGGTGGTGGTGTACATAATTAAACATCTCTCTGCAATTTGTGGCATATATCAACTTTAATTAATCCAGTGGACACAAATATATATTCTTCATTACATTCAGGAGAATTTAAGTATTTTATTTTTAAATCTTTCTTATGAGTTAGGGCTGCATTTAGCATTTTCGATGATTTTATTATTTTGGTTTTTTTTTTAAAAGATTTTCTGGATATTTTATTTTAATATAATTATTTGTATTTACATTCTCATGTACACACACTGTGAATATTACAGCTTATATACAAAAAACTTCCATCAATACCAACAACAAAATTCACAATTTTAATATTTTTATATTATAAGTTAACTCGTAACCAATAAATATATATATCAAAATACACAATCACATGCATATATTACCATTGATGTGCAATATGCAGTCTGGCTACATATATCAAATTCGCCAAAATTGAAAAGAAAAAAAACATTATTAAAATTTTAAATTTACATAATTTTGGACAAAAAAATTACTTTAAAACGACAAGTATTTTGAGACGAATGGATCATTTAACATTTGTTGATGACACAATTCAATCAATTGCAATTAACTAAAATAAATAATTAAACCATCATAGGTAGTTATAATTAGACATCTGTACTTCTGGAAAGTAATTAAGTTCCACAATCTCTACTAAACCCACTAATCATGAATTAAGAAATGTATTTACTACTAATCATGTCTAATTGATGATCAGCACGCTTATAGTGACAAAGCCATAATGTTTATTTAATTAATTATTTATTTCATCTTTATGGTGAAAGCATAGTTGAGGCCAACATGTTGGGAACTTTACCTCATAATAAAACGACATGCGGGTTAAGCTTTTTCCACTTTTCGATACAACGAAAAAAAAATGCATTAAGCCCGAAAATCAAACCACGTTACTCGATATTTTAATTTTAAAATCGTTCGTTAAAAGCTGATCTTGTTTTCGAAATGGAAGACTATTATGATTATTATTTTATTTTATTTTATTTTTATAAATTATCTCATCGTATAACTTTTTAAAGTTGTTGTTTTCTTTGGCATGTTTATATGTATGCAATTAATTAGTTAAGTAAAAGTGAGAAACAATTGGATGGGGGTATGGGCAAGCATCCGACAAATGGCATTCCATTTTTAATTAATTAATTAATTAATCAAGATTAAGTTATCCTCATTGAACTATGTGAAGATACTTATTAGGAAAGTGACAAGGTAACCATGCTACTAATTAAATATATACTAATTAATATTTACGATTTACTCATCTCGTCTAAGAGATTAATACATAATGTGTGTGTATATATATATATATATATATATATATATATATATATATATATATATATATATATATATATATTATCTTGTAATAATATTGCAAACATGTGTATGTGTTTGGGTGGGTGGTCACATGAGTTTTGTTAGGTGAGATGCCTTTTTTTTATTTTCTTCTAATTAATCTAAGAAAGAAGCCATGCAAAATTGCAAATGGTGCCCTATATAATTACTTGTATATATAATTATATATATATTCTCTCTTTTTAGGTATTTTTCAACACTTGAATTTGATTGGTTCTTATAGTCGGCGTCATGCGTTTTAAAATTATATTTCAAATCATATATAGATAGATACACACACATAGTGTGTGTGTGTGTGTGTGTGTGTGTGTGTGTGTGTGTGTGTGTGTGTGTGTAAATTTGGAGTTGCACTAAAGTAGAAAAAAGTAGTAGGTAAAATAAATGTAGGAAGGCACATTTGGCTTTGTCCGCATGGTGTGGTGGCCTGGGCGTGACACATTAATATTCAACTTGTCTCGCTATATTATGGACCACTTCCCCCCATCTGTTTTATATGCAATTTAATTTATTATTTTCTCAAACCTAATTTTAATTTTAATTTACACCCTAAAAAAATAAATTTAATATTAAACACCTAGATAATTAAGAAAATTAATTAAGAGAACAGACCAATAGTACATATGCTCATCACCATCTATATATATATCCACTCACTCCCCCTCCCAAGTTTTCACTAAGTATTCACCCTCTTGTCGTCGACACACCACCGCCACTGCACACCTCCGATCGATCCGCAAGAATGCGCGGAAATATTGATCGACGAATCGTGCACCACTAGTAGTTGAAGCTGCCAGCATGATCTCAACTTGCCTTCTGCTAGCTAGAGGGAAAGATCAGATCATGCGGCAACTTCACCTATTGATGAGATCACGAACAATTTATTTCTTTACACGACCATATATATATACATATATATAGTACTATGTCGTTTCTTTACTCGAACAATTGTCTTCTGTATTACTATAACAGGAGAAAAACCCATGTCATATATCAAGATTGTGTATTTCTTAACTTTCATGTTTGGGGGCCGGGGTCGAAGCTATGCTACATCCAATGAAGTGTACACCGGTAAGATCTTTACCGTTCATCCACACACACCAACATGGGTGTGTGTGTTTCCGTGTGTCAACGAATAATCAAAATATACCCGGTGTACCATGTAATAAAACTTTATGGGGTTAGAGGGGAATCTTGAAAACAGGGGAGACAAACAGTGTTAGAAAATCTTGGTGACAGAATTCAGTGTGTCTGAAGCTGTTTTGTTGCTTTTGAGATCCCTTTGTTATCCTTCCAAAATTTAATTCCTATCTAGCATTTTGCTTTTGCTGCAATGGCTGCATGTTAGTCTGGAGATGAAATAGTTCTCGTTGTCCTGTATTTACTCGTATTTAGAGTTCTGCCCCGCTTTCGATGTGCAGTAAATGTACACAAAATAAGGCAGAAATTATTAGAGTATTCGATTGTTTAAAAACAAATCATTCTACAAATTATTCAGCATTTCTTGGGAACTGACAATCTACACCGGTAACGGAGAAAAAATTGATCAAGCAACAAAGTTTCGAAAAAAATAAGAAAAAAACACAACACAACAGGGGAGCACCCATAGTACAACCAAAACGTCCGAAAATTCGTTCTGTATTCTACACCTAAAAATACACACAGACCTACAAATCCATCTACCAAAACTCAAAAACAGAAGTTGGCATGCGAGCACACCCGATAAATATTTTAAATTAATAATTTAGAAACAAAAAAAATCAGAAAATAAACAAGAGATCATAACTTTAATGTATGGGGGTCTCTTATTTTCTCAAGTGGTCTGTATATTCTTGCACCTTTCAAAGCCACATGAACCAAAGGGGTCCCACTGCAGCTCCCTCTTTCAATCCCTCTTCAATTGAAATCCACTGAACCATCACTCTGGACCTTCCATACGAGAATCTGACTTTTCGCAGAGTAACAACTTGCGTATAATTATCTAATCTCTTTGTTTGTCCATCTGGAATTTCATTGGCAGAAACCACAACTTCGATTTCCTGTAAGTAGAATCATCATCAATTCCCGAGAAAAAAGGGGGGAAGTTTTCATGTCTTTAGCAATTTCTTGTTCATGACAGAGCACAAATTAATGAGTAATCTAGTCGTAGTGTAGTCAGGTCAACTACGATCTCCAAAACGAGGATATGTCAAAGTAGAGTACCAACGGTTTGTAATTGGAGTGCAAAAAAGGACATTACCTATTATATCTTATGCATTTTGTTGGATTTGGCGGAATAGTTGCAACATCCAGTCAGCATAGCCGCTTGAACCACCAACCTGGTCCTCAACTAGATTTGTGAGTAGGAAGAAACCTTCTCTCGGTTGTTCACCTTGCCTCACAAGATGGCAAAGCTGAAAATACGACGGATCACTCTCCCTATATTTATTAAGAATCTTCATCACCTTTCTCGACATTTCATTGTCTCGCTGTGAAAGGCTAACCTGGATTCAGCAACAACACGGAAAAGAATGTTTCAAAAAGATAGATAGTAAAAATCATTACGACGTGATTAATAGCAGATTAGATAATGGTAGTCACAAACTGAAAGGTTTATGCAAGAGGACAGAGAATACGTTTAAATCGTAAACGAAGCTCACCTTTGAGTAGTCTAGAGCGAAATCTTCCCCAAGCAAATTCTGAGCTATATCAGGTGAAATAGCTCTGCCAAACCAAACGACAAACCGAAAACCATCATCGAAGATATAGAGACCTCTGGTATCTAAGCTCCCAATAGTAAGTGGTAGCCTCTTTGAAATGTCAAATTCTTCAGTCTGAGGAGATATACGGATCGGTAAGATTGCGCATGACAAATACAAATCATCCATCAAAAGAAAAAAAACAAGAGATGCTTACTTTTACGAGAGAATCATCAACGCGAACCAGGTTAGGATAGAGAAGTTTAAGCAATTTTTTAACAGGTAAAGCCATCATGGTATAAGCAGCTGCACAGCGTTCATCAAGCTGGGCATCAGCATACCCGCCACGAAGGGGTGTTGACTTATTCAATGCTAGTCCATACAAGGGTAAATACTTTAGTGATTCAGGGTAGATCATCCTCCCAGTCAATCGATGCTGGACAGCATAGAGGTTTCTGTATTCTCTGAGGGCTTTGACAATCCGAAGTTGAACGGCATTCCGAGCATCTTCCAACTTGGAGGATGAAGTTTTTTCAATTGCTGCATATTCGTGGTGTTCATATATTTAATTATCTGTAAAAATGAAGTAACAAGTGGCTGAGAAAGAGATCTGAAAGCTTCTTTACCTAGCCTTGAAAATAAAGAGATTATTGCTCCAGTGTCTGCCAATCGATACATTTCTCCTAGATCTGCAACTACTGGAGCAGCTGCAGTGTGTACCCTAATACGCCTTTCTCCAGAAGATGATGTATATCTTTGCAATAGTTAAGGAATTTGTTTATCTATCCTCTCCAGATTAAGCTAAAAGGGGACAGGTTAAAAATAAGACTCGTAAAACTACGTTAAAGTATATGCAAGAAATATTAACTTCAAATATTTTGCTAGACAAGGATACAGCAATGCAACTTGAAAGTAGACAGTCTGCGTGGTCAAAAGTGTCTCTTCAAGAGACAACTGCGCAGCATAAGCTTTATCACAGTCAACAGCAGGAAGTGCAATTAAGTCCGTGGATCTTAGCATAAAGTTCCCGTGATAAGTAGTGAAGCGCACCCCTATAGTAAAGACATAAACTTGTAACTTCAGAAGGTCATCCAACAATATTAAACAAAACAAAACAAAACAAAAAAAAGAGAGAGAGAGAGAGAGAGCACGGAATTCCAAGTAACAAAATTTCATCTTTGCAACCTGCAACATGAAAATTTACCTTTTCCACATCTTATTCGCATGACTGCTTCCCAAGCAGTCTCTCTAGTGAGATCTCTGGCTAGCTCATGTCTCAACTTATCTTTGTGAATACTGGACTGGAAGTTCGGGTAATAGTACACCTGACCACCAGTATATTTTGCCAGTGAACCTATAAAGCATTAAAAGAGTGTAGGTTAAGTTAACTGTTATCATCAAAAAGCAAGCACAAGACAACGTTCATGGTTTCATCGCTCCTTTAATCTTTTGGAGCACAAGACAACTTTCATGGTTTCATCGCTCCTTTAATCTTTTCGAGCACAAGTCACTAGAAACAAAGGACATTTAATCAACACATCAAAATTCACTTTGGACAGAGAAACTATAGGTCAATTTGCAGACATGTTAAGGACTTCAATTTATATCACATGGCAACTACAAATGGAATACTTGATCAACCAATTTTACAGAATATCTAAAGGGCAAGGATGACGGAAACTGAGGACATGCCAAATCATCAATGAAAATAGTGCTGAAAAACAATTACTTATTCCAACTAAAACAACAAGGTTAAAGCAGGTAAGGGCAAACCTAAGGATGCGATATCTGTGTACTTATCACTGAAAGCATAAACATTGACAGCTATCTGATGCTTGGTAAAATCAGCAGCCATCTGCTTATAAAATGGATCTTCTGGTAGTCGTAAAATATGCTCCTTATCTGTCCCGTAAACCCGAATATCATCTCCACGCAGCCTCAGGCGGCCAACGCCAAATGATGGCAGAGTATTCTGGAAAATCAACAATTTTCCACCAAGTTGGCTCTGAAAAAAAAAATAGGGGAAGATATTAAAAAAGTTCCCATTAATGCCAAGGCAACAGTTATTAATCAAATCTAAAAGTGTTGCAAACAAAAGCGGCGAACACACCATAACCATGAATGCAGCTTTAAGAGCTGGACCAAATGCAGATTCCACATTCATGTTATTCTGGAACATGGAGGGCAAACTATCTAGGAATGCCTCCACCACACTTCTACTTTCTGACAAGTTGACAAGCAGGTCATCTGGCAACGGAATAAATATATCATCCAAATCTGAAACAACCATCATCTGAGGCTGCATCAATGATGACTGGAGCAAGAGAAAACCATTAGTTTTCCACCAAAGTTGTTAAGCAGATTACAGATGCTATACAATGACAACTATATGGTGACCTTTACCTTCATGTTATAGAAATGTATTGTGCTATCATAAGTTATAAAGCCAATTTGCGTTCGAGGATAACCAGGGAGGTCGTCCAAACAAGACTTAATAGTTTGTGACATAACCTGGAAAATATAATGTAGGTTAGCATTGAATGAACAACTATATAAGACAAAATCTTTTAGTGAGGTGAATTATTTGATATTTACATCTCCAGAATCTTACCTCAAGCATTCCACTTTGAACTGCAGATGCCGACACGTCGATGAGAAAAAAGTAAAGTGGTGGCATCGGGGGTCGGACCATGTATTCAGCTGGAGCAATAAACTCAACACTACCCTTTGTAAGCTCAGGCCTTTGATCCATATCAACTCTAATGCCACTAGCATCCAGATGTGCAAAATAATCACTTGGAACTGCAAATGAGAAGCCAAGTTAAATCACTCCTGCATTTTTGCAATTATAAAACCAAATAAATCTACATTGAGGTAACCTATTTTTAAATTTGCCCAAAGGGCTTCAAGGTTGTGCTAGATATCTACTAAATAAGTTGGGAACAGAAGACTAGCAACAAAAGGATTTGTGAAATGATTCAGATGCTATAATTGAAAATATATAGTTAAGGATCTAGTATAGCATCTAGACTGAAAAACTTACCATCATTGAGCAATGAGCATATATTGCATCTCCACTTTCTTCCATGGTCGGTGAACGTGACATATGGATTCACATAAGTTCGACACCTTCTACACCGAATAATGCCTGTTGTGGCAAAATTAACCACTGGAACTTCCTCCTGAATGAAAACCAAGTAACGTTAAAGCAGACAGATTGCTGGTGACAGATGTACTATAAAATAACAACCTAAATCTAGTGGAGACTAACCCCAGCAGGAGTCTCTGCCAAAGGGCAGACAACAGCCCCTACAGGCAAATGCCATCGAGATGCCAAAGATTGAGAATTTGGTATGCCACTCGTTGTCAGTCGTAAGAATCTAGAACTACAATTCATGGGGTACATCTCAGCAAAAGTCTTTGGTTCCACATCACCACCCAATGGCCTTGGTAAGGCTGCAACATCAACTCCCGCATCAAATGATCCTGGTACAGATCCAAGAGAAAGGGAACTAAAATCTTCTGCCAAGCCCTGTGAATTAGCAAGGGGAGGTGCAATGCCATGTTGCTGCATTTGAGTGCCGGTATAGAGGCCTGATGGAGTCGACATAGGCGGACCAGGAGTATAACCTCTTTGTTGAGATAGAAAAGGAGTTGACGGTGCTGGTGGACCATAGTTCCCTTGTTGTAATGGAAAGGAGGAAGGCTGCATAGTTGGAGCTTGAGCAACAGAATTCGGTTGCATGTTAGCATACCCTGGAAAGGCCGACTGAAAAGTACCCCTGGGAGTTGCATAAGATGGGCCCATTGGTGGTGAAGAAGCTTGGGCATTTGGCCTGGATGGCAAGAAGTGTTGATCAGCAGACAAAGGAATATTCATGTTGGGCTGTCCAGTTTTAATGCTTTGAGGCGGAGATCCCATGGGTACTGAAGGTGGTTGGGGTTGTGAAGGAAGCGAAACATGACCTGGAGGAGGTCTAGTTTGCATAGGGACAACAGGCTGGCCAGTAAAAGAGGTGCGTGGAGGCGGTAATTGACCAGTTGAAGGCATTTGGGGGGATGGGAAATGCTGAAATCCTGAACTTGGTGGACCATATGAGGCCGATGGTGGAGGTGGTCTAACCAGTTCATTGGATCTACTCGTTGGAGGCGGTCTAAAGGCAGGCCCCTCTGATCCAGCGGAAAATGGAGGAGTTGAAAACTGAGAGGAAGCAGTAGATACAGGGCGAAAGGGGGGTGCTTCTGATCCAACTACAGAACCAGACGATAGAAAAGGTGTTGCAGATTGCTGAGCAGCAAACGGTGTTACAGCTGGTCTCGCAGGAAAATTTGGACGGTTGGGGTTTTCAGTCCCCATGAAGATTTTATCTCGAGCCTGTTCACCTCCAAAGGGATATGCTTCTGCAAGTCATCAATCCACAATGGTAAAAAAGAACATAAAACACCGTGTTATTTCTTTATATGCGGATGAATGAACTCAAGGTGCAGATTCAGTTTTCATATAACCAGACAATTAATTGGAAAATTCGAATAGAAAATGTAAATGGTCTTGTGTATTCACATCTATCTAATTAAAACTGCTAGAAATTGAGATAAAGGAAATAGATTAAGATATAAATGGGAAAACAATGCATTTATGTTTTGTCCCATGAAAGATCTCAATTTGTTGGTAATGGTATTTACAGAAGCTTTCTACTGAAGTAACAGATGAGGAAAAAGTTTCAATTTTTTTTCCGAAGACGAAAGGAACAACATATATCTCCCAAAAACAATAATGAACATTGCCCTTAACTAGTTTAAAATTGACATTTAACAACAAAAGACAATTATCAACGATTTAAGTCCGTCAAAGCTGCAGTCTTTTTCTGCAAATCCATACTTTCCACAACACACACTCATAAAACCAAATCATCACACAGCCAAACAGACAGATTTCTGTAGCTGGAAAATAACAAGGAAACAAAATAAATGAAAACACGAAATAGTGTTGAAAATTAAGAATTCGATTTTGATTGAACAAGCTCACACATGCACTCAACCTCAGTTTGCAGTACCGAAACAACCAAAGAAGACTGGAAAACACACAAAACCAGTCGCGATTGACCAGCCGGATTTGTAAAATCACAGTGAATCTACAGAAAACTAATCTTCAAAGTGAAGGAGAAAAAAAGGCGAGATTCAACACTCATATTATCCCATCAACACAATTCAAACAGCAAATCCACGAATTTTGAATTACCCGATCGGAGATCTCTCCGGTAGAGGGCGGAATTGGAGAATTGTTGAGGAGCCGGCGATCGGAGAAGGGGGAGAGGAAAACAGAACCAAACGTGGTTTCCGAATAATTCCGCTCTCTAAATATAAATAAATAAATAAATGAAAGTATATTAATTATTATGTCATAATAAACCAATTCGGACTTTTTTGCCTTTACCCTGCCCAAATTTTAACCGTTTCCAACTCGGGTTATGATTTGAAACTTGAGTAAACTGCAAAAACTACCCCTGTGTAATCTCGAAATAGCAAAAACCCCCCTGTGATAAATAAACTAGCAAAAACCTCCCCTGTGAAATTATTTAAATAGCAAAAACCCCCCTATGGAACTATTTGAGGGTTGACTTGGTATAAAAAGACACAAATACCCCTGGAGTCTTGCAATTAATAAATTCTTATATTTTATAAATATTTTAATTATTTTATTTGAAAAATAATCAATTTAGTTGTTTACTATTTTTTTTAATTTCTAAACAAATAAATTAAAAAGAAAAAATATACATATAATATGTATATATATAAATACATTTTGAGGGACAATTTTGTCATTTCAAGTCTAAAAAATCAGCTAGGGGGGATTATGCCTTTGACTAAATTTCACAGGGGGGTTTTTGCTAGTTTATTTATCACAGGGGGGTTTTTGCTATTTCGAGATAACACAGGGGTAGTATTTGCAGTTTACTCTTTGAAACTTCGATTCATGATGATGACGTCATTTGCTATTCTATTTCCGTCACAAAATCTTAATTGAATTTCAACAGTAGAGAAAAATATATTATTTTCCAAAAAATATATACTTTTTCATGAAATATACAAGTGTCTGCAAAATACCTTTTTTTTTTTTTAATTAAACCCTAATCTAATCAATCATTATGAATGTACAATGTGTTTTTATTAAATTACTAGTTCTTTACCCGTGCGTTGCACGGTTGTCAGCCATAAAAGTGAATAAAATATCTATATGTTATCTACATAACAACAATAAAAATAATTGAAGCATTGAGAAACGGAAAGTAAAAAGGAAAAAAAAGGATTCATCTCAAATTTAACCTAATAACATTCGAAATAAAACTGAGTCGTAGTAAATCAAAACGCTAAGCTTAAAACTTAAGTTTACTCAACAACGAATGACATAATAAAAAAAAAAAGTTTAATAAACTAATTTACGGAAGCAATCTACTGCACCATGTGACTCTGCATCAAAATCAATAACTTGACAATGCGAACGACAATTCTGAACTGGAGCAATATATTTTAAATAACCTGCAAAATTTCATTCACCAAGGCCAATCAGCATTGTACTATTAATTCTAAAATAAGTACAACTTAAAAAAAATGATATGTTAATAAGAGTTATATACCACTACCTCCGCATAACGATATTTTGAACACAATAGGAATCATACCACATCTGATAGATTTGGACGTGCATTAGATGAAAGATTTGTAAATAAACAACAAAGTACATGTAAATTGATTTACTAATATTGAAAATAGTTAGTAGGTACCTTCAAATACGTTGGAAGACCTCCTTGTAAACAACATTGTTAGTAATGTTGCACAGTTCACCAGATTCAGACTTGATCAATATCTTGATGCCACTCTTACTTTTTACCCTTGAGAGAGCCACGTATAACTGACCATGACTAAATACGGGTCTAGGTAGGTACAAACCAACATGTGAGAGTGTTTGACCTTGACTTTTGTTGATCGTCATGGCAAACGATACAATCACGGGAAACTGTCGCCTCTGGAACTTAATAGGCAGAGAAGAATTCGACGGGATTAAAGTCATTCGAGGAATGAAGACCATATCTCCAGCATTCTTACCAGTCAGAATCTTGCAATTAATAACGTGAGCCCCCATTTGTTGGACTTGAAGCCTCGTCCCGTTGCACAATCCTCTAGCTTGGTCAATATTCCTGATGAGCATAACGGGAACGCCCCTCTTGAATTTCAGCTCGTGGGCAGGAAGTCCAGAGCACGATATGTTGTTGAGGAATTCAGTGGAATAAATTTCGACGTCTGCTTCAGAAGTTGCTTCATCTTTGCATACACTATCTGAGCTCAAATACACCTTCTCTTCTCCTGGCAGGAGCGACAACAAATAGTCGTTAACAAATCCAACACATTCATTAGTCGGTGCAAGGATTGCCCTACCCTGAAAGAAGTTTGGATCGTAGATGTGATCCAACATGTCTGGGTAAACAAACTGGATAAACTCCTCAAAGGCACTGTCAGAATCACGGATGAGCATTTCATCGGGAATTTTGATTGTGGCCTCACCGTCGTTTGTCTCTCCAGCTTCTCCGTTACCAATGCTCAAGATCCAATCGCCGAATTCTCTCATCTCTTGCACTCCAGCGGGTGAATCAGATGCCTGAAGCCTCATGTTCCTGTGCAATCTTAGAACCTTACAGTGACTCCACAATGGTGAAGAATTGATTGTGGCATGAACGATGTCCTGCCTGGATGCTTTAAGGACAACGGGTAATATTTGCCTGAAGTCCCCTCCAAGGACAACAACCTTTCCACCGAAAGGTTCTTCGCAATGCATGATAGATTGCAATGTCTTACTCAATGCTTCAAAGCAGTATCTGTGCATCATAGGCGCCTCGTCCCATATGATAAGTTTTGCTAATCAGCAACTCAGCTTGGGGACTCTGTTGTGTAATCCTGCAAGTTGAGTTCTCATGTACAATGATGGGGAGTCCAAACCTAGAATGTGCGGTTCTACCCCCTGGAAGCAAAAGAGATGCAATTCCACTCGAAGCAACGTTGATAACAATCTCACCCCTTGAACGTACAGCAGCAGATAAGGTACTCCATATGAAAGTCTTTCCTGTGCCACCATGACCGTACAAAAAGTACATTCCACCCTTGTCGTTTGATACAGCGCTCATAATTGTGTCGAAAACTTGTTTCTGCTCGAGAGTGATGGAAGAGAGATTTTTCTGAAGTTCCGCACGCATGGCGACTGGGTCATAATCCAACGTCGAGCACCAACCTATTTCCCAACTCTTCTATCGACGATATATCCGGAAATGGCATAGGCGCATAATCACGCAAAGTTTTTCCATTGCTCTGCATGTATCTCTCTATCTCAATAAGGGTATAATTCTTCAAAGTATCATCCGATAACTTTAACTCTGCAAGAATCAAGAACCCCATTTAGTAACATATTATTAGAATAACGAAAGTATTTGAAATTACAAGTGTCTGCAAAATACCTTCGATTCATGATGATGACGTCATTTGCTATTCTATTTCCGTCACAAAATCTTAATTGAATTTCAACAGTAGAGAAAAATATATTATTTTCCAAAAAATATATATTTTTTCATGAAATATACAAGTGTCTGCAAAATACCTTTTTTTTTTTTAATTAAACCCTAATCTAATCAATCATTATGAATGTACAATGTGTTTTTATTAAATTATAATATCAATACAAATTACAAAGTAATAAATAAATTTATAAAATCAATAAATCATCACAATTGAACCACGAAGACCAGGCCCCATGGCCCATGGTAGTCCAAAAATAGGAGTCAACGGTTGACCAAACCTTGAGTCGTGTTTCCTTTCTTTTTTTTTCTAGTAAGTGTGTCCTTTCAAAACACGTTTTTAATGTAATTTTTTCAAACTGCAATTCTGTGAAGATTATCCATCAATCATCACAAATTGGTTGTATACTTCAGAAAGAAACTTCCCTACACCAATGTTTGTAGTATGGCAGAGGCCGAGTATCGGTCACCGGCAAACGAGGCCGAGCCGCCACAACGGAGGCGGCGACCATCCCCCGCCGCTACATTCCTCGACAGTCGACACTACCAACTAATCCAGGCGGCGGGAATCAATCACGTCTTTGAACCACAACGTAAGAGCTTCAAGTAACTGAAAACCGGTTTCTTCCCAACAGGCACAAACTTCACCAGCCAACCAATCGGCCACGTCACCGCAGCCATGGCGACACAGACACCCCACTCCGCAAAGCTCAGCCTCACGGTGTCGGCAAACTTCTTCAGAAGCTCCACCATCACCGCCTGCAGCACGACGGTCACCAAAATGATCCCGACAAACAACTTATTCCTAAGCACACCCTTGAACACATTCTTCTTCTCGAGACTCCTCGAATTGAACTCGTTGAACACCTGACACATCACGAAAGTGTTGAATATAATCGTGTTCTTTGTTTTCTCGTCCACCCCCAACATCGACCTCCCCTTGAACTGCAGAACCAAAAGAACGCTTATCTGGTACAGAGCCTGAGTCAGAATATTCCTCCACATAATATTCGTTATAAGCGGCTCGGTTCTTCCGACGGGAGGATTGTGCATTAGCTCTTTGCTCGGCCTTTCGGTAGCTAAAGCCAACGCGCCCAACGTGTCCATAATGAGGTTCACCCAAAGAAGCTGCACCGTCGTTAGAGGAACGTTCCCCGCCGAAACGGCTGCGATGAAGTTGATCACCAATGCAGCTACATTCACAGTCAGTTGAAACTGAATAAACTTTTGGATGTTATTATACACACATCTCCCCCAAAGCAGAACTGTAGCCACGGACGCAAAATCGTCGTCCAAAATCACGATATCGGAGCTCTCCTTCGCCACCTCAGTGCCTTGGATTCCCATCGAGAGTCCCACATCGGCTTCTTTTAAAGCAGGGGCATCGTTGGTTCCATCGCCTGTGACCGCCACCACGTGACCTTTCTGTTTTAGGCACCGCACCATTAGGAGCTTGTCCAATGGGGACGATCTCGCCATTACGCGAATTATGTCGACCTTTTCTGCCCTTTCTTCGTCGGTGTAGTTTCTGAACTCGACGCCTTCGATGACTTCTCCGGGGAGGGCGGCTTGGTTGTTGGATTCCAGTATGCCGCACTCGGCGGCGATGGCTTTGGCGGTGAATATGTTGTCCCCGGTGATCATCTTTATGTCTACTCCGGCTGCTCTGCAGGATTGGATCGCTTTTCTTGCACCGGGCCTGCATGGATCTTTCATGCCGACTATACCTAGTAGTGTTAAATCTTCTTCGTTTTTTAGATTTTTTTTGGAAATAGAATTGTCGTCTTCGATTTGCTTGTAAGCAAAGGCGATGCATCGGAGGCTGCTAGCTGCCATTCCTTGGATGATGTTTTCGAATTGGGATCTTTTTTCGTCGCTCATTGTTTTTATTTCTCCGGTGAGTTCGTAGTAACTCGAGCACAATGCTAGCACCATTTCTGCAGCTCCTTTCCAGTGGACATAAATAATGTTTTTTTCGGAAATATTGTTTTTTATCGAGACCCCACTTCGTTTCTTGTCCGAATTAAAGGTTTCGACTTGAAGAATGGTGTAATTTTGCTTCAATATATCGATATCCATGCCCAAATCTTGGACAGCCCAGCTGAGAATCGCTTTCTCGGTCGGGCTACCGGAATATTCCAACGAAGATCCCGATTTGGGCTTGTAAATAGTACCTGTGGTGTTGAAAGCAACTCCTTGGTAGAACAGTTCGACGAGATTTCGAGAAAAATCATGCTTCGTTGCTTCTTCGAAACCTACACAACACTTTGTTACAGTCATCTGATTGAGAGTCAAAGTGCCAGTCTTGTCCGTGCAGACGACCGTGGCAGATCCCATGGTCTCGCATGCAGAGAGCTTCCTAACCATTGCTTGATCGGCCATCATTCGTTTCATTGAATAGGCGAGTGTTAGTGTGACAGCCAATGGGAGGCCTTCAGGTATGGCAACCACCACTATGGTCACAGCAGCAGAAACGATCCTCAGCACCGAGTTGAAATTGTCGTTCAGATTCCGGTCAACCCCTTTGTACTCCCGATTCCCGTTATCGTCCTCTGTGTTCCCCGTGAAGTAACGGACGAGCAATACCCCGAGGACCAGGGAAGCTACGGTGAGGCCTACTTTCCCTATCGAAGAAGTCAACTTGTTCAAACGCTCCTGCAATGGAGTCTGCTCGTTCGAGTCACGTGTGATCGAACTCATCATCTCGCCCCAAGACGTGTTCATCCCCACGGATACCACCAGCATTCTCGAGGACCCGTCGGCCACTTTCGACCCGGATAGCAAAAACGGGTTATGGTTCTGATCCACTTCTACGTGGTCACTCTCTCCGGTCATGCTAGATTCATCGACTCGAAACGAGTACCCGTCGATGAATAGACCATCGGCGGGGATTTGATCTCCGATATTCAAGAATATGACATCCCCGACCACAGCGTCGAATATCGAGGCCTTCTGCCGCCTCCCGTTCCTCAACACGTCGATTTTGATGTCCTTGCTGATTTTCGAGAGCTTGTCGAACTGCCTTTCCTGCCGGAAGTTGCTGGCGGCGGAGACCACAATCACAAGGAACACCGCCACAAAAATGCTGCCGCCCTCGTACCAGCCCTCTTTGGGGCCGTGCTCTCTTATGCCGAAGGTCAGAGATAAGGCGGCACATGCTAGGAGAATGATAATCGTCGTGTCCTTAAAAGCTTCCACCACGAAATGAATCAGCCCTTTCGGAGCTGGCTTTTGGTACGTGTTGGAACCGAAGATCGAACGGCGTCTGATCAAATCGTCTTCGTCTCCGTTGATTCCATTCTCCATGTTGGATTTGAGAAGCTTGACGATGGCTTCAATGCCGCCGAAGTTTCGGAACTCGTCTAGGTTCTTGTTCTTGACCATATCCGTTAGCTTCGTTTGGTCTAAATGATGATCAGTATCCATCGTCAACCCTTTACTATCTTCGACTTCATTAATTTCAAGAACAGTGTGAGAAGAAGAAGAACGAGGAGAGGCTAACACACTGAGAAACAGAGGAGTCAACTTCCCCTTTCGGGAAACGATTCGTTTCGCCAGAGATAGAGACACGTAAATGACAATGCAAGCAACTCTCCATCTCCTCTGGGGTTTCGTGAGAGGGGCGGTGCTGATTTTGAGCAGCACCGACTGAATCCCTCCGCCGAAGTAAACATTCTGCGAGAATTTGAGCTTACTGTCCATTGTTTTGGAATATAGTGATGTTTGATAAACGGATAAAAACTCGTGTTGTGTGTGGTGCAAGTCAAAGAGATGAGAAGAGAAAGAGTTCATTCAAAGGAGACATAGTTACTAAGGTTCTTATAGGCATTTTAACAAACACTCTGAGGAACTTGCCTGGAAATTTCATCGACATGTGAAATGGTGACATTTTAAGCCGCAGAAATTGAAGGGAGATTTCTGGGAACAGATAAAAAAAACGGATTACAATGCATGTTACAGGTGGAGTTAACGAGTTAAGTTTGTTCATTCAAGAAACTGTTTTGCCAGAAATCTTGGTGTTTAAGGTACTGTGAAGAATTCAACCTACGTGTTAGATACAGTTTGATGATGATTTTATTGCATGTTAGATTTGTTTTAGCTGTTCATTTTGTGTATCTAATCTTTATCTCTCATCTTTTACTTGTTAGTTATTGTTAGTTGTTACTGTGTGTGTGTGTGTGAGGGAAATAAACAAGTATATAAGAAATAGTTTTATACTTATTTATTCCTTGTTTAAAGATCCCTTGTCAAACTGTCCAACCGCGTTTTTGTATCTTTTGAAATTGGATTTGTATTTGAATTTGATACTATATTCGTTTCCTTGCCCAACACTTTATTTTCTTTTAGTTATGTTGTCCACCCAATTTTAATTTCTTACATCCAATTATATATATACATGTATATATTATTATTATTTTTTTTCTTTGTTAAATAAATAAATGATCATTTCTTCAAGACTAAGATAATTAAAGCAAGTAGCTCATGCGTAGGCCAAACCCAACTAATTTATTAACCAATATAGAGTTGTACCTTGTAATTAATTTTATTTTTGTTTGTTAAAGTCGTATTCGGTTTAATAATACGAAATTGCTAATACTTAATTAGTCATAATTGCCAACTTAGCCACCACGAATAGACATGTATTTCTATTTCTAGCTCCTTGAATCTGATTATCCAAGCGCGACAAATTACTAATGACAAGACCAACGAGCCCCTAGATACACAATGCTACAATTTTTTTCCTTGCCGCCCAACCAATTGCCGGCTTCCAAACTACAAATTTTTTTCCTTGCCGCCCAACCAATTGCCGGCTAACCTCGTTTGAATAATACATTTTTTCCGGTCTCAACTAGAGGACAACGCGTGGAAAAATATATCACTAAATTAATTTTTCGCTACATTAATAGAATTTGACTGGTCCCCAACTGCATTAATTTATTGAATTTTTTTATGACTTTATCATGATTTTTTTATGACAATAAAATAAGTCCTCATGGATGGAATGTACAATCTAGTGGTAAAATAATGACCAAACTGTGGAAATTGCAATTCACAACTTATTTATAAGATAAATAGCACTTACTTCTTGTGGTTTGAATTTTGTGCACATGACTCCCTTATATTTTTAATATAGTACATAACCCCTTGTATTTTTATATAGGCAAATAACCCCTTTCTACTTTCAAAAAAATCTTCTTCCTAATGAGCATGATTATTTACCAAGTGGAATACGATGGGAGGGGGGTTGTAAGGGACTTATATTGAAAATATAAGGGGGCCATGTGCACAAAGCTCAAACCACAGGGAGTTAAGTGCTATTTACCCTTATCTATATCCTTTCTTGCTTCGATCATGCAGCAATAAGAGGGGCCAAAAAACAAAATTTCTGAAATTAGACCAGATGCATTAAAACAAAGATCAAGAAAGTGCATGGAAATTTCCTACAACATTATTAAATCAAATAAAAACAATTATAGATAGACAGACCCCCACACACAAGTCATACTTTGCAACATGCTGCGCGTTTCACCATGTTCATTGTCATGAATATGTCAAAAGAAAAAAAAAAAGAAATTGGATATAGAAAGACCACTGCAAGAAGCAAATGTGTTGTCAGCAAACTAATCTCATCATCCATTAAGTTCCCCATTCATTACGTTGGTAATATTTACTAGGAAAAAGAAAGCAACAAGTGGTAGCACATGCATAACATAGACCGTGAATTTTCCACTCCAAGAAAGTGTTGTGTGTGTGTGTGTGTGTGTGTGTGTGTGTGTGTGTGTGTGAGAGAGAGAGAGAGAGAGAGAGAGAGAGAGAGAGAGAGAGAGAGAGACTCACAAGAACCTCGTTGTTTAAGTCTTCATTCTTTAACTTTTTTTCCTCTCGGTTTGCTGGTTTACGGCTCCTACAATCGTCAAGAACTAAAAGTGTGAAAATAGAAAAATGCACGTTTTTTTTATAATATGTGTGGTGCTAGTTCAAATTACTGCTATGGGGCATTTAGAAAATGACGAGCACACACAAAAGGCATGCGTTCGTGTGTGAGTGCTCACAGGCAGAGGGAGAGTTAGCAAGTCAATGCCCAAGTCAACTAAGTAGTGGACCAGCTGGAAATAATAAACTCGAGAAAAAAAAAATAGTGTGTGGCTTGTTCTTCAAGTTTACCTGTGTTCGAGGAAGAAAAATGACCTCCGTAGGTAAAATAATGAAAGGTTAAAAAATTCTCACCGTATCGAATTCAAAATTTCAGCCTACGTTCACAAACCGACGGTTCAGCAACTATTCTCTATAGACTTAAGTGATATTTGACATCCTCGTTAATCTGAACACGACAGGTGTACCTAACATAGGCCATTACGAAAGATCAACAGAAAGTCGCAACTCCAGCTATCCACCATAACATATTTAAATTTCTATCGATTCATCAGAATTAAGAATTTATGTTGTCTGGAGTGTACAAAGCATCCCATGTGTTGTGTCCAATAGAAGTCCTTAGCTGTCATTCTTAAACACTGTAACGATTGATTACGAATTGAATGAGATAATTTTTCGAATATTATCCATCTAGCAAAGCCAAATTCCAACCAATTAAAACGCTACAAACACAAAAATGGTCACAAATTCACGTCATTATAAGGATGAAGACTAGTGAAGAGTGGACTGTTGACCATAATGTGAGCGGAAATAATACTTTATTATGTGACGAACTATAAACTCAGTATAAACCTCTATTCAGCAACAAATTTTGCCGCCTCCGATTAACTCAGTATATAAGGCTGGTTATATTAATTCATATGTCAAAAGCTCGAAATAATTTCTTTGACGTAACGTTGAGGTAATTCTTGGCAAGTAACACGACGCGAAGACAATTACAATTCTAACATCAGGACCACACGCGGAAATCAGTGGCTCGAGTGATGACTTTTCGAATTAGCAGAACCTATAGTCTTTATTGGGTAGAGGGACCTTCTAGTTAGTGTGACACTCGTCTACGACAAAGCACTCAATTCTACGAGTGAATAAAGAACATTGCACGATATGACTTGTCAAGCGAAAACATACAATAGATTAAGATAATAAATCATTCGTAGCGGAGTAAACCTCGACAGTTCAGAAGCAATTATCGTAAAAAAGAAACAACAGTCGTGAACAAAACTTAAATCATGGAATAAAGAGATAAGAAGCTCACATTGTGAGTTGCAAACACGAACCCCGCCATTGCGAAATGCTCTACGAAAATCGTAAACGTTTCACTCCTTCCTCTGTACCAGCTCCCGAAACCGATAAATTTCGAAGATACTACAATCCACATATACAAGTTTTTAACTGTTTTTTCTCAAATATTCCTCAATGGAATTTGCATCATCGAGACCCAATAAATCCCTGCCTCTGATATTAGTAACCTCGTAATTATTTCTAAATTCGCCCCATGATTTGTCGATTCCCCAAATTCCAACCCCATAGCTCTTTATATTCACAAAACACACCCCAGAAATCAATTTGAAAACATTTTTCCTATCTGCTAATTTCAAACCCAAACCGCTAACTTCGATCCTCGCATTCTCAAACGCCGGGGCGCACCTCTGATTAGCGAAGACGCCGCACTTCTCTTTAGCAGCGGCGAAGCAAGCTCTCATCTCAATCTCCTCGCACTTCTCTCTTTCGCCGTAGTCCTGTTTGGGAGATATGCCCAGCAGAATTTTCCACCATGGGGGTTTGCATTTGCTCGAAGCGGAAATGGAGCACCCGATTCGGGAACCCGCTTCGCACTGCGAAGTGATTAGGGCTTTACTGCTCTCGTACGCGGTGGCCCAGGCGCGTGGGTTTTTGAATGCGAGGATGTACGGACCGGAAGACGGGTCGTCTGATTGGGTGGCTTTTATTGGGCCACGTAGAAGAGGAATTCGACGGGGAAACGGGATCAGGGTTGCCGCGGCGGAGTAATCCTCGGCGTTTGCGGGCGGCGGCGGCGGCGGCGGCTGGCTGCCCATTGGAAGGTGGTTTATGATAAGCTGTTTATACATTATATCGGCTAATAATAAACAGCGTAAATGCAACGCGATTTTTATCAATATTATTATTTTTTACTTTATTATTAAAAAAATCATCAAAAATTTAATTTTTTAATGTGGAATTCTAAATTAAGCCCAAAACCGTTATCCTAAATTGCAATAGATAAAAGCCCATTAAACAAAATTTGATGGGCCAATTGGGTCCATTTAGACTTTTATAAATGGCAACGTAATTAAATATTTTTTTATTTTTAATTTTATTTTAATCGGTATATTTGATTATTTTCACATACATTTGGACATTGAGTATATATGTAATATATATTTGTAAATTAAAAAAAAACAAATTTGTAAATTTAATAATGAAAATACAGACAGTCGAGCCAACGATAATAGTATTTATTTCATTAGATCAAAATAAAATATAGTTCCAATTCCTTTAATTTACCTACAGCTTTGCATAGTACAGTTGCGTTTTATCAAAATTTCAAACAACAATATAGGTAATAAATTCTGAAATAAAAAATACGTATTTATATATATTAAAGATATGAAGCCATCATCATCTTCACGAAATCATCGTAACTGACTAGCCCATCTCCATCTAGATCAACTTCGTTGATCATTTGTTCAGCTTCTTCTTCTGTTAGTCTTTCTCCCATATTTATCATCACATTTCTCAACTGCAAATTCATTAAAAATAATTTTCTTTAAAAAATAATATTGGATTTATGCCATATAATAAATAAAATGAAAGTCAACGAGCATTTAATTTAGTGAAATTAAGAAATAAAAAAGAAAGATTACCTCAATGGCAGATATGAATCCATCTTGATCCCTATCGAAAACTTTGAAAGCATCTTTAATCTCCTCTACTACATTTTCCTATTGATCAAAATCCATCAAAATTATTTTATTAAAAAATCAAATGAAATTAATTAAAAATAATAATAATAATTACCTTCATCTTTGATGACATTACAATCAAGAACTCTTCAAAATCAACAGTACCATCTCCATCAGAATCGGCTTCGTTCACCATTTCTTGAATCTCTTCACTCGTCGGATGTTCGTTCAAAGACTGAATAGCTAAGGCCAATTCTTCAACAGTAATCACACCTTGCGAAAAAAATAAAACTAATTAATTAATTTACCCGTCCATCATACGTAATATATTTTTTTCTTACGAAAATTAAAAGCAACGTAACGAATACTAATATGCAACGAGCAAAATGCAATTAAACAAATTGATAAACTCACCATCGGAATCTTTATCTATCAACGAAAAGGCTTCACGAAATTCAGCAATCTGCTCAACACTCAATGAATCTGTCATTTTTGTTTCTCCTTTTAAAAAAGAAAGATTTTCAACTGTAATATAAAAGAAAGAGAGTTGAATGGTGATTTGATGTTGCACTAAATATGGTGTTTAATTTCGTTTTTATAAAGGAAAAAAAATGACAGTAGAATTAAGTCAAACAATCGATGCAAGAAAAGATGGTTCAATAGTCAAAGACTGAAAAGTGGGTGTAGACTAGTATACTATTTTATACGTAAACAATTTTGAATGGAAGGGATGATTTCTATTTATGGGTTGCTTTTGAGAAGACAATAAAATCAATTTCTCTATAATACTTTTATTTATAAAGTCTAAAATACCCTTAGATTGTCGTACTAGGGGTGATTTAGCTTGTGGAACAAGAGTATTCAGTATTGTGTTTTCATTTAATCAGAGGCCAACGTGATTAGACTCGTGTTGTTTTCATATATGTTATGATTTACGAGCTATTAAACGATTACAAATTTTATCGGTGAATTCGGAGTTATTGAGGGTTGTAGTGCTTTTTGGCCGAATGATGTGATGGGCCGGAGAACCCAGTTCCCACCAATTGCCCACGAATAGAGAGGTCCAATGGGGGATTTATAAGAGCCCAGAAGTCACAATGAATAACCGATCATCCGTTGATCAGTATAGTGTAACTCTAACCTTTCAACCTCTCACTTAAATACTCTCTTTTTGTTTATCCTCTCTTTCATTTGCAATGTTTGAATGTATGTCCAATACGAATTCATTGATCAATAAAAGAGTGAAAAGAAAACAACATAATTTACGGGGTACCGAGTCTTATTCTCATGAATTGACCAAACTACCCTTGGAAAAAAAGCATGTGAGGCAAGTATGCTGCTCATTCCGATGAGATTTGCCAGAAAATGGCAATTCTTAGGCACCCTGCAAAAAAAATAATTAGTTGTTGAAAAATCGTGCAAAAAAAATTTGTTCGGGGTTCAACATGCAAAATCTTAGTTTGGGCTTTGAGGGGAAATTTTGTTTTTACTAAAAAAATAATTATATTAAAAAATAATTAGATAAAAAACCATGAAACTTATTGGGCCTTCAATTTGAGCCCAAAATGTGAATGGGCCGAAGTTTATAACCAACTGTGCCCGGTATGTTATTAACGGGTCGCAAGGTATACCCGTTTTCATTTAGGTAGAAATTTATTGCTAAATAAGGAAAATATTCTTCTCGTGCACTTGAAAAGTTGAATCTACTTCCGAGAGCAGCCGCCGACGCCGACGCCGACGCCGACAATCTTTCGCCGGACTAGTATTCCTCGCTCCGCTCAGTATTGTATTGGTCGAGGTATATGCCAAATACATATGCTTTCTCCATTTACTAGGGTTTAGGGTTCTAGGGTTCTAACCAGTTTTAACTAGTTTCATATTTGGCGCAAAAAGTTTCATTCTTTGCTTGCATTCTCAAATGTCGTCTGAATTAGGATTTCAAGTTCAATTTGTGTTCGTAGGATTCCTCGTTTGAGCTATGCAGTTCAATTTATTTCGTTTATTATTATTTTCTTAAGTTAGATGGACTGAAAACAGTGTTGCCTGTTTCGGGAGTTGTACTTACTTTCAGTAGTAGCTGATTGTACTGTGGGAGCGAAATTTTGTTATTTTATCTATAATTATTTTAGCCTTTAGGGATGTTTGGAATTTGAACATATACTGATAAGTATACTTTACTCTAACTGTTAGATTATTTCTTCGTATAGTCTACGATATGTAGACTATGCTTGTGCTTAAATCTTTCGCATTCTTTAGTAAAACAGGGGCGCGTTTTTGTGATTTTAAGTCGTAAATGGGGGTGGTTTGGAGTATATAAAAGTAAAAATCTAAACAAGTAGTGCTTTTTGTTTATTCCTCATGTTTGTTTCTTCTTCAGTTGTTCTGGATTAATCAATTGCTCCTTTGCTGTTGGCAGTAGGTTTGATTACTATTTTTTCTATTTCTTCAATTCACAATGTTAATTTGCATATCATGTGAGAGTTTAACTAAACTCTATTACTTATATGTCAATATTATCCTATTTATAGAGTCTGATGTGATACTCTATAACATGTATGGGTTAATTTTCTAGAATCCCGTAGACATGTTTACCAGAGACTGTTGTCGTTTGTTCTGATGCCTTTTTGTTGGCGTATCAATCTGAGCAGACATATGAAGAAGACGAAGAACCCATTAGTTTTCTTGGAGGTTTCCATTGAGGGGGATACTGCTGAAAGAATTGTTATCGAGGTAATTGTCTTATCAAAATTATTTTCATCTCACTGTGTATGTCTTCCTTTTTCCGCTCTTACTCAATTTGTGTGTGATGTAGTTGTTTGCTGATACTGTCCCTAAAACAGCAGAAAACTTCCGGGCGCTCTGCACAGGTAACTCATTTATTTTTCCATTTTTTTTCAAATGTACTATTTGTTTTTGATAGTCAAGCATGGAGTAGTTAGTTTTTTTGGATGCAGGAATGTGTTTTTGCTCTTATCTCTACTGTCTTTTTTCTTGTTCTCTCTTGTGAATGGTATACAACGGAAGGATTATGTGGTTGGACCATCTTTTCAGAAGTTCATTAGAGATTTCTGTTTTTAAAGTCTCTTCAGAGGTATTCCATTCCTCTTTGCAGGTGAGAAAGGTGTTGGAACTTCAACAGGGAAACCTCTTCACTACAAGGGCTGCACATTTCATCGCATAATTAAAGGATTTATGGCTCAAGTATGTTGTTCATTTGCTTCTTCTTAATAAGTAGTGAACATAGAACTTTACCGTGTCGCTATAAATTTGAATTGCTCAACTTTCTTCCGATAAATTAGATCAAGAGAATTTTTTTTAATATGTCTTGTCGTTGTTGCTTCTAGAAGTCTCTAATTGGAGAAGGAGTAGTCATTTATACATGTCTTTTTCCTTATCTTTTTGTTGCAATGCTTCAAACTCATCTATGGATATTTGGGAAAGTCTAATCTACTTCCTGTTATTTTCTCTTTTCATCTGAAGGGTGGCGATTTTTCAAAAGGAAATGGTATGCATTTCTTCTTCCAGATCTTGTACTTTCAGATGACGCAGGTACTCGATATAACTTCCATCTTCATGCTAGACTCGTAAGACACGACCTTGTAATGGTTTGCAGGCACCGGTGGAGAGAGTATTTATGGAGGGAAATTTGCGGGTATGCATTTCTGTTTCTTTGAGATCCCTTCTAGCTGAATATAGTTTATTTTATTGATTAATAACCTATTAAATATCTCGTACAGATGAGAATTTCAAGTTGGATCATAGTGAGCCTGGTCTTCTCTCAATGGCTAATGGCGGTCCAAACACAAATGGATCTCAGTTCTTTATAATTTTTAAGCGGCAACCACATCTTGATGGGTATTCAATTTTATGCAGTGTTTTTGTTAGATGTTATGAACTTGAAGCCAATTTGTTGATGATTGTAAATTGAATTAATCTCTACCCTTAATTGTTGCTTTCCATTGGCAGAAAACATGTTGTTTTTGGAAAGGTTGTGAAGGGACTGGATATTGTTAAGAAAATGGAGCAGTTAGCGACAGCTGATGGGAAACCATCCGAAGTTGTAAAAATTGTAGATTGTGGTGAGATGTCAGATTCCAAAGTGCAGAATTCAGTTGAAGCTGAGAAAGGTTTTACAAATCTGAGATAAAAAGATCGTTTCTACATCTTTGCCTTTTCGATATTCTGACATTTCTTCTTATAACGTGATTCAGAAAAGAAGAAAAAATCAGCAAGGGGCGATCCAGGTAATGATGATTCCAACGGTCAGACCAAAACAAAGCAGAAAGCGTCTGTGAAGGATAAGAGGAGAAAAAGGAGCTATTCTTCATCCGATTCTTCCAGCTCTGATTCGGGTTCTGATTCGTCTGAGACTGATTCATATTCGGACTCTGATTCAGATTCTTCTTCGGCGTCCTATTCTTCAACTTCATCTAGTGACGGAGGACGGAAGAAGAAAAGGAAAGTGACAAAGAGGGGGAGGCGTCAACATGGGAAGAAAAGGAGTGTTGGACACAGGGAGAAGCGAAAAGCTCAACGGGATAGAAGATCAAAACGAAAATCTAAAAGGTCTTACTCTATAGTTTCATCTTCTTGCTGGGAATAGTGCTAGGGTATTCATCTGCTTGCTTTATTGTTTCCTTTGTCCTTATCAGGCGAGCATTATCTAGCTAATCGATACGCCATGGACTCCTGAGATGAAATTTTCTCATTTTATCTTCTAGATGTTTCACAAAATTGAAAATACATTTAGTGGTGTTAATATTTTATGAACTTGATAAAAGAGTGCTGGCATAACTGCCCTGATAATTCTGTAACCAACTATTTGGATTGTTTGTAGTTTCAGAACTCTGCCTGGTTAGTTCTTATAGTAAAACAAGTTTTAATTTTGAATTGTAGGAACTTGGGAAGTTCTAGTGAAGCCAATAGTAGTGGGAGCAGTAGTAGCAGCGGCAGCAGTTCCGATGACGAACGCCGGGGCAGATCTTCACGGAAGACGAAAGCTTTGTCTAAAGAAGAGAAGAAGCCAGCTCAAACTCTAGGTATATTTTTTGATTGAAGCTCTACCTATTGATGTGCACTGTGATTGCCTTACTGTTGTCTTTTTCATGACTTGTGTTATGTACTCAATTAAACTGTCTTTATGACATGATCATTGATCAAATGTTAAGGGAAGGAGAAACAGTCGTCAGTTCCTACCATAGGATCTATGGTTCAGCAAAAAGGTGATGATAGGCGACATACCGGGGATGACTCATCGCATGAAGAGGGTGAATTTTCTCAAGAAAATATCAACCATAAGGGTAATGGCCAAGGGCATGTCAACAATGACAAAGATGTTACAGGGTATCAATCTGATCATTCACGCAGATCCAGGTTTTTACCAAGTCTTGCTTTATTTTTGCTGTACCTGCCTCAAATTTTGTTTGTTTTACTTGAAATTTTAATCCTATTTTGGTTTTCCTTGCATATGCACTTGAAATGGGGTTTGGTCTAATTTATTGAATTACTTTTGTTGGGTTTTAGGAGTTTGTCACCAATTACTGGTGGGAAGCCAAGATCTAGTCGTAGCAGCACTCCAAGCAGAAGTCCTAGAGTTCCTAAAGCATCTGGTCGCCAAGTTGAGAAAAGTCCATCAAGGAGTCCTGTAAGAAGTCCGCCTGTAAGCAAAGCCCCTCAAGCTTCTGTTTCTAATCATGGTCGGGATTTGTCTCGAAGCCGCTCTCCTGGTGGAACTCAGAAGCGAGTCAGAAAAGGGCGCGGCTTTACTGAACGATATGCATTTGTCAGAAAATACCGCACACCATCTCCAGAACGTTCACCTGATAGATCTTATCGTTTCGGTGGAAGAAACACTCAGAGGAACAATGACAGGTAATTTGATCATTCATGCTTTTAGTAGCTTAGCTTTCATCTGGCTTGCCATTCTGAGTTCTGACTTCTTAAATGAAGAGAAAAAATGGAGTAGAGTGACAAGCAAAGTTCTCACATTGCATTTAGTTCTTTTTACTTTTTTATTTATTTTTTAAAAAATTAGTCGTAAAATTATGTTTGCTGCTTGTTCAGTTTTTGACATCTTACCCTTGCAATCCAGGACTTTCCAGCTTTCTGTACCCCTTTTTGCTCTCGTCTCTCAAATCACGAGCTCTCTGTGTTGTTTTTGCATGTCGTCATAGGAGTTTTGGACTTTTTTAGTTTTGCCCTTCTGATTCAACCTTGCATTTAATATAATCAGTTTATATGATCAAGGACTAGGGTAAGATAAGCACACACAATTTTCGCCTCGATCAGTAAGAAATTTATGTGACCAGCACGTGGTTGATTTAATTGTGATCTGCATGTGGTTCGTTCGTCTTTAGTCGTTGATTTTATTGTTCCCACAGTATGTAAAAAGAAAAACACATTGCTAATTATTACTGTTTAGGTATCCAAGCTACAGAGGTAGATTCGAACGGTCACCACAAAGACGTTACAGGAGTCCGCCAAGAAGAGTAAGGAGCCCACCCAGGTCTGTAACTCCCTCAGATAATACTATATTTATTCGATTGTAACAGTTGGTATAGTGTTAACATATGGAGTGATTTATTGGTGTTAGATATGAGCGAAAGAGGAGTCGGAGCAGGAATGCTTCTAGAAGCCCTGGTCCATACCGTGGTCGTGGAAGGCACCATAGCAGAAGCCCTAGTCCTGCAGATAGGCGACCTCTGATTAGTGATAAGTTAAAGTCTCGCCTGGGCCCACAAAAGGACGAGCATACCCCTAGAGGAAGGTCAATTTCACGAAGTTCATCTCGATCTCGTTCTCGATCTAGATCAGCTGATGGTGCTTCTAGAAAGCGTCCACGGAAAGTTTCACCAACTTCACCTAGAAGCTCGCGATCCAGCCCTAGCCCTCCTCCCATTGGACAACGGGGATTAGTGTCGTATGATGACATCAGTCCAGATAATAATGGGGTCAATTAGTTGGTTTTTTTTTCCTTCTTTTTCGTTGATTGAATATTATTTGATTTTCTGTTGTATTATTGGTCAGATATTTCCTTTGTGTTCTGAAACTGAGCACTCGAAACCTTGGATTTTTATTGGCGCGGACCAGAGATTTTATTGTCGTGCATTTGTTCGTTTCGGATTTTGTTTCATGATTTTGTGAAGTAGAATATTTTCAAAAAGATATTTTTTTCTTTATAAAGAATACAAATATTCAGAACTGGCAGTCAAGAAATTATCTTATGATTATGGGAAGATGAGAATAGTAAAATGTACCTTAGCTTATTTATTAAAAAGTGTTACACATAAGAAATGTCTGTTATCAACTTATAAGCAGATTTTCCTAGTCGTAAGGTTTGCTTTCGATTTTTCGAAGAAAAGCTGGCTTTAGAAAGAGCTGCAATTTTACAATAAAGAAGGCAAGCGGAGCTCATTGATTTAGATTCTTGACTGCAAAACTAGAGAGTAACATAGGTGTCAATCCACATACGGAGAATTGAAACAAGTTTGACAAGGTGCCACTCAGATTAAAAAAAAAAATGAAATACAGCAGAAACTTGCAACATCCAGAACAAACTCGAATTACTTTTGCCTTGATCATATCCTTCCTATATAGGTTGACCTTTCGGGGTAATTAGGTCCTTGATCCACATGTATATCGGAACCAGCACATAATAAGTTGCGGCCAGTGCACCAAGAATGAACCTCGAGAAAAATACAAACGGGTTCACAGGTTCCGATACATCCTCCGCCTTTGGACCAAGCTGCACACACAAAAAATAAAATCATATTTCTCTTATTAATCGAGAATCTAGAGGACTACAGTTTTTTTCTTAGAAGAGTAATCAAGAAAGTTACCTGCAACGGTGAATCTCCAGATGCAGGTTTGATACCAGTGACGGAACATCCCATGATGAGTCCATGTCTGCGAACTCCTCTATACCATTTTGGACCGATCCTTTTAAGCTGGACATCCTTAAACCCGGCCTTTTGAAACCAATCAATGTACTCTTCCTCTGTTGGGAAGAGCATCCACACATCTGCAAAGAAACGAGATAACCAAAACGTTGGATAAACAGGTCCGATTAAGCATGCCTTTCCCCCAAGCCTCAGCACCCTGTAAGCTTCTCTAATTCCACGCTGTGGGTCCGGCCAGTACTCGATACTGCGAACATGCACAAAGTCATTAAACGTCAATGAGACTTATATAATAATGATATATATATTATATATCAATTAGCTGACAGCTTTTAGTTACTAAATTTGTAGATGCATTTCACAAACTACTAACACTACTGTTTTATCAATAAATGCAAACGATTCACAATGTTGAAATCATTTGGAATCTTTTTTCCCACCGATTACCAGCGCCTGTAACTTTCAATAAACAGAATCTACAAACAAGTAAAAGAAACGAAAAGGAAACAAGTAGCAAAACTCGATAGACTATTCATCGTTATTCAACATTAAGCTCCGGCTTAGTACTAGCAACAAAAAAAATCATTTTATAGAACCTCATTCAGGCAATTCAACGAACACCATGTCCCCATCCAACCGAACTTTATGAAAAGCGAAACAAAATCAGACCTCAGTGTTAAATTAAACAACAACAAATTAAACAACAACAGCATACAGAAAAACTCGACATTATACCTCCCAGCCGAAACGTATCGATCGACGAAGTCCGTCGGGAATGGGAGATCCTCAGCATCTCCTTCAATGATCTTGCAGTCCTTCAATGGCTCCTTCTGCTTAGCCTTTTCAAGCTGATGCGGCGACTGATCAAGAATCGTCACATTCTTGGCATCAACATGCTTCACTATCCCCAAGGTGGTGAACCCGGTCCCACCGCCGACATCCACCACCGTCAAATTCCGGGTGTACAAATCCGCCGGCTCCAATGCGTCGTCCCTCATATCCTCCGTCCAATGCCCCGGGTTAATCACATGGTCGTACACGATTGACAGAAACCTGTAGAACCAGAAAGCCTCCTTCTTGTGCTGGATGAATCTCGGCTGCGAGGCTGGCCTGGGAGCTGAAACGCTGCATTTGGTGATGGGGGATCTGCTCTTCATCGGCCTCATGGAAAGCTTGCCGCAGGAAACTGAAGTTAGCTTGGGGAAGTGTTTGCCGCTGAAATCTGAGGCGTGAAAACCTAGGCCTTTTGGGTTTGGGGCAATCGCTCTGATTAGAGTGAGATTTTCAGCTCCGTTCAGCATTGCGGAAGCCATTGAATTGAAGGAACGAATCGAAGGAAAACCCTAATGAAAAAGATTGGATTTTTTTTCCCCCAAATATGCAGAGGAGTAGAAAATAGAGAGTGGGAGTGGAGTTCTGTGGACCTGAACAAGCTGTCAAGAACCACAGGTCTGTGACTGCTGGATTTTATTTAGCCACAATTTTTCAAGTAATTATTAAATAAAATATTATAAAATATTAACAATTTAACATTTAAAAAAAAATAAATTACTTCTATTTTATTTTGTAATGAAAGTTAAATAGTACTCTCTCTGTTTCATAATATCTGTCTTTTTTTAGAATTTTTTTTGTTCCATATTATCTGTCACTTTACATTAATTAATAAGCAAGGGTATTTTGGTCCATCCATATGTATTTTCCAAGACATATTTATTGAAATTCTTAAGATTTGTGTCAAAGAGAAAAGCGACACCTATTTAAAAACGAAGAGAGTAAATATAATGGGAAAATTTCCTTTTCAAGATCAAAACAAACGGCCCCTAAAGTTTTGGTGCGTGTTTGGTTATTAAAAGTTTTTATAAATTGCGTCATGGTCCGTTTACTTTTTGTATTTATTTCGCGGTCCGGAAATAAATGGAAAAAAAATTTAACTCCCCAAAGTATGGTTATATTACAAATTCGAAATTGTTATTACAAAGCAACATAGTGACATACGAGAGAATTTGCAATGTGAATTATGAAGTCAGTTGTTTTTAAAACAAAGAATTAAAATTTCAAAAAAATTAAAATTTTCATATATGGAATTAAAATTAAAATTAAATAGGATTTTACTATACAGCTTGGGCTTATTTGAGGTATTTATGACCGTTGGGCATTTTTAGGCTTAGGCCCATCAGTGGATAATGGACTGGCTTATTAAGCTTGGCCCTGTCATCACTGATTAATTAATTCTAATAATGTTTATCTTATAATAATGACTAGAAAAATAATATTATATTATATACACCAGAACAATAATTATTTTGGAAGATTTAAGATTTAATAGTTATACATTAGATTTATCCGACAGCACGTAAACAACAAATGTTTCTAATTAGATACAATAAGAAAAAAAAAACATTGGAATATCCAATCCAACTGTATACACAAGAAAGACAACTTGTGACATTAATTATATTAATCTTCTAATTAATTAATTTATTGAAATTAAAAGAATTTCACTAATTCATCTTCTAGTAATTTGGATTCTCCGTCAACAGATACACACACATGACACAAGTCTGTTCTTTTCTTCGAATCGTCTTCGCTAATTACTCTTTTACCCTCATTTATTTGTTGGCATGTAATTAAACACGTACCCAACAAATAAAGCGTGCATGCATGCATGCACGTCGATCCAAACCGCATAATCCAAACTTCACGTACTATATAAAGCCCCGCTAATTATATCTCACAAACACACATTCTTTCTCACTCTCTCTCTCTAATTAAATCCGTGCTTACACGCGCGCGAGGAAAATGGCGGCGACACCCCCAAAGTACGCGTGGCTCCCGCCAAACGTGATACCCGACCAAGCCAACCCGGACTGGATGAACACCGGCGACAACGCGTGGCAGCTGACCGCCGCCACGATGGTGGGCCTACAAAGCATACCGGGCCTCGTGATACTGTACGGCAGCATCGTGAAGAAGAAGTGGGCGGTCAACTCCGCCTTCATGGCGCTCTACGCCTTCGCCGCCGTTCTGATCTGCTGGGTGGGGTGGGGCTACCAGATGTCATTCGGCCGGACTTTCTTGCCCTTCCTCGGAAAAATCGACGACGTTCTCGACCAGCACGTTCTACTGAAACAGACGTTTAACAACATCAAGTTCCCGAACGCGACGATGATTTATTTCCAGTTCGTGTTTGCGGCGATTACCGTGATACTGATCGCCGGAGCTCTGCTTGGGAGGATGAATTTTATAGCGTGGATGGCTTTTGTGCCGCTGTGGCTCACCTTTTCTTACACTGTGGGCGCCTACAGCATATGGTGCCCCGATGGGTGGTTGTCGAAGATGGGGCTTATTGATTACTCCGGCGGGTTTGTTATTCATCTCTCGTCGGGGGTTGCTGGCTTCACTGCTGCCTATTGGGTACTTATTTTATTGTTTTCATTTTCTACTGTAAATAGCATTTAACTCCCTGTAGTTACATTTTTTTTCAGATGACCCACTTTGCTCGTAATATAAGCACACATAATCCCTTTGTGGTTTATAGAGTAGCTTCCGTTAGTTTTTCGGTCAAATTTAATCGCGTGTGTTAAATTTCAAGGGGTTCATTTGCAAAAATGAAAGCACAAGGGGGTCTCTGAAAAAAAAAAAAAAAAAAAGACTTTGACATTTGATACTAGTGGTTAAATTTGACGAAAAAACTAACTGAATCTACCTCATTAACCACGAGGGGATTATGTGCTGATATTAAAAGTATAAGAGGTTTAAGTGCTATTTACCATAATTCTAATTAACTGTTTAATTTGGTCAGGGAGGTAATTAATTGGGAATTTAAATTTGGCCCATCAAGTTATTAACACTTCACAATTTGTCCATGTATATGTTAATATTTGCAGGTGGGTCCAAGGACGAAAGAGGATCGGGAAAGATTCCCGCCGAACAACATACTGCTGATGCTCGCCGGAGCAGGTATACTGTGGATGGGTTGGACAGGATTCAACGGTGGAGATCCATACATGGCAAGCATCGACGCTTCTCTGGCGGTGCTCAACACACACGTGTGCGCCGCGACAAGCTTGCTTACGTGGCTCCTTCTTGACATTCTTTTCTTCGAGAAGCCTTCTGTCATCGGCGCAACTCAGGGCATGATCACCGGCTTAGTCTGCATCACCCCTGCCGCAGGTCAAATTACTTAATTACCCTTGTTAAATATATTAAAAATTAATTATAATAATTAATAGGATAAAAATGCATTTTGCACCCTATAAAATTCTATTTTTCGCACTTCCCCCTAAAAATTAAAACAATGGATATTAGCCCTTTGAAATATTACATTAATTGCACTTTCCCCCATAAGCCCATTTTTGGAGGGTATTGTGCAACAAAAATAACATTTTAAAGGGGCAATGTGCAAAAAAATACTGTTTTTAAGGGATAACATGAGATAAAAATAACATTTAAAAGGGCAATATTCAACAAAAATACTCAATTTCGATGAATAATCCATCAGAATTATGCTATCGGGACACTGTGCAACAAAAATATTTTGAAGGTGGACATTCACTTTTAAAAATTATGAGGGGCAAATTGAGAATATTAAAACTTACAGGGTGTGATATGCAATTTACCATAATAAATAATTAATAATAATTGTTGAGAAGCGTACGTACGTACAGGAGTGGTGCAAGGATGGGCGGCGATAATAATGGGGGTATTATCCGGCAGCATTCCATGGTTCACAATGATGGTCCTCCACAAGAAGATATGGCTGCTCAAGCAAGTGGACGACACCATGGCGGTGTTCCACACGCACGCCGTCGCCGGAACCCTAGGAGGCCTCTGCACCGGATTCTTCGCAAACCCTAAGCTCAGCCGCCTCTTCTACCTCGTCGACAACTGGCAGCGCTACGTCGGCCTCGCGTACGGCATCCACGAGGGCAGAGCCGGCGATGGGTTCAAGCAGATGGGTATTCAGATCCTCGGAGTTGTGTTCATCGTCTCGTTAAACGTCGTCGTCACGAGCTTGGTGTGTCTGCTGATTAGGGTTGTGGTCCCGCTCAGGATGTCGGAGGAGGAGCTCATCGGCGGAGACGACGCCGTGCACGGCGAGGAGGCCTATGCACTCTGGGGCGACGGCGAGAAGTTTGAGAAGTCGGTGCATAATTCGGTTTATGGTTTTGATCAGGTTGCTGCTGTTTGAGGAAATTTAAATGTTTCTTGGGAATTTTTTTTAAGCTTGATTATTTGTTAGGAACAAAGAATATTTGTGTCTGAATTTGTAAGGGGTTGTAATAAGAATCAGCCAAGAATAAATTTTCGGCCAATACGAAAAAACAATGAGAATCCAAAAGATTAAATAGGGCTCTGCAAATGGTTTATCTAGAAAATTTGGTTTGATTTGTTTTAAATTCCGTCTCACAGTTTTCCGACCGACAATGGTGTTTCTCGGAGTCATAACTTTCTCTTCGGCGATCGGAATTCGATGTTTTAGCTGCCACTGGATTCTTCTCGTCGAGAGCTTTCTTTTGATGGTAATTTCGTACATATTGGAGCTATGAATGTCATTTTGTGGTCGTTTTAGAGTGCACGTCTATTTTGACGATGATTCTTCTGTGCACGTCTATTTTGACGATGATTCTTCTGATCGACAATTGTGTTTCTCTTAAAAATATGGATTTATGTAGATGATATCATAATTAAGGAAAAATGAATTTCTAAAAGATGTAAAAAATACAAAATGCAGAACTTTTATTTAATCTTGAAGTAATTGGACTACCAAATTATATTTGTACTCATCTTAACGGGCCTAATTTACCTCATCTAAACGGGCCTAATTGTCCTCATTCAAACGGGCCTATTTGTATTAATGTTAACGGGCCTAATTCTCCTCATCTAAACGGGCCTAATTGTACTCATCTTAACGGGCTTGGCTCAGTCAAATAGTAATAATAGGCCCGTTCTAGCAAATGCAGATAAAATTGTTTATATCATAAATTAATGGAACACAGAGAATGTATAATAATATATTAAGCAAATGGAATGTAACCTAGGCAATCTTATGGGACCAATTAAATAAAGCTAATTAATAATTAATAGTTAACAATTAAATTAAAAATTGTCAGTAATTTAGTATGAACACTGCCCCAAATTCTGGATAATTGTATTCTGCAACATGGACTGCAATGATACCACTCAACTCCTAAAAAAAATTAAGAAATAAAAAATTGGGTTCTGTTCCTAGAAACTGATATTATAATAATAATTTAAAAAATTAAAAAAATAAAATAAACATATGAAGCCACCGTACGTTATTGCCGTTTGGGCTGCATTGGCCTTTGAACCAATTTTTATTGAAATATTCAAATTCGCCACTTGCTAATATATTTTCCTTGTTACTATTAAATATATATATATTTTTTTATATATATCCCAAGTCTGGGATTTGTTAAAATATTAATTAAGATTTAAAGAAAGTATAAACTAGATCTTACATATATTTAATATGAAATAGTTTGTACGGATGAAACCTCACACACCTAGCGGTGTCAAATAGTGCGACACATTTTTAAAAAATTTCTTTTGGAGTATAAATAATGGTAACATAATTTAGAATTATTTAAACACATAATTAGTAAATAATAGAATAAGAGTTGAATAAATCCGAAAAATATTGCTACAAGAAGAGATATAGCAAAAGAGAAGAGGCCATGTGAATGTATGAGAGAAAAGGCCATAGCTTTTGGCAGAGAAAATTACGCGCGCTTCCCAAAGTATATGTATCTATATGTGTGTGTATATATATTTGATCCGTAGATATAAAGAACAGCATACCGTTCAATTAAACGGTGTTAATGGATGAATAGTCAATTTTTAATTTATTAGTGCTGAAACCTAAGAGGACCGTTAACCACCGCCTTAGCGTACTATTGCTACTGTTATCAATGCCTTGTATTTTTATTTTTTGTCCTCTTTTGACCACGTTATCTTTTTTTTTTTTCTTAATTTTTTTAATTTTTATTTAATTTAATTTAATTATTATATTTTCATCGCAATCGCTTTGTTCTTGGAGAGATGGGTACGCACCACGAATTTCATTCTTATCCCTTTGCTGCAATCGGTTTTTTCATTAATGGTAATTAAAATCTAAGTTTAATTTTATTTTAAACAAAAAATGCATTATAGTGTGGAAGAGCCAAAGAGAGAGCTTGTTTATAGCAAAAATACAGAAATAAAAAATAATAATTAGATACACACTTACGTAAATTGTAGAATATTTAGATATTCTTAATAAAATAAATTAAATATTTCTATAATACTAAACTCAATATATAGACTAGTTACTTTCGGCTAGCCGTTTTAATTTGCCTGCTAAGGCTAATTAAATAGTACACTATAAATTCTGAAAACATTGCTATGTAAGAATATGTGCTAAAGCTATGTAGGGATGTTTTAAATTCCTCGTGTAGGGATATTCGAAATAAACTTTATGTTATTTGTAATGTACTATAAATCTTTATTCTTTAATTTAAGCCACGTGAACTCACTTTTATTTTGTTTTTTTTACCGTCCAATTATGTTCTCTTTTTGCTTTCATACTAATTATTTGGTTATAAATTATAATTAATTTATTTACAATTTAAGGCTAGAAGAAGGGGTAATAATGTATCTAAGTGGTAATTGGTAAACGAGGGTTCACGTGATAATAGGTGTTTGGCTTCTCCTTTGTCATGTATTCATCATGTGCATAATCAAATTAATTAAACAATATAAAGATCTATAGACACAATTGCACATGCATGCGATTTTGTAGATGTTACATCAGTTGATATACAACACACGATTTTGAATTATTAATCTATTTACGTGTGTACTTCATGAGTAATTATTTATATAAATTTACGATTCAAAAACCACTCGACGTGCTTGTCAGATGTAACATCTCATAAACCTTATATTTACTTAGAAAATAGTTTGGAAAAAAATAAAAATGTTTATTGCATTGTGAGACATATGTATTTGTATATCACATGCACCCCTACTAAGTAAAGTAAATTACGAAATAAAATCCATTTAATGAGGCAATTATGTTTATCCTCTTAATTTGATTTTCAGTGAAGAAAAGGAGTAAATTGCAGATAGCATCCTAAAGTATGTCTATATTACAAATATATTCTCTTTTTATTTGTTTAAATTACATTCACCCCTCAAATTAACCATAGTTCAATTTTTATTTTTATTTTAATGAAAATCATAAATTATCTAAATTATCACTAATTTCCGTATTTTATGATTTTTCTTTATTAAAAGGAAAAAAAAATATTTTCTTATTAAAGTTCTGACAAATTATTTGTCGGACTCTATCGACACACAATTATTCCATCAACTAAATTTGACTGACATGATCAGAGGTAATGTTAGATTTGTATCTGCCCATTAACAAAACAAACCACACTGCTTCAGACAAAGGCGATAACTAATCACTGTTTAATTCTTTTAATTAATTGCTAATTAGTAGTAAATTGATTTGAATGAAATGGCTGCCAGCAAATTGTGCTTATTAGATTCCCATGTATCGGTTTAATAAAAATAAATAGTCAAATTTGGACGTATTTCTCCACTGAATCCAATCAGAGCTTCTGTCTTACTTCGTTTGTAAATTAATTTATTCATACTTCTTTTTGTAGCACAAATACATAAATATGTTTCAACTTTTATCTCGACTTTGTGAAATTATTATTATTAATATTAATGATTATAATAAATAATAATAATAATAATCTACAATTGTTTAGTAATGTTTTCATGTGCTAATGTATGCAATAATACCAAAAATTTATTTATACTTACTTCGGGGTTATGCATAAAAATTAGGATAAATTATGAAAAACTCCTTGAGCTTCGGCTAAATTATGAAAAACACCCTTATCTATCCGTAACTATTAAAATCTCCCGATGTTCGTTTCTGTATTACAACGGCCGCTTACGGTGTGATTTTCGTGGAATCTTTTTTACTTCAGAGAATATAATCCGCGTCTTTTTTGGTAATTACGAATAGGTGGGACGTGGGAGTGTTTTTTGTAATTTAATCTAGTCTGGGGAGGTTATTGTAATTTAGCCTAAAAATGAAAAGAGAGAATAAAGCAAGCGCCAAAAGTGCACAAATTAATGTAATAATTTAGTTAGGAAAAGAAATCCTGTCTCTTTGAACATGGAATAAATTGTTGATTTTTACATAATTAACTACATAACTTTACAATTTTGAAGAGGTTTTAAGTGACAAATAAAAAAAAAATGAATTCCATGGAAAATCCTTATGCATAAAAACCATAATTAAATAGGATTATTTGCACAGTACCAGAGGAAATAGCATTGTTCAAAGTGGTCCAAGTGCTAAACCCTAGGAAAATAAAATGCCCATCTTTGATGATGATTGATTCAGCAGTCCCAAATACATTTAATCCAATCACAAAATTTGTTGTATATAATATTAAACATAAATAAATAAATAAATTAATTAATAATTAATAAAAATTATAAATTGCAGAAGCAAAGGATTCCTCTGGGCTCTGTTGCTCGGCATGTGGGCTAGGATGGGGCTTGATGTGTACTATATGGCCTTCATAAGTTTAATTGGGCTTTATATCCAAGGTGGGCCCCCCCGCGCCCGCCCCTGCACAAAAAAATATATAACAATTTATTATTATTATTTTATTTTAATTTGGTACTTATCTATTAGTTTATAGACTTTTGTCCCTCAAAAGTTTATTTTTACTCACTTTAAGTCCAGATTTTTTTTACTGTAATAGTACTTCATACATAAGAAATTGATTTCAGAAAGCATCGCCCATTTGATTTAAAGAATATTATTTCAGTTTGATTTATATATTTCACCCCAGATGATAAGACAATATGTGAAGCATTGCAATAAATATTGTTTATGGTACAAAGGTTCTCATAGGTAAATATTAATAAAGCATTTTTTTTCAATTGACACAACATTTCAATGCATGTAAGAGCCCCCTGATTGTCAGATCGAAATGTGGCCTTTAAGAAACTCACATTTATTGTGTTTTTTTTGTTACACACATGGGAAATTTAACAGTTTCAGTTTACTCCACAATTTTTTTTTATGTCCCCCTAGAAGGAGTACTCATTTTTGTTTTTTTACTCCTGAATCCGGTACAACGAGCAAAGTGATCTTTTTTTTTCCCTCTAGTTACTATGATTTACGATTATTCATAAAAAAAACCTATCGTGTCAGGGGATGGGGGCGAGAGATTTCGACTTTTAGTGCATGAACCAATGAAATTGGTAAAGGTGTTGTGGACATTTGTATTGATTTGGCGGAAAACCTTTATTTTTTGAAAATTACTTTCAGACCCTTGTAATTTGTAAATTTCTTACATTCACCCCTATAAAAGAGTATTAATGTAAGAAAGCTACAAATATGGGAAATGGGTGTAATTATGAAAAAACGAGGGGCAATTGTAATTAATTTACCCATTGGATTAATAAAGAAAGAGCACCACTCCACCTTACTTGTTAACCAGAAGAGCCAAAAATGGCCGATTCTCCTCTCACATTTATTTCCATAAAAGCAAATGAGACAATTAATTCATACAATGTAACTTCAATTACATTGTCAGTCCTCTTATTCATCTTCATCTTCACCTCATCTGCACACAATTAAATACTATATACTTTAAGATATACATTGCAGAATACTATATATTATAAATTTTAACCGAGTGGTTTCATTTTGTAATTTTCATATACAATGTTGACCTTGTTGCATATTATCTTGAGAAAAAAAACAAAATAAAGAGCAAAAATGAGAGAGTTAGAACAAACTCCCAGGAAAAGGCGAGAGAGAGTTGATAACATAAAAATGTGGCATTCCTCGTGAATGGCGTTATTAATAGACTTCCCCCTGAAAGCTGTCATAAATTGCATCCTCATAACTTCATATAACTAATTAATTCTCTCTTTTTACCTGTTTACCAGTAGGCAGTAGCGTAACATCATCTGCCCTTGCCTAATATTGTGGCACGTGACCTCTATAATACTTTGGGGGGGCATAATTGTCATTTCAACTGGTTTAATAGGACCGAGTAAAAGTGACCCGCGCGTAAGTTTAGCGAAACCCTACTCCCACTTCTCCCACTATTCTTTCCTTTCCACCTTTAAAAAGAGCAGAAAGCGGGAGTCAGCACATCAAACCAAATATTTTAGAGAGAGAGAGAGAGAGAGAGAGAGAGACACCGCTTAACAGAAAGAGAGTGAACGGAGAGGAGACTTCACCCGAATGTAAAGTTAACCTAGTGTGTGTGGGTGAGTGTGTGAGAGAGAGAGAGAGAGAGAAAAAAAAAGTAAGTTACCGGGATATCGACGAGGGTGGCCGGAAAATGTCGACGGGGTTGGTGAAGGAGCAGAATTTGGAGAAGCAGATTGAGAAACAAATGGGCGGCTGCATGGCTGGTTTTCTGCATCTCTTTGATCGCCACCAGATTGTGACCGGGAAACGCCTCTATTCCGCCAAGCGCCTCCCTCCTTCACCTGTAAGTTCCAATTATATGTATCTCCGTCTGATAAAAATTAACTCAAACTTTCACGCTACTCACAATAATCTTTTCATCATTTTAGATGTATGATACAACGTCGGAGTCGGAGAGGTCAGCTTCCCCATCGCCGGCGATTTCGAGGGAATTCGGAAATCCGAAGCAGGCGCAGAGTCCGGAGAGGCCGAACCACCCGCCGTCGCCGGAGGTCCGGTCAACATCGTCGGCGACTAAATCACCTCTTAATTTCCCAACAATGGAATTGAAAGAAGGCACCAGGTCACCATGGAAGTTCTGCAAAGAAGCTCCGCGATTGTCGCTGGACAGCAGAGCGACAACCGACGCAAAAGGAGGCCTCCACCCCAAGGAAATCCGCACAGGCGCATCCATTCTATCCGCCGCCGGTCGGTGCGACAGTATCGCGAGCGACGCTACCGATGAAAGCCAACACCACCGTTCCCCCAGTGTTATTGCCCGCCTCATGGGCCTGGAGCCGTTGCCGGATTCATCCAACTCCGAACCGGAAAATAAGCCCCAGCTTCGGAGATCCGCTTCCGAATCGAGAGTCTCCAGAGATCTATTTCACTCTCGGCTCACCGCCGACGGCGCCAATTTCTCTTCAAAACAGCTAACACAGCCGCAACCGTCGCCGTTCAACAATGTCCTGAAAGATGCAGATCCAAGGAATCAGTACAGAGGCGAACCGCCTAAAGGCTTGCACAACAGAGGCGGTTTTAATTCCTCGTCGCCGTGGAAATCGCCGCAGCACCGCAAAAGCTTCTTCGATTCAGGGGATTTTTTCCCCGAACCAAAGCAGACGGTATCAATCTACGGCGAGATTGAGAACAGACTGAAAATGAGGGGAATCGACGAGCCGTGTCGAGATTTAGATACATTGAGACAAATCCTCGAAGCGTTACAGCTCAAGGGACTGCTACATTCTCGGAAACCGCCGGCGCAAAATCAGGCCGGCCACCGGAACTTCGTGTACGACGACTCACCAATCGTCGTGATGAAACCCTCGCATCTGCCAAATTCGACGCCGATTAACCGGAGGATGGGAAACGTAAATGATTATCCTCCGTCGTATGGTGGAAATCAAACCCGTGGCGTCCGTCGGAACTACAGCCTCGCCGGAGAACATTCGCCGTCTGTGAGTCCTCGGCGTGAACGGAATGTCCAGAGTCCGATTCGAACGGGTCGGAGCCAAAGCCCGGCGACGACGACCCGATCCGAAGGAAATGTGATTGGGAAGCGGTCAAACTCACTGGTGAAGCCTAAACCATTGAGCATCGAAACACAGAGGAGAACAAACGAGTCAGCAGAAAACCGGAGAGTCTCTCCGGTTCATTCGCCAAAGCTGAACCCTAGAAGAACCGGACAGGATCCAATGGTCAACAACCGATCGCCAAGGAGCAAGAAATCAACGGCCGGTATTCATCAGAAAGAGAAGACCACGACTGCCGCCGCCGCAGAGGATGAATCCTCATCCATTTCTGGAAGCAGCAGCATCACTACATCCACTGATACAGAGGTAACCCGCTAATTAATTAATTAATTGTGCTCCGTTTGTTGATTAATTAATTAGAAATTTAATTAGTCAGCTAATCACTCTTAATTATGGCAAATCCAGAGATGTAAGACGGAGGATTACAAAGAGGGGAGGAATTTATTAGAGAGGTGTGATAAGCTGCTTCACAGCATAGCGGAAATGAACGCCGTTGATATGCAACCAAGCCCCGTGTCAGTACTGGATTCGTCCTTCTACAAGGACGAGTCATCAACCCCGTCACCTGTTACCACAAGACGTAACATTGACTTCAAAGGTACAATTTTAATCCTGTCAGAATAAATAAATTAATTATTTTCATATCATGCATTATTACTTAATATTTAATATAATCTCAATATTATATTTAAAGAAAATATTTGATTGGAGGAGAAGTAGAGTAGGGGTAGTCACGTGGGGTGGACCGTGCCTTATTATGAGTAATCGCCTTCGTCCTCATCTGTGTCCAAATGTTTGAATTCATTGATGGAAACTGTTGTTGGAAAATGTAACTATGTAAAAATGACTTATATCTTGGTTTAGATTTTAGGACAAATTATCGGCCGGCCCTGAGTTATAGTCAAATTATGAAAAAAACTTTTTTTATTTGGGTAATTACAGTCATCACCCTTGTTTTAAATATTTTTTTCATAAAATTTATGTAATTCGGCTATTTACCGAACTAAATTGTATATTTAGTTCGGTAACGGTATGAAATATTGGCTTTCCGAAATTTTGGTTCGGTTTTAATATTCCTAAATTTACCTCTGAAAGGGTCTTTTCGTAAAATAATAACATAGTTGAGGAGTAACTGTAATTATCCAAACAGGAGGGGTTTTCATAATTTGACCGTAAATCAGGGGAGGCCGTAATTTTCCCTAAATTTTAAATTATTCTTTTTTATTTATTTATTTTTCGAGGCTTAACTTTTAAAAAATAGTGCAATTACACCCCCAACTAAAAATGCAGATTATTAATGAGATAGTATATGCATTTCTGGCAAGAAAAACTTTTTCCATAAATTGTCTGAAAAGTGTTATGTGGATGTGGAACAAAATCTGATCCAAATAAACAGTGAAATTGCTTATGAATGTGGCACTAGTGACCACAAACACCTATCAATTGTGGTCCTTTTAGCTGATGGTGCAAAACTTATTATTTGTCAATTAAACCTCAATAAGAACCATATTCTATGAAGGTGGTAGGGTGTTTTTAGTTTGTTATTTTGTGAAGACATTTCCTGCCTACGAAAACGATAGTAGAATAGATACCGCTTTTTTCCGATTTTCGGAGCTGCATACGTCGATTTTATTTGTCACTTGAATTTTATCTGCAGACACCATGTGAAATCATTAATTCAGTAGCCCCTGTTTCAGAAATTGCTTCTGCATTATTATTATTATTATTATTATTATTATTATTATTATTATTATTATTATTAATCATGGTTCTTGATTGTATATATTTTTTTTTAATGAAAAACAGATCAATCTGGTGAATTTGATGATGAGATTTGGAGCCCGGCTACAGACAAATTATCGAACGACTGTGACTATGTCTACATTTCAGACATCATAAGAGCATCACATTGTTTACCAGAGGACAGTGATGTCTTTTCGCTACTAGAGAAGCAGCAATACCTCAACGGAAACGATACTTCGAAAGTCTCGAAGCTTAAGAGGAAGCTTATTTTCGATACGGTCGACGAAATCCTCGATAGGAAAAGACGGTTGCCTCCTTGGAAGTTCAACCACAGCGTTAAAACGTCAACCCTCGACAACGTGTGGACGGAGTACCAAAGGATCCGAGAGCACGAAACTCCTGAAGAAGATTTATTCGAGACCATTTGTGGGATTCTACGGAAAGACTTAGCTAGCGACCCGATCAATGGCTGGGATGATTTCCCGATAGAAATGTCGGAGGCTGTTCTTGATATCGAACGGCTGATATTTAAGGATTTAATCAGCGAGAATATTCGAGATCTAGCGGCACTAGCATCATCAAGAAGAAGTAAATTACTGTCATCAGTGATTCCTAGGAGGAAGTTGGTTTTCTAAATTTTACTAATTTTTTTTTTTCTTCTTTCTTTAAAAACAGAGCATCAGTGGTATGAATTATTGTGATTTTCACATGCTTTTGTCTATGTTCTGATTTTATTTTTATTTTTTTAGTTTTCCCCCTTGGTTAAATGCTGATTACTAGGGAACATTGCTAACGGTCACTTTATCTTGCAAGCTGTAAAAAAAAAAAAAAAAATAAAAAAATAAAAAGGGAAAAGAGAAGAAAGCAAGAACCGAGGAACTTTATCTTTCTGTGAAAGTGCATGTGTGGTGTTGTGTTGCTCGCGGGCTATAATGAGCTGCTGTCATGTGATTTACATTTTTTGGGTGTAGTAACTTTATTCCTATTTCAAGAAAAAAGATAAAGGACTAAATAATAAATTATGTTAATTTCTTTGGTTTAATGTTTAATTTAATTAAAAAAATTAAGATGGTCTTTTATTCAGAAAAGCATGTGGCTCTGAAAGCTATAATAATAATAAGGGTAAATTCCACTTTACCCCCTTGTACTCTGCCCAAGAACCACTTTACCCCCTCGTACTCTTAATTTCGTCGATTTACCCCCTTGTACTTGTACAATTTCCCACTACAACCCTCTTCATCAACTTTTTTCGATTTTGACTCTGATGCCATTTGGTCAAGAGTCAAAATATTGACGTAAATATTGAATTTTTTCGATTTTGACTCTCGAGATTAGAAAAGAGAAAGTTTCACACATTCATATATTTTTTTCTTTGCACTGGGTGGAATCGATCAATTTTTTGGTCTTGATTTTTACTAAGTTAGGGGTTCAATTTGAGGATATCTTGGAAGGGGAATTGGTGGGAGAAGAAGAAATGACAATATTGACGGAGGAGAAACGACGCGTTATAGACAGTGGCAATTTTGTAATTTACAGAGTTGACCAAATGGCGTTAGAGTCAAAATTGACAAAAATTGAAGAAAAGGGCTGTATTGGGAAATTGTACAAGTACAAGGGGGTAAATCGATAAAATTGAGAGTACGAGGGGGTAAAGTGACTCTCAGGCAGAGTACGAGGGGGTAAAGTGGAATTTACCCTAATAATAATAATAATAAGCGGTGAAGTAGGATTTACTAATTTGTTGAAGAACGTTGACCGGTAATCATAAAAATTTGGCAAGTTGCAATTAAGATCTTCTTCGCCATGATTGTAATTCTGACTACACTATCCCACATTCATGTACTTGATTCCAACTTCTTCCCTCCACATTATTTACTCTTGTTTATTTAAATTTTAAAAAAATTGGATATAAATTCGAAGTTGTGAAATTTACAGGTACTGCAGGATCGATCTTTTCATTTTAATGCTTCTGATAAATTTGTGCTCTTTTGGATCGCAATAAATCATTGTTTGCAGTGCAATACATGTGTGTAACATATTTCAATTTTATTCTATTTTTGAAAATCTGATTCTTAAAAGATTAACAGTGTAAATTCGAGGTAAGATCAGTCATACTGACTGTTGTTATAATCCATTAATTGGGAAGAAAATGGGATATCAAATTAAAAGAAAAGAAATAAAAGGAAAATGGAATAGGGAGTGTTTGGAGATAGAAGTGGACCTACATAAGTAATCTGATGGCAAAGACTGAAGAAAAATGGGGTTGGGCTACCATGTGAAGAAAAAAATATAGCTCATAAATAGTGGGAGGAATCTATTAGCACTTTTCAGCTGCTAATGATACTACTTGACAAGCTGATTGAAAGCCATGCCAAATTATGAGAATATAAACTTTATACTTTGAATTATATAGTTTCATTTCTTAATTTTACTATTTCCTCAAGAATAAACTTGAATATCTATGTTTTAATCATTGCTTCATTGGATAATTGGTACCCAAGAAAAGGCTAACAGATAAGGTGACGAGGCATATTAGGTAGAGGTGTCAATCGGGATTTAAAGATTAGAAGCTCAAACTCACATACTATCGAGCTTTGTAATTCGGTTCACATAGGGTTTCGGGTGTACGTCGAGTTCTAATTGAACTTATAACACTATATTTTTTAAAAAATTAATTGTACAAAATACATGTTAATAAAATTTCTTGTTCGGGTTGAGCCATGGTAAGCTCAAACTCGACTCGTGAACTTTTCAGGTTTGATAAAAATATCTCAAGCTTGGCCCGGCCCGGCCGACTCATTCGGGCTTCGGGCCAAACAATCGGGCTCTCTCTCTCTCTGAAAATGAAATCAAAATGCTTCCAAAGATAGCCGCAGTTTCTCAAACAAGGCCAGGCATTTAGTCCATGCAGTCCTATTGTGCACAAGCTTAACCATGTGTGTGTATTTTATTACATTGTTGGTGGTGAATTTTCTGTTATGAAATTACATTAAAAAAGAAATATTGATAGGATTGGGGTAACAGTAAATTAACATGGAGTAGCATATAAATAAATGGAGTGGTGAAAAAGGAAAAAGGGGTTTGGATCTTTATCCAGAAGTGGATGAACGAAGGAATCTGGCTTTGTGGTACAGTGAACAAAATTTGGAGGATCTTATTATATTGTTTTTTTATTTATTTGTTTTTATTCTCATATTATTCTGATTTTAGTTACTTTATTTATTTATATGTTGAAGTGATTGGCCTTTTTGTGTGTGTGTTAGAAAAGAATATATTTGCAGTTCAAAGTTTGTGGTTTAGGGGAACTGTGTCTGTGATACTGTTTCCTCTCTCATATCTTGACTACATTTTTTTCAGTGCCATTTCTTCATTTTCTTTTTTTGCAAATCGATCCCTAGATTATCTGCGGCTGTGAGATGCACTCCCTCAATTTTACATTTTGTGTAATTTAAAATTTCCACACTTATTTAAAAGAAATGGTTTTCAAATAAATCTTAAGGTTTAGACCCGACCCAGAAATTTAACGGGTTGGGTCACATCGTGAAGCCTATTTTGTAGCCTACAAAATTGCAGGCCCATTACTTCTCCAATCAAGAGCAAAATACAAACCTATTTATATATTAGAACGGCCCATTATTTTCTTGATCCATTCTAAAGAGCCCACAAAACTCCGATGTATCGCATTATATATACACTAATAATTTTTTTCCCGTGCGATGCACGATTAACATTTTAAAAGTAAAATGTAGGCCATTTTCTTCAAGGTTGAACCACGTAAACATGTCTTCTCATTTTCATGCTTTCGTATTCCGGTTTTAGGGTTTTCCGTGTACGGTAATTTTTTAATCGATTGAGTACTGTGTGAGCTGAAGTGTTTATAGATATCTTTAATCGAATTTGGTAATTGTACAACAATATATATATATAATGAGGTAGGATATGAAGTGGGAAACACTGTGAAAGGTTCCCCTTTAATTTGTTGTCCAAACGAAACCCTACATTCAAAATTGAGTCAAACCACTTTTGTAGGCAAAGGGGCAACACCACTAACTTTCAATAATAACCTCATCATCATTTTAATTGCTTGTCAACCTCCCAATTTTTGTCTATGCTTCCATCAAGTACTAATTATCAAATTAAAGAAATATATATTTATATATATATCCTGCAATAATCAAATGTCCAGTTGTACTTGTGGCCAATGAAAATAGAATATCATATATTAGTCTGTGCAGTTCTTGTGGTTTCTTTTGATTGTGGCCTTACCTGCATTCATCATATTACAATTCAACAATGAATTAATACCTATAATATGTATCTAGCTATATATAATTGTGTGTATGTATGTATATAAGCGATGAAGATCGAGAAACATTAATAAGTTTACGTACATTGCTTGTAACACGGCTGAGCGAAGGCTGGATCTAAGGATTGCGGTGGAGGCTCCTCTCCGAATATCATTTCGCAGCTCATATCATCAAAATCTGCAAATACCATTAGAAATAAAAATAAATAAAAAATTAAAAGTAATTAAATCAGTACGTAAGTAGGTATGTATGTATGTATGTATGTATATACGAAGAGTGCTTAATTAGCTTACTAGGGACCATGTTAACCGGCACTCCGACGAATTCTTTAATGAAAGCTTGAGACGGCATCTTGCAAAGATTTGTGCACATTCCTACACAATTTGTCCCCTCCAAAAACCTCAACAATTTTTTTTTTATTATATTCAAAATCCCACAATAATTAATTCATTTTGCTCATCATTTAATAAAGTTCTAATAGTACAAAGAAAAATAATAGATATGCATACCTGCATTTTGGTATGTGCACAACATTTTTCTCTATTCTTCCTTCAAACTCCGACTCTTTCACCTAATTACAACGAAATCAAACACGAACCATGTCAAATTCTCGGTTTTAATTAAGTTGCATTTTTGAATTGACGTTTCTTATTGTAAATAATAATACCTGGCAGGGACCAACAAGCCAAGCAAAGAAAATAGTGGTGAAGGCGGCGAAGAATTCTCTTGAAAATTTAGATGGCGGCAGCAGTTTCTTCATCTGATCATAATAATTCACAACAATCAATATTCCCATTTTTAATTAAATTAGTACAAAATATAATACTTTTTCCTTTTATATATGCATGACTTTTCGAATTCTATGATCTTTGTTTTCAAATGGCACTGATTTTATTTTAATGTAATGATTAAATTAAATATGACAGCACAGCAAATACTAAAATAGAAAAGTTAATGAATTTTCAGAATGGATATATTTATGAAGAAAAAAAGAATTTCAAGAAATTAAATTAAAAAAAAAAAAAAAAGAATTAACTTACCAATGAAAGAATAGGCTTAGGATATGCATCAAGAGTTTGCATAACAACTTCTCTTTGTTTGATTGGGCTGAACTTCTGCGACGCCATCGTTGCTGCTTCGATCAGCCCTTCGTACCCGCTCTTTTCGCTTTTAAACCCTGTTCATACACACACACACACACACGTGTTAGTATCTGTGTTTTTTTTTTTTTTTGGAATCTGCTAAATATATATATGTATGACCTGTGGAAGCTTGTAAGGCGTTGGAGAGATGGTTAATGGCAAGACGATCGAACCAGTTATCGTTGTAAACAGTTTTGGGCGGTTCAGATATAATTTCTAAACTCTTGTTGTTGTCTGCTAGTACTGACTGAACGAACGGTGGCGATCGTCTCTTATTCTGCATGCCGATTCTCCGCGGATTGATCTGAAGCGGCGGCGGAAAGAGGCTGCTCTGCACTAGCGTCGCAGCCATCATTGGGGCAACGCCGGCGCGGTGGAGAGAGAGAGAGAGAGAGAGAGAGAGAGAGAGAGAGAGAGAGAGAGAGAGAGAGAGAGAGAGAGAGAGAGAGAGAGAGAGAGAGAGAGAGAAAGAGTGTGTTGTGTGTGTGTGTGTGAGAGACTAAAACAACAAAAGAGTGTGAGACGGCATATTTAAGCCCAATGCCTTGCTCAAATAAATTGGAATATCCATCCTCACACAGTTCACGCATTAATGTTAGTTTTTAAATGCTTTTTTCCTTTTCTTATTTTCAGTTTTAATTGGCTGACTCAGAGTCCAGGAAATATTCTTACATTTGTCCAGAGATGCCTCTTTGTCAGCTAGCTAAATAGCAAATGATTATGAGGACATTTATTTCAAATTTAATATTTATTTGCCATTTTATTTGGACTGCATATCGAAATAATATCATTAAACATATTTATTAATAACTCAAAGTATTGACCGTTGATTAATATGCAAAACATTACATGTTTATTTTTCTTGTGAAGAAGACGATTTTCCTTCATAAAAGAACAGATATTACTCAACTTATAGAATAATTCATCTAGATCCATCAGAAAAATGAGCAATTCACAAAAAAAACATAAATCCTAACTTCGCTTTCCGTTTTCGATAAAAACGAGCCTAAACAACAATATAGTGCCTCAGGAGTTTTAACTTTTATACTTCTCCGTCGTATTCTATTTGAACTTGAGGCAACCAAAAACAATACAGCAAAATGTTAACATTATTATGACATCACACAGAAACTTACCTGTCCAGTAGTATTTCTGGTAAACAAACATATTAAAACCCTTAATATTCTAACATTTTTATTCAAGTATTTATTTACCATGCCAATCACATTTAGAAATGCACATGCTAAAATCAAAACAAAAACCCACAAATAAACACACACATAAGCCATAATAATACAAGAGGCAATTAGAGAATCCGGTACCAGATTAAGCAAATATATGTCATGAAACCCAATGTCAGGGGAAAAACAACTAAATCCATGACGAAAACACAAACAAAGAGTCAAACTTGCCGGGCTTAACTATGACACAAGTTCTAATGCCTAGATTACAAGTCTAAATTAGGCAATTCAAGAAATATAAATAGAAAACAGAGATTTTTCAGGCAAGCAAGGAACTCATTCCTTGGTGGTTTTGTTGATGAGGGATTTGTGGATGTGAGGGATAACACCTCCACCAGCTATGGTACCTTTGATGAGGGTATCCAGCTCCTCATCCCCACGAATCGCCAGCTGCAAGTGCCTTGGTGTTATCCTCTTCACTTTCAAATCCTTGCTGGCATTCCCAGCCAACTCGAGCACCTCAGCTGTCAGGTATTCAAGAATTGCTGCCGAGTAAACCGCTGCTGTGGCTCCAACTCTTCCATGGGCATTGGTTCTTGTCTTGAGGTGGCGGTGAATTCTTCCCACGGGAAACTGAGAACCACCATTACGAAACAATTGAGACAGTTATGAAATTGAATTTTTGAAGCATATAAAATCACACAATAAAATATAGGCTGCTTTTACGAGATTCGATCATCATGAGAGGAAATCAGGACACTAGGATATAAACACTTATAGCCCCGGTGAAATTTATTTCAGCTAGACGGGACTTTTAATCCATGCTACTCAAAAGACAATTACAACAATAAGAATCTGTACCAAACTGAAAAGAGAAGTATTCTACTCACAAGACAAGTACAACAATAAGAATATGTACCAAACTGCAAAGAAAAGAAACATTCTACACAGTACACACAAGACAAGTACAACAATAAGAATCTGCACCAAACTGAAAAGAGAAGTACTCTACATAAGACTTCTTCACCTACTGACGAAACATGTGGAAGGTAAATCAAGTAGTATAAGGACAGCAAAATTATTACTATGCTGAACACCCTACAGGTTGCTTTATATTGAACCACCTTCAGACATAGCCTGGCCTAAGAATTCTTATGATCGCTCCCTCTGAACCAAGGGCGTTGAACCCTCCAAGACGAAAACCAATTCATCCAAGATTAAGCTAATGACCCTACCACTCACAGTCACAACCTTCCATTCAAGATGCACCTTATTTGGAGAGAATGACCGAAAGTAATTATGGGTTGCACGCATATTAGAACATAATAATAATTTCAGTTTTTCACGCAAATAACAAGTTTCAGTCCATGAACAACAATATGCTTTTGTAGATGCACAAGATAGCCAGGTATATCACATTCATAACCATGAGCTAAATGTTTACATCACATAAAAGATATGAATATCACAAATCATCTTCAATTTAAAAGTTCCAATTTTTGTACAGAACATACATTAAGATCAACAAAAATCGAAGTTAGATAAAGCATTAGTAAGAATTATTGTTTTTATAATATCAGGTGGCATTTCTACCTGGAGGCCAGCACGGGCTGAACGAGAAATAGGTCGTTTCTTGTCCTTGTCCTTGTTAGCTGCTGCAGCTGCAGTTGTCTTCCCTGCAACAAGCCCCTTTCCACCCTTGCCAGCCATTCTTCCCTTCTTTTAGCTAATATTTCAAAAAAAAAAAAAAAAAAAATCATTAAAACAAAAAACAAACTAACCCAAGAAACCCAAGACCCAAGTGCCACAGAGACACAATTTACCCAATCATTTCAAAAGAAGTAATTTTTATTTTACAAAATACACGCACACATATACACGAAAAAAATTGCTTTTGTGTTTAGTTGCTGTATTAAATGTCCTCGTCAGTGTTAACCCATCATGTGTTTCTCATCTTAACAAAGGGAAAACGCTATTACTCTCTAAATTATTCATCTTTCTTTTACTCGCTAATTTTTTCCACCTTTTAACCTCAGAAATTAAATCTGTTAACCTTAAAACAAATCTCCGTTCGTTCAATTTATATGTTTCATAATCCTCCGGTTTCCTTTCACCACTCGCAAGGACGAGCCCTAAAAAACCAAATTAGGAAACAAAACCCTAGGTAGCCGTCAAATTGAACAACAGATCTGGCTTATAAGGTGGTAAAATCAGTAACCGACAAACCAATAAACAAATCCCAAACATCAAACGCACCAAGCATCAACAAAATCCCTACTGAAGAAAAAAAAAATAAAAAAATTGAAACAAAAATAAACCAAATCGTAGATGAAAAAAACAGAAGCACCTCGAAAATTAGACAACACAGAGCGAACGGATCTAGAGAGAAGACGAACCGTAGAGTTGGAGGAGAGGTGTGCGTAGCTGCGTACAACAGTGTATTTATCGTTTGGTAACAGAAGAGGGCAAATTTATTGCCTTTTTGTGGTGTTTTGAATCTGGGAGAGGGCTTTGGCGGTTTGCTTTGGGTGGGAAAAGCAATTTCATAGGACCAAAATATTTCGCCGCTAGTAAATTACGATATTACCCTCTACCGCTGCCCAGAATTAATGGTGCTATGAGATCCATATAAATGTAATGTATGTATTTTATTTTTATTAAAAGTTAATTAAAAGTGAATATTTTTATTAAGTGTGGCATTAGCAAGAGTGTTGTTTTGTACTATTTCGAGTGAATAGTTGCTTCATGTATGTTGTTTTCACATGTTCCTATTGGAGAAATTTAGAATGAATTCATATTTCTTTTATTTTTATTGCAATGTAAGTCAATGTAGGGTTTTTTTTATTTTTTTTAATATGTCGCATTAAAAAAGATGGGCCAGGACCGAGAGACTGGAGCAATAAATAGGCCCAAATAAAGCTAAGGCTGGATTTCTAGGCCCAATAATGACTTTATCCACTATTTCTTGTATAAGATGGGGGAAAAACTAGTGTTGGGCTCACTAGCTATGAAAGTATATTTATATTTATATGTTTATATAATGTATATTTAATTCACTAGCTAAACTTTTTGAAACGACTCAGTTTTCTTGTCACTATTTCTTGTTCAGAATCCACTGACGACGGCTCGAACAGCCCAACACAATCACCGAAAATGTCAAACGTTTATATCATTCAAAAATGTCAAAGTGCATTTAATGCAGAGGAATAAAAGAGAAAAGAAACATCATAAATTAGGGTTTGGGAGAGGAGAAGGTAAAATACGTTGAGTGAATGATTTGGACCAATCGTGGAAATCAGTGTCTTCCAAAGAATCTAGACCCTTTCAAAGATTCAACCCAATCCGAGTGGAAGTACTGAGCTTCTAAATAGTTGGATCGGCTCAGAAAAAAATTGGGTTAATGGGCCGACAAAATAATAAATGTTATAATTAGATCCATTGTTTTGTTTGGCCCATAAAAAAAAAAAAAAAAAAAAAAACATTACGCAATCGTGTACGAGAAGGATGTGACTGCTCAGATTGACTCATCCTTAACAACTGTTTACCGAGTTGGTAAATTTTGTACTTTTTACATGGACCGCGCTTCCAACGTGAGGCGGTTGGAGGAAAATCTACGTGGCAACCATATGTAACAACCACGTAATTCATGGGTAAAAAGGAAAAAATAAAATGTTCGCAAGGCTGATTTCGTAAACTCACTCGAACCCCACAAGCGCGTCGGCCCAGGCAAACGTGGCGACGTGTGGGTGCAATCGCGGGCTCATGCCTCGCTATTTCCACGACACGTAACCCCACTAAGGGATTTGGATTTGCATTGCCACATCGGATGAAGACGTGGCATCTTCCAGTCCTAGTCAGCAAACTTACCCCTCTTTATAATCTCCCCCAACTCTTGGTCTTCACTTTAGCTTTCGTACAGTAGTACACTAGACCATCACGCCAAAAGAGCTCCCCTTTTTTCTCCCTCTCTTTCCTCACACGCTCGACGTGCTTGTGCCTGTAATTTCTCTCTCTCTCTCTCTCTCTCTCTCTCTCTCTCTCTCTCTCTCTAGAGGCGGTGATTGATCGAACCGTCGGTTAATTGTTTTTTTTTTGGCCGGAAATGATGATTCCGGTTTCCGATGATCGGTTTCGAGGTTGCCGGATTACTGACGTCACGTTGATATCTTTTTAGTTTTCCTTTTAATTTTTTGTTCCTTTTTGGTGGTGAGGTTTAGCCGTAATTGAGAACCCTAAGCAAGCGCGTCGTCTATTGCGTAGCAGAGTTTAGAAGTTATTCCATGCTTTTTGTTTTTGCAAATAGGATCAATTTTGAGGGTTTATTAGAAGCGATGGTGTTAATCAATTAGATTAAGGTATCCGATTGTTCGGATTAACAAGTTTTTTTTTTGCAGATCGGGTGATTTGTAAGCCAATTTCTCAGTTTTCGTGTTGGTTGGTGTGATTTAGGATTTTTTTTGTGGCCGAAAATCATCAATAGTTTTTTTGTTTGATCACCGTCTCAAATTCCATAGTTTTGAGTCTAGATTGCTAGAATAGTTAGAAATTACTTTAGGGATCGAAAGTCTTCATAGTTGACTGAAATTTAGAAAACAGCGTGCTGTTGAAAAAATGGACCTTGAAAACTGAAAAAAGCTCAGGAAAATTCACGGCGCCGAGTTTTGAATTTTGATAAATTCAAACCTAAAGAGTTATGCCTTATTCGATGAAGATTCAGCCAATTGATTTCAACGATCCACAAGAGCCGCTGCCAAAATTTGACGCTAAACCAATACTGAAGTCCAGGTTTAAGCGGCTTTTTGAGAAGCCGTTCTCTAGCGTCTTGAAAGCATCGGCCGCCGGAGACAAGATCACCGAGCCGCTGCAGAACTGCAACAAGGATGGTTCGGAGGAGTTCGACCCGAGCTCCGTTTGCCTGGCGAAAATGGTCCAGAATTTTATGGAGGAGACGAACGAGAAACCGAAGCGGTGCAATTGCTTCAACGGTAACTGCACCGACAGCTCCGATGAGGAACCGGACTCGTACAGTTCTTCTTTCACCCACGCATGTGACCTTCTCAAGGTAGATTACGTATCTTTTTTACTCTATCTTGTACGTTTTATTTGATTTTGTGGTCCATATTTTTTTTACTCCAGTTTTGATGTTTTTGTCTTGTTGTATTGATACAAAAAAAAATATCTTTCTGAAATCTGAATGTTGAAAACAGAGTTTGGTGCCCTGTTCTTGTGTTTCTGAGAGGAATTTGCTAGCCGACACTGCGAAAATCGTCGAGAGGAACAAGATCACTAAGCGCAAAGACGGGTGTTGCAGAAAAATTGTGGCAGATGGTCTAATTAGTCTCGGATACAACGCTTCGATCTGCAAATCCAAATGGGAGAAATCCCCTTCTTCCATAGCTGGTAATTTAATTGCTTAATTTTCATGTTCTTGAGTTAATTCTCGGAATTATCTGTGGTCATAAATCACAAATGCCTTCTCTTCATTCATAAAAAAGGTTGAAAATATTATATACTGCAGGTGAATACGAGTATCTAGATGTGATAATCGAAGGGGAGAGATTGATAATCGACATAGATTTCAGATCAGAGTTCGAAATTGCAAGGTCCACAAATGCGTACAAGCTAGTCCTCCAAACACTGCCCAACATATTCGTGGGAAAACCCGACCGTCTCGAAAAGATCATCGCCACCGTATCAGATGCAGCCAAGCAGAGCTTGAAGAAGAAAGGCATGCCTTTCCCTCCATGGCGAAAAGCCGACTACGTCAAGGCCAAGTGGCTCTCGCCTAATTTCACTCGAATCGGACCCAAATGCAACAACCTCTTCAAAGACGATAACACTGAATTCGAGTTGATTCTTGCAGACAAATGGTCGCCCGTGCAGAAAGACGAAGAAGACGGCGATTCCGTGTTTGTTTTTGCTAACATTAGTAGCAGCAGCAGCCCGATCGACGGTGTGAAATGTGCGAAAACTCCATCGGTGAAGATATGGGAGCTGCCAGCTGGGAATAGGACTGATAAAAGTAGTGCTAACAAAGGAGTTAAAATGGTGACTGGTTTAGCTTCTGTAATTGAGGATTAACAATACAGTTTTGTTGTTTGTTTGTTTGTTTGTTAATTACCAGAATGGAGTCCCTGGAAAACCTTTTACGCGAGGGGGGGCCAGGGCCAAAATTTTCGGGTATATTTTGTAATTCCCTTCGCCTTTTATGTAAGGGTGTTGAACATTATTATTAGCAGCTAATAGTTGTACTAATCATCATCATCATCAATAAATTGGTATTAATAATAATTGTTGTTGTTTTAAGTACTTCCTCTGTTCTTTTAATTAATTACTTTGTTTGGGGATTTAATTATAATTAGCGCCGAAAGGAAGTAAATCCATCTGCTTTTGTTTATCTGTGTACTCTGTACTGATAGGGAAGTATATTTGGGGAATTGAAACAACGCTTTTTGATTAATTCAAAGCGCGCTTGGATTTCCGTGAAACTTTGTCACATTATAATCATTGCTTTTATTTATTTATTTATTTATTTCCAGTAATTAAAAAAGGGGTTTATTGAAATTTAGGTTAGTGATGATAGAAAAATCCTTTACAAGATTTTGGATAAGATATTAAATAATTAACGATTAATCATATTTCTTAATCGTCTTGGGGTGTGTTATGAAGCTGACGATATCAAGATTTAAAGGTACTTTTTTTTTTAAATGATAATAATAAATTTGGATGGTTCTAGTATTCAACATTTCGATAAATACAAGCCTATATGACGAGTTTTATTTGATTTCCATTTTCTAGTATATTTAATTTAACTAATGACTAAAAGTCTTATTTTCTTGAATTTTCTACTATATAATCACAGTTAGTTGTAAATCTTACACTAAATCAATAAAAATTTAAGTGGCTACATATCCTACACTTAGTGGGTATTATATTTATATTATATTAAAATATGTTGCATATGTGCATATAAATAAAATACAAATATACTGTAAATACACATTATGTCTTACAGTAGTCAATTTTTTTTTAATAAATAAAAATAGCCATTAATTAAGTATAGGCTTCAAAGATTTGGATTCGATTTCTTCCTGAACTGGGAAAAATCCCAATACACTTAAACTTTGCTTCAAGCCATCACTGTTACATGAATATTTCAATTTAATGCAAAAGATCTTCATAATGAACAGTAAGTAAATTGTTTGTGAGTTCAATAATAATATTTGTATGGGAAAGGAAAGTAACAGAGCTTTAAATAATTCCAGAATAAAAGGGTAAATAAAGAAAAAGAAATAGGGTAATGTGAAAGCAACGTGGGGTTTACTTTACTTAGATTGGAGGAAATAAATAATTCAATAAATAAAATAAAATAAAATAATGGCTTTAACACGTTTTTTCAGTATGGTAGTAGGTTGCTTGTGATGTATGGTAATGACGTATATGTATGAACTTGTCAAGATTCCCTTTACTCACCACCAATATTATTTAATGCAATTCTAATTTATTTTCAAACAATACAATTAATTGTTTACACATTAAACAATCATTTAAAAAAATATATGAATATTAATTTCATAAATCATGAAAGTGCATTTGAATATATTACACAAATAATATTGTTTTTATTAATTATAGAAAACATAAAATGTGGAGTATAAAATTGAATGGAATATGCATAACCTTTCAAACACGGCAATTACAAGGTGCGAAAAAGAAAATATAATAAATGAAAATTTCTTCCTTCTTTCCTCTAAAAAGTTGACATGAAGTCTTGAAATACTAATATTTAAATTAACTTCATCACTAAATATGTTTCGTTTAACTTCTAATGGAATTCATTTAAGAAAGAGAAGAAATATGAGAAATTAGGGTTTTAGAGAGATGCGGATGTAAAACTCTTCGAGTGAACGGATTGGATCAATAGGCGAAAATCAATGGCCAAGATCAAGATCCTCCTAAAGGTTTGATCGAATCAAGTGGACTTAAATGGTAGACTTCTAAATAGTTGGGTCGCCTCATAAGAATTTGGGTTAATGGGCTGAATGAATAATTCAGTTTGAACCCAAAATCCAAAGATTTGAATTAGATATGTTATCATTGGATTGAATTCTGATTCAATTTTTTTTTCTTAGTTTACTATAAATTTAATATCCTAATGGGAACCAATTAAAATCCATTTATCTTGTAAGCCTAATTTCAAATTGCTATAGTGAAATATTTATAAATAAATAAAAAACGAAAAAGAAAAACCGAGTTGGGCTATGGTGAATGTGATTAGGGCCTTAGTAAAAGTCTCATACTGGGCCGTAAAACTGGGCTGAGATTTTGCCATGAAGGCCTTAGATGTTTGACTTAGCCATTTCAGTGGCGTTATATCTTCATATTTATATATACTAGTACTTCACCCGTGCGATGCACGGGGAGTAAATAGGAACAAATGGAATAAATTATATTTGAACGCAACTATCGTAATATTTGTGATGCGAGGGCATGTTGATATAAAAAAGGAAAATTTTCATTTCTATTAAGGTGCGTTACGTTGCTATATTTCTTTATGCACGTATATAGAATAAGACTCAATACATAACTTATCGATATCTTTAAACACCAAACATATGTAAAATAATATTGAAATATACTTAGTAGAAAATGTGGTCGAGGCTCATAATAGATAAGGTGGTCGAGCCTCATGGTAGAGCTTAATATGTACACTCTGAATTTGAAACAATAATAATTAGACTTGCCCATATATTGCACCTGCAAGAAAAAAAATACACTGAACATTGATACAAAAGACTAACTTTTGTCCTACAACGAACTTGCAATTGTATTAGATGTCTTTGAACCACATTGTTTCAATAAACAAATTTTAGTATAAAGTACCTCTCTCTTCATAGCGTTAAGTCAGGATTTTGAGCAATAACCACAGCTCCATCCATTATTGCTTGTGCAAGCGTCATATCATCCTCCGATGCAGATCAGAGATCATCTTAGATATCCGTTACAACATTGTTATTACTCGTAAAGAAAAAAAAAAAGAACAGATTACAACTTGTGTAGAAAAAGAAAAACTAAACCTAATTAGAACATCTTTACAAACTGCACATATATATTTGCTACTGACCAAAACACAAATGGCCATTTTGTCAATAAAAACAAACATCTGGTCAAAATCCAATACTTCTTGAACCACTACACAATTAATATGGTTCAACAAAAATAATTCTATAACTCCATATAAATTCGCTCATAGTACACAAAGACCAAAAGATTTAACATTTAAAATTGCATGACATCAAAAAACTACATCTAAACATAAAATGGAGTAATTGAAAAAAAAAAGAAGGGAAAAACGTGAAGATTATATAGTACATTTGCATAAAATAAAGAACTTTTATTTTTGCAAAATCAGGTGGACATTTAAAAATAATGGAACACATGTATGTTGCAAAAGATGTAGAAAAATGAAACTTTTTTTTTTCTCAAAACTACAAGTTTAACATTCTTGAGCCTAGACGAATTCAATAGTTAAAAGATTTAGGGTGTCACTTCAATTTTCGGTGAATCAATAATTTTGTAAAGATTTATGTGTGCGATTCTTTCAAGCGAACAAAATACTAAATTATAATTCGGGTTGGTATACAAATGTGATATGCAATTCGAATTGAGAAGTTATAAGAATAATTTTAGAGAAACTGATGGAAAGAAGTAACGGGAAAAAAAATTGTGAGAGATTACAATAGATAACAGATGCAGTTGGGACGGAGTTATACAAACGTGTTTTATATTTTGCAAAATAGTCCTACAACTATCAAAACATTATAAAAATTGCCCTGGGGTTTTGAAACCCTAAAGGGCACGTGTCATATAAAAATAAGAGAGGAATTAAGGTTATAATTGTAGTGATTAGATAAATATATGGTTAAGTTGCTTATACAACAACTCAATTTAATTTAATTACAATCATGATTTAGGCTAGTAATTTTCCTCTGATAAATCTTAGTTAGGATGAATTAATGGATTAATGGTGACAATATTTAATTCATATATATTTACATGAGAATGAACAAATATTCAGTAAATCAGTAGAAGCAGAATCCAAAATCCTAATCGTATGCACATGACATACATCAATCTACGAAACAGTAGAAAAAAATCATATGTTTGTTTCTCATAAATCACGCCATGGCTATACATACAAAATAGGTACACATTGCATGCCACAAAAAAAAAAAAATCACAGATCGAGTAATAGTGAGAGAAAAAAGCATAAACTACAAACCAATAATGCCGACGATGAATCGAATTTGGTGGTCCTTCGTCTTCGCTGCTTAGAACTGTTTAACCGAAGAACAAAAAAGGAGAATTCTAGAGAGAGAAGAAAAATCTTCGCAGTGTAATATTTTATTACAAATAAAACAAATATAAACGCGATTACCTGGGGCGGGCTTAGTCTGACAAAACAAATATTCACGCCATTACCTAGGGCTGAACACGTTTAGAAATATATAAAACACAGATGAAGATGTAAAATTAAATTATAAAAATTATAGAGATTTACATGAAGAACACGATTAGGAATTAGAAACTGAAGAAATCGAAGACATAGGAGAGAAGAAGTTATATCAGAAGAACTTAAATCAGTGGAAGACGAAGTTGAGAAAATAAATAACCGTGGGAAGAAGTTGAGGGGAGAAGACGACTAAATAACCGTGGAAGAAGTTGTGGAAGAAGTTGAGGCGAGAAGACGCCAAGAGCAGTTATACGAATTGTAAACGTTACGTTGTGTGAGTTTTTTTTTTTTTTAATCTAAAAGTAGTCCTAGGACTTTCAAATAATTACAAAAAATGCCCATAGGGTTATGAAACCCTAAAAAGTGCCACGTGGCGCAATATTATGACATAGATTGTCTTTTTATATATATATAGATTTTTTAAGGAGTTGTGCTGTTTCCACCCTCAAATTTTCTCATTTCACCACCTTATTTTAAAAATATAAATGAATGGTATACAAAATATCATAAATACCCTTAATAATTTATATTTTTTTACACCATCATTTTAAAATTAATCCACCACCGTCCCAATATTTTGCATCTTCTACATATTTCATATCCCCCAAATACCTATAACAAAAAGTCTATGTACAGTGTATGAGAGATTTCCATGTCTTTGCGTTGCCTTCTTTCACTCGAAAATCAACATAAACAACTTATTTCATAATTTTATACTATCAAAATCTTTGTTCAAATATTTAGGCTTTTAAATATCACTGTAACTTTTTCACTTTTCATCTTTTTTCGGTAATTATAAATATGAATTTCAATTTCCATGGCACCACCTTGAACTTATCCATCTAACACAATTAATATAATTGAAGTGGTTAAGTCATGTTGACTAAGTAGATATTATAAGATGAACTTGAAAACTCTCTTTTATTATATAAATAGTAATAATATATATAAACATTGACCCTCCAAAGTCTATTGACTCTTTATATATTAACCATGCAAACCCTACATTTTCTTGCATGCCAGTCCAAAAAAACACACACACACACACACACACACACACAATCCAAAACATGCTCTCATACATAATGGATTCTTTCAAATCTTTTAGCAATTATGATGATATGGGAATTTCTGACCCGGATCCGATCAAATTTATTGAAGATGCACTCTTCTGCAGCAGCCCACTTGCATTATCATACTCCGACCCGGATCAAAAATGGATAATCCGACAACACCTCATTTCTCTCTTCCAAGATTTCCCTTGTTTCAAACCCTCCGTTGATGTTTTCACGTACAACGATGGCACTGAGGTCAAGCTCCTCAACGCTAGCGGCAAATTAACCGTTTCTCAGGACGCCCCGCCCGTACCCGTGACGATTTGGGTACCCGAATATTACCCGGAGATGGCTCCGATTGTGTATGTGGATTCGGGTAGTCCTTTGTACCCGATTTACGAGAACCACCCGTTTTCGAATTGTTCGGGCGAGACAACATGTCCGTATCTCGAAAACTGGCGGTTCAGTAAGTGTGATCTTTCGGGTCTGACCCGGAATCTGAAGAAGCTATTTTCCCACAACCACCCGTTTTACTATTCGGGTTCGGGTTCTTCGAACCCGGCCCATCCATCGACTTTTTCGAAGATGGAGGCGATTGACCGGCTGGCCGCCGCTATTCATTACGACGCGGCGGCGATTACGGCGGAATATGAGGAGGAGATCGAGAATCTGTCGGCGATTCAAATTGAATTGCAGGAGAGAGGTGAAGCTTTGAAAATCGTGGTTAATGAATTGGAGCGAGAGAAGAAGAGATTTAAGGGAAGAACAGAGGAAATGTGTGGTGAATCTGATAAGCTTATGAATTGGTTAAAAGTGTACGATGGGGTTTCTGATTTCCCCATAGACGATGTTTTCGAAGGTGTGGATAAGGAATCGGAGATCGAGCTCGAGTGTTCGGCGGCGGATTTGGCGGCGGAGGATTTGATGTACGCGCTGGAGAAAGCGGTGGAGGAAGGGGTTTTGGGCTTTGAAGCTTACTTCAAGCAAGTGCGAGTGTTGGCGCGTGAGCAATTTTTGTGTAGAGCTAAAATACTAAAGATTAAAAAATTATTATAAAAAGATTGGTTTTCTTTTTCGTTATTTAAAATATGGATAAATTACGGGCACCCGATGTATGGTCAAAATTACAAAAATACTCTCATGTTTGATTTACAATCACCTTTGCGATGTCAATTTTAGTGAAATCTTCTAAATTATGTGAAATATTTTCAGTTTGTACCCGTTTTACCCATTCGAACTCCACATATAAAACAAGATAATTGTAAGTAAGGTGTGTATCTTAACTTGTAAATATCAAATTGTAATACATTAAAAACTGTATTTTAGCACAAAATGAGTACAAACTAGAAACCATTCCATATATAGAATATTATTTTGAATTTAACATCATAAGGGTGGATATGTACGACGAATCATAATTGAAGGGTGGTTTCATTATTCAAACATGAGAATTTTTTTCGTAATTTGATCATACCTCGGCGAGTTAACCGTATTTTACCCCTTTAAAATATTGTGTAACGATTTTATAATACATATACGCATAGAATTGAAATCAATTTAACCTCCCACAAATAAAAAAAAGATCTATCACTTAATTACAAAAGGATTAGTGGTCAAGGAATTCATGTCTACTAAGTCAATATGACCAATTAATTGACAATATACTTTTTAATTCTAAATTTTCTCTATTTAAGTTATAAATTTTAATTATTATTTAAAAAAAATCCAAAGATATTTTGAAGATAGAAATAAACAAGATAAGACAATCGTAGAATATCACGAAAGTTTAGGGGCCATTGGAAATAATTATGGAAATAAAATTTTATGGAAAGATCCCTAACTTCCTTAAGTAAAGAAAGTCGCTGGTTGTCGCGAAGCGACTACATCGAATAATAAAGAGAATTAATTAAAAGCGGATTTCGTTTGTCAACTTTCCAAACGGGGGAATAATCCCCTACTTCGCGGCCCGTCAAGAGTCTTCCCCCAAATCTCACAGATCAAGAACAAAAAAACTCATCCCTTCTTCAACTTCAAGATCCAAAATCCAGTTATAACAAAATTAGAACCGTAACAATAAACTGATTAATTCCAAATGTATTTTTTCCTTCTCAAATTCGTAACAGCAACAATGGCTTATTGAGATCGAAAATCCTTGAAAACCCCTTTTTTTTTAGCGTTAGTTGTTTCCTCTGACTTTGATGAATCTTTTCGTCGTACAGTATTGTGCATTGAAACACTACATTTCATCATCAAGATAACGGCTTTTGTATTGGGCGAGATCAGAGATGCGGATTTTCGGCCCACTCGCTGTTTTGTCGGTTTATCTTTCCTTTTTAGTATTTGGGGCGTTCTCCATTGACGAAAGCTTGCGTCAGGCGTGAGTTACCCTTTTGTTTTTTTGTCGTTTTTATTTTATGTTGCGGTTAGCGTGCATTTGCTTTAATTTGATATGTCATATTTAGTTCCGCATTCGTTGTGTTTTTTGATTGGTTAGTTTTTGGTTACTGGTATTTTAATTTTCACATAATCGGCTGATAGTGTAGGCTTTTTTTATGATGTTGTGCTGATATAAGTTTAAATAGCTCGAAGTTGTGGCTTTCTGACGAGTATTGTAATGAGTATTCGACTATTCGTTTGTTCCTGCGTATAAAACTGCTAAATTCGGCAAGATTATAGCATATTGCAAGAAAATATTATGTGGGGTAACTCTATGTAATTAGTAGATGGCTGCCTTGAGATTGGTTTGTGGATGAACTTAGATAAAGATCGGGGAATGTGGTTCGTTTAATTAAAGAGAGATTTTATAGAGTTTTGTCATCGAAAACTTAGTATTGCTTGTTTATCTTCCATCTCGTACATTTGTCTCATGGCTTACCGTTCATGCTTAATACGTTTTTGGTAATGATTATTTTCATGATTTCTGTTGCATTCATGGATTTGATTTTTGCTTTGAACAGGTTTCCGATTATAGAACCAGATCCTGGCCACACAAAACTCCGACTTTCAAGAGAAGGCTTGAAGGCAATCGAGAGAATCACAACCCCTATAGCAGCAGTTGCCGTAAGGCTTCAATTAATTGGCACTAGTATGCATACGTGCAATTTGTCAATAGCAACTTTTATCTGCAAAGGAATAATAGGCGATAGTTGAATAAGAACTACGGATAGTTTTGTGTTATGCTGTTTCTGCTTAAATATATTTTTACACTGCAGTCTTCGAACTTCTTGCGCATGCAATAAAGCTTCGTTTACTACAAAAATATTCTGTCCTCGTTCACATTTTTAATAAGCCACGTCTCTTCTCCGACGCCATTTTTTTGTTGTGTTCCTAGGTTATTGGCCCTTATCGTTCTGGAAAATCATTTCTACTTAACCAACTACTATCGCTATCATGTGATGAAGGTGCGATGTCCAGTAATTTTGCATAGTATGTATTGGAATTCTAATGTACTTTTCTTGCAATTCCTAATTTGAAGTAAAAAATTGGCAGGTTTTGGCGTTGGGCACTTACGTGATACAAAAACGAAAGGTTTTATACTAGATTATTCTTCCAAGTGATGGGATTTATTTATTTATTTTTAAATATCAGCTTTAAAATTGCTATTTAGATGGTTCTGAAATTTTGGGTGTTGATTTCTCAAGGTATATGGGTGTGGGGAGCTCCAGTCGAGCTGGATATCGATGGAGTTAAAACTTCTGTCTTCTATCTTGATACAGAGGGGTTTGAAAGTGTTGGAAAGTCAAATGTATATGATGACAGGTAATCTCCAAATAATTATAATTAATTTAATTTGTCGTTATTAGAATAAATAATTTACGTAGGTTTTTGGTGGATTGACATGGTTTTCCAACACTCGTTTCGCAGGATTTTTGCACTGGCAACTGTAATGAGTTCTGTGCTCGTATATAATCTACCTGAGACGGTTTGTTACTTCTCCTCTTCTGTAACTATAATCACCGTAACATGGTGATGATTTTTCCGTCAAATGAAAAAAGAAAAAAAATATATTTTCCACTTGCATTCGTTTCTTGTGGATGGCTTTGCAATTCTCGTGTCGTATTTTTTGTGAACAGTTTGTTATTATAGCCCACTGTCCATTCCGAGTTTGGAATTTTCAGTTGAACATAATTTTGGTATTGCTTTATTCTTAGATACGAGAAGCAGATATATCTCGATTATCATTTGCAGTGGAACTCGCTGAAGAATTTTACGGGAGGTTTGTAGTAACATGTTAATTGAATGTTCCTAGTTATACACCTGTTTTTACGTTCAGTTTAAATTTACATCTCTGCCTCAATTGTTCTTCTGAATTATGACACAATTTTTTTCTGTTGGTTTCGTTTCTTTGGCACACGAGGAACAGAGTAAAGGTAATTTCTATAGCATGCTTTTTCAATTCATTGCATTAAAAGAAAGATAAAGAGTAAGTTTTTAATCGTTCAAGACCTCTCGATTTATTGCTGCAGGGGCAAGATGTGGCTTTCGAACCTGCTAAGTTATTATGGCTAATCCAGCGTGATTTTCTACGTGAGTAAAATAATTCAACTTATAATCGACTATTTTAAGTCACAGTAGCATAATCGACTACATATAGTTCCACTTTTGCAAAAAAAAAAAAAAATTGATGTGAAAGCTCATTGTTGGCAATTTCAGAAGGAAAGTCGGTGCAGCAAATGGTCGACGAATCTCTCCGACAAGTACCTAATGCCGAAGGTCAGTTTTCTTTGCCTGCATGTGACACTTACTCTGTTTGACATCGACTGACGACGAAATTAACTATCGGGCTTATTTTGAGCAGGAAACAAGAATATCGATCAGGTATATTCAGTCTCTTGATACAAGTGATCATTAGTATGATGTGCTAAACATCTCATATAAAGAGGCTTTCAGGTGAACCAAATTCGCGATTCGTTGGCTATCATGGGCGACAACAGCACCGCCTTTAGCTTACCTCAGGTTTGTGTTTATTTTGTCAGAAACTCATTCAAAATACAAATCGAAAGACCGTAGAATTTATTTTGACAGTTTGCAATTTGGCCATAGTCAACACAATTAATTCGCACACGATGCATTTGTTTGACTATAGTGCTGCTATAGTTAGGCTTTTGCTAATAGCACAATCTGACTTGTACCCACAGCCACATCTCCAACGAACAAAGCTTTGTGAATTGAAAGATGAAGAACTCGACCCTATGTATGTTAAGAAGAGGGACCAGTTGAAAGCAGTTGTTTCGTCTATGATCCGTCCAAAGATTGTCCAAGGCAAATCTCTCAATGGAAAAGAATTTGTCTCTTTCTTGGAGCAGGTGCAGTTTTTCTCTCTCTATAATCTATTTTCATTGCAGCAACCCGTTTAATTTCCTCCATCTAGTTTCCTATTATCATTTTTTTAACTCTTTACATCGAAATTTAATTACAGATTCTCGAGGCGTTAAATAAAGGGGAGATTCCATCTACGGGCTCCCTTGTGGAGGTTTTCAATAAAGGTATTTTAGAGAGATGTTTGAAACTATATAATGTTCGTATGGGTAATGTGGGATTGCCAAGATCAGAGGAGTCTCTTCATCAAGCTCACGAAGATTCCAAAGCAGCAGCTATGTTAGCTTTTGACGAGCAACATTTCGGCCGACACCATGCGAAGAAATCAGCCGAGCAGTTGATTGAAGAAATTGACAAGGTATTAAAAAAAATCAGAATAAAAGATTTCTTTAGAATTTTTATGTGCTCAAGAGAATAGGTCCATTTATTGTGCAGGTATACAAGAACTTTGTTCTTAGTAACGAATATCAATCCTCGAAGCTGTGTGAGTCTTTATACACGAGATGCGAGGAAAAAATGGACCAACTTCAAGTACTCAGGCTTCCGTCTATGGCTAAATTTAACGCGGGGTTTCTTCAGTGCAATCAAAGTTTCGAAAGCGAATGTGTTGGACCTTCTAAAACCAATTACGAAATGCGGATGATGAAGGTTTGCGTGTCTTTCCGATATGCTTTATTTTATTTCTTTTCCAAAAGACATTAAACCCGAGGCTGATTGAGCGAATTAGAGTTTCCCTGGTTTAGTGTTGAAACAAATGCTTTTGAACCCATAATTCTATTTTTTTCGTTAGATTTTTATGTAATTCGTTTACCCATTGAATATCTCGTGACATCCTATGCAGATGTTGGGGAAATCGAAATCTCTATTTATTAAGGAATACAACCACAGACTGTTCAATTGGCTGGTGGCCTTCTCACTTGTGATGGTGGTGTTGGGTCGTTTTATCATAAAATTTATATTGGTGGAGATTGGAGCTTGGATACTTTTTATATTCTTGGAGACGTACACACGCATGTTTTGGTCTTCGGAATCTCTTTATTACAACCCGGTCTGGCATGGAATTGTCGCCACCTGGGAAGCTGTCGTCTACAGCCCTGTTCTTGATTTAGACAGGTAAGAATTATATTTTTATATATCCCACCTATTTTTAGAACTCGTGACGTTTTCCCATTTTTATGACATTTATATATTTTGCAACAGATGGGCGATTCCGCTTGTTATTATAGCAGGGATTTTGTTGCTGTACTGGCGGTGTTACGGGAGGAGGAAAAACGGGTCCCGTTGGATACTACCTCTGTATGGCAGCCAGAAAGACGATCGAAGATCAGAGTGAAATATAATATATATATATATATATATATATATATATATATATATATATATATATATTGATATTATAGTCAATGCTTTGACCATCCTATGAATCAGCCTCGGGTGCCTTTCAATTTTTTTTGATATACAAAGGCGCGTTTGGTTGATACATATAATACAAACCGTTTGAACGATGAAATGGTGGAGAGACTTGGAATATATAAGATAGAATCTGCTGCTGTTGCTGTTGTAACAATTTACAGGGGAATTGTATATTAGTTTTCTGTCAATTTCAAACAGGTAGAATTATGTTATATTATTATTATTCTTTCAATTTAGGATTCTTTTCAAATTTATTTTGACTATTTAAAATTAATTAGTATTGTCTTGTTAGTTTAATATCGATATTATTTTTTGTTCTAAAATTACATAACTGAGCATGGTCTTTTTATTTGGAATTACCCCCTCGAGTTTCACTTCAACTTTAATTAGTACGTATTTCAATTTGTTTGAATTTAACCCCTCATCTATATATTTTTTTGACTAAAATGACCTTGTATTGATATTTCTGTTTATATATATATATATACACACACACGACAATTTTTTTAGGTTTATTAATCATTTGGTAAAATTACAATTTAGTTAAATATGAAATATTGGATTAAATTAAGTTAAGAAATGGGAATTTTAAAATGTTTTGTAAGATTATAATCAACCATATTTTGGTTAGTAATTCGGTTGAAGTTGCAAAATAAAATAAAACTAATAATTATTTTGAAGAATTAATAATGGGTTAACTATATATTAAATGAGTTATGTGGAAAAGGAAAATAATTGGTTTTTTTTAGAGAAGAAATAATTGGTCTTTAGTATTCAATATATAATTTACAATAGTAAATTGGACAATTGGTTTAACTCGGCCCAAAACGGAGGAAAAGCCCAAAGAACTTGAGCCCGAGAAACGAAAAAAATTGGATCCAATTAAAAGCTACCCAAATAACACGCAGCACTGATAAATACCCTCCTCTCTCAAATTTCATTTCCCTCTGTTCATAACACGCATTTCGCATTTTCCTCTGTTCTTATTAACACGCAGCATTGATAAATCACATTTCATTTCTCTCTGTTCATAACACGCACATAAATCTCACGCCCATGGGTAAAAACATTAGCCTATTTAAACGAGAAGGAGATCGTCAAGAGAAATTTGTACGAGTTCATGCGGTTGACTGCCGACGGCAAGCCATCCCCTCCCGGCGACAAAACAATTCAGAAGAAGTGGTCGGATTCTCGTAGTTTGGCAAATGCTCTGATGAATAAGACGATCCATGTCGATTCCAAGGAGGAACTCGAAGCCGTGGTGTATCTGAAGACCTTTTACGCTTTCACCGGCGAGATTGTGCTCGGTCCTTCAATGGAAGATGATGCTGCAATGAAGAAGGCTGCAAAACGTGCACGTTTGGGGAAGGATGAGGCATGAGTGAGGTTTTTTGATCTGGATAATGTTTTCTATAATTGAATAGTGTATCTAGTTTTATGATAATTTCTGTAGTTTGTTTCTATTTTTGACGCGGTTTTGTACCTTCTGAATTTTCAATTCCCATGAAATTGTAATGTTTTTTTCAGTTTAATGAATAAAAATCTATTGCGGCTTACAAACCCTAGCCCTGCCATTTGCAATTTCCCGCCAATTCGATTTACTTTTAGATCCGGTGTTTGTGGTTTACTGGTTTCAGTTGATGAACTGAACAAATTTAGCGAGGATGACTTGAACAGGTGAGTAGATCGATTTTGGTTGAAGCTAATTGATGTCAGAACTGGTGATTTTTCATTGTTCAAACCAGAATCCGCCGCAAAGTCTGTTTCCCGGCGGTTACAAGCGTCCCGAGATCAAAGTGCCGAATATCGTCCTCAGATTAAGCTCCGATGACGTGTTTAGAGATGATAGGGCGATACTTGACGCCGTTTCCGGTAGAGTTGGAATTGTACTGCTTACCGGCGGCGAAGGCAGCGGCGAGAAGTTGTATGAGGCGGCCTGTTTGCTGAAGTCTGTGATAAGGGATCGTGCTTACTTGTTGATCGATGAGCGCGTAGATATTGCTGCTGCGGCGTTTTGCTTTCTGATCAAGGTTGGTGCATCTATTTACTCCATGGTTTTTTAGCTCAATTATTTTAGCAACCAACGAAATATCACTCATGCTCTGATCGCTCTTAAATGTATTTGGATCCATGTAATTGAAATTTATGAAGATCAGTTGGAATTTGATACAAGTATTTCTAATTCCTTTGCTGAAGTTTTAATTACCTGAACAGGAAACATTGTTAGGTTGTTTTAACCCTTTCATTTTGTGGGGAAGGATTTGTTTGAAGGATATGGCAGAAGAGAGTTATTTAAATGAATATGCGATTGTGAGAGACATAAAGCTAATTTTATGGGCTGGTTTTTATTTTTTGAAATCGATATGATAATTACTACATTTTGATCTGAGGTAAACTGCAATATCTGGATTTGTATTTTTCTTCATCGGGCATTTTGTTATTCGATTAGGTTGATCTTCGTTTTAGTTGTTAAATTCTTTGAGTTCCTGTTATCTTTCATTTTATTGTTATTTTGGTTAATTTGAGTGTTTATAATACTTGATAGGTCTGCCTACTATTGTGGCAAGGAACACCATGATGGATTCAAAAACTGATTCAGTGATTCTTCCTTTGGTAGCAAGAAATGTCCAGACTCATGATGCTGCTATTAACGAAGACGCTCGGCTGGAATATCCGGTAACCTCCGTGTTTGAGTGTGTAAGAATACCAGTTTTTCTCATGGTTGATTCACTTAGATCAGGTGTTAGTGGTTTAGTTGTTTCAGTGGATGAATTGAACTTGTTGAGCGAAGATGACTTGAACAAGTTGTTTTACTGTGCGTATGCATCAAATAAGAAGGTAGATGATGTCGGTCAAAGTTTTGACAATATCAGAACCAATGATACGGAGAATGGCTTTTACGGGGAGAAGATGATTTCTGAGCTTACCATATTGGAAGAGATCGATTTTGGTTGAAGCTATTGATGTCATCCAAAGAGATGCATCACGGGTGATCTTTCATTGTTCAAACTTTGTTAGTTAAAGGTGTTCTTACATGATATGTTTTTTCTGCTACTGGTGTTTATGCTACAGCTGATTTGAATTTCAATCTTAAATGGCAGACGGGGGATATCTAACTTCTGAAAGATGCTGTTTCTCAACTTAACGAGCGATTTTCGATGGTTATATTGGTAATTTGGTGCTGAATTTCAACCAAAATTGGTTCCACAGATATACATGGGTATTAGCTCTGAATTTTAATGCAAATTTTGTTCATTACTTGGTTGTGGTTTAATCTGATATTGAGTCATAACCTTTTTACAACGGAATTTTTTTATGACAAGAAAACAAAGAATTTTTCTTGCAAGTGTTTAGTGTAACCATTTACAAATGATTTTTGAAGGTAATCTATTTGTAAACATACATTTGAACGTAGATATAAAATATTGGAGGGTCCTTAAAATGCTTTTGTTGTGCTATCCAGGATTGAATTTTGTGGAACTTTGCGCAATTGATGTATCTTTCTCTTCTATTCTTTGGTTCCCCGTTTAAATTGGTAAAGTTTGTTACCGATGGAGAATTTAACCTTTGGAAGCATAAGCTGAAGGTATTGTTTACAAGTAATGAAATTACCTTTCTACGCTATTCTGAGTCAGAGTTTAGTGAATAACGGTGTGAAAGGCATCCCGATGGCCAATACATATGCTACATACCTGCTCCAATTCTGAAAGAAGTGAGTTCTTTAACCACTCAGTTAGATACATACTGGTACATGGTTTATTTTCAATTTTATGTACTTCTTTTACACTAATTATGTACTGCTTTATTAAAAAAAAGGTACACCTTCGTTTTCTAATTACATGCTTCTGTTTCCATGGAAATTATGCTTCTACTAGGAGTTGTTTTGTGGACTCATCATCTTCTAGATATTGTATAATCATTCATCTCTTTTAGTTGTTCCTGTTTACGTCTATAGGTGTGATTCGGTCTGTTTTTGGATTCATAAACTGAAGAAGACTTTATTACTTGTCTTAACTATCCGATGATACACTTCCCATAAACACCTAATATTCGTTTTTGTACCCTCCCTGAGCAGATGGTAATTGTTGATACTGGAATTTGTACCTCTCGTGCAGATTTGCTTCTTTTTGTCATGTCGGCTGACCGACCATTGACTGAAAGTGAGGTATGACTTACTTCCAACTTGTTTTGTTCTTCTTTACCATGATTAACATATTCGACTTCTATGAAGTTTCATTTCTGAGCGGGAATTCATGTTTGCGTAATATACCTCTGCTACATGCCTATATGTCTATATTGATAGCAGATGGCCGTTTATCCCCCATTTTCCCCTCTCTTTTACCTTAGAAGCTAATCTTTATTCTCTCATGGTCTGTTAGGTTGATTTTCTTCGCTATATTCAACAATGGAAGAAAAAAGTTGTTCTCGTGCTGAATAAATCGGACCTGTATCGAAATGCGGATGAGGTAGAATCAATATCTCGGATTCAACCGGTTACAGCTAATGGAGAAAAAAAATCTCTTATCATTGGAATTCATATAATTGAACAATGTAGGAGCTTCCTCTGATTAAGTTTCTAAGTTCTCAATTCAGCTCGAGGAAGCTGTTCTGAGTCAGAGTTTAGTGAACAACGGTGTGAAAGGCATCCCGATGGCCAATACATATGCTACATACCTGCTCCAGTTCTGAATGAAGTGAGTTATTTAACCACTCAGTTAGATACATACCGGTACAACCTCGAAGGGTTTATTTTCAATTTTACGTACTTCTTTTACATTAATTATGCATTGCTTTATTAATAGAAAAAGAAGTTACACCTTCGTTTTCTAATTATATGCTTCTGTTTCCATGAAAATTGTGCTTCTACTAGTAGTTGTTTTGTGGAGTCATCATATTCTAGATATTGTATAATCATTCATCTCTTTCAGTTGTTGCTGTTTACGTCTATATAGGTGTGTTTTTGGATTACTTGTCTGAACTATCTCATGATACACTTCCCATAAACACCTAATATTCGTTTTTGAACCTCTCGTGCAGATTTGCTTCTTTTTGTCACGTCGGCTGACCGACCTTTGAGTGAAAGTGAGGTATGAATGACTTCCAACTTGTTTTGTTCTTGGTTACCATGATTGTATTAAAATCTAAATCTGCAACTTTGGCACGTTGGATTGACATATTCGACTTCTATTAAGTTTCATTTCTGAGCGGGAATTCATGTTTGCATAATATACCTCTGCTACATGCCTATATGTCTGTATTGTAAGTCATTGGGTAATCGAGCTGCTGTACGAGCAATGATGATGCTATTAGTGGCATGAGCTTGAATGAATCAGATAGATAGATGCCCTTGAATTGTTGTGTGATACTTAGATTCGTCTTGCTTTCAAGTATTGTCTAATAAATGTCCTCATTTGTCTAATAAATGTCCTCTGTTTTTTTTTCATGTATCTCTTCTGTTCATAGTTATTTGGGTAGCTTTTAATTGGATCCAATTTTGTTTCTTTGGGTTTTTCTCCGTTTTGGGCCGAGTTTTGTCCGATCACTACTCTAAATTATACACTGAATACTAATCACTTTATGATTTAATAATATTTTGCGTTACACTGATGGATATTGAAAAAAATATATAAGATAAGTAAAATTATAAATTAGTAAACATATATGATATGTACAATATTGAAAAAAATATATAAGATAAGTAAAATTATAAATTAGTAAACATATATGATATGTACAATAGTAAAACAATGGAAGACCGAAAATGTAAAAATTCCATTAATTGCAATCGTAATCTATATATATATATATATATATATATATATATATATATATATATATATATATATATATATATATATTAACAATAAAATTTAATACACATAAAAAATGAGAGAAAAATTAGAAGGGAAAAAAAAGAAAAAAAGAAAAAGAAAATAATTAAAAAGAAAAAAATAAACATGAAAAAAAATTCAAAGTTAATCGTGTTTAGTGGGGAATGGAAAAAAAAGAAGAAAAAAATAAAAATAAAATAATTAGAAAAACGTGTCCGTGTTTAAGGACGAAGGGAAAAATAAAAGAAGAAAAAAAGAAAAAAAAACGATTAAAAAAATTGAAACGTGTTCAATCAAAAAGAAAGAAAAAATACGTAATTTTGAATGTGCTATAAAAAAGGAGAATAAAGGAAACAAATAGGTTACAAATATATTTTAAGAAAAAAACTGCTTTTAGGATTACGTGGCAAATCTTTCTTTTATATATAAAAATTATATTATTTTCAATAATTGTTTACAACTAAAAAACAAAAAAAAAAAAACAAAAGAGAAAAGAAAAAGAAAGGGATATTATATTATTGACTAGCTCAATTCGTCACAAAATAATAATTATGAATCATGAATTAAAACAGAAATAAAAAAGAAAAAGTGAAAAAAAAAAAATAATCTGTATTGGGGCTATATAGGCGAGATGGGCCTAAAATTTGAGTTACACGGAGATTCGGAAAGGGGAGGCAAGACATAATTTATTTATTTATTTATTTTTGTCGTATATATATATATATATATCAAACAACATCTTTTCTTCCAACTCTAGTTAGATTTGGTTGTCTCTCTGTGTTTTATCTCCGATTGAAGCTTAATGGGTGGGAAGCGAGTCGAAATTCCTACCGGTTTTCAACCTAATCAGGTGAGCTTTCGACTAAGCTTCTGGCCTTTTTTTTTCTTATGCGTTGAGTTTTTTTATTTTTTTAATATTTTCTTATTATCATTAAATAAAGCCTCTGTGTTTTTATATGTAAAAGACCATTGATTAAAGCTTTTCGTTTTTCCGGCTTTAGATCTCGTGATTTCTTCGGGGGCAATTTAATATCATCAATATAAATCCATATATATATATATATATATATATATATATATATATATATATATATATATATATATATATATATATATATATATATATATATATATATATATATATATATATATATTTCTCCAAAGATTCAATCTTTATTGGCGCTAAGCGAGTCAAAATTGATGCAACTTTTCAACCCAAGAAGAAGGTGAGCTTCCCACGAAGCTTCTGCCTTCAAAAAGAAAAAAAAAAAAAAAATAATATGTTAAAAGGCTAAAGATTGCATCTTTTTTTTTTTTTTTTGGCTCATGCTATTTTTATATGCTGTATTTCTCTGGCCTAAAAGACCTAATTTTACTGGTAAACTAATGCCCTGATTTGATTTGCTGACATGTTTATTCAATATCCGATATCGTTTTTCCCCTCCAGTTTGTTGGGGTTATATTAATTTCCTATGTGTATATCAACTAGTATCGTGAGTAGTAGTACTAGTAAGATTATGCAAAGCAGAGTATTTTAGTTAAAGATTTAGTTAATGGACATTTAGACGGGTGATTGCAACTTTCCTCTTATTGCATTGTTGACTAGTTCTAATATACTATTATCTCTTGTTTTGACTGACAGTGTGATAAGAGAAGTACCGTGGGCAGTGATGACGATGATAGAATAAGTCGGTTGTCTGATGACATTCTCGTTTATATACTGTCTTTGCTATCGCTCAAGGAATCTGCACGCACTAGTCTTCTTTCAACTCGCTGGAGGAACTTGTGGAAGCACACCCCCTCTCTCAATTTTGACGCTGAAAGTGTATTAGACAAGATTGAGAAAAATTGCAGCAAGCCCGGGTTACTCAAAAGTGAGAGAATCAAGTATGTGAAATGGGTGAACTCCGTTATCCAGTCGCACGAATCTCTCACCTTACAAGAATTCAGAATCCATTTTAAGTTAAACAAATCATTCAGAAAAGCAATCACTCGGTGGGTTGAATTTGCATTTTCCAGACATGTTCAGAGGTTGGAGTTGGACCTTGAAAATGGTAATACGCACTTTCATTATTGTGTCCCAGATGAGTTACTTATCCGAAGCTGTTCCACAACATCTAAATTGCCACCCGGTTCAAACAGTGTTCACCGTACGCTTGTAGGCTTTAAGTCCCTCAGAGCATTGTCTTTGAAAAGTGTTGGTGTGAGTAATGGAGCTATTGAGCTCTTGTTAGATAACTCCCCACAGCTTGAACAATTGATTGTCGACCACTTAGTGAAAATATCAAAGCTTGAAATTTGTGGTTCATCATCCCCCATGTTAAAAGACGTGGAGATAACCGATTGCCATAGTTTGGAATCAGTTAAACTTTCGTTGCCAAGGCTTACTACACTTACATTTTCGCATTCAAAGGGACTTGTGCTCGAGAATGTTCCGATGCTAGTTAATGTTACTGCCGGGAGTGAAGATGACGCTATTTCAATGGCACATGTATTTTATGTACTGTCTTTCTGCATTTCTCAACTGCAGACTCTTTGCTTGAAGCTTTTTTATAACGTAGTTTTTGCTGTTCATGGTGTTGAAAACGATGAGCTGTGCGAGCTTCCTCAAATGCCTAAACTGAAGAAGTTGGTCATTGACTATTGGGCCAAGGGTTATGAGAGTCTTATTAAACTGGCTGCTCTCGTAAATGCATCTCCTTACTTGGAGGAATTTGATTTACAGGTAGGCCTACCACCAGAGTGTATATATATATATATATATATATATATTGATTGGCTCTTGTTGTTGGAATATTAATATCTATGTATGGTCTTTTCTCCTTCAAAGCTAACCAATACTAGTTTCTTTTTGTTTATGCGGACAAGTTTCATATTTTCATTTGGTTTATTTGCAGTATCGTTGGTTTAAACATCCGATGGAAGATAGAGAAGTGAAGGATGCTGTAAGGATTCCCCACCATCACCTTAAAGTTTTCAAGTTTTGTGGCTATTATGGTAGAGCTAGTGATGGTGAATTACTCGGCTACATTTTGGAGAATTGTGTCACTCTTGAGAAAATTATAATTGATCCACAAGACAAAGAAACGGCAAGGAACAGTGCAAAACAAAAGCTTGCACCACAAGTAGCTCAACACATTGATTTGGTTATTCTATAACTTCAACCATTGATAGATTGATAGTATTCAATTATTTGATTTGTTTTATTTATGACTTCAAAACTTTTTTTTTATTGATTCTGGAACACTGCATATTGTTGTATTTGTGAGCATATTGTTGTATTTGTGAGTTCAAACTAAAGATATGTTAAACTTATTTTATTGCAATCATATTCTCTACATACATCATATACAATTATAACACTCCGTAGTACTACTTCTCGAAGCTCCTCGTGCTTAATCGTTTTGAATACATTACATACTTGACGATTTTTCGCGTTGATTTCTCTGTATCATTGGTTCTGATATTGTCAAAACTTTGACCGACATGCTCTACCTTCTTATTTGATGCATACGCACAGTAAAACAACTTGTTCAAGTCATCTTCGCTCAGCTTATTGCTGCAGCATATTACATAGAAAATCAACGCGAAAAATCGTCAAGTATGTAATGTATTCAAAACGATTAAGCACGAGGAGCTTCGAGAAGTAGTACTACGGAGTGTTATAAAAAAAAAAAAAAAAAGTCGAAAAGAGCAGAGGCTTAGTCGAGAGCTCACATGATTGGGTTGAAAATCGGTAGGAAGGAATTTCGACTGGCTTCCCACCCATTAAGCTTCAATCTTCGAACAGAAAACATAGTACATAAACCAGAAATAGAGACTGTTCTTTCGAGTTATTTGATATATATATACGACAAAATTAAATAATTAATTAAATAAATAAATTACGTTGAGCCAGGCCTGTGGCTCATCAGCCCTCCCCTTTCCAAATTTTAGGCCCAGCTCGCTTATATAACGCCCCAACCCACTACAGAATTTTTATTATTTTTCTGTTTTACTTTAGGCTGCGGCTATATGCAATACTCATTCCACTTGTGCAAGACCAAATTAAAGAAAGATTTCAAAAGATTCTATTTTATTATGATGGAATGACAAGTATGCCCATAAATTAAATTGGCTTTTTTTTTTTTCTCATGTAAGACCAAATACAAATAATGAGAAAAAAACAAAAATCGACACCAAGGTGTCGAAAAACTATGCTACAAATCGACACTTAAGCGTCGAATTTCATAGGTAAAAATCGACATTGACATGTCGAATTTATAGCACAAATTCAATTGTCGAATTTTATACCTCAAAATCGACATCTACATGTCGAATTTTACTTAAAATCGACATCCAAATGTCGATTTTTACCTGTAAAATTCGACCTGTACATGTCGAATTCGTTTGCGCAGGATTTTTTTTGGAAAATCAATATTCTAGCTTAAAAACCCATAAATGCATACATTCTTGGGTTATTCCATCGTAGAATTTTCTATTGTGATGTCTTCTGACTCCATACTTGCCATCTTTGTAAATTTGTTGAGTTTTGAAGATTTTGAATTTCTAGGTTTTGTGGGTTAATGGAGGAGGAAGGAGAAAGGTCTTGTGGATTTTGGAAGATGGAGAAGATGAGAGTTGGTCTTGTAGTTTTGTGGGTTTGTGGTCTTGTAGTTTTGTGGGTTTGTGGTCTTGTGATAGGGTTTTTTGTGTTTTTGAATTTTCGGTCTTGCATATTTGGAACTTTTTATTTTTTTGATTAATAAGGGTATTATAGTATTTATACATTGAAAATTTTAATTTGGTCTTGCACAAGTAGAATTAGTCTTGCATATAGCCGCAGCCTTTACTTTATTATTCACAAGGGTAAATTACAACCACTCACCCCTGAGGTACGGTCAAATTACGAACAAATCCCTCATGTTTGGGTAATTACAACCACCCCTCAACTATAAATCTTCTTACACGTTCACCCTCGCGGTTTCAAATTTAATAGAATCTTCTAGATTATATGGAATAATCTCAACTTTCTGGCTTAATAAAAGAATGTGAATGAGGAGAAAAGATTTTCTTAGTAAAAGAAGCTTTATTGCAAACTTTAAACTATTTCAAACTATGTCAGCATACAGCAGCTATTAATTACTTCAAATAAGTGGAAAAGGGGAGGGTTTAAATTACACAGCGGAATAAGTAAAAATTAAAATAACAGTAACCAAATACTCTATTCCAGAAGTATTATATTCTCGTTCTTAACACACCAAGAACATATAATCAACCAAAGAAGAATATAAACAGAGCATAACCAATATATCAATAAAGCCAATGTATGTTAGCCGCAACACAGAAATAACCAAAAGACAAAACGAGTGGACTGAAAATCCGCATCTCTGATCCCCCAACCAAAAAAAACTTCAGCTCCAACCGAGTTGAGTGGAGCTGAAGAAAGTAGCAACGAGATGAATACAGCAAGTTGGAACGTGGCTATTCCCGAACTGCAGCGAATAATCTCATGTTCGAGAAGCAGCAGCAGAGTGTTGTAATTGTATATAATGTATGTAGAGAATATGATTGCAATAAAAAAAACCTTAATATTTTAAATTAGATTAGCAAATACAACAACATCCCAAGTGTTCACAATCCAATAAAATAAGTTGACAATTTTAGTTTGAACTCATAAAAAAAAAAAAAAAAAAAAAAACAGATAAATGAATACTAAGAATCTATCCAATCCATGGTTGAGGTTGAAGTTATAGAATAACCAAATCAATGTGTTCGAGCTTATTGCATTTACTACCCCTGTGAAAATCGCAACTGCGCGATTCCCCCCGTCATAAAAAAATTAGCAAATACCCCCCTATGATAACTTTTAGATTGCACACTCGACCCATTTTGATATTGCTCGTTGACCAGCTGTGAAAAGCCGAAAATGCCCTTCGGTAATTAACATACCCACATCGTTTTCACTCGCCCATTTCACCCGTAACCCTAATTGCCATTCTTCCAGAAATCACCCAGCACAATCCTAAATCCCTAAATCCCTAAATTCGTACATCGCTAAATAACAACGGTGCATTAACACAATCTCTTCAATTCCAGAATAGCGAAGTGTTGATTTCAAATTCATTGTAACAACAATACAAGGATAGTGGTAAGTTCGAATTTCAGTACTTCTATAATAAATGTAGTTATGTTGTTTGCGATGTCGTTGTTTATGTTGTTTTGTCAGTCCTTCTAACCTTTATAGTTACGGGGATTGTGATGTTGATATTGTTTGCAAATATTTAGGGGCTTTTATATGTTAGGGTTTTGTCGCATCTTATTGTGAATTTCAAAGCTAGATGTGTTAAAATATTCTTGGGCTTTTCTCAATGCTCTAAAAAATGAAACTTTATAAGTAATTAAATGAATTCTGTTCATTTTTTGTTTGTTACAATGCTTTGAATTTGTCAGTTGTATTTTTTAATTATGTTTTTGTTTGTATCTGCTATCTCTTTTAATAATGTCACAATTTTTAGCACTTATTTTATGCACAGGGACCACTTTCAGACCATTTTTTGATACATGTGTATTTATCAAGACTTTGTTTTTAATTTTTTTTTTAATAGGATGGAACACTTTTGTGCATTTCGTATCTGGATTGATGGGCACTTTGTGCACCACCCTAAAGTGACCTATGTTGGTGGAAAAATGGAAGAGGTCTTCAATGTCAATATGGACTACCTCAACATGGAATATCTGTTCAAGCTATACACTCTGGTTGGAGGAAATAAGAAAGTTGTTAACTTCTACTTCTTGTATCCTGGGCAGACACTTGAGTTGGGGTTGAGACATATTAAAGGTGACATCAGCATCCACTTCCTTCAAAATGTACATTCAGAATTAGACTGTGTGACATTGTACACAGAGGGGATGGATGTAGATCCACTCATTACAGTTGATGTTGAAGGGAACATAATCATGTCACAGCCAGAAGAAGAGCGACAAAATGAGCCACAAAGAGATCCAGAGATAGAGTCCCCTATACTTAAGTTGTTGCTTGGTAATGAATCCATAAGTGAGGTACTTGAGCAATGGGCAACAAATGATCCACCAACAAATGAGGATCCATTTATGCATGCAGAGCCTTCCACACCTGCAGGCCCTTCCACACATTCAGAGCCTTCCACACCTGCAGGCCCTTCGACACATTCAGAGCCTTCCACACATGCAGACCCTTCAACACATGCAGAGCCTTCCACACATGCAGACCCTTCCATCCATGGAGACCCTTCCACACATGCTGAGCCTTCCACAAACCCTTCCACATATGCAGAGCCTTCAATGTATGATTCAAGCTCTTCTGAATTTGATGATTCCTCAGATGAGGACTTTATTGAACATGAAGTAAATGAGTCAGATGCACTTAGTGAAGAGTTGGATGACATTGAAGGTTCTGATGATGATGATATATTTGTGGAAAGAAATAATAGCAAGCAAGAGCAGATCAAGAAGTTGAATAGTATGTTGAGGAAGAGTAAAAGACCAATGCCCAAGGTTCATAAGTATAGAATAGATCCAACTGCAACAGGATGGTACAGTGATGTAGATGACGAAGATGATATGGAGGCCTTGAATGACCCATGTACTGACAGTAGAAAGTTTCCTATATACAATGAGGGCCAAACTATGAAAAACAGAAATTTGGAAGTTGGTATGAAATTTCCAAATGTTGATCTGTACAGAGAAGCTCTCCAGGATTGGGTTGTTAGGAATGGTTATGAGTTGGAGCATATGAAGAATGAAAGGAGAAGAGTCACATCAGAATGCAAAGCAAGTGGATGCAATTGGAGAATTCATGCATCTATTGTTATATGTTTTCAGGTATAACATTAGCCTTTTATTTTTGTATAACATTAGCCTTTTATACTTTCATACATAATGTGTTATATGTTTTATTTTGTAGGTTAAGAAGGCAGGAATGGAGAAGTATGAAGGCAGCATGTGTCTTAACATTTTAAAGAAGATCAATGCATATCAAACCACTGCAAGAGACTGTTCCCCGAGGTGGTGTGGGGGAGAAGAATTTGAAGTAGATTTAAATAGAGACAAGTATGTTGTGTACCTGGACAAGAAAACCTGTTCTTGTGGCTTGTTCCAGCTTAATGGCTACCCTTGTGCTCATGCATGGGCATGCATTGTGGAGAGGAGATACAAAATTGAGGATTATGTAGACCAATATTATACAAAGGATATGTATTTAAGGACCTATGCATACATGATACATGCTGTTCCAGGTCAAAAGGACTACATAAAGACTCAATTTGAGCCAATGTCAGCCCCACTAATAAAGAGAAAGGCTGGAAGACCAAAAAAGATGAGAAGAAAAGCTCCTGATGAGCTGCTTAGGCCTTCTACAAGAAAGGGTTTGACCCATACATGTAAAAATTGCTTGCAACAAGGCCATAACAGAGGCACGTGTAAGAATCCAACACATTCAAGGTCCAAGCTGTACAAGGTAACATGTGTATTTTTAAATAAATTATTAAGTCAACTTGAGCTTTGATTTTGTACTTGGTTTTATAGGGTAACACAGCTGCCAACACAAATGATGATAGACCTGAGCAAACACCTCCATCAGTGAACAGAAGTGGACCTGGTCCAGCAAGAAGGCAAAACAGAAGTGGCCCTCCAGCTGCACCTGCACCTCCAACAGTGGTGAAATCAAGAACTCCAAGGGCTCCTCAGTTTGTAAGAAGTGGCCCTCAGCTCCACCTCCAGCTTCCTCTCAAGAGTCTACTGTTGTGAATTCAAGTGCACCTCAAGCATCACAACCTCAAACAGTTCAACCACCACCAGCAAGGGTAAATGCATTTGTAATTTATTTCTTTCATTGGCTACTTTAGCATTTCACTTACATTGTTTTCTTTTTAAAGATTTACCAGGGGAGGAGAAATGCAGCTCTGCTTGGACAAGGTGTTGAGGTTGGTACTACAAGAAAAGCACCATCAACAAGAAAAGCAACATCAACTGTGGATGGTGTCACTTCAACCAACCCTAATGTACCCAAAAGGCCAAGGAAACTCCAAATATCTGAAGTCCTTCAAAATATCAGGGAGAGGAAGAGAAAGTGGAAAATTTAGAATATAAGAACATTCAGTTTTTTGTGCATTTTGGTAGTAATGGATATATTTCCAAAGTTGTATTTTGAAACAACCTACTGACAACCTTTTGATCACATCTTTTGATGGCTTTGGATGAATGTATTAGTTTATTAGTGACATTATATTTTTGGGGATGTATTTGTTGATGTTGGTTACATTTGGTTGGTATTTAAAAGAGTAGTATGTAATTTTTGAAAGACTTCCATTTTGTGGATTTTGTTGTTTGTTGGTTACTATGGGTTGTCATTGCTATATGTATTTTGTTGTTTTTAATTGTTGTCATTGGTTGATGTTCAAACAGGTCTGGGTAAGTTCAAAAACTAGTATGGTTCTTGCAAAATTATTTTACACAGGGTGGATTTTGCTATAAAATATTAATACTAGGGGGTGTTTACTAAAACATTATTACCATAACACATAGTGCATTGCTTACATAACACATGCACTTTCATTACAACATAATTTACATTTCATTGATTAAAGCTGATAGCACAGGTGAATGCACAGGTGAATTAAAAAAACAAACTACATTCATCTTATTTAAACAACAAACAAACCACATTCATATTGATATATAATTGAAACAAACAGCAACAAAACAGAGTTCGTTACATTCTTATCGATAATTGAAACAAACAACAACAAAATAGAGGTCATTATATTCTCATTACATCAGAACAACATTAACAAACTACAATAATATTGGAAATTGACAAGCACAAAGAAAAAAATTCTGAAATTACACATCTAAATCTTTAGTAGAAGAATTATGACCATTACAAACAAACCTACACATATGACCAACAAAGTTTGCAAATTATTTCCATTGCTTCCATTACTTTCAACAACTCCACCCACAGATGTAGTTTTTGAGATAATTTCCTCAGCCTCATGGTCATCCACTTCATTATCGTACCAATTTTGATATTGTACCTTCACCCCAATTGGTTCCCAAGTTGCTCGATTGGGAATACACCATTCAAAAAAATTGCATCTACGGAATTCACACGCATAGTATAACATCCCAAAAGAAGATTTCGTCATCGATTCAACAACCCGTATTGAGGCTTTTGTTTTGCATCGACATAACGGAGACATTGGATACCTCAAATCCATGCGAGGGCTCGAGTTGCTCCTCCTCGACGCGTTGTTTGCAGAGTAAGAAGACATTGTTGAACTTTGATTGAAGAGAATAAATGAAATTCGTTTTCTAGGGCACAATGAGAAAAGGGGTGAAGAGATTAAATAATACTGTCAATGTGAAGAGGAGACATGATGTAAGGGTATTTGGGTCATTGCACACAGTAAATTCTAGCAAATTTCAGCAACAATCGCAAAAACAACGCGTGAACAACACGAACTCGCCCCAGGGACCTATACAGCTTTGACTAATTACCACAGGGGGGTATTTGCTAATTTTTTTATGACGGGGGGGAATCGCGCAGTTGCGATTTTCACAGGGGTAGTAAATGCAATAAACTCCAATGTGTTCAGCTACTTGTGGTGCAAGCTTTTGTTTTGCAGTCCTCCTTGCGGTTTGTTCCTCCTATGGGTAATAATAGGAGGGATCAATTATCATTTTCTCAAGTATGGCTCAATTCTCCAAAACGTAATGGACTAATTCAACATCATTAGTACTACCATAATAGCCACAAAACTCTTGAAAACTTTAAGGTGATGGTAGGGAATCGTTACTGCATCCTTCACTCCTCTATCTTCTCTCGGAAGTTCAAACCAATTAAACTGCAATAAAACCGAATGAAAATATGAAACATGTCCGCATAAATAAGAAGAAACTAGTATTGTAAGTTGATACAAACAAACAAACAAAAAAAAGAAACGTGAACGAGGAATTAACAATATTGCTACCTTAAAAACAAATTCCTCCAAGTAAGGAGATAACATTAGCAAAGCAGCCAGTCTAACAAGACTTTCATCACCTCTTGCAATATATTTAACGACCAACTTCTTCAGTTTAGGCATTTGAGGAAGCGTGCACAGCTCATCCTTTTCTCGTCTACTACAATCTGGGTTGAACAGATCCAATTTGAGAGTCTCGAGTTGAGAAATGCAGCAAGACAGCGCATCGAATAAATTCTCCATTGAAATGTTGTCGTCGTGACTCCAGACGGAAACATTAACTAGCATCGAAACATTCTCAAGCAAAAGTCCCTTTACATGCGAAAGAGTAAGTGCAGTAAGCCTTGGCAACGAAACTTTAATTGATTCCAAACTATGGCAATTGTATATCTCCACGTCTTTTAACATGAGGGATGAACCACAAATTTCAAGCTTTGATATTTTCACTAAGCGGTGGACAGTCAATTGTTCGAGCAGCGGGCAGTTATCTAACAAGAGCTCGATAGCTCCATTACTCACACCAACACTTTTCAAAGACAGTGCTTTGAGGGACTTAAAGCAGACAAGTGATTTAGATGCTGTGGAACAACTTCGGATAAGTAACTCATCTGGGATACAATAAAGAAAGGGCCTATCACAATTGTCAAGGTCCAACATTAAAATGGATGATTTGGTTAGGTAAATAACCGAATCGAAATTTCGATACGCCAACATTTCACTACCGTTTACCAAACTAAATGTATGATTTGATTAGGTAAATAACCGAATTATATAAATGTTATGTAAAAATATTTAAAATAAGGGGTTCCGGTAATTACCCAAATAAAATGGATTGTTTTCGTTATTTTACCATACCTAGGGGTGGCCGTAATTTGCCATAAAATTTTATATATAATATGAAAAAACATTTATAGCCTCAATGAATGAAATATATCAAATGCTTATGTCAAAACTTGAAATCGCTTAATTGGCACTAAATTAATCAAGTGTATTATGCAATTGCTTGGTCATCACTTTTACTTTGATATGTATATAAATTTATTTCTATATTAGATTTGCACACTCATATATGATATTTCCACATATATAAAATTGCATCATTAATATAATTTTACACATATATTTACGAATAATTATATTTAATTTCATAAATGTATCTTTTTTTATTACCCAAATAAACTTATTATTCAGAATTCTTTTTTATTTTTTTATTTTTTTTATTACCATTGATTTATTTTATTTTATAATATAAATTTGTATATTAATATATTTTTAAACATATTATAAATGAACATGCAATGGCTACATTTCTGGTTCATGGCATTTGATCTCATAGTTGTTCATCATCAAGTTCTAACACATGGAAATGTAATAATCTCACAAACTCAGCCTTGAAAAAGATTAAACAACAATCTACAAATTTTTTTTTTGGGATTATTTGTAATGCTTTTTCTTCCTTTCGGCTACAACGGAAAGAAGCCTCGAAACACCCTGCGTCCACATTTCGTACTCTCTTGCATTCTTGCACTCGAACTCAACTACTCCTCGGGCTGTCGTCTTAAGCCCGAAATATCTTCTCTGCTCCCCATCCTCGAACAAATGTCTCCCCGGCCATGCTGGCATGTTCTTGCATACATCTAAAACCACATCTACAATTTCCGAAAAATAAAAAAATAAATTTACTATGATCGTCAATTCAGGATAAAATTCGAGAGCAGAAACTCTTACTTTTCTTCTTCTTGGTGATGGTATTTCCTACGTATTTGCTCTTCATCTTCAACATCACCTGCAAAAAAAATAAAAAACAAAAATCAACACGATTATTTTTGACAAACAGAAAACAGAGAAATGGATTTCTTGTGGTTGAAGAAAAACTTACATTTCCACTTCGATGAATGTAAACAGAGACGATTTTCCAGTGAAGATCGCCGGTGCGAGTTCTTTTGAGAAGCTCGGTGCCTCGAGCAAGCATCTCTTGATTACAAGCTGCTAGAAAGTTCTCTTCCGGAACAAGTTCCTCACAGAAGCTTCCGGAACTGTTGTTGCTTCCGTTATTGTTGTTGTTGTTGTTGTTGTTGTTGTTTTTATTTCCGGTGCCTAAATTAGTTCCTTTTTCAATCGGAATAGCTGCTGCCACATTCCACACTTCTTTTAACGCTCTCGCCTTCAATGTCGCAACTCCACGCAAAGCTTCAATATTCAAGAAAACGAAAAAAATGGCTAATCAGATAAGCTAATTTACACCTTAGGAACATGAAGAACTAAAAAAAATATTGGTTTTTTTATTTCACCTGTGGCGGCAGCGGCTGTGAGAGTGGATATATCGTCGTGGGACCGGACACTGACGGCGGAGCTAATGGCGGACATGAGGTGGTCGCGGTCGGCACCCATCGTCTCTGCCGCCTCCACGCACTGTGCAGCCACCAGAGTGGCTGCAGAAGCCACCGCCATGTTGGTCTTCGCCATCTGCTCGTCTTTTCCCTTTGAGGAAGCCGCGGCAGTGGCGGCAGCTATGGCGGCGATGGCTGCAGCAACTCCGGCGACAGAAACTGCAGCGTGGAGCTGGGCATTTTGCGATCGGGTTTCTTCCTTTTTCTTCTCACGACGCTCCTTCAGCCACCTCCCAACCGTCTTGCCGCCAGGCGTGGCGGCACCGCCTGCGCCGCCATTGTAGCCGGCTCGTGGGGTGCCGGTGAATAAGGGTTGTAGAGTGTTGTTTGCACGTAGGTACTGGAATTTTTTTTGGCAGTCTTATTTAGTTAATGGTAATTAAATCTTGAATAAACATGGATTAAAAGTATTGATTATGGTAAAAAGTAACTTGTCATATTTACAGAGGGGCATGGGTCCATATACTGCTAGAGAACACATTTCAAGAACTAGGGTACAGTGAAAAAATGGTGTTTGGTGTAATAAATGTTTAGAGTGAGAGAATATGGGAAGTAAGATGAAAATGGTTAAACAAGAATCCAAAGGGTAAGTGGGAAAAGTCAGTTAACATGAAAGAGGTAAAACCAAAGTCTGGCCAATCTGTGTCAATAGCTTCTTAATTCAGACAACTACTTCAAATTCAATTTGGACCATTTATTTATGCACTCAACCAGCTGTTTCTTGAAAATCTAAGAAACTACTTTACTCAAATTATATAAAAAAAAAAAAAAAAAAAGCAAAAACCAGGTTTTCATGTTGCTCCCAAGTAATCCCAATAACTTTATCTTTATCAATTAATATTACTGTTGTTAAAGATCTAATTTTTACAGTGGGTATGGTGGTACTGGTAATTAATAAAGTCATAGATTTGCATGTAAATGGCAAAGTATTAGGGAGCTTTAAGGAAAGTCCAAAAAGAGAGTATTACAGACGGCTAAAGTGTTTTGTTGTAATAAAGAAACTAAAAGTTAAAAAAGCATTCTTTGTTAACTCTCACTTTATCTGCTAAATTATTTGAAATAATGGCTGTCTTTGTGTCTAATTAATCCTAATTACGGCCTTTTACTTCTTCTTCTTCTAATTAACATAATCCCACCCCATAATCATTGACTAATAATGATTGGTAATCAATAATCTTCCAACATTCTTGATTTTTTTTAAATAAAAAGAAAAAAGGAAGATTATGGTAATGAAATGAAATTACCTTAACAACATCCTCGTACTCATCAGAAGGGGAGATTGGTGGGCTTTCAGTTTCTTCGGTTAGACACCCATTCAGAGGGCCGCTGCTATGTGAAAGCCTTCCTGATGTTAGTGGTGATATTTCCTGCATTGTATTGTTTCCCATTTTTAACAACAAAAACACGCTTCTTATGAACACAAGTAGAGAAAAGCAGGAAATGAACAGTAGAGAAAACAAAAATTCCATTGATTATTTTTTTTTTTTTTTGTGTTTCTTGAAACTTACAGACTGAGACATGATGCGCTCCAGGATTAGCTGACACGTGGCGGAAGAAGCAAACGAAAACGTGTTCCCAGAAAGCTTGGCGGACTCATCCTCCTCTCCTCCTCCTCCTTCTTCTCCGGCGGTGTTCTCAGGTATTATTGCGGCGGCGGGACTAGCAGCTTTGGGAAGCGGCTGCGTTAATGGCGGGTTAGCAGGTGCCAACGCTTTGGATACTTGAAGGGCGGAGGCGCTCCAAGACCTCGACAGAAACTCCATCGGACCTCTTGGGCTCTCCGGCAGCTGAATGTCGCCGGCGCCGCCCTTCTCCGCCCACAGTGAGTCCATTTTGCTAGTGTTGATGTTGTACATATTGTTAATGATGAAAAGTTTGGTGTGTGTGTGTGTGTTTGAGTGTGAACAACTACAAGAGCAATAACTTTTGCATGAGTATTAGTGTGTGTGTGTGTGGGTGCGCAGATTTTTATAGAGTTATAGGGGGAATTTGAATAGGCTCAGAGCCTAGGGAATGAACCGGGCCCACTGAACCGGGCCAAATTGGTCAAATAAATTTCAGGGATTTTTGGTGCTGCGGTCAATGGGGCCTCTCTCTTTAAACTTTAACATTTCCTTTTTAACAGATCGGGTGCAGTTGGGTTTCCTGCTATTCCTACAGTTACAGCTTTAAAATGTTGTACGTTGAGAAAAGGGAGATGATTTTGGGTAGGGTACAAGGAGTATATGCAACTGCATGAACTGTAGTAATTAAGAGAGGAGAGAAGTGTACGATTTTCTTCCTTCTTTTTATTATTAGTAGCTCTTTATCTTTTTGGATTTTGGTTTATCGAGGAAAAAGACTATTTGTTTTGATTTCTTGTTCACTTTTGCTATACCATTGGGATTGGGATGCCAATCAACCACATTTGATCTACTTCACATCCTTTTCTTTCTTGTCATCACACTACTTTTTCTGCACTACTTTGAGAATTTTGTGACTTTGAATTTCGTTAATAATTTTGATTGGTTATCAAAATATGCAAATTATTGTGATAGAACAAGGCCAAACTTTTGTTAAGAATATCCGGCCACAATTATTGATGGATCTCTTAAAAAAAATGAATTCTTTAAAAGGAAAAAAAACTCATTTCAATTATTTTATTACATTATTATAATGACAAGTTTTGTTTTAGAATTGAAATTAGGAACTTCATTTTCTTTATTCATCTATAATATAAAATATAGGGTAAATTACCGCAACCCTCAGAGTTAAGGTCAAATTACGAGCAAAAAAAAACTCCCTCGTATATGGGTAATTACATCCAACCCCCAACTATGAATCTTCTTACACGTCCACTTTTATGGGGTTAAATTCAACAGAATCTTCTAGATTATGTGGAATATTCTCTAGAATATACTCGTTTGTGCAAGAATGAAGTTTCTGTTGCACCACAATCCAATCAAATAGACACATCTTATGATCATTCTATTCCAAAATGTGGAACTCGAATGGAGTAAAACGGGTACAAACTGGAGAATATTTCACATAATCTAGAATATTTCACTAAATCTGACACTACAAGGGTGAACGTATAAAAAAAATTCATAGTTGAGAAGGTGATTGTAATTACCCAAACATGAAGGGTATTTTCGTAATTTGACTTGATCTCGAAGGTGGCTGTAATTTAGCCACAATTCAAACCCTTTAGAGCTACTAATAAGGTGGTATGAAACAACATGAAAAAACACACACACACACACTAGGAGAAAATCAAAGACACAAACATAGAAGAATAGTGTCAAGAGAAGAAGACAAAAGAATGAGGCAGTAATAGTTGTAAGGGTTGTCTCCTATTATGTACTAGGTATTGGCTACATCACAACCCGACCAACCTTGTTTGGATCTCTCCAATTCTCTGTAACCAAAGGCGTGCCTGTAAAAAGCGTTTTATCATATTTCTGATACATCATCATCAATCATCATCTTCTTCTCTCCTCTCAAAAAAAAAACACCTCAGAAGTGTTTCTCTAAATCTGTCTGAAAAATTCCCATCTGAAAACTCAGCACAACACCAAAGCTTTTTTTTTTCTCTCTCTGCTTAAAGCACTTTGAGGAATCGCTTTTTCATGCAGTGGACCATATAAGCTTATGGCTACTGTAGAGAGACAACTTTATTCCCTTTGCCCCAGATTATCACGTTGTCCTCTCTCTCTCTCTCTCTCTTTTTTTTTTTTACAGCTTTTCCTGTTGTAATAATAATTTTGGTTCTTGATGGGCCTCAATCCAAATAGAATCAAACAATCGGATCTAAGACCATGTTTTAATTCAATGATTTGACTGAAATAACATGGAAGATCTAATTTCTTTAATCTTGTAAATTGTAATATATACAGTTGGACTGTATACTTAATATGTATATACATTCTTCGTATCGAATGAGCCCTAATGCTATAATCGAACCACAAAGGTCGAGTAAACCTTAACTCCGTCGAGGCACTACATTTGACATTATCATACCTTAAACCCTCATAATTCAAAAGTATTAATATTTATATAAGCAAATAGTATTTACTTGGTTTATTTCTACTTGCTCTAACTTTGATTTCGATTTCGAACACTATCCTTCAAAGAAACTCCATCACCTAAAACTAATTTTTGACAGAATGAAACCCTAAGCCATAAGTTAGAAAAAGAAGAGTGATCCCTCAGGTGATTCCTTCTTTTTTTTTTTAAATTTTATTATTACAAATTTGAACGAGGCGAGTACTCTTACCTAGCTAACTTTTCACCTTTTTTTACAGAGATGGTGTACGGTGATTGAACTTGAGTACTAAAACAGTGTCCCTCGTGTATCCGAATATTATCCCGTCCCGCATGCACAATTATCAGAACCCCTTTTAGCAGTGATGATCATTGTCTCAGCCTGAATCTCTGTTAAACTTGTCATGCATGTCGAATCTTGAATACTATCTCAACTTTTCCAATTAGTCTTTTCGAAAAGTGTTATTACATTTGACAAAATGGAAAAAGGGTAGTTAACTGTTAAAGTGACTATGTTTTGTTGATATGTTCTGAAATTTGCTGTTAGAAAGTGATTTAGAACCAACAATTAAAAAAAGAAAAGAAACATTAACAGATCAATAAAATGAATGAAAGCATAGTATGATTACCTTATCCTATCTGTTTGACTGCAAACCTTGACCACCGTAGTATCGCTTTGTAGTTTCTCTCGAAAACTCGGCAAAAGTCATCCCATCCCTCAACCGCGAAAACAGAGGAGGAACAATCTCGTGAATTTTTCGACTCAACCCATTTGTTTCCCCGTTACAAGATTCCGAATCTTGATCCCGTAAAGTTAAACAGTCAACGGGGTAGTCCGAAAGTGAGAATCTCTTGGTCCAAGCTGGCTGTAAGAACACGACAAAAGTCTCTCTGCTCAAATGTTCCATCTTAGCGGGTCGAACAACGCTATGGAGAGTGGCTCGGAGCTTCCCCTTTGATAGTACGTCAGCCGATTCTCCGACCTGAACAATAAAGCTACCCTTTGAAGCTTTCACCATGAGTGTGCAGTTCATCTCAGGGTGAAATACTTGCAGATACGTGTGTCCACTTGGCGATTCACATTCTTGCTCCGACAACATAAAAACCGGAGCCGTCAGAATAGTGAATATTCCGTAATCGTAATGCCACTGCTGCCACAAATTTGAGTCACCATCGACCGATGAAATATCCCCCTTCGGATTAACTTTACCACCTCCGGCATGCTTTGCTGCTGTTTTAATGGCGGAAATATCCGTGACTGAATGATAGTGTATCAATCGGCCTTTCGCCGTGCCGCATTGCAGTAGACTCTGCTCCAACTCACAACCACCAATTGACTCATCGCAGACTCGGGCGATACGGAGCCCTAATTCCATCATCAAAAACCCTAATTGCTGAAATTTGAACCCTAGATCCTTGAATTCTCCACCGGAAAACTCCGTGGCCGTTTGATCGCCCTTGGGTTTATAACTGAACTCTTGATCGTACTTCATTTGCATCGCGAAAGACGACACGATTCTGTCCAGATTCTTCAGTGACACGTCACTACCCAAATTGTGATCCTGTAACTTGCTCCCCAAAAAAAAAAGAAAAAAATGAGAATACTACTCTGAATAAATTGTATACAAATTGTAAAGGCTCGATTTCTACCTTGAGAATCCTTTTCCGGCGATCGTTATTCAAAAGAGCGAGTTTTCGGGCCAGAGGGAAGAGTGTTTCGGGGAGAGCTCGGGCTTCGGGAACGCCGTGGATGCTCAGGAGGCCCGGCCCGTCGCGGCCGAGGTTTTGCATTATTGATTCTGAAATTAATTTGAGCCGTTCAACTTCTTCGTTTGATGCCGGTTTTTGGTCGGAGCACAATTTCATGAGATCGGAATACTGAAGTTCGTAGAGTTCGAGGACTCTTTCCATCTTCTCACCATTAAATTTTCAGGCCGAGGTTTGAGGTTTATCAGATTGATTTACAAAATCAGTGGTAAATGTGGAAATTGGAATAGAACTTCCGAATTCATCCATCCGAATTTTATTTCTTCATTTTAGAACAACATTTTCTCATTCCAAATTCAGAAACTTTCGATTATCCCAATTTCCGATTCGATATTAATTTCCAAAATTATTTCCCAAAATTCCAATTTATTTTAAAGAACTACACTTATAACATCCACATTGTTATGTATTTTACATTGGGTAACTAATTTTTTTTTTTTAAATTGAATTCCACCAATTCCAATCGGAAATTTTCCGATTTTGGAACACGTTTTTCGTGCTAAATTACGAAATTCCAATTTCTAATTGCGAAAAATTGGTGTTTTTCGGAAGGTGCTAATTCCGATTTCCACCCCAACCCGTGAAGATGCTAATTCCGATTCCGATTTATAGTCACGTTTTGTATTGAAGAAATATAATTAGTAGAATTCATGCAAACATTAAAATTTTCCAAACTTGATCTATTCCTACTTGGCCATGAACAAGTAATTCATGCAAAAATTCCCTGAATAAAATTTCACCTACTGTAAAAAGTTCGAACACATTCCTAATCACCGTTAGCTCTTAATAATCATCGTCGTACGGTTATTATTACACGACTTCGAAATTTAAGACGCCCCATTCTCCTTAAAACTCTTGGTCAGCCAAATAGCAGTCTCTCTGGGCGAAACTTTTTCGATCCCAAACGGTTTCAGCAGCACTTGCAGCTCTCCAAACCTTTCCTGCTGCAAAAGCTGCGCGCTGAACTCCAGCAAACCCTCGAGTGCTTCCGCCCTTTGCTGGTACGAAGACGTATCGAACCTCCTCTGCCTAGAATCCGACGACGAACGGGTCGACCCGCCACCGCTCCGCGGATCCTGATCCGAACACTCGTTGCTCCCTCCGTTGCTGTACTGATGGATCTTGATCGTACACTTGTCTTTCGTGATCGAACGGTTAACGCTCGCCGGAGATGTGTACGACGAGCACTGAGCAGATGTCGATGAAGCCCTCCGGTTCGGTACATGAGTCGGCTCTTCCGATGAAGTCAAAGGAAAGTCAACCATCTTGTCCATACGTGGCGCGTTCACCGATACATCGGGGGATTCCACACTGCCTAGCGGGCCCCGCGTAGATAGTGGAAGAGATGCTCTACGAATCTGTTTTCTAGCTGGGGTATGCGATATTGGAAGCTGCATATACATAGGAGAAAAAAATAAAAATCGGGTCTTTTTTGTCAAGAAAGAAAGTAATTAGAAAAAAAAAAAAGACGAACCAATTCACGGGTTGAACCGGGGTTGGATATCTTTGAAGGAGTAGTAGACTGTCTTCTGAGATTTGCCGAGGGTTTTGCTGAAGAAGCAGTTTTAGGGGTTTTTAAAGCACTTGAAAACTTATTAGTGGTCACCGATTTTTTCACGTTTATTTCGTCTACTACGCTACCGATGGATAATTCGGAATATCTATCATTCAAATGGTTGAAGGATTTTTGCGCTCTACGAGACGAACATGGAGTTTCCTGTTCGTTTCCAGAAATACTAGGATTCAGAGCTCTGTTATTGCCAAAAGATAGCCTTTTCTTCTCTGTTTTAACAGCTTCGGATTGAAGGAATCTCGTTTTCTTGACAAAATTAGCATCGGATGATAGTGTGGAAAAAGTATGTCGTCTAGGGTTGTTACACTTCAAATGAACACTCATGACATAGGGACGAAGATGTTGATGCCTCAGCAAATCTCCAGCCTGTAGATTAAAAAATAAATAAAGATCATCGTAATCGAAGTTATCGTCTTTTCTGTGTTGGCAGAAGAAAAAAAATGGGAAGAAAATTAAAACGTACACTTGGTCGAATCTCGGGATTTTTTCGGAGCATAGTCTTGATAAGCCCACGTCTATAAGAAAAAAGGATACATAAATCGACAAAAAAAAAAACGTAGTTTTAAGCAAAAAACGAACTGTCACAAATTGAATATATTTACGGTAGAAGAGATACTCACAATGAACCAGAATACATGGTTGGAAGCGGAGACACTATCGATCTGTTGATTTTGTTGATCAAACCTTGTATATCCTGTTCATGAAGCGAATTACGATCAGTCGATTATATTATAAAGAGAAAAAACGAAAACAGTTCCAAAGCAGAATTAGGCTTACAAAGGCTTTAAATGCAGGTCTGTAAGCAGCCATTTCATAAATACAGCATCCTGAATAAGACTGTGTGTTAAAAAGCAAATGTAGAAATACTTAAGAGACGAGAGTTTTTTAAGAATGTTACCTAAGGACCAAATGTCCGATTTCGAACCGTAAGGTATATCAGCAAGAAGCTCGGGGCACATGTAACTCGGTGTACCAACTACCTGCAAATTCAGATCAAATATAAACAATTACAACCTGGTTTATATAAATCGTGAGTGGGCCCCACTTTAGCATCGTCGTACTTACAGAGGAAGCTAGATCTTCAGAAACCAGTACTTTAGCTAGACCAAAATCCCCTGAACAATGTTTACGTTACAGACAATTATAACTTTATTACTATACATTCAATGCTGAAAAAATAAATCAGGTATAGTGAATAAGATAGTTACCTAAACGTATTTCTTGATCTTTCGTCAGAAATATATTCGAACACTGAAACAGAAAGAACTTAGCCTTTAATATTTTTCGTTTGCTGGTTTACATTTTAATAGGTTAAAATATTTATATTTATGTAATATATGTATGTATATATATACCTTGACATCGCGATGAAGTATATGGTTGTTGTGCAGATAATCGAGCGCCAGCAGAAGTTGCACTAACCACATGCAAAGTTTCTGCACATAATTTAGTACTCACATGTTATAATTAACATAGTTGATAAAAAAAAATAAAAATAACGGAACTAGGTTGTAAGAGAACCTCCTCAGAGAAATGAACCCCGTTTGCCTTTTTAATGGCTTCTGCCCTACAAACATCATTAAGACAAGCAGGCAGCAACACACACAACTCAGAAACAAGAATCGCATTTCCTGTTTTTATTTGCGAAGAAAATTGTTCGAAAAAATGGGCTACTTACATATCTCCTCCTTCGCAATACCCGATCACAATGCACACATAACAACCCTGAAATTACACGTCAAAGCAATGTTATTACACGTTTCCGATAAATTGTATATTTGTCATAATTCCTGCACATACCTTTTCCACCCAAGAATCTTTGTACTCCACGATAAATGGATTCTGGACTCTAGATATAAGCTCCATCTACCGAACGAAAATATATTACATTAAATTCAGAAAAAAAAATTCTTTTAAGTGCTTTCATAGGTAGTTACTTTTAGGCGAAAACTTTAATATAATGAAATTAAAAATTTCACCTCCTGGTGGGCAGATCTGCGTGTTCTATCAGTCTGTCGAGCAAGACGAATTTTCTTCAAAACATACCTTTCAGATAAAACAGGAAAACAAGAAAATTCAGCAAATGAGAAAAACGTATACGTAAAATGAAATTATCGAGTTCTAATAATAACCAAACGATGATTTGTTTTCTTACTTCTTCTTCTCTTGTTTATGCCTCACAAGCAGTGCGGAGCCGAACGAACCTTTACCAATCTGCTCCAGTACATCGTAATTCTCCATTTTTTTTTTCCAGAGATTAAGCTACCACAAGAATCAAAAATACCTCCCTAGATATTCTGTTATAAAATGTGCCACCTGTCAAAATTAATTAGGAGTAATTGCATTACCAACAAATTCGAAAAGGAAACATGATGTAGAAATTAGAGACTGTGATTTGTGATGCAGAAATTATCCGAAAAACATTATAAACAAAAATTCAATGAATCAAAGTTCTTCCTTAGACCTTAGGGATTATCACACACACACACACACACACACACACACACGCACACACAAAATAGGGTATTGCAGACAAAACGGCGACGTTCGACCTAGAAAGTGAAAAACTATCAATCTTGCAAGATTTTCTTGAAACAGTCCCAAATAAAATTAAAAATCAACTCTTTCAAGAAAAACAAATCGTACCTTAAATTGAAGGTGCCCAGATAAAATGCAGATCTTCTACATCCAATATAATCAAGGGTTTTGGGTCTAATCCACAAAAGAAAAGGCGAGGGACAAAATTCAGGCAGGCGCGGCAAAAAGAAAACAAAACCCACCAAAAAAAAAGGGTGAATTTCAAACTTCAAAAAAATGATTCCCCGAACCACGACAAAGAAGAAGAAAAAATAAAGAAAAGGAAATGCTACCCACTTCTCTTTACGCAGAGAAGAAAAGAAAGAAAAAAGAAAGTGTGTGTGTGGGTGACTCAGTCCTCAGTGTGTGACTGTGTGTAGATATCTATGTGTAGGGTTTGTCTTAAAAAAGAGTAATTAAAATAATAACAATGGTGTGTGAGGGGTGAGAGTCAAATCAAACAGAAGAAAGTAGCAATTGTCTGTGGGTTTTTGTTTCAAAGAGATTCTTCGAAAACGACATTTGAGCTAAGAAAAATACAGTGCTGGTGGGCCACTTTCAGATCTCTCCAAATAATTCCTCCTCCTCCTCCTCTCTGTATCTATATATTGTATCTATATATTTCATTATCAGCCAAAGTTTGGAGGTAGGTGGTGAGGATTATCGCTTTGTATTATTCATATCATTTTATTATTATTGTTATATTTATAAACCCTACTTGATTTAACATCATTAATAATGTGATTAGCAGCTTAATTAAGATTTGTTATCTTGTGATCAAGACAAAAGCTGTACGTACGGTACTGCAATTTCTATATATGATTTAACTGAAAAATATAAAATGAGAGGGAATTATGAAAATATAATTGTGTAATGAATTAATTGAAAAAAAAAATATTGATTCACTCGCATTTAATTCGTTGAGAGAAGAAAATAAATAAATTTGGTAGGAGAAATAGCAAATCATGTGAGTAGAGCATGGATATCAAAATAAAGATATGCTGGTTTTTTACATGAGATATAATTAATGGACCAACCATACCAACTACCTGACATAAAAATTATTGTCATAACTCATAATATGGCTGTTTCATTTATTCTTAATATCTCATTTCTTTTTTATGAAATAATGAAATTATTTATTCTTTGGCATAAAAAAAGAAAAAAAAAAAAGAAAACAAGAAAATAAATAAATAATTGCCCATTTTACTATTTATAGTCAAATTCTTATTGGGCCTTTCCCTTCAGCCCGTCAGACCGTTTTGAGAAGCTTTGGACTTGGCCCAGATATTAGTTTTTCATGGGCGGGCCGGGCCGTGGCCCATTGTGCACTAATGGGCCTCCCTTAAGAGGCGTTCATCCGGGCTTTTGCTCATTTCCTTCAATTAACATCTCCGTCCACTTTTTGTGGGCTTTTAATATTATTTTGGGAGTTGAGGGAATAATTATTTGAGAAAAAAGTATATAATATAATATTTGTTTGTGCTTTGAATTGTGGATTGAGATAAAATTAATTATTTTATACCGTAGCATGTAGCAGTGAAATCATGTTAGAAAATATTTAAGGAAAGAAAAGTGTTTGAAATAGTAGTTAATTTTTATTACTATTTTAGTGAAGACATTTTATATTGTAGCAGCTGAGATCATGAGACCGAGAAATATTTTTCTTCATCATTGGAATTAATGGGGTTGTGGCATTAATTCTTGTGCTATTTTTTTTCTTCTTTTTTTGTATGAAATATTTTTCTTCATCATTGGAATTAATGGGGTTGAATTTTAGCTATGCACAATAAATCAAATGAAGAAAATAATAAATACCCTATTCTTAGCTTGTTAGGAATTCGGACCATACTATTAATTAATTTAGTTATCCACAATCTCTAGTTCAGTGGCTTTGCCCACAAAATCATAATTCATCTCATCTTTTATGTGAATCCAAAAGCCTAAGCAATAATAGTGTGTTTGTGTGTGTATATATATATATATATATATATATATATATATATATATATATATATATATATATATATATATATATATATATATACACATACACACATGGGTCAAATTCAGAATCCATTTTGCCAAGTGGACAAGATTTCTTCCAAGTAATTTCTCAGAAGTGGGAGATTTGTGTGTGTGTGTGTGTTCGGGGGGTGGTTTGGGGGGGTCAAAAACATGGGACGAATAAATAAATTTATCCAGTAAATAATGAATATTTTGATCATGTCAATCGAAAACCTAGCTACATTGTAATTAGTATTTGGAATTTGCAACATGTGTGGTCAACAGCAGTCAACACATTCATCATGTTGTAGCAAAAAATAATGATCACCAAAAAAAGTTAATAAAGTATATGTGACGAATTAAATCTAACAGTAGTTTTAGTATCCACACCAGCTTATAATGTGCCACGTTATCACATGTCATGTTAACTCTCAATTATTAGCATATAAAAATGGTTCATTAATATTATATCATAAAATTAAATAGTGTAGCCGCACAGAAAAATAATTATAAGTAAATTATTTAAATTATTAATTAGTGGGTAGAAGAAGCATATATAGAGGATTATTGGGTGGGTGCAGGCACATTATTATATTATCCACTGTAGCCACCCACACCGGCCATGGCCTGGACCTCACTTTTTAAGCACAAATGGGGAACTTACTTATTATTCTGCCCTCCAAATACCCTTTTTTCAGTAGGTCAGAACAATAATTCAAGAGTGAATTCGTAATAATTCAACAAAGTCAACCATTGATATATATATATATTCAGTTTTCTTGTTTTTGCACAGGCAAGAATAGTGCATTCTACTATTTCATCATGTATATATACTTAGTGTTTGTTTGGCATGGAATATTTTTTCATGCATATGTTATATTGAATGTAAATTGTCATTACTGATTTGAAGTTTATTATTCAATATACAAGAGATGGGAATTAATTAAGACGCTAATTAATTTTGTGTTGCAATTTGCATGAGAAAAATGAGAATGGCATAATTAGTTAATTACTAAGCTAGCTAGGGCTATCCAATTCCGATTTTGTATCCTAATTATTGCCAATTTAAGAAAATTGAAAACCAAAATTTAATTTTTGTTAAAGTGTTAATCACTAAGCAGACGACGACGCATAAAAAAATATAATCAACGACCAAATGAAAGATTTTTTTTGGGAATGCACTAAGAAAGTGTGTTAATTGGCTATCATTATCCCATCTACATATATTTGACGCTTCCAACGCTTGTAAAGCCATTTAAATTTACTTTTGGGATTAAATGTATCAAATTCGTTAGCACTTAGCTAGTAATAAATTTACTTTTGGAAATTAAATGTTATATGATCTCATTGCTCCTCATGAAATCCAAGGTGTAGTTCTTACATTATTGTATAAATTAAAAAGAAAACTTATAATTAATAATTGGAAATGTTATATATATATATATATATATATATATATATATATATATGGAACTTTTTAGTGGTCTATCTATAAATGATCATTCGTCTCAAAAGTGCTCGTATATAATTAATTGACATAAAAGTGGTAATTATAGGGTTAATGATCTTCCACAAATGTCATTATCCATCACAAATTAAACTTATGTGTGAGAGGTTTTATCTGGAACTTTCTCAACTCGAGCAGGTTTTTTCCCCAACAAAAAAAGTTGAGAAATAGTAACTGAAATTATTACGAGCATGATTGAATTCAAAACCGAAAAAGAAACCTATCCCCGTCTGTAATTTGTCAAAAGAACGAGTTTTCTTGTTATTATAATGTTTTTTTTTTATGAAGGTGGTTGTAATTTACACGCATCATACAATCCAACTACTGCCCATACGATGAATAATATGGCAATAAACAACATCATTATTCACACCACACTAAATAAACTAATATACTTAGTTGTCTAACTAAGACTTTTGATTATCAAGCAACATGAATCTGGAATAAATAATTAATATATATCCCGATTAATTTAATTAACTCTACAAATTAAACCAAAATTGCAACTTGCAAGAATGACAAAAAACAGGCGCAAGTAGAGAAGTGTACTGAATTTTGTCATGTGATGAGAAACTTGTGCCCGTGAATCAACGATTGTCAAAAGATTCCCTTATCTTTCTAAATTTCCAATCAATGAACCAGTATCTAATATTATCCCATAATTGTTTTTTTTTTAATTAAAAAAAATATTATAGATAATATATATATTATTTTAATTATAAATGTAGGGTGGTGATGATGACCCACAATTACTTGTAATAATTAGTTGGAAATTTCAAATTAATTAAGAGACATGTGTAGCAATTAATTGAGTGGGCTGATACAACAGAAGAATTAAGACCCGGAAATTAAACAGGAAATATATCCACTTACAAAGTGAGGGGATCCGGATTCGTCAAACTTGGCGGGTTCAATTTGTTCATGTGATTCATTTTATTTACAAAAATTAATTAACAGATACATGAAAATTTAAACAACTACTTATAGCTAGCTCAAATTAATGAAAATATAAGTTAATTAGTAATTGGATCGGAGTTAATTATTTTAATCGAAACAAAAAGTAGTATATGTTTGTCGATCGAATTTTTCGTATTTATTCAGTCAATGTTTCAACATCGATCGATCCCATGCATCCACGATTGTGGTTATATACGTACATATTTATCCCTTTAATTCAATAACACCAAATAAGATGGAACAAGCTAAATAAGGAAAATTTGTGATTGAATATATATATCTAAATTAAAAGGGTCACCTTCAAAGTTTGATTTATTTCGTTTCCTCTTATGAGATATCAGATAGGTTTGGCAGTACTGTTAGGTCATGTGGAATACATTTATATATATACATATATCACTAATTACGTCATTAGAATCTTTATCCCACCACCACCACCTAATTTAGCATGATTGGACTCAATTAATTGTCTGCCGATAAACGATAAACGAAAACTAGACGCATGCTGCAAATATATGTGTCCAATAAGAATCCACCACGTCAAGTGATATTCGAGCAGTCGTTATTGAACAAAATGCAGCCGACCTACAACTTAATTAGAGTATACGTGAGCTGCCAGCACTTTGCATCTTGCTAT